GGCAGGTACTGAAGAAAATTGTGACTGTTTATCGGCGAGCGAAAGGCAAAAGTAGTTGTCGTTCCATAGACTTTTTTTTTTTGTATTCAGTAGATGTCGTTCCATAGACGTCTCAAAGAGAGAAGCTTCTTTAAAAAATATCAGCCCATATTATTCCAACAATTTCCAAATTTAGCCTGGGGTTGTCTCAAAATTCACGCTCCTAGGGTTTGGAGACAACGCTATCCCATTCCTGCATTTTTCACTTGAGACAAAAACTTTTAGATTTTTTTACAATTGTGTATCAATGTCGCCCTCTTATTGGCTCTTTCTGGAACGACACTAAATGGCACGAATAACTACTGCACTCGTAAAAAAGCTTGTTTCTCTGTCTTCTTTTCAAGTTTATTTCTACAATTCATAACAAAAGTTGTTGACTCACAAGCTTAACATGCGAAAACCTAGCTTCGGCGGGAAACCTCCAATATTGGAGCTCCCGACTTTCGAAGGCACACCTCGCGAAGCAACGTTTATGTATACACCTTCTGATCAGTCGACTAGAGACGTAGAAGGACTATCTGTATTCGAATCCGATGGTCAGATTGATCGAGATTCAGTGTATACCGAAAGTGACAAGGGCGAAGCAAAGAAAGAAGGGTATCGCTTATTTGGCATCATACCTTATTATATCAGCGTCGCTTGTCTTGCTCTTTTCGTCTCACTCCTTGCTCTTACAATCGGTCTTGTACTATACTACTACTTACATGGAGAAGACTATCAGAAATTCCGGACGCAGATACATACAGAATGCTCAAACAAAGCAACTGTAAGTATTGATTGATTTATTTTCTTTTATTTTCTTTGATTTCGAATCGATTCGAGAAAGCACAAATATTAACGTCTCATTTTCTTATGATGAAGGCAATTGAAAAACAAATAAGGTTAGATTTTTCGTCATCAATGTATGTTTAAAGATGTCAAGTTGCTCATATACATACTTTCTCAGTGGAATTGCAGCCGCTTTCGGTGGAGTATCTTTCTGGCTAGGTATGATTTCATTGCCAACCTTACTGTGAAAAATATTATTCATGTTAAACATCGCCTTTCTTTCAGATATGTCACCAGAATCGTCTCGTACACAGAGTGGATTCGATCTAGCCGTACGCTTGGCCACCGCCAATTCTATGAGTGAGTAGATACACAGCTTATCAGAACGTTTTCAATCCTCACTAAATGATCCTCATCCCGACTTTTAAAAGACACCAACGCAGGTGAGTTTTGCCTTTGTTATGTTTTTGTAATTAGATAAAAAGAAAAAAACTAACTATAGGTAACAGTTGAGGTTATTGCCTATGCACCTCTTGTAAACGATAGTGACCGTGCCGCTTGGGAAAGTCAATATCAAACAACTATAAAACAGTCGCAACCAGATAACTCGCTGATAACATCAGGTATGCCATCTGCCTTTTATCATTGATGCACTTTAATACCTCTCTTCGTTACTTACAATACTACCATTGCTGTTAGAGCAAAAGCCATATTACTTTCCCGTTCAATGGCAATCACCTGTGGGAGAATTTATTTTAGGACTTGATGTATATTCGAGTCCTGTTAGATCAGGTATGTATCTTGAGCTGTTGTTAACAACGTTCTCAATCTAAACGTTTTTCTAAAAAAAAGTCTTTTACATATAGACGCTCTGAACCAGACGTTGCTAAACAAAACGCCTACTCTGACCCCTTTCTTTAGTTTGGTTATTGCAAATGTCACTGGATTTTGCGTCTATTACCCTGTGTACCAAAATTATTCCATGAACGACGATGCACTTTCCGCAATTGTGGCGGTTTGCTTTGGAGCTGATATAGCTCTTAATGAAGCACTAGAAGGCTTACAGGATTACGTAACACACGTCAGAGTTATGGATCATTTTGGTACTGTGGGCTACGAAACCACAGGGTCACAGGCATCAGGCTATAACGAAACGATGGAATTTTCTGTCATGAATGAAACATGGGTTATTTCCTGTTACGAAAATTATACAGCGCAACCGTAAGTGAATATGCAATAATTTGAAGAGAATTCTACTATCAGCTAAATGATTTGATACAGATTTGCTGCCGTCATACTCTCTATCATATTGTTGATAGGCTTCCTAGCAACCATTGCCATTATGGTTTGCTCAAGACGCTATCATCGCACGTCAAACGATGCAATCATCCACAAGTTCAGATACAATCGTTCCAAGCGGCGTGCGCAAGCCATTCTTCAATCAATTCCAGACCCGCTCCTTGTTCTCAACGGTGATGGAAGAGTGGTGGATTGCAATCAGCAGGCTTTACATGTTTTCGGAGTGGATCACAAAAAGCGGCTGCTAGGATGTCATATCAAGCACCTTTTCGTTTCCTCCTTTACAAGTGCGCTTATTCGCGACAATGTAATACAACCAGGCCTTCATGAGGTTAGGGTAAAACGCCATCAAACTGGAGAATACTTTATAGCGGAAGCCAACTTTTCTTATGTCGAAGACATCAACGACGCTAATGATGAAAAGCCGTTCATGACGCAAGTCGTATTAATGAGAGATGTTTCGGCCAAAAAGGAGGCTGCATTACAACTTCAAAACGCTAAACAACAAGCCGAAGACACAAACCAACAGAAATCACAGTTTTTGGCATTCGTATGTCATGAACTTAGAAGTATTTATACGTTCCTTTGCACAAGAGCTATCGTACACAATTTATTCTAATCTTTCCTACTAGACCCTCTCCATGTCATTTCTGGAATGAGTGAACTTTTAAACAATATGGTTGTACAACCAGACAAGCAAGAATATGTCAGAAACATCATCACCTCTTCGAATCATATGCAAAGCATCGTAAATGATGTTTTGGATATTGCTCAACTGTCGGAGAATGAACTACGTCTGAATTATCAACCCTTCAATCTGAAACAATTATTAGAAGATGAAGGAAAGTTTATGATGAGGTCAATACAAGGTAGGGCATAGAAACTTCATCAATGATAATACGTAAAAAAAAAAAAAAAAAACTTGCTGACCTTGAAATATTACAAATTCATAGAACAAGAAGGCGACGTAAAGGGCGTCGTTAATATCTCCTACTCTGTACCTGAGTATGTCAACAGTGATAGCACGAGAATAACACAACTTATCAAGAATCTTGTCGATAACGCGTGAGTGCACAGTACCAAATTTAAATCGTGAGCACTTTATTTCGGCAAAAGCTAATTTTATTCTACGTTCGTACAGTATCAAGTTCACTCAACAAGGCGTTGTTACCTTGGAGGTATCTGCTTCTGACAAAAAGAACCCAGACTCAACCATTGAAAATGTTTTGTTCCTCATTTCTGATACGGGCATTGGAGTATGTATATAACTGAAAAATGGAACTAGCGAAAGACAGAGTGAATCTTTACTGACATATTGCTTCACCAAGATTCCTGTAGAGCATCAGGACGAGATTTTCCAACCGTTTTCAAAAGCAAATATATCCATGGGTAATCATTTTGGCAGTTCTGGTATCGGACTTTCCATCGGTACGTGATGAAATGTTAAGACTTTGAGTGTGATTTACTTTCTGGCCAATTTTATTTCACCTTACTTACTTGTGCCTTTTTCCTTGCCTTACTTTCTTTGTATGTTATAGTTCATCACCTGGTCGATCTCATGGGAGGCAGTATAGAAGTGGAAAGTGAAGTCAACGTTGGCACTACTTTTGTAAGCGCTCGTCATACAACTTATCTGGCTTGCCTTATCATATAGCTGATATATTCTTTTTTTTTTTTGTAGAAATTCACATTGCCTTTAGCGCTTGCTACCGAGGATGATTTCTTGGCCTTCCAATCCGCCAATGATTCTACTTCTTCAACGGCTTTATCTCCTGTCAGCAATTTCGGACCCTCTGCCATAAAGCCTACACTGTTACTTGAGCGTCCACAACCAAAGAGTTCTTGGAGCATCGCTTCAAATGCGTCTAACGATCAAAGTATCGGAAGGAGCGATGAGCAAGATTCGCTACTCGTAAACCGGGGTTCTGAAACGAACCTTATATCATCGGCTAGCACTGACGCACGTTTGTCTTCGTGCTTGTCTCTGTCAGGCTTGTCGAATGGAGGCACATCAAGCGGCGAACACGACTCCGATGCAGTATCAACTCCTAACTCTGTTCACGAGGGTGGAAGCTATAGTACAACCCGGAAGGATTATTTTGGAGCACTGGACACAAGCGAACTAGGCACCATCGAGGAAAAGCCCGTATGCCTAGTAGCTGAGGACAATGAACTTTGTCAAAAGATCGCCACCAAGATGCTCGGCAAAGAGTATGTTGTCGAAATAGCTGCCAATGGCCAGATTGCCGTTGACACTGTCATGGCAGCACCAGACAGGTTTAACATCATTATCATGGATATCATTATGCCTGAAATGGATGGAATCCAAGCTACTATAGAGCTCAGAAAGAATGGCATCAAAATTCCCATTATTGCGTAAGTGTTTCTTCACTATATATCTTTCAACATTGAACATCTCGTTCTAATCCAATTCCATACAGCGTCACGGCTAACGCAGCCGAGGCCGACAAGAAAGAAGCCATGAGGCACGGCTTCAACGGCTATGTAAGTCAACATCCTTTTTCATTTTCTCTCCACTGGGGGTTAACGCCATTTACTCATCTATCTTTTTCTTAGATCACGAAGCCTTACAAACGTAACCTTCTAACTGCTATGCAGCGAGCCCTGAGTGCTGCCAAGCAAGAATCATCATCGTCATAGCCACTCTCTGTTTTCATACACCTGCCGACAACTATACCATTTCTGTATGTGAGCATAAGATCTAACGCACATGTATTTTCTTTTTAAGCGTTATATAAATATCAGCTATAGAGCTATCACTCAAAATTGTACACCATATATTCCCGTCCAATAATTTTCTCGTTTCATTTGGGGAACTGGATATATTATAAATTGCGTCTTTTTACTGATTCAGGCACAAGCACGAACGTGAGGAAGAAGAAGAATGATAACCAACATTAAATACACGAAAAGTTTTCTACTGTACAATTTCTCGCACTCCGATTTACTGTTCCTTCACCTCTGCTTTGGAGTCAGCGGCAATTTCTGAAGATTCGTCTGCAGCAGGTTGTTTTTCGCTGCTACCGGTTGGTTTATTTTCGGTAGCTGCTGGGGCAGTCTTCGAAGCAATTTGCCAACTGGGAATGCCGGGGCGAGCAGAGGAATTAAAGGTAGCCGAAAGTCTTGGTGAAATACCATTGGTTTCAGCAGCAGGAGGTGAGGTGACAGAGGGAGAGCTAGAAGCAGCGCCATCCAACAATGCGGTGGCAGGTCGACGGCTGAGGAGAAGTGACTTGAGAGATTTGACTTCTGTTTGCAAATCATTCAAAATAGTCGCTTGGGCATCCTTGTTACGATCCAGCATCTAAGGGACGCACGCACGTTAAAATCAGCGTTATTCTCCAAGCATGCAAATTGACTGGTTCTTAAACCTACCTTGGGTATTAATCCCTTGATGACCTCAACATCTTCTTTGATGGATTTGAATTCCTCATCCTTATTATTATCGCTTTCTTCAAGCTTCTTAAGAGTCTCCTGCAGAGTGCTCAGTGTGTCGTTGACCTTTTCAGATTGTGCAGAGACGTTGGTGAGAGCAGTGCTGGTTTGCTCTTGGATCTCCTTGAGAGAGTCTTCCACTGTAATTATAACAGCCATGTTAATAAAATGCCACTGTACTGAGCAAAGGTATCACCACTTGACTTGCCTGCTTGGAATTGCTCATCCAATCGCTTCTGCTCGACTTCGAGATCTTCACTGGATGGTACCTTGAACAAAGGACCAAACAATCTCTGCCAGAAGGAAAGTCCCGTTAACATACAAGTTTCGCCATCATTCCCATTTCAATTCACTTTACCTTTGCCAAATGCCATACACCGTAACCGACACCTCCAGCCATGACGGCGGCAATAAAGACATCTCGCCAATCGTAACTTGCTCTTGCTGGAACAGGAGGAGGAGCCTGCATGACAACGCCTCCACCAGGGTATGCGACGGCACCGGGTGCGGCAACAGTGGTAGCTTCCGTGGATTTACCGTTGGCTCTTGACATTGCTTCCTCAATCTCTTCTGCTGTCAAGCCTTTGCTTTCCAAGAAGGCGACTTTCTTGGCCAACGGAGCAGACTGCACCTTTGGATCGGACAGAAACGAAACTGCCGACTTGAGCATAACTTCCCTGGGAGCAGCCATATTTACTGATGAAAAGGAAAGCGGGGATCGTGTGAAGCAAAAGTGAACAGCGAAGTGTGGAGAAATTTATTCAATTTTTGCTGACACACTGCAATGTGACATGTGAAACCGACCATAGGCACCCAAAGTCAGCACATTAAAGATTGCTCAGCCAGCCAAATTTACATTAGCAAATTCAATGAAATATTAAGCTGATCGAGAGACAATCTCTCTTTGATGCTGTAGTTACTATGGCTGTCCCTTCCAGCATAGGCCACCAAACTCTCTCTAAGGGCCATGCTATTTGTTGAGCATCAGGCGTATTTGCTAAGAGTATTCTCCATGATGACTGACCTGATGGTTATTTAAAGCTATACAGCTATCTTACTCACTCAAATGGCGCGTAAAGCTGGTTTGGGCAAGCCAATGGTTGGCCGCAAAGGACGCAATCACGTCAAAGTTTGAGAATTTCCGTGATACATCAATTATTAGTAGGCCATATTTATTTTACGCCAGGCTACAGGCAGTTTGAAGAAAGATAAAACGATAGAAATCAGGTATGTCAATGAGTATTGTGACAGAGAAGAGGTTTTGGCTTAAATTGCCCGAAGATAGCAAAGAGCAGCTATGCGGTTTTGGTTGCAAGCGAGAGAGCAAAGTTTAAAACACAGTGACTTCTCACGATTTTTTTTCTTTGAATGATAGCGTCCACTTTCAAAGCAAGTCGTACGATATTGTCTCGAGCTTTCAACAACTATCAAAAACACTCTAAAAGACATTACACTATGGGTAGACTTGAAGGAAAAGTAGTCTTGGTGTGAGTAATTGTTCTTGTGTTTTCATACATTCTGACCGTGGTCGGCATTCCTAACGTTGTTTCTGGTCTTCGTCGCAATGTCAGTACTGGCGCATCAGCTGGTATTGGTGCCGCCTGTGCCAAGGAATTTGCAAAGGAAGGTTCCCATCTTGTAAGTTTCGAGCAAAATGATATGATTTGCTTTGTGCCGTTCTATCTGACAAGTTATATTAGATCATCACAGGTCGTCGTTTGGAACGCCTAGAGAGTCTCAAGAATGAGCTTGCAGGTCTGTACCCCAATCAAATAGTCCACCCTATCGCATTGGACGTTCGCAGCAGAAACGCTATCAATGGCGCTATTGCTTCTCTCCCAACTGACTTGAAGAACATTGATGTCTTGGTCAACAATGCCGGTCTCGTTATTGGTCTCGATAAGCTGTCAGATGTGACCGAAGACGCCATCGATACCATGTTGGACACTAACGTCAAGGGTCTGGTCTACCTTACCCAGGCGGTTCTTCCCGGCATGAAGGAACAAAAGAAGGGTCATATCATTAATGTTGGCTCAGTATCTGGTAAAGCATCGTGATTGGAAGGTGAATTAGATTCAAGTGTAGCAGTGCATTTAACATGCTTGTCATGGTTGGTCTTTAGGAAAGCAAGTCTATGCAGGAGGCGGCATCTATTGTGGTAAGTCACCCATTTTGTCTTTGCATGTGCACTGTTGCAAGCCTTTGTTTGCTAAATAGGTCATATCTCTTTTACAGCTTCCAAGCACGCTGTTGATGCCATCTCAAGAACCTTGTTGCTGGAGTTGGTCGACACTCCTCTCCGTGTCACTCAAATCAACCCTGGCATGGTCAACACCGAATTCTCAACTGTTCGTTTCGGTGGTGACTCTACAAAGGCTGATGCTGTTTACAAGGGTCTGCAGCCCTTGGTGGGCGAAGATATTGGTGAGCATATAGTATTTTATTCTTAATCTTTGACAGAACGCTTTTTGTGCGCTAATTGTGATCATTCTGTAGCTGAAATCGTCACCTTCGCCGCTTCTCGCCCCCCTCACGTTAACATTGCTGATGTCCTTGGTAAGTAAATGAGTGCAAAGATGAAGAAAGGATAACCAGTATGCTGACTTGAAGCCACTTTTTCAAGTCTTCCCAACTGCTCAAGCCGACGCTAGAACCAGCCACAGAGAATAAGCTAGGGCGCTGTTCCCTCGCAACTGTCCGATTATTCTTTTCTTCCTCAATACAACGGCTAGCTTCGTGTGGTTATTATGGAATGTAACAAATAAAACCTCTTGTCGCTCCTAGCGCTTTCTATCGCACGATACATTTCGCTTCATACATAATGTGAGACCTATTACATTATTGATGGTTTATTAAGTGTAATATTACTACTTTCAAGTACGTAAAAGAGATGATGAGAGGATGTAGATTAGTTTATGCGGCTTTAGGCTTTTCTTCAGGCATTTTAGGCTTGTAGGTCTTGCGATAGAAACTGATGAACAGGAAGAGGTAGCTGGTAAGCAAGAAGGTTCCAAACGAGGCAGCAATCTCTTCTCCAGCGCAGTTATCGTAATAAGGCATGAATGGCCAGAATGTAGAGGTGAAGTAGTTGTAAGAACAGAAGTAAATGACAAACAAGTCAATCACGAATTGAGTAATTTGCAGGGTCTGGAGAGAGAAATAGAGTGGGAGACATGAGTCAATTAGTAGCCATACAATGTAACTCCTACAAAACAAATTCATAAGTTAACTAACTTACAGTAAGATACTTCTTCCACCAAATGCGGTATCCAGCAGCAGTGCAAGCGTAATAGTAATACATCAGGACGTGAACCATGAGGTTAAGGACAATGGGCACCCAAGACTAGGTGTCGGAGTAGATGAATGTTAATGAAACGCTCGTAATTCAGATCAGAGATTTTTCTCCACTTACCACACTAGTTCTGCCATTCAGCTGAGTGAAACACAACACCATGGTCATGCTATGATGGTACCAATGCAAAAATCCTGTCAAAAGCAAATAAAAAAAAATTGTTGTTGTTTGTTGTCAATAAAAGTAAGCTCAGTATGATCAAGCCGCCGACGAAACCCTCTAACGCTCCTTTCATTCAAATAGGTACAGAAATAAAGAAACACATACCGATATTCTTTCTCTTCACAGCCAAGAACATGGTGTCTATCAATTCCCAGTACTTGACGAGATAATTGAGGTAATACAAATGTTCCAATTCTTGAGTCCAAGCGTCGTGGTTACAGACGGCGTAAAAGAGTCCATGTCTGGCAACAATAGGAACCAGTTGCTCTATGAACAACAGCAACAGGCCACCAGAGACAGCAGTAAGAAGAAGATTGTGGAAGATGAATAACCCCTTCAAGCGGAGAGCAGGAATATCCAAACGCTTGAACAAGAATTGAGTAGTAAAAATCAGGAAATAGTATCCAATGCAGGTCCAGAAAACTAAAAGTGATGGTTAGAGATTTTCCCTTCATTCAAATTCTGTCATCTCAACTAGAGCATAAAAAAAATATTTCTTTGACACGTACCTGTGCTATTTTCTGACAGTGGGGTTTGTCCTTGAATATAACGGAAGCTGCTTGCTTGTTTTCCAGTAACAGCTTGGTAGGCTGTATCAAAGTAGCTGTGCAAGTATATACCAAAAGGACGATCTAGAGACATGTTGAAAAGAAACAGATGAAGCCAGGAGGCACGAGCAGAATAAAAAGTTTGAAGATCTTATTGAAATGGCGATACAGTTACCAAGGTGACACAAATTTTCACAAGGAAGAGTGGTGGAATTGGGATTTTCGGTGTTACAAGTCGGCAACGACCTCCATTGATGCAAGTTTTGTTACTTTGCATTCTGATGACAAGCTTACTCTATGAAAGTGAAACTACATAATACACGATGGATACCTGCAAAAAGGTAAAGTCGGTTGAAAGGCGAATCAGTTTTTGACAAGTATTTTTTGTGGCGGTAAGCTAGCATGGGCTACTTTTCACGCAGCGAAGAGGGGATCAAAGAGCATGGGGATGTAAACAAGACAAAAAAACTAACAATGAAAAATACAGCTCATCATTACCAGCCATAACGCAACAATAGCGAGAAATAACGGTGCCAAAAAGAAAAACCTGGACCCATCATAGCCCACCACAATAGGAAATTTTGTTCTGCTGGTTCATCATGACGTTTGAATGAAACGCCAAAGTAAAAAGTCGATAAATACCAGGCATGCCTCTGAGGAGATCATCTCATTGCTTCTACATACCTATGTTCTCTAAAAAGCTTTTAGCACTACTGCTGCTTACCATCCTCTCCTTGGTACTCGTTGCTGGTAATGATTCGAGTACTTTGCAAAGAAAAGGCCGATGACGTTCAGACCAACTCACCTATTTCTTTTATACCGTGTGTAGAGTGCAAGGTTTTCCAAGCAGACGATGTATCCACATGGGATAAATCCAAGCTCAAGTCTTGGCTTTCTGAGCATAATATTAATTATGACTCCAAAGCCGATCTTCCCAGCCTTGTCAAGCAATATCGCGATTCCGCTACACATTATGCCAACTTGTTTGGCGTTAAAGTTGACCAGGCAACAAGCAAGCTTCAAAACAGTTTGACCGCCCAAAAGGACATCTCTGGAGCTAATGTTGAATACATTGTTGAGGAAGTCAAGCGACAGCTTCGTGTTCTTGATCTTGAAGGCCAACTTGACTACAGACATATTCAGGTATGTGAGATTCATGTGAAAGTACATCAGTGCGACTCCGGACTTTCAATATTAACCCTATGAACTTTCAGGGAGGCTTGAACAAGGCCAAGAAGAATGTCATTAAGCAGAAGGCTGCTACTGAAGAGCAGTGGGCTAATATTGTTACTGATGTTGAAGCTGAATTTCTTGACACAAAGCAAACTTGGTATCAAAAGTTCTTCAGCAACAAGAAGACCGCATCTGATAGCGCTCAAGCATGGCTGGACGAGACCAAGGCTCACCTTCAGAAGCAAAAGAACCTCTCCGAGGCCCAGATTGACGAGATCATTAACTCTCTTCGTTCAAGACTTGGAAGTGTAAATGATTGGCGCAAAGAGTCCGCTAAGAAGGATAAGACTTGGTTTAAGCAGCTGCAAAAGGATTTGCAGTCTAAGGCCGACATGACCCAAGAACAAGCCGAAGAGGTCATTGCTGGTCTTGAGTCCGATTTTGCTGGGTTTAAAACCTCTGCTATCGAATACGCAAATGGAGCTTATGATAATGGTCAAGCTTACCTTACCTCTTTTGTCGAACGTGTCACTACCAGCCTTCGCGAATCAGGTGAATTGACGCAAGCCAAGATTAATGAAATCATCGCTGCCATTACATCCCGCTTCCAAAATGTGAACTGGAGAACCATGCCACCACAACAACAGAAGACTTACCTTGAACAGTTGAGAGATGATATCTCCGTCCGATCTGAACAGACCAAGGATCAAGTGAACAACATTGTTTCTATTGTCTCCAAGACTCTCGAAGACTACCTCGTTTCTATCAAGGCCTATCTTTCTCCTGGTGCATCAGAAGCATCCAAGAGCGCATCCAGTGTGTACTCCGGTGCTACTGCCAATGCAGACAGCGCAAAGAGCACTGTCGTCTCTGCCACTGATAATGCCAAGAACTCTGCTGCCTCTGCTACAGATAATGCCAAGAGCTCTGCCGCGTCTGCCACTGACAATGCTAAGAGCTCTGTTGCATCAGCTACCAATGACGTACAAAAGGGTGTCCACAAATGGTTAAGAGACAATGAACGCAGTCTCTATGAAAAGAAGGGATATGCCCAAGCACACATTGACTGGGTTGAGAACTATCTCATCAACAAGTTCAATAATGCTCGTCGCATCACTACTGATGAAGTTAACGATGCTGCCACCGCCATTCATGAATACCTTGTAAAAACTGCCGATGTCTCTGAGAAGCAGGCCAAAGCAACTGTAGATCAAATACGCAATGGTCTCCAACACGCTCGAGACGAACTATGAAATAATTGACCATTTTCCCTCTTTTGTATGATTCCTACCTACAATAAAAAATTTTAACCCATGTATATTTTTTTTTTTTTACAATATGGCACTTTCAAAATGACCAGAGCATCAATGATTGGTTCTGGTGTCGGAGATCATACACCTGTGGTCATCACGGATGTAGCCGCTTTATCGGGTCATTCGTCGTTCCGATCGGTACCCATCCCAAGTTGTGATAATAAGACAGGTTATTGAATGCCTGTTAAAGAGCATGCAAGTCTATTGCTACGAGTCAGACGTGCGAGAGAAATGTATTGAGGAATTAACCCAAATAAAACATGTCGTGTTCATATTCATGTTCGGTGAACGGAATTTTCTTAGCGTCAGAGCGCACTTACTATGGCCTAATAAAAGATTTCCATAGCGGTAGTAACATTCAACATGTCTAATTAATTTGCACATTATTTCAATCCTTTCCATGTCATCAGGACACGCTTCAATGCATTCATACGACGACGTAATGCCTGATGGTATGTACCAGGTATGCTGTTGATTGTCTTCCTTTGTGTCACATCCTTCATGTCAGCGGGTGGTATATTGATGGGGGACAAGATTGTGTTCCCAGGTGGATTACCTAATTCTGTAGCGCAGCCAAAGAAGACCCAACACTGTTGAAATCAGTACGGGTTTTTGCAACGTTATTGTATTTGCCCGCAAAAGGGCGAAAGACTAGTGAATAATCGATATGTTTCAATTGGGTGGCAGATCAATCAAAAAATTTGTTTCAACCAGCTTGATATATGGATTTTTGCCAATCAGCATCCAGCGAAAAAATTTTTAGCCCATAAATTTATTGTGCTCGGAGTGGCCCTGCGTACCTTTTATTCCATTCCCAATGCCCTCCGTTAGTCATCGACGCATCGTCGCCATTGACTTGGATGACACCTTGTCTCATACTATTGAAGCTCTTGCAGCCTGGCACAATGATACATACGAAACTAATTTGAAGCATTCGGACTTCCATACTCAAAATCTATGGGAAGTTTGGGGTGGGTCCCGAGAAGAGGCATGCCAAAAGGTGCGAGAGTTCTATACTAGTAAGCACTTTTTGGACTTACAGCCCATCAATGACTACGCATTGGAATCCCTTCGAATGCTGAAGCGTAGACGATTTTCACTGGTCATTGTCACCTCAAGGCAACAATTGGTAGCCGAAGAAACGAAACGTTGGGTTGACAAATGTTATCCAGGTGGGCACTCGTAGACATTCAATCCTCAATGGGAAAAGTTGACTTAATCTTGATATTTCCACTCCAGGCGTCTTTGATTCAATTTACTTTTGCAACTTGTATCTAACCCATGCTGAGCAACAAGACTTGATATCCAAGCCGAAATCTGCCATCTTACGAGAAATCAACGCAGAATTACTGGTCGAAGATTCGCTCGAGCACGCCTTGGAATGCGCACAAGTCGGCGTTCCGGTCCTGTTATTTGATCGTGAAGGTAGCTACGGATGGAATCATATCAACATTGAAGGCAAAGGACCACAGGAATCCGACGCTATGATCCTTCCTCGCAATGTCACTCGGATAAAAACCTGGAAGCAAGTGATTGCCCACTTTCCCAAACCTGCCAGCCCTCTTCGGTTCTGCTGGGTTCCTAGCGACTTTGTCAATTCCGACGACGAAAGTGACGACTTGGACACCGTCAATGTGGACGACATGTCAGATGATGAGCAGTATGGCTCAGAAGGTGGCGACGAGTGGGCCAAACCGAACTCACGCGAGCTCATCTGGGCCTAATAATGCTTCCACCCCCTTTTTTCCTGCCCATTTTATTAATGCTTTTTGTGCAATGTACCAATACTCCTTCCCTCATAGACTCACACTCCACCGACAAACATATTCCTCCATTTCGGCAAAGCAACTTGCCACCCCCTATTCACTTTTCGACTGTATATGTGAACATTTCTTTTTGTTTAAATATTGCTATAATTACCTTTTTTTCCCCATCTTCCCACCCCCCCCCAGCATTTTCATTCTTGGCCACAGCATTCTTGTGGCCGACTGTACCAGTAAAAACCAAAAAAAAAAAATAAAGAAGGAAAACATAGGCCGATGCAAAAGCATCACCTAAATAATACTGATCAACGTCAATTGCAATTACATCTGCATACATCGGAACGTCATATTAGCGACAATTGCGAGGTTTTATCTTGAACAGTCATGTGGAACGGGTGGTAAGTACTTGAATGGAGCAAAAAGCGATAGACTACGAAGGGGAAAATCAACAGTACAAAATCATGTAGAGTACCCCCCCCCATTCCAGCCATAATAATGCAGCGTGGCAAACAGTGGGCCAAAGTCAAGGCACTGCTGATTGGCGCGGCAATGTGTGTTGGTCGCCTCCTTTAACCCATTTCAATACTCCTGTTTTCCATATTTCATCCAAGCTTTGGGCCAATTTTGACAAGCCTTTTTATTATTATTTTTTCGACACGCTCTCTCTTTCTCTTTTCTCTCTTCTAAAGAAAAAACATTGTTGTTATTATTACTCGCCTGACCTGCTTTTAGGTATTACGGTTTGAACTTTTTTTTTTTGGTCGTCATATATTTAACATTGTGCGCTTTCGTCTCCTTTCTAAATTGCCCACTTTGAAATTCACCCCCCAACATTTCAACAGAGTGTACGTACCGTTGCCACAAAAGCCCTTTTCTGTACTAGAAGCAAATCGTTCTGGACATTAGGTAACGTTCAATCACCATGCTTCTCATTTTCAAAGACAGCTTCGGTGCATGTTCTTTTTACTTACCAAACGAAAACGCCATGCTGAATCAGTATATTAGAGCAGACAAATGGCAACTTCTGCATTGTTTCCAATGCCACAGAATCGTTCCACCTCTCAGTCATCAAACGACACCCCAGGGCAATTTTCTACTCATACCGCAAGAACACGCCCTGTCTCCACACCTGTACCTTTACCTCTCCACGACTACATGACCGATATAGAACAAGCTAATTACATGAGACCCCACCAGCTATACGCACAACCCTATGGTAATCGACCTACATCACAAGACCACCATCGCCGGTACTATCAATATCGAAAACAAAATATGTTTGGTCCTTATCTGATGCTTCAGACCTTGGGTGAAGGCGAATTTGGCAAGGTCAAGCTGGGCATGCACATTGAAACCCAACAGGAAGTTAGTTTTGTTTCGGATTCATTACATTGGTCTTAGACTTTATTTTGCTGATCCCCCTCTTTAGGTGGCCATTAAGCTCATTCGCAAAGAAAGTGTTGATAATTCAACACGTTTAAGCAAGGTCGAAAGGGAAATATCTGTCCTCAGGGTAAGTTCATTTTTTTCACCCACGGCGTCTTCCCGCCTTCCGTGAATTATTGTTTTTTCTCTTTCTTCTTCTCTCCGTTACTTTTCTTATCACGCTGTAAGCTAACCTACCTACAACGTTGGTTACCCAAGACGGTTCGGCACCCATACATCGTGAAATTGTACGACGTTCTTGAAACCGAAAAATATATCGGCATCATTTTAGAATGTGCTTCAGGTTAGTTATGTTTTTCTTTCGTCAGCAAAGTAAATACGATTATGGACTAGAAAAAATTTCTCATGTAATGCAATGTCATTCTTCTTTAAGGAGGCGAATTGTTCGAGTACATCCTTGCCCGTCGTTATCTCAAAGAGCAAGATGCCTGTCGACTGTTTGCACAGCTCATCAGCGGAGTTCATTACCTTCATCAAAAGCATATTGTTCATAGAGATCTCAAGCTGGTAACACCTGGTTAATTGACACATTTTGTCATACCGCACACCTTGGCTTAACTCTTTCATGTTTTTCAATAGGAAAACTTGCTGCTAGATCGTAATCGCAATGTTATCATCACCGACTTTGGCTTTGCAAACCAGTTCAACAGTGCAAAGGATGATTTGATGGCAACGTCGTGTGGATCACCTTGCTATGCCGCTCCTGAGTTGGTGGTCAGTGAAGGCTTGTATGTGGGCTCAGCTGTGGATATTTGGTCCTGCGGTGTCATTTTGTACGCAATGCTCTGTGGTTATCTTCCCTTTGACGACGACCCAGCCAACCCTGATGGTGACAACATCAATCTGCTGTACAAGCATATCTTGAGCTCGTCTCTGGTGTTTCCCGACTATGTTAGTCCTATGGCTCGTGATCTGCTGGATAAGATGCTGGTGCCAGATCCTACTAAGCGATGTGACATTCAAACCATCATGGATCATCCTTGGCTCCAGCAATACCGTTCCTTGTTTGCCAAGTCAGTTCGTGAACTTGAATTTCAAGCAACCACGTCGGCTGAATTAACCCTGAGTCCAGTGGGAGCGGAAGCTTACCGCTACGCGCAACAATCCCTTGGCCTTCAAGAATTTTCTGCCTCAAGAAACACATTTTCATCCGATTATGATCTTGGTCTAAGCGAGCAGATGTTGGATAATCATAGCACAAAGGACATGTCTGCGGACGATGAGGCTGTGGTGCCATCCTCTAAAGAAGTCACCTCAAGTAATAGTGACAGCTCCAACAGTACTAGGAAAGGCTCAGACGTTGCAGTAGCGGATATAAAGTCTCACTTCTCAGTGCAAATGAATCAAGTCGTTCCCATGAACACGGAAGAACCTGCTTCTATTACCAGCCCCAAGCCATCCCGCACGCACTCTACTGCCGTTGTCTCCCCAGAGAAAACTATGAACGATCCATTATCTCCTAAACCGGGTATGAATGCCAACGACAAGCGAGGTAATCACAGAAAGGGCTATTCTACTGAAAAGTTCTTCAGTATCATTACTGGTGGTTACAGTCAAAGTACGTCAATTCCAAAGTCAACTACCTTTGGTGGGCTTAAACGAAACAACACCATGAACCTATCCCCTACACCATCATCCACCAAGAGTTCTTCAAACACTAGTTCCAACGCCACCCCCAGTCGTAATCATAATCGGTTTGGCAGTGTCTCGATTGCCCGGGGAACAGGCTCTATCTTGCATGCCAAGTTTTTATCCAGTATCAGCGGAAGCCCATCTCGGCGTTCTGTCCATGTTGATGAAAGTCCTCCTACCAGTGGGCCTTGGCCCGGAACGAGCGTCAGCGCATCCATCTTACCCAGCAACACTGGCCATACACCCAAAAGCCCTCTTTACACTCCTGCTCGTGCCTTGCAGCCAATTCCAGACTTGACGCAATCCAGTACTGTGCGAGGAACCCGACGCAAGGCTATGAGTTTACTGGTCACGCCTGCTGCTGCCGTAGAATCCAGTGAGGAAGACTCCAGTGGTGAAAACCGATGGCTTGGTGCTGAGACTGGAAGAAAAGCGCTTGCCTTTGCTCGTCGAGCCAGTATTCGTAATCGTTCCCGACCTGACAAATCAGCTCATGATTCTGATCGGGATAGCGGCACCATGGAAGGCATTGTGGAAGATGAAGCCCCTGCCAAAGAATCGCAAGACAAGGACCGTCAAAAAACCACTGGCAAGAAGATGATTGATTGGATAAAGAAGAAATCAAATTGTAAGTTTATAAACCTTTATGGCACCTGTTCATGCCGGGAAGATCCTATTGTTCTAAGTCTTTTCCAGTACGTGATATACGTTCTCCTATTAGTATATCGAGCTCTCCCTTTGATCAAATTGGACGCTCGTTTGCTCATGCTAGCATGAGAGGTCGCCCACAGTCTGGATCGCATTGGGCTCCCGAGGAGACTAAGCTGCGAATCTATCACGGAGCTGTTGATCAGTCGGCATTGACATCAAGATCTCCCAATGATGTTTTCAATGAAGTCAAAAAAACTCTGGCGTCCATGGGCATCGATGTGAAGAGTGAAGGAGATTATAAGGTCAAGTGCACTAGACGGAAGCGAAAGTCTGGACGTGTGATTCCACCATCCACGAATGCCAGTGTTGATACTTTTGATGGCGACAGTGGTATGTCCTTGTCCATGGCAGACCAGAAGAAACGCCGCGGGGTAGCTGGTACGGCCACTATCCGAAACCTGTTGCGCCGTTCAAGTGCCTATAGTCATGAAAGTATTCCTCATCAACGACATACTTCTGGTAGTGATGATGACGGCGTAGCGCCTAGTGATGTTGCTGAACAGCGTCATGCCTCGAAACAATGTACAAGTAGTTCACTCAACTCCACCGTGTCTGGAAAACCCGTAGCTCCTATTTATGGCGATGAAAGTGTTGACTCAGGAGATGAAATACGTTTCAGTGTCGAATTATGCAAATTTAAGAATCTTCATGGCCTCTATATTGTCGATATCAGACGTATGCGTGGTAATGTCTGGGGTTACAAGTTCGTCTACCACCAGCTACTGGAGGCCTTGGACCTATACCGAAAAGGCGGTTATATCCCTGGACCTGAACGCCAACCACCACCGCCTTCAAACCCTATCATGGCTACTGACTCAAAGAAGAACACTGACTTCAATGGTCTTGGAAGTATTGCTGAAATCAAGGTGTAAGCCTGTGGATTTCACCTATGGCTTGATATTTTTCCCCATCTCTTGTTTATCTTTTATTGCTTTATATGCTTGCGCAAATGCAACTTCTTATGATAGCCTTTTGGGCCTATTCTACACGCCTTTATACCAACAATTTTGCACGATTCCCATACTTTTTCTCTATGCTTTCTTTTGCTCCATCAGCGTTTAATTATCCACACCGATTTTTTTTTCATCCCGCACTCATAGCTCTCACTTATTCTTAATACCTCCACGATTTTTGGCTCTCAGATAGACCTCTACACAATATACTTTTTCATCCATGCTGGAAGAAACCATTTGTATGGCAAACGGGGGTTCAAAAGCGGCTGATGTGACTGCTACGTTTAATTTTTTTCGCAGCGCTGAGCAAAAGAGAAAAAAGAAAAAAAAAAAAGTTGCCTGTTACTGCCAGAACTACAGGTCATGCCAGACAAACAGAAGACAGCACAACCTAGCCGTAAAGGCAAGAAGGCATGGCGGAGAAACATTGACATTCAAGATGTAGAAGAACACCTCGAGCAAGTTCGAAGTGAAGAGAGATCAGGGTAAGGGTGTAGGTGGATTGAGTCTCGCAACCGACCATGAACTGATCATTGGAGGCGATCGTCCAATTTTGTTTACAGAGGCAAGATCTCTGAACGTAGCGATGACAAGCTTTTCATGATTGATGTCAAGGGAGACGATAGAGTCAAGCGACAGCTCGCCAAAGACAAACCGTTGTATATTGAAAAAATTCTCGAGAGTCGATCAGCGATACCCGCCGTTGGCACTCGTTTGTTTTCGCTTCCTAAAGCATCGCCCAAGGATAAAGGAAAGGAGAGCAAATCCTACAACGCCAAGATTGACAAGCTGGTCAAGCGAAAGTTAACTCACCCCGAGCCCGCTAAGCCTGCCAAAAAGTCCAAAGGCACTGCTTATGATGTTTGGGCTGATGAAGGTAAAGACCCAATCAATCCTATGGAATGTGATATAATGAAACTAGAGAAAAAGTCTTGCTAATCTATTTCCTCTCATAGAACCTACCACCGTGGAACTAAACCCTTACCTGGAACCTGTACATAAGCGTAAAGTGCACGCACCTGCCACCTTAAAAGTCAAGCCTGCTGCCGCCGTTCATCTGCCTGCCGTCCAAGTTGCCGATGCTGGTGCTTCTTACAATCCTACCATGGAAGATCATCAAGCATTGTTGCGCAAGGCTCACAAGGTTGAAGAAGATAAGATTGCGGAACGTGAGCGCATCAACAAACAACTTGAATTCCGAAAAGAATTGCTGGAGATGGATGATGATGAGGTAGCCAAAACAGACGATGAAGAAGAGGAAGACTCAGACGTCCATAGCGATGACGATGAAGAAACGCGGAAACGCAAGGAAATCCGAAAGAAAACTCGTACAGAGCGAAATCGTTTGCGAAGAGCCAAGGAGACCAAGTGGTTGGAAGATCGTCGAAGAAGGGAGAAGGCCCTGAACAAGGAACTTCACAAATTAGACGAAATTCAACAGATGGTTGTGGACATAGAGCAGGAAACCGAAGAAAAAGCTAAACAGCGACAAGAGCGACAAGAAGCAAAGGAAAAGGCAGGTTTGCCTCGGTTAGGCAAACACTATGTCCCGAAGGCTCCCATTGAAGTCCAACTCACCGAAGAATTAAGTGAGAGTCTACGAACTTTGAAGGTAAGATTCACTATAGCTAGGTGGGGGAGCCACGTTTTTTCAGTGACAGACAAACGGACCCACTAATTTCATCCCTAGCCTGAAGGAAATGCCTTCAAAGATCGATTCAATAGCTTGCAAAAGAGAAATATCATCGAACCCAGAGTACCTGTTGCTCCCAAGAGACGATATAAGCTCAAGGAATACGAAAAGCATTCTTACAAGCAATTTGATCGTGCTAACAACAACAAGAAATAGAAACTTGTCCCCCATTCCTACAGCACTTTACACTACATTATATTTGTTTTTCCTGTTTTTCTTTCTCTTTGTATCGACGTTTTGGATATATCCCGTTTGTAATGCATCTTCCATTGATAAAAAACATTCCACTCTCTCCTCATGTTATCCAAATGGCTTAGCGGACTGGACTATTAAACACTAGAGGAGATTGAATCCTCCAGTGCCACAAAGGACATTGCTCTACATTGTGTTTAAATACCGATGTAACCTATGAGATGCCAATTTGCCTATTGGTCTTCTTTCCCTTTCCTCTCACTTCTCTATGGTGGTTATTACTCGCCTTGTTTCCACTAGCTTTGTTGTAGCCATGGCTGCCTTGACTTCCGTCGTCAGCGCCGTTGGAACGACCACACCCTCTGTGTTCGCCTACATCGTCGATTGGGTAAGTGGCGGTATCCCAGGTTTAAGCGAATAAGATGATTTCGGTTGACTGAAGGCATATCATTTTATTTTCTTTCTTTCCATTCCATTCCATTTGCTCCCGCCCCTCACAGGAACTTCCCAAGGACATTCAATGGTCCAAGGTCGACCATGTCATCTACTCGTTTGCCGAACCTGACCAACATGGCAAGCTCACCAATTTTGATACGCAGCAGCTCCAGTCAGGTATGGTACCTTGAGGTCACACACATTTTATACCATTTTTAGCCAAATGCAGTAAGTCGCCCAATTCCGCCCGCTCATCTAACACAAAAACTCTTAGTCGTCAAGCAGGCGCATGCCCACAACGTGGGCATCAGTATCAGCGTTGGCGGTTGGTCCGGATCACGCTACTTCTCTAGCTTGCTCTCCAAGTCGTCTAGTACATTTGCAAAGACCATCATCAGTGCTGTTCACCAGTACTCCCTCGACGGTGTCAACATCGATTGGGGTAGGGAAAAATAGATGCTGATCAGAAAAACAAACAACCGCTAGATATTAATTATGTTTTTGGAACAACAGAATACCCTAACTCTCCAGATGCCATGACTTGCAATACCCGTTCTTCCAAGGATACCGCCAATTATTTGACGTTCCTCAAGACCCTTCGTCATGGTCTTGGAAGCAAGCTTATCACCCTTGCCACCGGCACTTCTCCTTTCAATGACAACAACGGCAATCCTTCCAAGAACGTCGCATCTTTTGCAAAGGTAATTACACCGTTTCATCTTTACCCCGCAAGTCCCGTGAAAAACACCCACTTCATAGAACTCAATTCCCATACCACTCCCATTTAGGTGGTCGATTCTTTCCTCGTTATGGTTGGTATCGAGAAAAAAATTTTCACGAGTGCCGGTATGCTTCGCCACAGCTAAACTTTGGTTTTTTTTTTTTTTTTCAACCATCAGACTTACGATATCAACGGCAATTGGGATACTACCACTGTGAGTTGCGGTTAAAATCATTTCAATGGCAGCAGACTGACAGAAATTAATTGGTTTTTTTTTTTTCCGCTATATTATTTGTTCTCGGTCAGGGCCCTAACTCACCCCTCTACGATGGACCCAAGGGCGAAAGAATGTCAGTAGAGGCGGCTTTGAGTCAATGGCATGCGGCGGGTGTTCCCTACAAGCAACTTTCCGTCGGTACCGCCTTCTATGGCTGGACAGCACGCACCACCTCCAACAGCCTGTCGTCGCAATATGTATCGTTTGCCAAAACTCAGATCCGAGGTGATCAATACGACACGATGTCCGCCGATCCATGCCCTGGTGCGCCCAAATCGTACAGTGGCGAGATGCAATGGCGTTCCATTGCCTCGGCTGGAATTGATGCCGGGAAGAATGGCTGGAAGACGCATTTTGATACCACCACTGAGACTCCCTATGCCGTCAACTCGGAAAAGAAGCAGATTGTGACTTACGATAACGGTAAGTTGAAACATGAAACGGCATTCATCCAACTCACCTTGACTGAACCCTTTCTCTGTGTTTCATAAAAATGACCATCAGTCAAATCGCTCCAGTTGAAAGCCAACTTTGCCAAATCGCATGGCGCCAGTCTTTTCTTGTGGTCTCTGGAAATGGTATGTTTATTTACTTGTGGCGGGGATTTTATACAGGTGCCGCGCGCACGCAATTCTCGGTGTCAAAACTAACGAACGCCATCAAAACAGGACGATAGCCATCACTCTTTGTTGAATGCATTGCAGGCTGTGCGAGCATAGAACCCACCGGGTCTCTTGTAGTAGTTTAGTTTACTTGTACCAACATATAATTCGTTAGAATAATATTGTGCTTGAAGTGGTGGATATTGCGTGCGAAATTACGAGGAAAAACCTTGTTTTGAACAAACAGGCCCCCAAACATGGTGTGATTTCCCTTTGACTTGCAGCAAACATTTACGGATGGCCTTGCATACGATCGAAGAGAGGGAAATTTTCAAAAACGTGGTAAAGCAATTTTTTTTTGGGACAGCAGACAACAACACGTACGATTGGAAAACGGAATATATTGAGGAAATACTTTTTTTCTTTCATTGGTTTTACAAAGTTAAGAATGGGGGATGCAAGAGAGATTTAGGGATTTGTGGTTCGTTTAAAAAAAAAAAAAAAAAAGCAGGGAACAAACAGAAAGCGTAATGGAAACAAAAGCAAATTACAAAATGCAATGATTATGTACAGAAACCTCATCAAGAGCAGGCGGATAATGGATGGCACGCACGCAGGTCAAGTTGAGGTCACAAAGTAAGAGTAGTGTAAGTTGAATCAAAGTGAAAAAAAAAGATTCTTAGCAAGGGATGACGGGTGTAGAGTTGGGAGAGCGGCTGAGAGGGCTATCGGAGCCATAGAAACAATATTTGTTCACCAAATCAAAGTAGGAAGGTGAATTGGCCGCGGGACGTGCATGAATGGGAATAGGATTGGAAACGGTTTGAGTGGATGTTGGGGATTTGTTGGTAACAAAACCTTCCTGCTTCAAGGTAGAGAAACCAGTGTTATATGCCATGGAAGCGGGAGGAGGAATGCGTTGAGTGGGTTCTTCAGTAGCGCAGAAGTAAGATGGGAAACTTTGGATGCGACTGGGAGGTGAGGGTCGGAACGTGCGAACAGTTGGGGTTTGAGCTGCGGCTGAAAGGGAGGCACTGAAGTCATATCTGGAACCAAGAGGTTTCTTTTGGGATGGCTTGGATGGGAAATCGTAGGTAGGCGAGGAGGACAAAGCCGGGGCTCGCTTGCCGAACTTAGTCTTGGGGACAATGTCACCATCCAGATCATCCATGGATACGGCCTTGGCAGCTGTTCCCTTGGAGAGCTCAAGTTGATAGTTGAGACCATCGTTGCTATCCCAGTAATCTGTACCGTTGACGGTATACTTTAGACAAAAATACATGGTTTCCTGGCCAGATTTTTCCATTCGGTCGTTTAGAGGAATGTTGAACATGAAACGATCTGTGTTGCTAGACTCCCGACCGATGGATTCACGATAAGCAGCTTGAACTTCAGTAACGTCTTGCCAGTAATTAAAGGTATATCGGACAGTGACTTGTTTGTTGAAGGCGATGTTGTTCACCTTGCATTTACCGACCAGCGATTTTTGGTCTGAAGCCAAGACAATGGATTCAATGGAAATCATATCGTTTGCACCGTGGATTTTGGTAGGCCAGTTAGGATACCGCAATTGAACGCCATTGGTTTGATCATCTTCAAGGTCCAAGATAGGGTCTGCCTTGACAGCCGATGGGGTTTGAGCTTTGAGGAACAAACGAACATGCTCTAGCTTTTGATCAAAGCGAACGAATTTAGGGTGGGGGGCAGATTGAGTTCTCTGCTTCATAGCGGGTCGTAAGGATGTAGGCGGCGTAGTGAGTTGCAACCGCATGGAGGCTATATTTGCCATTGGCGCTGGTGTAACAGAGTCCATATCGGGTTCCTTGGCTTCAACGTCGTTATTGACATGAGCAGGTTTTGACAGCGACACTCGTCGATGCGCCATGGTGGTGGTCATGGATGAAGCAGTGTATGGCATTATTGTGAGGGGATAATATGAACAAGAATAATATATGTACTGGTTGCAGTGAAGTGGGATGACACTGACAACTGAAGTGTGTTTGATGACTCAAAGCAAAGAAAGCTTTGCCCAGAAGTTAGAAAGTAAAAGGGATGTTTCGAGGGAATAAGAAAAAAAAAAATTGGGCAATGGGCACAATTTATATGTAATTTTTTTTTTTTTCTCTATCACAGATAGGCCCTTTTCCGTAATGGACTCCGACTTGTCTCGACTCTAAGGTGATTGTTTGTTTTATCAAACCCACCTATCTATTATAGTCCCTTTCCCCCCGCGAACACTACATGACAAGAAGCAGACACCATGAATAAAAAATCTCATTCTATGTCGCCATCCTGCTTAGAACAACACCATCGACTATGGTGCTCGCGTAACATAATGTCATGATGACCGAATTGTACACCTACCGAAATTCTCTTTGGCCCAATAAAAATCTGCTCATCCCGGCATCAGCCCGCACCGCCCGACTATCTATCAGAGAAAAAATGTTTGAGGTGTCTGTTCTCATTTTAGCCGATCATTTCCTATCAGAAATATTATTCCTCTCCAATTTAATTATAAAGCTACGATGAGATGCTCTACTTTAATTTTTTTTTTTTCATAGCTGAAGCTCGATGTGTTATCTTGATTTCCCATCCTACTGTCTTTTTCTGCCTCCGCTTTCCGAACTATCCTCCTCTCAACCCCCAACACAAAAAGTAAAGAATGAGAAATAGCATGTTATTGTAGAGTCTAGATCTCCCCACAAATTGGATTTGTTACGTTTAGCGAGAAACCGCATTGTTTCACCTTGTCTTTTTATTTTAGTTTATACTTTCTCCCCCATTCTAGCTGAGCGTTGGCCAAAGCCCGAGGCTCAGCTCAGCTCAGTGTCTGTGATTTTACCCAACTCTACCTCCCCGCAAAATACCGTTATTATCCCATTGATCTACTCCGAACGCCAATCGCTAACCCCAATCTTGCCCACACCTCTTTGCGCTATACCAATTATTTGCCCACACCATTTTGTCAAGATTTTAAATGAGACCGTCACAAGGTACACTTTCCACGCAAGGGAAGAATAAATTCACCGTCGAAACATACAAAGTAAAGTAAAATAAAAATTTTCATTCGGGAAGCAATATATCAGAAATTGGGCATATATGCTCAAAACATCAACATCTCAACTGTACCAAAGATCGGACGCTAAAATTAGACCCCAGGCAGCACAGACAGACTAAATCGGCAGTCTCGCCAGCAGGCCCTTAAAAAGTCCATTAAAAAAAAGGAGTACAAAATCAGAAAGGAAAACATTGAATGTACCCCCCCCCCGGTTGACTACTTTGTAAAAATATATTTCTTGGTTATTCTAAAAAATTCGCCTATAGTCTATCAGATTCTATAGTTTCGTATCAAGATAGAAAAGATTTTAGACCCTCCCAAATTTTTTTTTTCCAACTCAAGTTAGAGAACCTACGACTCCGCTATGTGCTCTCCTCTCGTAGGTTACCTTCATCCCATTGGCAGATCTCAGGAAATAAAGGTGGAAAGAACGGATATATGCAAAGCTTAAGATAAAGACAGTGAAGCCAGCAGGCTACACAGGCTGTATGGTTACTATATTGGCCGGTTGACTGCACGAAGCTTATCGCTCTTTTCTGACAGCGGAAGCAAACCAAAACCAAGTTGGTCGGAACGCCACTTAGGTAAATAAGGATGGGGAGAGCTTAAAGCGCTGATGGAGAACTCACTTAATTAGGATGAGAGCGAGATGTTATCGATGGGGTGGGGAAAACTTTTAGAATCATTGTAAATTCAGGTACAGAAAGCATAAACGTGCAAACTAGACTCAGGTTTTTTTTATACTGTCCATCACTGTAAGATTTTTTAAAATACGTGATAGTGCGAACCTCTTCAATCAGCCACCACCCCCATAGATCTACCGTGCCTGTCTGTTCCGAGCATTCCCACTAGTCTGATTCATGCAGAGGCGCACTGATCTCTCACACTACGGATGTGCCACTTTTCCACAGTCTGACTTTTTTTTCTTGGGGTTAGACAAGATATCCAAACATACATTTTATATAAACATATAGACCAGAAAAAAAAATTGGGGATAAGGGTGAAAACTACAAAATATAGAAACATCTTTGTACGAAGTTTTTTTGGTTTTTTCGAGTCATCTTTTTGAGATAGTCGATAAGGACTACAACAGAAAGATAACCGGCTACCAGCCGCTCGAGACCTCTGTACATGGTCTCCGAGCGCCAGGATCCCGCCTCTCCAATCCATTTTGGTGCATCAAATAAAAAGAGGAAAATGCAGGTAAGGATTTTGGAGGATTGGAGAGAGGGTTCAAAAACTGGGACATCCCAGAAAAAGCTTGGTGAAAAAGATAACAAACTGGGTAGGGAAGAGGGGCGAAGGTAAGGTAAGTGAGGGATAGATATTGAAATGGGGAAGGGGAGAAAAAGCAATGGAAAAGGAAAGAAAAAGAGTAAGAACATACTAAAGAGAAGGGTTTGGGAAACGACCTGTTACGAAAGGCAAAGAAGATCCAGCTATGCTTCTTCAGGGATCAACTAACACCGCGAACGTTTGAGATTTTCATCTATAAACAGTGTCAATCCATCAAATGCGGTTCTCTGGCAATGTCTGTGCCTTGGCTAGGCTAATTCAAACTCACCTGAACTACACTCGTAAGGATAGATATCCAATTCAGGATTCTGATCCTTATCCAGCATGGGTTGCAAAATCCGTCTTCGCGCGTTGATGAACCAATTGCTAATTTGGTGAACTGTCAAATTAGTGGCCAGGGCAAGCTCCTGTTTCTGATCTTCCGTTGGGTAAGGGTGCATCTTGTGTTTCAGTAGCCAGGCTCGCAAAACAGCCGTGGTAGCTTTTGGCAGATTACCTCGCTTTCGTTTGCTCTGATGATACGGTTTGGCTAAGAAAACATTTTGCTGTTCACTGTAACGGTCAAAATGGCTGGTTCTGGTCGGCGGAGGTGATGAGGAAGAGTCAGGTGGCGAAGGAAGATCGCACGGCACAAGTGGAGGGGTCGGCGATGATGTTGACGAAGATATCGGTGAACTATCGGCAGCATCGTCATCTTAAACAAAAAAAAATTCGAATGCATGTAAGCAAAACATGTCAAAACCGGTTTGGCAGAATATAGCTATCCCGTCCCATTGTACATGAGAATGACATAAAAAAAAACCAAGATAACTACCTCTACCATGCCGATCGGTAAAGCTGGACCAGAATCTACCATTATCTACAAGCATTTGTTCGATACGTTCTTTGTGCGATTTGATGTAAGGCTCATATGACGGATCAGGGTAGGAGATGTGAATGTGCTTCGTGTGCCCGGATCCATCGGTCGCAAACTCATGGTCGTGAAAGAGAATAACAGGATTGAAAGTTCGAGTCTGGAGAAGAAAAAAAAAAGGGAAAGATAAAAGCGCAGTTCGTTAATGATCGTTTACAAGCCAAAATAAAAAATATGGCGAAAATGCTTACATGTCCCATTAGTGGTGATTGTGTGCTTTTCATAAAACGTTAGAGATTGCGACAAGCGTCGAATGTACAATGGAATAGTTCGCCAGATGCCGAAGCAGATTGAATCCAGCTAAGGAGAAGATAGGAGTGGAACGCTTCGAACAAATGCTCCAGGAAATTGCAAAACCAGAAAAAAGTAAAAAGAAAAAGGAGGAGAGAAAGTAAGGAAAACGAGAAACCACAGATAGACAGGCTCTTCGCTTTTTTGTTTCAAGTTGTTGATGACAAGAAAAAAAGGGGAAGATGTAACTTGAAAATCAAAACTGTTCGAGCATCCCAAGTGTCAGAAGTCAAAGTTCGCTAGGCCCTGTGAGATGAGGGAAAAAAAAGAACTGCTCGGAGCCCAAAAACCCTGTCAATACAAATGGGAAAACAGTGGCCTTTTGGTCTGGCGCCACCTCAGCACTTCGGCTCAGTTAAGGAATTCGTTGCTTGATGTTAAAACTCCGGGCTCATCATGGGATGCCTTCGTCTACTGATTGATTAATATCTCCTTCGACAGACCAATGAACGACCGAATTAAACTCGTCACTGCCAATGAGAGCTACGCCCAACAGATTTAAGGACGGTTCAGCCTTCAAAAACTGCACCCGTCACACACCTTTCGATATCAACCCCCCACCTGCTGTCAATAACTTTTCACCATGTACGATGCCCGAACCTTGCCACCCATGGATTACTCTATTGTAGTGCTGCATGCAGGATAATGGTGGAGAAGAAGTTGTCGTCATTGTCACCTTTCAAATTTCGGTCTGTACGATTTGATAAGCTTTTTTCACACGTACTTACACAGTAAAAATTGTGTGATGAGTGAGTATATAGAGATTAATTACCCGACCGAAATTGTAGATGAAGTCTGGCGGTGTACGAGTGTCTGTGAATCAGATAAATAACCTACACGGATGGATTTCGGTCATGATTGGAGTGAAACCTGTCAACGGGTGAATAGAGTCCGCGCGGTTGCGTACGACCGCAGTCTAGACATACGGTAAGGCTCTAGAACTAAGCTTATGAATATCAACATAAGCGTGACTAAATGGTGGAACCAAATTATGGTGTGAGTCCTCCTGTAGTCATTATCAGATACGATAATTGGTTTTAGTTGCCGGGTATGAAGCACTGTCAACCAGCCAACCGCTCAGTCAGCAATAGTCAATCTTTAGTCAGGTGGCTTGTCCGGATCGGACTTTGCTAGCGCATCTCATTTTATATGCATGGCATCCGGATGCTTGCGGCATTCGCTCTATTGGCTACTATGTACATATGTAAAAAAGTTGGGATGTCGAACGGCCTGAAAAATGCGGTTTTGGTCAGGCAAGATGAGAGGCATATACTGTTTCTGGTAGTGTATTTTGTACCCCTGTACTTTTTATGTAACAAAAAGGCAAACGTGTGTTGGGTCAGCCGCACCAGTGATCGGACTGCGGATCGACAGTATAAAAGCTTCCCGACTGATTATTTATCCATTTTCATCCCATATACATTTTTCTACTATGCCCCGTACTGTCAAAGCTGCCGTCGTCAACGATTTCAAAAGCCCTCCGAGCTATCAAGATATCGAGATCGCTGACCCCTCAGAAAGTCAAGTTCAGATTAAGGTGCTGGCAACAGGCTTGCATCAGCTTGTAAAGAGTCGCGCAAGCGGTGCTCACTATTCTGCAAACATCACATTGCCTCTTATCCCTGGTGTCGATGGTGTTGGCGAGCTTCCAGATGGCGAGCTGAAATATTTCATGACGTTCAATCCCACCAGTACCGGTTCCTTCGCGGAATACGCCAATGTGGCTAAGGATGACCTGTTGCCTGTTCCAAGAGGTGCCGATCCAGCGGTGGTCGGTGGCTTACTCAACCCTGCCATGTCGTCTTGGCTCGCTCTCCGCAACCGTGTTGAATTGAAGAAGGGTTTCACTGTACTTATCTTGGGTGTCACAGGTGCTTCTGGCCAACTTGCTGTGCAAATTGCGCGTTTGCTCGGAGCGTCTCGTATTGTCGGCGCAGGACGCAACCAAAAGGCCTTAAACGACCTTCTCGCCAACGGACTAGACGCTGCTATCACGCTTTCCGATGATCAAACAGAAAATGAAAAGGCATTTGCTCAGGAAGCGGCCAACATTGATGTTGTTTTGGATTATTTATACGGTCCGGTGGCTGAAATTGCCATGCGCGCCATCATTAGCCAGCGCGAGGTCTCATCTCATCGACTTGACTGGGTTCAGATTGGAAGCATGGCTGGTCAAAGTATCTCCCTTCCCGCCAATGCTCTTCGTGCGGCAAACTTTTATATTTCCGGCAGTGGTCTTGGTTCCATCAGTATGGCTGATTTCCGAACAGAGTTGACGGAATTGATAAAACACCTTGCGTCCGGCAAGTTGACTGGCTCTGTCGATCCTCAAAGTTTGAAGGATGTCGCTACGGCATGGACTGCTAAATCAGATGGTCGCCAAGTATTTGTACTTTAAGTGATAATTTGGTCGGGAATAAATATAATGTTCTCTATGACTGTTACTTTAATATGCCGCCAACCGTGTCATTGTTTTTCCGTCAGTTTTTTGACAGTCTTTTTCATGCCTCGGTTGCCACCGAAGCCTGTTGGCGGAATCAAGGGACATGGAACGTCACGCCTTGCAGCATCATGGTGGCTATGTCGGCGTTACTTGAACGGATGCCCGCTATAACAATTTGAGTGTCCGTGCGTAGACATTACGATGTGCTGAGGCCGTTTCATTGGCTTTGGTATACAAATGGAAAATAACAAAAGGAAATGTCTCTGGCAAAAAGGAAATATTCATTGTAGCCCCGTAGTTCGGTTCACATAAACAGATGGAGTGTTGTGGGTTCGTCTCGGGCTCTCTATTCTTGTCTTCAGGGTATTCAGATTCACTATTTTTAGATGAACGGCATACAATGCATGCTGTTGTTGGGCGCGCTGTTGACAAATTCTTACTTCATGCCTCTGTCATCCATTTTTGCCTTTCATCCGATTTAACGGCGATCTTGGAAAAACGATCGAACAACGCTTTAGTCACCGAAATCAAAAACACCCCTTTCTTCATCACTGGCTACTCCACTATATTCATATCACCAAGCACATAGATGTCGTCCAAAGCTTGGTGAGCATACGCATAGCTCGACGATCAAACGCACGTGCTAGCCCTATCATGCCCATTGCGATTCATGAAGCAGAGATCAATACGTAGAATTTTCGTCATTGTTTCATGCTTGCTCCAGTAAAGTGGATATGTCGAACCCAGTGGTCCCCGTTATTACTGAAGTAATCACTATTACGATCGAAATATTTTGGACTACCCACAACGACTTAATCAGCATGATGCATGAATTTACGGACATTTTACTAGTCCCTCACAAAGTATAAGAAGTGACCATCGATCACGACGAATTATCACATTGTAACCTTTACCTTGTCCTTTCACGTCGGAATGATCAAGAGTTTCCTTGCTCTGGCAGCATTGGCTTCGGTGGCTTTAACAGCCCCAGTGACTAATACTAGCTCCTATGAATTCAGTGGCCCATCTCCATACAAAAGTGATGGCAATCTCACCAAGCCTTTGGTCAAACCTTACACACCAGCGGGTGGAATTAACACCAACGGCACCATCCCAATCTACCATCCCCTTAGTGACTTTGATTACGAGTCGCTTAATCTCGTGGTGTATCAAGAGTACATTGAGTTGGATCTCTTTGAATATGGTCTCAAAACATTTTCTGCCGCCGACTTCAAGGCTGCAGGTCTTAATCAAGAGGACAGAGATCTTATCCAGTTCATGGCCGATCAAGAAGTCGGTCATGCCAAGATGGTTTCTAACATGTTGGGAGAAGGAGCTCCTAAGCGATGCGAATACCAATATCCATTCACCAATGTTAGCGAATTTGTTGACTTTTGCCAAAAGCTCACTCGCTTTGGTGAAAGCGGTGTTTATGGATTCCTGGAACACCTTGATTCAAGAGATGCTGCACAAATGCTCTTGCAATCCATCACTACTGAAGCTCGTCAGCAACTGATTTTCCGTCAATTCGAAGGCTTGTTCCCTATGCCGGTCTGGTTTGAAGCTGATATCACTCAATCCATGGCCTGGACTTTGCTTGCACCTTACATCAAGAGCTGTCCCGAAGGTCAACCACGCATCATTTTCCAAAATTTCCCTTCCCTAAATGTCACTAATAATCCAAGTGGTATTGACCTGAAGTACCCCCCTGCCATTACTCATGACCGTGCTCTTTCGCATCCTGGTATGGAAGTCGAATTCTCATGGGGCAAGGTCGGTGAACATGTTGGCCCTAATAACAGTTATGTCACGAACACAACCGCTGGAGCTCCAATGTATGCTGCCTGGATTTCCCAGCTCAACACAACCTATACGGAATTGTATGATATCAAGAACAATTCTGCTAAAACAAAGCAGCCTAACACTCAGACCTATGAAGGTGACCCAGCTGTGAACGGTACTATGTTCATCTTGATCACGGACACCGACTTATTTGTCACGCCTGCCAATATTTCTCAGTTGAACCCTCACGTCGTAGCTGGTCCTGCTTTGTTCCAAGCTGGCTAATTTCATGAACTTCTGATCTGTTCCCGGAAAAAAAAAACAACTAATTTTTGTTGCTATAGCCTACTTTGCAGCGCTAATGCCTATTCTAGTTTTTGTTACATACTCACTGAAAGATTGGTCAATAAATGCTACTGGTCTACATATCTACAATACTTCATGTCGCGGTGGTCAAGCCAGACAATTTTTTCATTAAGAACATATTTCACATGTTATAAATCGATACGACAAAGTGCCGCCATGTTATGACAGCAGCACAAAACCCATCTTCGGGGAAGTCTGTTACGCTATTTCATCAGTGTTACCACTTTCACATGCTTTTACCCATTATTGGGAAAAAAAATTGAAGGCTGCTTAGAACTATCAGTACGACTATACGTGAAAATAAAGATAGTTTCCATATGATAGCGAATGAATCTTAGGATAATGTCAATGTTAACCAATTGTTGGGGCCTTGGTGCCTGTGTCTCACTCTTTTTTTTAACGCTCAGCAGCACATGTCGCTGTCACAATCACTGTTCCCCTTCAATTTATATAGGGTCTTCACCCAGATTTTTGTGCAGTAGTCCTCCAGCATCTTTCATTCACGGATTCAACACCAATTCTAAGCGAGATGTCACAACGTCGGACGGCCGCTACAAAGAACACATTCGATTCAATGAATTCAAATAATTCCTACGTTAATCCCGGCAGCCAAGTCAAGCCAGCTGCAAACGGCAAGCACTCAACCTCCTCCTTGCTTGGACCTAGCAAGCACACTGTCTCATGGAAACAACTGCCCGAGTGGCTAAGAGACAATGCCTATATAACAGATGGATACAGACCTCAGTTAGACTCTTATGTAAAGTGCGCAAAGAGTGTATTTTACCTCCACAATGAGTTTGGTAAGATCGTACCAATCTAAGAACTTGTCTCGCCACCGTATAACTAACATTGTTGGCTCCTTCACTAGTAAATATATGGTCACATGCATTAGGGTTCGCATTATTTTGCTTCCTAGGCGTCGTCGTGTCTTGGAAGACTGTATTTGTACCTATTGCCGACACTAGAACCATGGGGGACATTGTGTTCTTCTATACCTTCATCGCCGGAGCCATGTCCTGTCTTGGATTGAGCAGTACTTATCACTGTTTGTCCTGCCACTCTGAACCCGTAAGTACGACGAGAACAGAGGATAAAGAATAATGCAACTTTGTGTAGCTGATAGAGCGTTTTCACATCTACAGGTGGCAGCCTATTGGAATAGATGCGACTATCTAGGAATCATCACGTTGATCTTGTAAGTTAGCGCATTGTGGTGTCTAAGTCAATTAGCATGAGAGGTTACCCTAACGACGTATTTTCCATATTATTAGGGGTTCATACTATCCCATGGTATATTATGGTTTCTATTGTCATCCTTATCTACAAAGTAAGTTGGCCAGAGGATAAAATTTGGAACTGTGAAGCTGAACTCTAAACATTATACTCCACAGTCTTTTATATGACTGCCATCTCAGCGATTGGAACTGCTACGGTATGAAGAATTATATTTGTAATTGGCACTACAGATTTATGACGGGTACTAAACCATTTTGTTCTGCTCATACCTCACATTAGGCTTGCGCTACCATGATGAAGCATTTCCGTACACCTACTTACCGATGGATGAGGACAAGTCTGTTCTTAGCTATGGGACTTTCGGGTATCATTCCGATCTGCCACGGTATTATTAACTTTGGGTTTGCAATGGCTTTTCAATCTATCTCCTTGGGCCACATGATAGCAATGGGAGCCTTTTATGTTGTTGGAGCCTTGTTGTACGGTCATAGGTACGTTGTTTTAATTCGTAGTCGAAGCCCCTGTCGAGTCATTTCGGTTCTCATTATTTTATATCTTTTTTTAGAATTCCCGAGAAATGGTATCCTGGAAAGTTTAATATTTGGGTGAGTTATCATTCGAGTGATAGTAGTTTTGAGCATGGGAGGGCTATGATAACGAATGATCCATTTAACGATTTCTTCGCTGTCTCTAGGGTTCAAGCCATCAAATTTTCCATGTCTTCGTAGTAATTGCTGCGATCTCACATTATATTGGAGTAACTAGAGCTGTATCTTTCTGGCATAATAATCCAGGACTTTGCGAATTATATTAAAGCTAGCACTGGGCTAGGTGTATGTTACATAGAGCATGTATTATGGTATTGTAGATCAGATCCTTTTTTATCGAATTACACCTTGCAATCTACTCAAACTTCACGACTTGACTGGACGTGATTCATAAAGTACAAGTATAATGTAATAGGTTTAATATGATTATTCACAGTGTTCTGTAACTAAAATAAGGCGAGTAAATAGTTGGGGAATAGGAGATAGACTTTAAGCTGTAGGAGATGCAATCTCCTTCTCGGACACTTCAGCGCCTTTGATATCGTCGCTGTCAACTGTTTTAGGCCTCTCGATATCGTCAGCTTGCATATCTTGTTCATCTCGCTCCAAGTGCACGTGGGCGCGCTCTTCATCAGACAAATTGATAGTAGGTCCTTTGAACCATATTCGCGCATCAACGATCCAGCGACCTAAACATCAAACTTGCGGGTCAGTCCTCCATTCTGATTCAGTCATCTCGCGTAGTGCAACACGACCCAAGACTTACCTCCAGCACCAAGAATGACAGCACCAATAGCCAAGCAAGCATAGTTCATGTTGACAGGAGTGATGGGACTCACAGGCGGAAGGACGAATAGAACAGTGATAAAACAAATCCAAAGGACAGCAATGGCACCAATGATATCGGAGGCAGGTCCAAGATGCAAAGGACCTCTCTTGAACTGCTTCTTATTAACCAGCTTGGCAGCAATGGGAATAGCATAAGAAATATACAATCCAATGGTGGCAACAGAAGTGACGGCCGAGAAAGCTGTGGCGTTTCCAAGAGAAGGAAGACCCAACAAACTAGCAACCAACACAGACAACCAAACAGCATTGACTGGGGTCTAAAAGAAAAATCCGCCTTCATGTCAATATTTAGATTATGTTCGGTCACCTCCATGCCTACTCTTTACCTGACGCTTTTTATCGATAAGATGCCACCATTGGCTTCCAGGCATAGCACCATCACGAGAGAAGGCGTAGATCATTCGAGAATTGGCAGTAACGGAAGCAAATCCGCAGAACCAGCATGCAAGAATCAGTATCACCATGAGAACAATACCACCAGCACTACCCACACAATCGACAATGATTTGCATCACTGGGAATCCTGAGGCAGAGGCAATGGTGGTATCGAGATCTTGGATACAAAATAGGAAACCGATGATAAAGAACCATCCCATGATACCACTGACTATATTTCCACACGCCATGGTTAGTAATTGTACCCCCACTTTTCAATCACCGATGAAATACATACCAATGATTGCCATGGTCATACCAACAGGTCCACTGATTTCTGCATTGTGGGTTTCCTCAGACATATGCGCACTTGAATCGTATCCGGTTAAGGTGAACTGCGCCTGCAAAAGTCCGACCAAGACAACATAGACAGGACTGTCCCAGCCACTGTTATTATTATAGTAAGTGAAGACAAAGCTTCCGGGTTGATGTGTAGGAGCCTTAGCGGCAATGACAATAAGGATAATGGTAGGAGCAATGACTTGCCACCAGGTACTGAATGCTAGCGTAGTGGAATTCACGGTCAGCCCCGATGTGCACTTTTTAATACCGTCTTAAACCTAAACAGTCATACTTACAATTGATACGGGTCATAACCTTGGGTCCAAGCGAGTTGGCAATGCCGTGAGTAACGCAGATAGCAATATGGATTCCAGTGGTTGCTCCGGGGGTAGGTACCCAATTTCCGTTGGTACCAATGAAGATCACGGCACCCAGCATCAAGGCAATACCGTAATCGATACCGGCTGTCACAGCAAACTGACCTATCAAGTTAAACCAACCCGTCATCCACGAGGCAAAAGGTGCATATCTACGTGAGCTCAATCTGGCAGCCCACCAGTACAAGCCTCCACTTGTGGGATAAGCAGACGAGATTTCTTTGGTCGGAACAATCGTATTGGGCTGAGTTAGAAGCGATCTTCACTGATAGGAATTGCTTGACGAATGCGGATAGCTTACCTGACATAGCGAGTCCAACCATCAACGTGAAGAAAAAAACGACCACCCATCCCCTGTAATTATTAGTTGTCAGCTATGCTTTTTCGAAATCGAGCTGGAGAAGGTGTGCAAGGGACTTTGATTTACCATGTCATCGCGACCTGGTTACAATTTGTCAGAAATGGACGATCAGTGACTTCATAGGAAGTGCTGTTTCTCACTTACCGGACCGCCAGTATTCAAACCATATGAGAACAGCGAGGTCAAACCAGAGGATATACAGACAACACTCAAGGCGACACCATAGTTTCCAATGGACTAACGTTCATCAAGAGTGTTAGACATATCCTTTCTGATTCGATCGGTCTATTCTCCAATACGTTACCGAAAGCTCTCGTTTAAGTTCCTAGAACAGAATGGATTAGTCTTGAGGCACAATTGATATATGTTTCGACACAAATTATTACCTGTTTATAACCTAGCTCATTCAGGCGCGCTGCGTCCTTGACTGCGATTTCTTCGGCTGTCAATTTTGGTGGCATGACAGGAAAACAAGTAGTAGGGATGTGGTGTTACCGTTGACTGGTATATAAACGAATTCTGTGTTTTTTTTGGCTTAGCCGAAACTGTACGAGACTATCTCATGTGTGCCTTAGATAACCTGTGGGAAAGATAAGACCGCCTCATCATAAAAAAATTTGTTCTGCTATTAGCCAAAGTGGCAAATTTGTCCCACATGACATGCGTCTCATCTCACGGTATCATGGCCGAGCTGTATTACAAAAAACCAAAACTTGAGATAAAACATGACATTGAATGTCTTTTTGAATACTTTGCATACGCTCTTATTGTGTTCATTTAGGGTGTCAAAATATGGAGAACACATCATTGTATTCTTGGTCCTGGCGTGATCTGGCAGTGGCAAAAGATAAATCTACGATTGTAATTTTACTACAAATGGCCGGGTTGGCGAGCTGTCTATCTTCGTTCCGAATCACATATGCCGTAATCAAGTTAAGGACATATCTACCACCTTTCCTCACCGACGCACTTTGTTACAATCAATTCCAAATTGCCTCTCATCAAGTGTTCGTTGCATGTGGGCAATTAATGTACCTAGTCCTATTCATATCCATTGAATGAAATTTTACACATATTGACATCAGACAAGGGATAAAGGGAGGAATCCATTACTTGCCCCTTAAAGGGTCCGCGGCCACTTGTTGCGTTCCGTAAAACCTGCATGCCGATTTAATTGCATTGTCAAACCATTGTTCGCTCTTGAACGAATGCCGTTCACACAACAAAGAAAAGGGTTGTATTCTGCTCGCTTTCCCGATTTCTACTACTTTTTTATGATGCACATGCTGTTGGCGCAAGCGTGAGGTCCGAAACCATTGGGGGATCGCTAGCCACACCAACTGATACCAGATATGTGAAATGGTGTAGGTTTTTATTTTGCTTCTCTTTTGAAAATCTAATTGCCAGTACCGACCGACTGACTATATGTCTATTATACAGTACGCACGCTGAGGAGAGGAAAACGAAGCCGAGCCATTCATCTACACAAAGTGCCAGCCAAGTTAACTTGATATGAAATGGTTTATGATGAGGTCGAAGTTGATTTCTTTGGACGGGCCCATTCAGCTGGGAATTCGAGCTTCTTTTTCGATTTGACATGTCGAGTATCCAATGGAATGTCGGCAAATGTGTCAGAGGAGTCCTATATAAAGCCAACATAGTCAGTAACAAGGTACACCCATTGTTGAAATGTGGATACTACTTACCTTTGCTTCAGCAACGAGTTTGTCTAACAAATCACTAAGATACTTCTTGTTTTGCTTGACATAAGGGAACTTCTCACTTGAAAGAGTGAGCTCTCCAGTCTCAGGGTTGTAACGAGGCCCAGAGAGGACCAAAAGCTTGTGTCGTTCCTGGTCATTCAAACCAAGGAGGTCGACCTTGACGTTGAGTACACACTTGGACTCAACGGGGTGAGGTTCACCCATGTAGTTCTGAGTTTTGAACCGAAGAATTTGAGACGAAGTAGGAGGGACAAAGGGTTTAGCGTGTTCTGGAGGTGAAGAGATTTAAATAAAAAAGCACCAGATCCAACTCGCTGCCGAGCAAATGCAACATACCACTCAATTTGGGGATTTCGTATTTTGCTTTTCTGAGGTAGCTGCGAACTTCACGAATATTGCCAAAGAGTTCGTGTCCAATGGTGGTCTGATCGTCAAAATTGAACTTCTCCATGTTTTCAACATCAAATGGGTGCTCAGAACGACGTCCAGGTCGTTGACGTCCAAGGTTCTGTACGGCAGAAGTGGACAATGCTCGTGTAATGCCTACTCTTGCTGTGCAGCGGCTCAATTGGCCACTTAAAATGAGGGAATTCATGTCGGTTCAATGAAAGTGGACTACAAAAGTTTTTTTTTGTCCATCACAGCTTTTTTTTTGTGACAGGAGCAAAATTTCGAGGTCGCCAAATTTGATGACGACACCACCTTTGGGTGCTTGCAGGTCCAAATTATCGCATCCCATAAGGCACGCTTCTTCTTCTCACCCGCCATATTTGATCAAAAACAATATCTATGGTAAGGATTTTTTCGTACAATTTGTTGTATCTGCGAATTTATGAGAATGTCTCGTCCAAAATTTCATTTTCTGAAGTACAAGCTTCGAGCTACTTCTTGAGCTACTTTTTTTGTGCCAAAATGGAAGGTTGAAGAAAGTTGCGGAATTTGAAATAAATATGAATGACAAGTCAGTGCCTGAACGGCAAGTAGATCTCTTCTTGAACAATGCCAGCGGCACAGGCCGAGCATCACAAAAGTCTTGGTAAGCAACACAGCCACTATGTTGCATATTCACTTGCGACTTTTTCAGACGACTTAAACCTAACCCTTGTTCCCTAGGCAACAAGTACTTCGCCGAACATGACTATAGAAATGCAATTCAAGAGTACTCGACGGCGATCGTAAGCAATGAACCGTTTTAGTCGCGGCTTTGTTCGGCAACATTTCTGAATTTAATTCGTTTCTTTCAGATAAAGGATTCTACGCAAGTCGCTTACTTCACCAATCGTGCCCTATGCTACTCTAAACTCGAGCGGTATTCCGAAGCCATTCAGGATTGTAGAAAGGCGATCGAACTCGACAGTCATACTGGTAAATTATACCTTGCACTTACTCGGTAGCCTTTAACATGGACATTCACAACATGTTATCTAGTCAAGGGCCACTACCTCTTGGGCAATGCTTTGATTGAAAAGAAAATGTTCACCGAAGGTACGTTCAGCATGATTTCTCGACGCCGATTTCTACGCCGCTGACTAATCCAGTGCGAATTCATCCCATCACCAGCATTATCAAGTCTTAAGAAAGGTAATTAGTGAAAGGAAAGAGCTTCTGATCAATTCGAATGATGGCTTACCTTTAATGTGTTATATAGCCTACACGCTTGCCATGGAGCAAAGAGTGAAATATGTCGGTGATATTTTACAGGCTCTTTTAATAGCCAGGAAGAAGAAATGGGATGAGAATGAAGTAGCACGTATTGAGCGAGAGTCTGAAGTTTTCAAATATGTTAAAGGCTTAGTAGAGAAAGAGCGAAAAGAGCTTCTTGAAGAAGCTGGGAACGACGAGGAAAAGGTTGACGACGTAAACTTCATTCAGGTAAATCAGCATATGCCGGATGCGCCTCGATTACTCACATCACTCACCTTTATCAAATATTTACTTAGGATGAGCGATTGACCAGAATACAGAAGGTCTTTGAGCAATCCAAGGAAAATGTGATGGTAGGTGGACATCCAAATGTAGCAAAAGTGTTAAATTTCTTATCGCTAAAAAAATTCGTACTACAGCGACGAGAAATACCAGATGCATACTTGGATAAGGTAAACAATTTCTTAAATGAAAGAAACCTGGCAAAAAATAGAGTACATTGTGGATACTAATGCCGGGATTGTTGTAGATTTCATTTAACATTATGCACGACCCATGCTTTACACCAGGTAGGTTAAGCACTTTTTGAGTTTTTCAAACATCGCTCACTAGCATTGGCCGGAAATTAACAGCCTGAGGAATGCACTAATAGACGGAATTACCTATGAACGACACTCCATTGAGACTCATTTTGAAAAAATTGGAGAGTTCGATCCGCTGACTCGCAGACCTTGTACAAGGAAAGACTTGATACCAAATTTGTCTCTAAGAGAAGCAATTGAGGATTTCTTGGCAGAGAACGGATGGGCAGCAGGTAAACATGACATCTAAATTGGAAATTTGAGAGATTTGATAGCCTGTAAACTAAATTGAACCATGTCACCGAACCATGATATTGCTTGGCACATCTACAGATTACTGATACTTGCATCAGCTTCCACCATAATGTTTTTGTTTTTTCTATGATACATCCCCCCCCATAGATATTTGTATTCCATACTTTCGATAAGAGGTCGTTTTCCATCACTACCCCGCGCTGTTGTCTCCTATTGTAAAATCACCTTTTTCGGTTGCCAAAATTGTATACAATAGTATTCCTTCCTAATGAATCTAACCGCTACCAATAAAATCCAAAATATCTTATTACGCTTTTGACATAGTTTACCGATGTATTTTGCCGTAATCCTAAACTACCCTGGCAGAACCGGCCATATTTCCACAATTTTGCCCAGCCAAGCCAGGGCGGGCGGGGATACGTCATGAGGAACTCCGATAATGGCTGTTTTTGAATTTTTGTGTCGATTACTTCGTTTCTCCAGACCAGCAGTTACCACCTTAATCTCCTTGGTTATCCAATGTCGGAATCAACAATGTCTGGTAAAGGCGTTTTGCGAAGCGTGTAAGTATTACGACTCGCAACTTTGTCATCACCGAGGATTTTACGGCCTATGGTTCGGTCCAGACTTTTGTGTCTCCCATTCTCATCCATTTCACTCCACCTATAGCAAAAACTATGCCAAGGGTTATTCGGATATACAGATCAAAGTACGTGAGGCTACATCTAACGATTCGTGGGGCCCGAGTGGAACCTTGATGAATGAAATCGCCAATGCTACGCACAATCCGTAAGTTGAATGGCGAACGGCATACTCTATCGTGTGACACAAACATTTACCCGCTCCTCTTCTTTCCTTCGAACCTCCTTACTTTTCATTGTCATCCCATGCAGCCAAGACTTCCTGGAGATTATGGATATGATAGATAAGCGCCTTAATGATAAGGGAAAGAATTGGCGGCATGTGTTTAAGGTACGATTTATGGTTCATCCCACCTCGTTCCTGCATACCATATTCACCATTCAGTAGGCTTTGACTGTTCTGGATTACTGCTTACACGTTGGATCGGAAAATGTTGTCTTGTACGCAAAGGAGAATGCATACGTTGTCAAAACCTTGCGAGAATTTCAACATATCGATGATACTGGCAGAGATGTTGGTGGAAATGGTGAGTTTTGGACGACTTGAGCACACCAGAAATGTCTGCAGCACATTGGCTGAAATATGGTTCACGTTTTCCAGTTCGCCAGAAGGCAAAGGATATTTCCAGTCTGTTGATGGACGAGGCGCGTTTGAGAGAAGAGCGATCATCACGTACTCAAATGCGAGACAGAATGGCTGGCGTGGACAATATCATGGCAGACTTCCAAAGCCCTCGAGATCGCATGTCTCCGTACGAGCGACCACCTGGAGATCGAGGAGAAGATCGAGGAGGATATCGGGATGAGGATAGAGAACTTCGCAGAGCTTTAGACGAAAGCAAGAGATTGGCAGAAGAAAGCTCAAGAAAGAAAAACCATGAGTATGTTAGACGAGGCATCTATGTGTTTGCAGCTTCAGAATATTGACTGTGTTGGTTTCATTGATCTAGCGAGGATGATTTGCAAAAGGCTATCAGATTGAGCGAACAAGAAGCTCGAGACAAAGAAAGACGAGACCGAGAGCGGCTTGAGCGGGAGAATGAGAAAGCCTTGTTCAGCAACATCGCTCCCGAAACAAACCAAGCAAGGTATGCAACCTTTTTGATCCTCTTTTCATATGTAGGTGAAAAAGCCTCCTGCTAAATTCTTTTTTCTTCTTCACAAGCCTCAATGCTTTCCCTCAACAAATGAACATGAATGCTACAGGCAACCCATACCAACAACAACAGGTGCCCTGGCAGGTCACAGGCGCCACCAATCTTTCATTCTCTCATCCAGTTGGAGGCAACCAAATGTATTCTCAGTTCACCGGAATGCCAAACAATCCTTACCAACAGCAAGCTATTGCCAATCCTTATCTACAACAGCAGCAACAACCTCAATTTACCGGTATGATGCAGCAACCTATGGTAACCGGTATGCAGTTCCAGACACCACAAATGACGGGCATGCAATATCAGCAAGCACAGCCAACGGGCATGCAATTCCCTACATCATCTATTTCCAGTGTGCAAACCGGACAAAACAATCCCTTTGGAGCTAACGCTGGCAACACATCGCAGTCTAACTTCATGTCCAGCCCATCCCTTCAAACTTCCAACACATTTGGACAGTCTTTGCAACCACAACAGACTGGATTCCAAGCCAATTCCTATGGAAGCCATTCACCACAACCCAATCACTTCTCTATCGAGAACCAATCGGTACGCCGGCGAATTTATTAGGCAATACGTAATATGGCATGTCATTAACCAACCCACTTTCTACACACAGAATAATGCCGCTACACCAACAAGTAGTAAATCTACCCCCACAGCCTCGCGTCCCAATGATACCAAGTTTTCCAAGCTTAATGCTTTGCTTGCAACTGGAGGGTCAGTATTTATTGCACATTTCAAAATCACGAGCCATAATACCGATTTTAACGTGTTCGTTTCTTTAAAGTGATGGTCTGGATACCTTCGGTAATACTGGAAACTTGAGAGTACCAGTGTAAGTTTACAACGGACGAGGCGACTGGTTTGATAGACCACTATTCTTATATAATCTTTCATTTTACAGTGGTACTGGATTTGCCAATAGTATGAAATTGGAATATGCCAAGACAGGTTCGGGTGCCGAAGGCTTCGGCCAGGAGGAAAGCAATGTGCCCAAAAACTTTGATCCCAGCCTTATAGATAGTCCACAGCAGTCATTTGGAAACCAACCCACCCGAAATCCCTTTGGACAATCAACATCAAGCTTCAGTACACCCTCCTCCAGCCAACCTGGCAATAAGAAGTCATTGTTCGAAATGATGCAAGAGCAAAAGATGCAGCAGCAACAACAGCAACAGCTTCAGGCTCAACCTACTGGAATGAACTTCCAGACTCCTCAAATGACTGGGTTCCAGCAACCATCCATGACAGGTTACAATGGCCAAGGCGGGTCGTCCTTTTTCTAATTGATGAGATTCTGCGAGTCAGGTCCTAATGGCCGTTAGGGGGTATGGATAAAAAAAAGTAGTAGTATTTTTTTGCGGTTAGACCACCGTACTGCGACATGAATACTTGTCAATATTGTAATAAATGATATGGGTTAATTATGTTCAAGCCGTCTGTTTGAGTAATTGATAGGGGTGGCCGATCAGAAGAACCAACGACAAATTGACACGCAAGACTGGTTTTTTTTTTCCGTCGGCTTTGCTTGGCAGTCTTTGGGGCCTACCATTATTTTTTGCCGTCGTCATTGGTCGCTCATTCTTTTCACTCATGAAGTACACAGCAGCCTTGCTCGCGTTGATGGTTGCTTTGGCAGCCGCTGATCGCAGTGGCCAGGCGGCCAAGAAAGTCAGACTGCGTGACCTGACCGCCATTACTCTCCACGCCAACAAGAAAACAAGTGCCCGACGAAGCAGTCCAATACCGCAACTGGAATGTATTGGCGGTGATGCTTGTGCTGATTTCCAGCCGAGAGTCGTACAGGTGAGTGAACGTCCTATGCTTCAGAACAAAGGGCGTGTCGTCGTGATACTGACTGACTCTGAATCAGTGTTCCAACGCCGGGTTTGATGGCTACGACGTCCAGTGGTCGTGTACAGCAGAGTTGCCAAGCAATATCGAGTTTGGCGACATTGAAGTTAGCTGTGAAGGATACGATTTCCCAGAGGATCCGTTCATATTGGTCAATTCGTGCGGCCTAGAGTACAGCTTATATTACAAAAATGCTCCAACACCGAAAGTCAGCTACGATGATCAAAGATACTTCCCTACCAGCAAACCAAAGTGTAAGTATGGCCGTATTCATGTGAAAGAATCCGGGGCTTATTTTGCTCATCCATTGTTACAATATATAGCTTTGATGCCTTCAGGATTTGATGCTATTGTGTCCAAGATCTTCTCATTGATCTCATTAGGCGTGCTCATAACCGTTGCATGGAGTATCTTCCAAACGTGCACAGGACGAAGAGCAAGAGGTGGAAGTGGACCTGGCTCAGGAGGTTCTCCATGGCCATGGTTTGGTGGAGACGATAATTCTGGTGGTGGTTATCCGCCATATGGTAAACGCGGTAGTCGATCTTACCAAGCGCCTATGGGCATGTCGCCCGGCTTTTTAACTGGTCTGGGATTGGGAGGCTTAGGCGCTTACATGATGAATAGACCTAGACAGGAACCTACAGCTCACAGGTAATTATTGTTTTCTGAAATGCTGTTTAGTGTATAAGATTTTCCATGTCTGACTTTTCGCATCCAGACAAGCTTCTCATTCGTCATACGCAAGTCCATCAACATCATACAGTCGAACACGTACCTTCGAAGAACCATCCTCTCCATCATCCAGTATGAGCTCTTCATCTGGGTTTGGAGGCACTCGTAGGAGATAGTTAATGTATACCCATGTTTCCTTACGATTAAAAAAAAATTCCATGTTTTAATGATGAAGCTGTACTGGGAGGGTTGAGGCTCCGCCCGTACTCAGTCTGTATTCCCTTTTTGTAACGGCTGGCTGCTGCAAACTCAGTGAATGCAAACCTGAGCCTCGCTAAATTTCACACAAGTGCTGAAATGAGCCTGAACTCAACAACCACAAGTCGAAAAGAAGACTTTTCTCTGTACCAGCAGGATTGCCCTGTTTGTCCACCTTGCTTTAATTGTCACCTACCGCAAGATCAATGCGTCAACGGAGGCTCTTGCGAGGATTCGGGATTATGTAGCTGTCCAGCTGGCTGGGGTAAGTAGCTGTAACGCTCTATGACTGAATTGCGGTGTATTCCAATGAGATACAAACCCAACGGTCTATGAATTTTTATCTTCGCTAATGACTCAATCCATGCAAATTATGGCTTAATATAGGTAGCCAAGATTGCTCTGAGCCTCTATGTGGCTCCTTAGGAGCACCAGAAAGACAACCGCGGCAGGGAGATAGATGCGATTGTGATCCAGGGTAAGGTTCTTGCGCACACACCATACCGTGCGCTTTCATTTCATACTCAATTATGTGTCCGCCAGTTGGGGAGGCGTCAATTGCAACGTATGTCTTGCGAATAACTCTTGTACGGGGATAAAAGGCGACAATGCAACCTGTATAACCACTGGAATTGGTCTCAAGAATATGAATGCCTGGTGTGACACCACAAGTAAGAATGGTTCTTCTATCTTGCCATCCAACTATCTATGTTCGTCTGAATAACGTTTTGTTATATCAGATATCCCTTGGATCGACAATACACATGTGTCTCTGCAGTGTGAATGGGAGAAGAACGAATGTGTTTTTCAATTCTGGAAGGATGCGGAGGAACAGTTTTACTGTCATTTAACGGAATGCGAGCAAGAAAGTAAGTATTGTCTGACATGACTGAGGTGGGTATTGTTCTTTCTAACTTTGACAACGTCCGCGAGCAGCAACTGGAGAACTGGATGTCCATGGCTCTTGCTCAAAGGCTTCATGTGGCTGTTTAAAAAATGCCTGGATGTGTGGAGGCGAAATCGGTAAGCCGTACGAGTCGAAATGATACCATGGCATCGAATCTAACATGTATGCCATAGATATGTCTGAACTTGTAAAAAATGTCAAGGGTCCATCAGAGTGGTACTGCAAGAATGGTCAAGATTGTTGGTATAACGGTGAGGCATTGGACCTGATAAGGCTAGTCAACCTGATGTTTGTTTACTGGTATACCCAAATTGACACTGGCTTCTAGAATACTCGACTCTGAAAGATGTCTTCCCCGATAACATTGGACTGAGTTGCCAAGTTGGCGAATGTGCTAATGAGCAAGATTATTTGGATGTTCAACCGATCGTACGTTATGACTTCTTTCTCGTAATGGGTCAATTTGACTCTATCTCATTTTCGTCTCGCAGAAAAAACACTTTTCTCGGCTGACTGAGCTATATATCGTACTCGTAATGATATTTTTCGTTGGTCTAATCTGGATATTGACAAGAATGACCATGCGAAGGCAGCAAAAGATATTTGGTGATGGATCCATCCGCCTTAATGACGACGACGACACCACCTATTTTGAAGATGAAGTAAAGCTTTCCCAGATCACGTTCGACGATGTGTCTTACAACGTCAGTAAGTTTGGAGTTTCTTTTTTTTGTGTGTGTGTGTGTGTTGAGTACCAGCTCGTTGTAAAGGTATTCATTGTACTTGTTGCAGATGGAAAGAGAATTTTAAGTTCGGTTACTGGATATTTGGAGCCTGGCAACCTACTTGCTATAATGGGCCCTTCTGGAGCTGGCAAATCTAGTCTACTGGTCAGTACCATATTTCATTCAAGCTTTATAGAGGTGATGGCTAACATATACTTTGTAGGATATTCTGGCGAGAAAACCCAAGCGAGGTGTTATCAGTGGACGAATTTTGATCAACGGAGAAGTTCCCACCCGCAAGCAATTCAAGCGCATTTCTAGCTATGTCGATCAAGAGGACACTCTCATCGGAACGCTGACAGTTCGGGAAACCTTGATGTACTCGGCATTACTTCGCCTTCCACGTAACGTTCCTCTTGCCATAAAGCAAAAGCGTGTTGAAGATACTATCAACGAACTTGGCCTTACGCACGTCGCAGATTCATACATCGGTGTACCTGGACAACGCTCGCTCTCCGGTGGCGAGAAGAGAAGAGTCAGTATTGGCAAAGAACTGGTCACTAGTCCAAGTATACTGTTCTTGGACGAGCCAACATCGGGACTGGATGCTTACAACGCCAGCGTCGTCATGGAATGTTTACTTCGCTTAGCGAGAAATTCTAAGCGAACCATCATCACCACGATTCACCAGGTAAGGCTAAACATCAGTATGAAGTTAGGTTTTTTCGAGTAGCTTGGATGTGAACCTCATTTCTATCCCCTCTAGCCACGTTCAAATATTTTTAAAATGTTTGATGCATTATTACTTCTGGCGAACGGAAATACTGTTTACTTTGGTCCAGCCAAAACTGCTTCGCAATATTTCGTCAGCATCGGATATCCTATACCTCCGGATTACAATATTGCTGATTATCTAAGTAAGCTTATTACAGCCATGATGATCCCTGTGATAGGGAGTTTCGCTTTCTAAACGCTCATCTTTGTGTGATATCTAGTTGATCTCACCATGAATAAGCCAGCACCAAACAGTGCACCGCCACCACAACAGCAAAGTCGCTTCTCAAGAAGCATACCCTTCCTAAAGCGACGTGCTGCAAGTTCAGCCTCCATCGCCAGCACGCGTTCTCTAGCGGATTTACAACCCATTCATGCAGAAGATACCACCAGCGACGATACTGATGGCATCATCTCTGACACTGTACAAAGAATGACTCAAGGCAGCTCCTCCTTTGCAGGCGATTTGGACCTTCTTTCTGACTCCAATCATTTGTACACTTTACTTGAGTCTTATAAGAACTCTAGACTAGCCGGGTCGATTCGGACGCACATTGAGAGCGAAAACGCTTCCGCTGATACCGATAACACCAGATTGCAACCTTATTCTTTGCTCATGACCTACTATGCCGAAAACGCGCCATCAATATCTTTACGCCGCTATTTCCATGAACTGGTATGGACCTGGTAGATTACACCTTGCGCCCAACACGATTTTTACTCATTACTAATTTCTTTTGGTACTAGTCTCTCCTGTCATCAAGAACGTTCTTGAACCTCTACCGTAATCCTTTCCTATTTCTCGCCCACATCACCATCGCCATCATTTTGGGTATCCTTCTTGGTTCCCTGTTTTGGCAGGTAGATGTTGATCTCTCGGGTGTCCAAAATCGGTTGGGTGTGCTGTTCTTCATGTGTGCACTTTTGGGCTTCGCAAGTACCTCAGCTTTGGATATGTTTAGTAAGGAGCGAGTGCTGTTTATGCGAGAGCGAGAAAATGGCTATTACAGCCCGGCAAGCTATTTCTCAGCCAAGGTAGGGTATTTTTTTAGAGTCATTTCTGGGAGATTGAATTCATTTATTGATGCAAGCTTTATATAGGTTCTCTTTGACATTATACCCTTGCGAATCCTACCACCTCTGGCCATGGGATCTGTCAGTTACTACATGATAGGGTTGAACTCGAACGTGTATGTGTTTCTCAAGTTTTTGATGGTCCTGGTGCTGTTCAACTTGGTGGCTGCAGCGGTTTGTTTGTGTTTTGCAACGGGTTTCAAAAATGTCGCTACGGCCAACTTGTTGGCAAATCTTACCATTTTGTTCTCCATGCTGTTTGGTGGATTTTTACTCAACAAAGGTATGGCATCATTTTTCTTTTGGGTTGGTAGTGACGCATGATTTCCTTTGTCACTAAACTAGGGCTTTTCCAGACCACATTCCTCCTGTGCTTAGGTAAGACTTTGAACGATTGCCTCCACAAGCATGACTGGCGTTTGTTAATCAAGCCATTTTATTTTCAGTTGGTTACAGCACCTTAGTTTTTTCAATTACGGATACGAAGCATTGATCGTAAACGAGCTGAAGGATATAACCTTGGTAGACAAGTCCATCGCAGACATCCAAATACCTGGCCCTATCATTTTGAGTCGGTTTGGTTTTGATGGTCAGGCATTCTGGAAAGATGTCGTCTACCTCTCTATTTATTTGGTGGTGACTATGACAACTGCCTTTGCCTTTCTTAAATTTTTGGTTAAGGAACGACGATAATTGCAACTGTAATGATTATATAGTAACAACAATGACATATTCTGCCATAATCTTCTGCAATCATGCGTTATATCTCATTGGGTTGCTTACTATTGACTTTTGCGTATAGCTTTGCTGCCAAAAACCTTTTTTCTCTTTCTTTGTCAGAGATGTGAATGTATTTATTTTGTTATATGCGCTTTGAACTGAAATGCGAACCACAATTAACTGTTTGCGAGAGAAAGTATATTTGAGAGCATGCTACCGTCCGAAACTTGATTGTTGACCCTGTCCCTTAACTGTCGTAAAAAACTTTAAATGTTCATGTCACCAGCCTCAGTTCCTAATGGATCGATCCGGTGGAGCCAATGCTTACTGTAGGACACGATTTTGCGGCTTGCAAAATGAATCTCACGAGCACATTCTAAGATTCTTGGAGTCAAATTCAAGAGCATTCGCTCAATAAGGGAAAATTTACGTATGAAGACTGCAGATTCTCGGTTCCCTGAATTTGGCCAATAAGTTAAACTTCCTTCACCCCAATTCAGCCATCAAAATATTTCCAACTGCCGGTCCCCCCAGCCATTTTGTGTCACTTGAGTCTTCGCAAGATCCTCAATGCATAGACAACATGCCATATAACATTTGGTGAGCATTTCAGCATGATCCCCAGATTGAAGACTGCATCATAAGACAATCCCCTTCTTGCTAGCATGGTATCGGATTTCTTTTATCCCAATGTCGGCGGAGTGGAATCCCATTTATACCAACTGTCCCAACGATTGAGTCAACGCGGCCACAAGGTAATATCACGCCTTCAAGGCTGAGCAGGGCAGTGGTCTTTGCACGCAGCACTAATTAATCATGAACGCCATCCAAAATAGGTCATCATCGTCACCCATTCCTATGGTCAACGGACAGGTGTCAGGTACCTCACCAACGGACTCAAAGTGTACTATGTCCCTACCATGATCATCTATTCTTCAGCGACGTTTCCGAATTTATATGGATTCTTTCCTATATTCCGAAACATTGTCATTAGAGAGAATATTGATATAGTTCATGGCCACGGCGCGTTCTCATCGTTGTGTCACGAAGCGATTCTGCACGGTCGAACCATGGGCTTGAAAGCTTGTTTCACCGATCATTCCTTGTTCGGCTTTGCCGACGCCAGTAGTATTTTGACCAATAAGTTACTCAAGTTTACGCTGAGTGACATTGACCATGTCATTTGCGTATCCCATACAAGGTACCCGAAACGATCACCGATTTTGATCGGCTTGAACCTATGGCCGTGGTCTAATCCGCATTTCCCATTTTTAGCAAAGAGAATACAGTGTTACGTGCAGCACTCAGTCCTCGACATGTATCCGTTATACCCAATGCAGTGGTAGCATCTCAATTTTTACCAGATCCCACAGCAGCTGACCCTAATTTTAGTAAGTTTTGCTTTATTTTTAATGCAAGACGAGTGCTATTTTTTGAGCAGAACCCAAAAGGCAGGCTATTCGGAGAGAGTAGTAGATTACATATTGACGAACAATTTTTTTAGTCACCATCGTCGTCATCAGTCGACTTGTTTATCGTAAAGGCATGGATTTGTTGGTGGCAATTATTCCACGCATTTGTGCAATGCACCCAAAAGTGAAGTTTATAATAGGTATGTGGGCCAATCCAGACTTGCGAAGAAAGTGGCACAATTATGATGGGTTCCTCAACTTACGTTATCGATAGGTGGCGACGGACCGAAAAGAATCGATCTCGAACAGATGCGAGAGAAGCACCTTTTACATGATCGAGTTGAACTTATTGGATCTGTGCCGCACCATGACGTGCGAAATGTTTTAATTCAGGGCCATATATTCTTGAACACAAGTTTGACAGAGGCTTTCTGCATAGCCATCGTGGAGGCTGCTTGTGCTGGGCAAGGACTTTATTCTTTTTTTTCTCGCTTATCCGGTCCGAATACAGTAATTAATTTCTTACCTTACAGACTGTTAGTCGTGAGCACAAAAGTGGGCGGAGTTCCAGAAGTGCTTCCACGACATATGATCAACTACGCGAAACCTGAAGAAGATGGTAAGTAAGCCTCATCTATCACCTTAAACGACCACGGACGGTGGGCCTACGTAAAAAAGGTTGGGTTTTCGGACTTCACCACGCTAACCACCACATGACCTTGTCTGCCGTCAAATCTCAGATCTTGTCATTGCCGTATCCAAAGCCATACACATGATCCGATATGAAGTGGTCAAGCCAGCCACGTTTAACGATGAGCTCAAAGACAAGTACAGTTGGAAAAACGTTGCAGAGAGAACGGAAAAGGTTTGTGCCAAACACGTTTGAAAGGAAGGGATTGTTTGGTTAGCAAATGTTTTTGCCTGGTAACTAAAGCACCGTCTTTTTTACATTTGCCCAATTTGGGGATGCTTCTAGGTATACGATCTCATCTCCATGACACAAAACTCGCCACTTATCGAAAGGCTGAGACGATATTATGGCTGTGGGCTTTATGCTGGCAAGATCTTCTGCATGGTGATAGCTCTGGATTATTTATTTTGGATATTCTTAGAAATTGTATTTCCTCGAGATACCATTGAGCGGGCTCAGCGTTTCCCATACAAGAAATATCAAACTTTCGAATATTCAAAACGTTGCGAGCTTTCAACCACGACTGACTCGAAAAAAGACATATGAAATAAAAAAATAAAAATAAAAATTATATATCTCATTACACAAATGCAAGTCAGTTCGTACCAAAGATGGATTTTTCTGCCTCACCCCCTTCCAAAAAAGAGAGAGCGAAAATCAGGGTGTTTAGTCAAATGAGTGTGTGGTGGTGGTAACTACAGAAATAAAACAAACAGAATAGAGGGGGGGGGGATGGTATCGAGGGACATACTATACATTTAGGTCGTAAAGGAATACATATAATACAAGTTTATGAATGGTCATCTTCTTCGGAGCTATGAAGTCTTACAAGACCACCTTTTTCTATTTCAACTTTCATCTTGTGTAGTCGTTCTTGAAGCGCTGTAATAGATTGCTGTCGTTTTCTTTTTGCAAAATCTTCGCCGGATTCGTCATAGTCTTCGCTAGAACCGCCATCGTTGTCTTCACGCAAACTTCGCCGCTTACCGGGCCGCTTCATTTTTGGCTGCTGGTCAGCATGCGAAACCTTATTGGCAACATCTGCAGGTTCTTGGATGCTTTGTTGTGCATCTGTCACGAGTTGAACAAAACTTGCAAAATTAAAATATCCAGCGAATCTGCCGCTCATGGTAGACCAGTGGTAGTTGTGCTCAAGATATAGAATCATTTCAGCTCGGATGTCCATCATGATTTCAAAATCTTTATGGTCTGTAGCATCCAATGCAATGGATTGTATCAAAGCAGCAACATGCTTTGAAATGATATTCTTGAGATTTTTTATATAGTCAGATGAAGCGTTTTGATCATCCCATGAGTCGCACAACTTTTGCAGCGCGTCTAATTCAATAGACACATTAATGCATCCATCTGCATGTGCAGAATAGGCATACAGGCGATGAAACGGCGACATCCATCGGATTTCGTTCGCTCCAGTCGGTGGCGACGGGGATAAAATGGGTGATGGCGTTTGTGGAAGTGAATGATCGGGCGAATCTGGCTTATTGCATGGTGGTGGATTGGATAGGGGGTCTGAGGTGGTAGGCGAAAGATTCGGTGTATTGAGGCCGGACAAGTTATTTTGAGGAGTGGGTTTTTCTAACTTAGTCGGCGGTCTAACATCAACGGCAGCCTGCTTCACCGGTACCTTGGTGTGTGATCGTATCCGTGGTGGATTATCCATATTCCAGTTGTCGTTCGATTGTTGTTGAAAGTGAAAGACATCGTCAATGATTTGTGCTAACACTTCGTAATCTTCACAATGTCTTGGCTGTACATTTTGGCCGATACGAGTCCGTTCATGAGCAATCCAATCCTCTACAGTGATCAAATTATTTTGTATATTGTCACATAGCATCAACCTTCCATGAAAATCGCGCTGTAATATTATGCTGCCTCTGGCGGGAGTAGTCGGTCTAGACGTTTCAGATGACATAGCGGAAAATGTACAATGGAAATTTTGGCTGTTTAAATATTTAAAGAGGTTGATTGATCGAAAGGAAAATTAGGAAAATCGGGGGTTACAGTGAGCTTGAACCTTTCCTTGTGTGCGCAGTCCGGTTGGATGGTACTCAGCCACCAGTCAATTGAAGAATTTGCCTTTCTGGTCTGCCTCCTTCCCGTTTTGCTCATCCATTCGGAGGCACCCAAATCAGAAAAGGTTGTTATTCGTTGTCAGCAGCATTAGCAGTGCAAACCGTTGACCAACATTTTGACTTGATTCAATTTCGGGTCCCAAAACTAGTAAGCCTCTATTCATTGGCTGCTTTATTTACATAAGATACTACTACTATTCGGCCCATTTACACTGAGGATGGCTCGTCCTTAGCTCCTTGCTGTATTAGAAACAAGCTGAGCCGCTCCCAACCCTCTTGACGCCAAGGTCGTCATGATAATGCACGAGATGATGTAGCCTGAAAACTTGAAAAAAGCTTCCCTTGAATACTGTCGTTCTTCTTCTGGTGTGCGAAAGGATGCGTAGATTTTCCATAGATTAGGTAGCGCCATTGGGGTCGAATGGAAGGCCTGTCTGTCAGCGGTTCAAACGACCAAGACCCTATTTTGCCAGTCGCCGTTGAAAGAAAAACACCGTCACAGAAGTCCGAATGCATTGGCGCTCATTTAGGTAGGTGCTTAACCCGTCAGCCCTAAAAGACGGCTTTGGCAGTGCGCTAAAGGTACGTCGTCCGATCCAATGATATCTTCATATTTAGGAGGATCCGGTGAATATCTTACATATGCAGGTGGTGGTAGAGCGTGAATCGGAGATAGTGAGCTTGAGCGAATGTTCCACAATGGTAACGTTTGCCCAAAAGATCCATTACTCCGAGTTTCAGGGCCATCCAGTCCATCACCCTGATGGACAGTAGGTTCGGATTCAGGAGCTTCATCCACGTATTCCGATTCGGACGGTGGAGCTGCACCTTTGTTTGCCATACGGGACTTGCGAATTCGTAGGCAAATCATTAATATAATCACGGTGGCAATAGGAACGCAGGCAATAAGCCATTTGAAGTTGGGATTGATGAACGGTCGATTTTCATAATCCACTAGCCGCTTATAGTGAGGTTGTGTCAATGGGACGTCTTTTACATCGCTTGTAGTCTGATCTGGCAAATACATCGAAAGTGATACCGTAGCACCTTTGTCTTTACTATTTCGGCAATGGTGGAGATGGCCGATCCGTTTGACACAGTGGTAAGAGGAAACGGTGGGTTGAAAAATGTTAAGATGAACCCCAGGTCCGTATTTATGTAATTCGGTTTCATTTTCGGCGAACCTGCAACATTGAAAATAAAAAGTCGAATGATACACGGCCAACATATGCTCAGTTGTGAATAATTTTATTGTCCTCTAGACTGTATTACACCATCTACTACTCTCAGGAAATCAAGGTATCCAGTTGCAATGAACTTCTCCTCAATCATTGAATTTTAAACAGAAGGCAAAACCTTCTTCAAGAAGTTGGCAACATCTGCAATTTCCTCGTCGCTGGCAGTATGCACAACGCCAGGATAACTGTGAAAGTCAACATTGTAGCCCTTGGCTTTAAGTGCAGCAGCTGATTGTGATCCATATGCGAACTGCACAACCGGATCGATGTCACCGTGTCCCATAAAAATAGGGGTCTTCTTGTTAGCATCGCTGGCCATCTAGTAGACGGTTAGTTCTTTAGTTGCATGCAACTGTCACATAAAGCGGAGGACTAACCGCGGATATCTTTGAGTGCAAAGGAAGCCATCCACTCAAACCGATGATGCCAGCAAACTGCCAGAATAAAAATAACCCATTAAAACATGCATCATTTGGTAAGGTTGCATACAGGTTATCTTTTTCCTTACTTTGTATTCTGATGTAAGTCCGGTCAGCAAAGACATTGCAGATCCTATCGATTCGATGGTGCATTAGGACCTTTAAAAACGCTAGCGATGGATAGACTAGTTTCATTTGTTTACCTTGAGAAAAGCCTCCAAGGACAATTCGGTTCGATGGAGTTCCACTATCCACTTCGCTACGAATAAGCTGATTGACTGTATGACGGTGGTCCGACCGCAAATGTGTGTCAGATACCTCATAACGTCAGAGCCGAATTTTTCTCCTTAAAGCCAGATACACCTTTCCTGCTCTTCTACCCTCGTGCTCAATTATATCTCATCCGAAGAAACGATGATCACATACCTGTGCTTACGGTACTCAACATGCCTTTTTCGTCTTCGACCATTTTCTCACTGAAAGTCAACCCAGTCAGATCGAACCATCCAGGCATACGATATCCTCCATTTAGAGTGATGGGAATATTGGGTCTGATGGAAACAAACGAAGGTTGTTAGACTCCTGCTTCTGTGATATAAATTATGAGCAATAGATACTTGCGCATTTGGAAGCACCCATTTGATGTTGGGGAATTGCGTGGCCAAATGCTCGGCCATGAAGGACCATCCCGCTCCACTGTCTCCAAGACCATGAAGCCAAATGACAGTGCCTGTATGTGCTGCCTTTGGTTGGATCAAAACTGACTTGAGTGACGCTGCCATGTTGTTGATTGTAGGCCGTAGGAGAGCTGATCTTCGCGGATTAATTTATCCGATTTGAACGTCACAAATTGGTTGAACATTGATGGACCTTGTACCATCGGCGTTAAATCAACCGTATTCCCTCGAAAATGCTAGAAAATGATACTTGATTCAGGTCAAAGGAACCCATTCATAGTTTCATGTAGAGACTTCACAATCTGCCCATGTACTTCATTTGTCAGTATGGAATTTCCATTAATGCTTCCATACCTTGGCAATTGTGTTCTAACAGCAAGGTAGCATACTCATAGAACGAAAATCAAACAAAATATTATGTAATCCATGCGTCTTTTCATAATCCTGCGTAGTTCCCAACAATACCTTTGTTCTGGAAGAGAGGTGGTGGGCAAATGGTTCTACCGATGACGTTTCACGGCAATCGAACCGCCGCTGATTTAACGGATGATAAATTATGCGTTAGCCGCCACATTGGATCAATATAAATACTAAACACCCTCTCCATGAATTGAACGGCATAGTAAACGCAATGAGTCAAACAATAGCAATCGCAGGAGCAGGTATCAATATCGACCGGTTTGCTCGTTGAACGACTTCCTTCAATTGACTAACTCAATACCATATCACAGGCGGCCTTGGCAAGCATATCGTCGATGCTATTTTGGAGGATGGTAAACACAAGCTGATTGTTCTTAGCCGTGGAGTAAGTTTTCGATCTGCTTAATTTGAGCGAATGTTGTACGCTGACTAATACTTGAATAGACAAATCAAGAGCTCGCAGATCGGGGTGTTGAGGTTCGCACCGTAGATTATTCTTCAGTAGAGTCACTCACCAAGGGAGTAGCAGGAGTGAATGTGATCATTTCATTTATCGCGGAAAGAAGCGAGACGAACAGTCAGATAAATCTCTATCATGCTGCGGTAGCTGCAAGAGTCAAGCGATTCATCCCAAGTGAATGGGCGTTGGATGTCCAAAAGTAGGTGCCACTAATTTATGTCAATGCTAGAATCCTTTAACGTTAACCAACTTATATTGAAGGTATGATGATAAGCCATCTCTTTACGAATTCAAACGGAAGTTCCGCCAGTTTCTGGCAGATCAAAACAAAATTGAATATACCCTGGTTTGCAATGGTCTATTTATGAATTATCTCTTGCCAGCTGGAACCAAAAAGTACTTGCAAGATGTCGATATCAATATCAGCATCGAAAAGCGCACGGCAAATGTCCCTGGAACAGGAAACCAACCTATGGTTTTGACCATGGCTGAAGACATTGGCAAAGCTGTCGTCTGGCTCATTGATGACCCAAAGCCTTGGCCAAAGTACACCTACATAAAAGGAACCGTCACATCCTGGAATGAACTCATCAAATATGGAGAGGAAGTGACTGGTGAGAAGTTTGACGTGAGCTATGTTCCTTTAGAAACATTGCAGGCAAACTACGAGGCAGCTGCTGCCTCAGGCAACTTTCTCAAGAAATTCTTTGCAGAGATTGGCGTTATGTATGCTACCGACGGTGTATTAGATCTGCCTGATAACGAGGATCCTTCGCTGTTTGAAGGCATTCGTTTTACTCAAGTCAAAGAACTGATTGATATCACTTACAAAAAATAATTACGAAAGATTTATTCATATCCTGTACTGTCCTCCTTCTTCTTTTGATGATCAGCCAACCCCCTTGCAATAACTAATGAAAAAAATTATCAAAAAAAAGTGATATGCTGCACATGAACAGTACTGCGCAAAATGATCGTATCCTTCCTTCTATTTCATTGATAACGTGTTGACGATACATTTTATTATTATTACAGCATTTTGTGTTTCGTGACAATCTTTCCATTTTGGAGGCTCCATTATGGTTTTTTCATTTGCCAAGGCTTTCCTGGAAATACGTGATCTAGCAGCTCGGAAATCTGACTAAGACTATGGTTTAACCCTGGATTTTTAGTATTGATCGTCGTGAGTTCCTCTACAAGCATGGCTATCCCAGTCTCTAGAATACTCATTTGGTCGAATATAGTATGCTGTACTTCCTGCATATCCCTCAACCATACATAAGCCTCTTCCTCCGATGGATGTAAAGTATTTATTTGGGTACTTGACATTATGGTCTTGGGATGATATCTTGCAACAGTGGGTCGCGTAACATCACTGTCGCAACAAGCATTTATAAAGGCGCCCTGCGAAGTTTTTTGCCATGCGGTTTGGCTACTGCGTTGATTCACCACCACAACAAAAAGGCTTTAGTCATACATTCTTTGAAACACAAAAGACCCGTGCGATGCTGAGCTCTGAACCAAAAATATTTACCGTAACCGATCAAGATGAGTGGCTGGATTGGGATTAAGTTTCTGTGCTACTATTGATGCCAACGGAGGAGCTGGCAAATAATCATGGCCATCAAAAGCGTCACCATACTTGCAATCTGGTACATTCAAGCGCTCTGACACTGAATTATTAGACGAATCCACATTTCCATCATCAGAATTGATCATAATGATCAGCTGCCGTTATTTCCTTTTGTACCATCAAACAGCTAGTGAACGAGGGTTTTATACATTTCATACACAGGGTTTTCATGCGCAGCTTCCTTCCGCCGTATGGACTTTCGATTCTAAGCATTTCATTTCAAGAGGTTTGCATCAGCCGCATTCTGCCGGACAGCGTGGGCAGAAATTCCATTCTATGTTATATAAAGAACTGATGACCAGACATATAGCTTTGCTTGATTGTTACGCAATGTTTGTCTGACCATGCTTCGAAGATTTTACTTAAAGTGGAACCGAGCATCTTCGGGTACAAATTGGGACAATAAACGAGCTGCTCTGCATCTTCAAATTGGAACCATAGAGTGTGCTTGGGGTGATGGTCTGGCCATTCGCCACAGTAAGGCTCAGTCGTCTCATGCCGTACGTAGCATGTCTTTAGCATGGCTTCCAAATGAACATTCGGACAACACGTTGGTTCTTTTCTCATCATCAATTTACGCAGTAGAAAAAAACACGAAAATCAAGCTAAGAACCCTATAGTTTTTTTTTTTAATTCTGTTTGAACATACCAAACAACTCTATGTTACAATTGCGGGTTAATACATAAAAAAAAGTGATTCGAAAAAAGGGGGAGAGGTTATATGCAAGAGATACAATATGAAGTAGAAAGTGTAAAGTCTATATAGTCTAATTATAAAGATCTATAATTTTTTTTGTATTCAGGAGAAAAGCAGAGAGGAACAGCTAAATAATTTACTGCTTGCCAGCGGAGGCATCGTTGTCAACAACGTTCTCAGCGTTTCCTTGTTGTTGTTGAGCCTTGTTCTTGTAGACCATCTCGAACAACTTAAGGGAGCTTTGTTGCAAATCGGTGGATTGCTTCTTGATGTCTTCGGGTTCAGCGTTCTCACCTTGAGCCATGGTATCACGGAGTTGAGTGATAAGACCACGGATCTTCTCAGCTTCAGTATTATCAAGTTGCTCCTTGAAGTCAGTCATGTGCTTCTCGGTTTCAGAGATGATGGACTCAGCGGCGTTGGTAGCTTCAATAGCGTTCTTGCGCTTGGCATCGGATTCAGCAAATTGCTCAGATTCCTTGATCATGTTCTCGATTTCGTTGTCGGAAAGACCGGAGGAAGCGACAATGCTCATAGATTGATCACGGCCGGTAGCCTTGTCCTTAGCACCAACGTTGACAATACCATCGGCATCAATGTCGAAGGAAACTTCAATTTGAGCGGAACCACGGGGCATAGGAGGAATACCGGTCAAGTTGAAGTCACCGAGAAGCTTGTTGTCACGGCAAAGCTCACGTTCACCTTGGAAGACCTTAACTTGGACTTGAGTCTGACCATCAGCGGCAGTAGAGAAGACCTGAGACTTCTTGGTGGGGATAGTGGTGTTACGGTTGATAAGACGGGTGAAGACACCACCGAGGGTCTCAATACCAAGAGAGAGAGGAGTGACATCCAACAAGAGGATATCGGTGACGGAACCAGCAAGGACACCACCTTGGATGGCAGCACCAATAGCGACGGCTTCATCAGGGTTGACTTGCTTGCCGGGCTCCTTACCGAAGATCTGCTTAACAGTCTCAACAACCTTGGGCATACGGGACATACCACCGACCAAGATAACTTCGTTGATGTCAGCGGTGCTGACACCAGCATCCTTGATAGCCTTCTCGCAGGGCTGGACAGTGCGCTTGACAAGGTCACCGACCAAGGTCTCGAACTTGGAACGAGTAAGCTTGGTGTTGATGTGCTTGGGACCGCTAGCATCAGCAGTGATGTAGGGAAGGTTGATATCAGTTTGAACAGTGGAGGAAAGTTCAATCTTGGCCTTCTCACAAGCTTCACGGATACGCTGAATGGCCATACGGTCATTGCCCAAATCAAGGCCAGACTCATTCTTGAACTCGTTCACGACCCAGCGGACGAGGTGAGAGTCAAAGTCCTCACCACCAAGAGCGGTATCACCGTTAGTGGACTTGACTTCGAAAACTCCGTTTTGGATTTCAAGGACGGAGATATCGAAGGTACCACCACCAAGATCGTAGACGGCAACAACCTTATCACCAGCCTTGTCGAGACCATAAGCAAGAGCGGCAGCAGTGGGCTCGTTGATGACACGGAGGACATCGAGACCAGCGATCTTACCAGCATCCTTGGTAGCCTGACGCTGAGCATCGTTGAAGTAGGCAGGGACAGTAATAACAGCGTGGTTGGCCTTCTTACCAAGGAAACCTTCAGCAGTTTCCTTCATCTTTCCGAGGACGAAAGCACCAATTTGAGAAGGAGAGTACTTCTGGCCTTGAGCTTCAACCCAGGCATCGCCATTGTTGTGAGCAACAATGTTGTAGGAGACAGTCTTGGCATCAGCTTGGACAGCGGGGTCAGAGAAAGCACGACCAATAAGACGCTTGGAAGCATAGACGGTGTTGGTAGGGTTGACAACGGCCTAACGGAACAAAGACAAAAAAATTAACAATGATGCACTAATAAACAAAAAATTTTAGGCACTAAAATGATGTAGTTTTTTCTTACCTGACGTTTAGCAGCTTGACCAACCAAAAGCTCACCATCCTTGGTGAAGGCAACAATGGAGGGAGTAGTGCGGGCACCTTCAGCGTTTTCAATCACACGGGGTTGCTTGCCTTCCATAGTGGAAACGCAGGAGTTGGTAGTACCCAAGTCGATACCGATGACAGGACCATTGATGTTAGAGCTATAGTTGCGAGCAAAGACACCAAGGGAGCTACGGTTGTGAGCGAGTGTTGGGAGAATGCGCGATCTCGAGATCTTTGCCAAGTTGTACATTGTGGAGAAAGGAGAAAGAAAACGGAAAACAATGGTTGGACCAGGCTACCTGCCAAAATTTAAAGGTACGGCTCAAAATTTTTTTTTTCGATATTTTTCGGATGACTCAGATCGGACTGCAAGGGCAATTCGGAATCAATAACAACTTTTTGTAGAAGCTTCGAGCAAAAATGAAAAAATCCCAAAATTTTATTGGCTACTTGAAATCAAATCAGCAATCTTTTTGACAAGTTGTTGCATCTGTGCAGCTCGTCGTGCACTGGTCTCCAACACCTCTTCATGATTGGCGATCACTTTTTCTGTATCGATCTCACTATCCACTTCAGTCGATCGTCCAAGTTGTTGAAGCACTTCTTTTTTCGCATCTTTGCCTCTTGCTGTCACCACAGCGTTGGTGATTAAACTGAGGCCAAGCACTTTGATTCCGCTATGACGAGCTACAATGACTTCAGGGACAGTTGACATGCCTACGACGTCAGCACCCATGATAGCCAAATGTCGGGCTTCTGCTCTTGTTTCATATGAAGGTCCAGCAACGAACGCATACACTCCTTCCCGAATATCATCCTCTGCCCAGCCGATGCTGAAGGCTGCTTCGAAAGCAATCCGTCGAAGGGCATACGTATAAGCGTCGGATACGGCGGGAAATCGGGGCCCAAAACTGTCCAGATTGGCGCCTATGAGTGGACTGAAGCCCGACATTCCCGGAACAGACAGATGGTCGTTGAGAACTGCAATATCGCCCACCTTGTGCTCTGGATTCAACGAGCCGCACGCGTTGGTGACAATCAACGACTGAACCCCTAATAACTTCATAACGCGAACAGGAAATGTACAGTGTTGAAGGGTGTGACCTTCGTAAAAATGAAACCTTCCAACCATAAACACAGTCGGCACGTTGCTTTCACCTAGGAGCCCAAATACAAGTTTACCAGCATGTCCAGCCACTATGAGAGAAAAAAGATATTAAAATTATGTTCACACACTCTTAATGAGTCTTCCCACGCACTGGACATACCTGTGCTGACCGCGAATCCTGGGATGTCCTTATAAGCAAATTCTATTTTTGTGGAAGGGTCGATGGTGTCCACCAAACCTCCCAAACCAGAGCCACAGATAATACCTAAGGAAACAGATTGGAACGTCTCTGGAAGCTGCTTCTTTAAGAATTCAGAGGTGACTTGAATAGAAGATTCTACAGACTTGGTCATAAGTACAAGTGCAAATAAAGATGAAACGAGAGGAAAGTAAAGAAGGAAGCGATAACGAGCTGGGATGCAAGCAAGCAGGAGGTCGTTCTTTCTGTTCCGTGGCAAAGTCTGCTCCTGCTACCAAGTTTTTTACAGCTCCGGCGAGTCACGTGTGGTGGCATTGTTCGTGGGCCCGGGCCAACCAATGGAGAAGCTCCAACGCTGGTCCATAAAATCTGAAATTGAACTTGTGGCCTAAAGTTAGCCCTGTTTTCTCATCGATTGTCATTCGCAATGGTAAGCTCATTACGGTTTGTAAGTAAAGGAAGGGTTAGCCACTAACCGACATTATTCTATACAGGCCTCTACTGCTACTCTCCGTAAGAAAAACGCAACATACCAGAACAACGTCCACAAGCGTGGCCACGTAAAGGACACTTTGGTAAGTCATGACCAACATAGTTTCTGGTCAAGGAGGAGTATGGACGCTAACGGGGTGCAATTCAATGTAGAAAACAAAGAAGGACTGGCAACTTCCTGTGTCACTGCCCGTACTGGCTATTCTCGCTTTCACTGTCTTTGGAGGAGGTATGTGAACACTGTGATTGTAAGGTCTGACCTTTAAAATGTAATAGAGAGACTAATTGCCTATTTTTCGAAGCTTTCCTTGCTATTATGCAGATGTTCTTCTAAAGAAATCATGATCCAACCCACAAAGCATTGAGTTAACCAATGTTCACTGCTTCCGTCTTATGGAGACTACCCCCATACCATCAGTGTCAGTCAGTATGTATATACGTAGTAACATTTCTTTATTCCGACCCTTTCAAAACCCTGTAGCTTCTCCTTCTTTTTGGATATGCTTTTTCTACTATGTGTCGGAAATGGCACCATCAGTAATAATATCATCCGGCAAAAGTGCGGGTCACCAAATGGAATGAATTTTTCCTTATTTTGGATCGATGAATGAGAAATCGTTGGGCAAAGAATTTAATTATGTTGCATGGTAAATTGAGGCTCAAGGGATGTGTCGGTCGATTTGTAGGCATCTTCTATGGACTTGACAAAGTCATCCACTGACGAGCCACCTGGACAATCCTGATAATCCAATTTTAGAAATGGTTCCAACCGCAACGACGTTATAAGGTGTGGCAACTTACCTTCCACTGCATGCTATCATAAACACATCGACGCTTGTTGTTAATGAAAACAGTACAGCTTGTGCTATGGAGGAATTCCACACAGGTTAAAAAATCACAAGTTTAACAATTAACAGCACACAGCGGTAAATGCGATAAAAAATCTTACCTTACTCCAAGGGAGGCAGTACGCTGAACACTTTTTGAAAGCAATTCGGTGGCCGTGCCGTTTACCATACAATCCCTCACTAAGGCGTACGTTTTTCCTTGCTTTTCAGCTATGAACCATTTTTAAATGATATAAATATGATTAAATCAAATTGGTGAATTATAGCATTTTGTACATACCGCATGAAACGCCCAGCTTGTCTGTGCCAATATTAAGCATATCCTTGTTCAGACATTGAATGAATGAGAACCACGTCTCGTCGCCATGAACATGCCTGTAGCATAATTCTTGCATGTTTCCAAGGCACTCGCTCGGACCATGTTTGCTAAATAATGAGCCAACTTCAGCATTCCTTCCATATCTGAGACACAACGCTGTCATAAGGCGCTTACCAAGAAAACTTCAATGGCTCAAATGGAGCAGGCTGTGCTATGAAGTTGATGTCGAGAGCTACTGGAACAGATATCTTCTTGACTTGACGATAGTTAGTCTCAGGGGTTCATTGAAGTTGAAAAAATAGTCAAAAATACTCACAAACGTTGTCAAAGGTTGCTTCGCAATGAACGGCATCTGGGCATTTGCTCATGACGAACAATTCCACCGGAACTGCCTCGCTGTTAGAGCGTGAATGAACGTCAGCATTGACACTGACAAGTAGACAAGCCGTCGCAGCAAAAAGTATGGAAGAAAGCATATTCAAACAATACCCAACTGGGCGAATTTCTGCAACCTATTGCACCATAATGATTCACGTGCACCATTCACATCAATTATTTTGCAGGGTTGTTTTTTTAACACAGTTTTTATTGTTCAGGTCTCCCAAATATCCAGAAAGGTGCCTTTATCATGCAGAAATATCAAGCAATCTAATAACCAAAGTTAGCAATGGATTCGTTGACAGACTTGAGGGCATCAGCCTTGGAGGCGGTGGCCTTGGCCTTGAGAGCAGTGACAGCCTTCTTGCGCTGGTAGAAAGCAGCAGACTTGGCCTTGCGCTTCTCCTCAAGCTTGGCAACAACATCTTGGTACTTCCAGCCAACTTCGTGGGAGATACGACCAACGGTGGTGTACTTGCGACCGGGCTTGAGCTTCAAGACACGGAGAGCAGTGGGAACGACCATGCGCTTCATCTTATCGTAAGGAGGGGGAACACCTTCGAAAAGCTTGATGCGGTCAAGGGCAGCAGCACCGCGGGCGGTCTTGTGGGCGACCATACCACGGAGAGCCTTGTAGAAGATACGGGAAGGAGCGCGGAAGTGGAAAGGACCACGGTTGGGGTTGACGACGCAACGCTTGTTAAGGTAGGCGTGGTACTTCACTATAGATCGAAACAATTCGGTGTAAGTATATTCAAATGGGCATGTTGTACTGAAATTGAACATATTGGTTTGAGACCGAAAACTTATTTCCTAGCCATCACAACAAAGAAATAATTTTGATCCCATAACCGACATGATCTCTCCCGTATATATGAAAAAGTTTTTTTTTTACTCACACTTGTTGCGGAAGAAGCTGCCAGAGACGTTAAGCTCTTCGCAACGAACAATGACAATCTTTTGTCCGTTGAGGGCTTGCTTAGCAACAATGGAAGCGAGACGACCGAGAAGGTGACCCTTGCCGTCGATGACAACGACCTATTGTACAGATAATCAATATGATCGCGATAGTGGTGAATTGGTGAAGAACAGTATCGAATAAAGAAAAAAAAGTCGATGTTGTTGGAAGTTGATTGCAATGGTAAGGAGAGGATAAGCCACAATTAGTGAAATGTTCAATGGAGGTTTTGAGGGCAATGATGCATGGTCAAAGTGCTTCGGTTTCACTGACAGCATCTCGAAGAGTTGCCATTGCACACAACAGTAGCGTTAATACGGTACCTTTTCAAAAGTGTTGGACATTGGTGATTGCCGAAAAAGAAAGAATGTTCCCAGTTTCCCTTTGAGAGAAGTTTTTGCATCCGCCACCGAGAGCAAATTTTTTTGAATGCACGTGATCTTTCAATCTCCGGCCTGCCTACCTCTTGCGTGCCCAAGATGTACCTTTTCTAGGCACCAGGACATGAAACGATTGCTCATAATAGCGAATTACACACAGCTTTCCATTAGATAACATAACTTGTTATTCAATAGTTTATTATTGATATTATTGTGCATTCATAGATTATCTATCTCTCTCTAGTTTTCTTGTCATCGAAGGTAACGGAACATTAACATGGCATCTATTGGGTAGAAATAGGCTAACTGCCCGTAATACGTCTATTTGTTTTAAAATATGCTTGTTACCTTTCTTTCTACACCTTTAACTATCTGAACATTGTAAGAGACCAGTAGTCTAGCTCAATGCTACAGTGTCTGAGCTTTGCTGCTTCAATCAAAAATGTGGCTTGTACATGCTTGAGTTACAAGAAAACACAAGATACCACCTGTGACATATATAAACATATTAGAAAGGTACATGACGTTTTTATTGCTTCGACAACTTTCAGATACTGTCTGTTCATGATTGAATTTTACCTTCGAACACTAAGGCAAAAGTACGTGCAAGGATGTATGAATCACGTGATACTTTTGCGTGGCTTAGCCTGTCCTCAAATTTGTTGTTTGCTGGCTGAATACCTAGTTCTTCCTCTTTTTTAAACCTAACTACCGCAATGGAGAACTCTGAAGGCAGACTCGTTGATCTTTACATTCCCCGCAAGTGGTATGCATATAGTAGTTCTTTTTGATTTTCTTGCATGTGTTGGATCGAAATTACGACGGGTACAACCACACTCATGGTCAGGCAGATGAGAATGGATGAAAAAAAATTTTGCTCGACCACTGCTTGCTCGTTGAGAATCGGCCATCGCTCAAGTGCTACCATTTACGACGTTTTGTGCATTCGCAGCATTTCATTCTCGCCGAACCATGACCGATGCCCAGTCGTTATTTGCAATGTATTCAAACTTTTGACTAGAAGAACTTGAAAGACTAACCTTCTTCTTTCTTCTTTACTATCGATAGCTCCGCCACCAACCGTTTGATCACTGCTAAGGATCACGCTTCAGTCCAGATCAACGTCGGTGATGTTGATGCCTCCGGCCGTTACACTGGTTCCTTCACTACCTACGCTCTCAGCGGTTTCGTTCGCAAGGAATCCGAGGCTGATGACTCCATCAACCGCCTTGCCACCAAGGACGGTCGTAAGTATCTGCATCAGATCATAGTGAGGGTGTGTGTTCCTTGTACTCATTTTTTCCTCTTTTTTTCAGTCCTTAAGAACGTCTGGTCTTACCAAAAGTAAATAACCAATGCAGCACTGCAATGGTTTTCTTTGTTACCAAGATAATTTTTTGCTTGACACAGTTTCATGATTAGTTCAGTGATTGTTTCTGAGAACGTTGCAAATGCACTAGTTCATTGAATAAATGGCCAGCAAATTACATATACTGAATAATCATAACAGACCGCACATAAGGGCTTCAAAAATTTTGTTTTATGAATACAAATCATTAGATACTAAATGGTGTGGGCGGGCACATATCTACTGTGCGCATTACCTACTCCTAAAAAATATTACTCAGTGTCCATAGAATGGTAGCCAGCTCTTCGCATCTCGGCAAGCACACGACGAGCATTGACCAGTTCGGAATCAAGCTTAAGGATCTTGACTTGCTGTTCCATCTCTTGTCGCTTGAAGTCATGAACAGACAGTTTGTTGAAATCAATCTTGAGACCCTCGTCTTGAACCTGTTTGGCAACCAACTCCTTCACTTGCTTCACGAGTTCTGATGTGGCATCTTTAACAGCTTTGGCAGCCAACTCCAAACGTTCTTGCGTTCTCGACATGAAACTAGCCTTGACTCGGGAAGCGGCGACCAGCTGAGCCGTTGCAGCGGCAACTTCGTTGGATGCAACGATGAGCTGCTCAAGTGAATGTGTTTTGCTGATAACACCATCGGCGGCTTCTACAAGCAAATTGGTGGCCACAGCAACGGATTTGGCAGCAGAAATGAGACCTTCGGTCCAGCGATTGTTCTTCTTGTAGAACGCTGCCTTGGATGAAGCACCACGTCCTTGAGCAACGATTTCCTGTTGCGATGCGGTAGCGCACTTGATAAGGTTGGCAATGGCATTGGTGAGAACCAGTACAGAGTTCAAAATCAATTGGTGTACTTGAATGTCAGTACTGGAGAATTCAGGGTTGCTAGGCTTATTGAGCAGAGCTTGAATCTTTGCAGTTGCTTGTTCAATTGCACGAGCTGCATTTGACATTTCCTGTTCTACAAGGTCACCAACTTCGCCTTCAGCCATGCGGTTGACCTTGGCAGTTCCTGCAGAAATTAAGTCTTCAACTCGTTTCGATAGCTTGGCAAGTGCGTCCTGAACTTTCATGTCACCATGAATAATGACCTCTGGGCGTTGGGCAGCAGGCAACCGTTGTAGGTAACCGGAGCGCAATGTGCTGAAATATTGAATACCAGCTTCAGCAGACTCTCGTATGTCTGTAATCAGCTCTTGCACGTCACTATCTTCTGCCATCAAACGACCGATTCCTTTAGCGTTAACTAGAACATCTACCACGGCTTGAGCAAAAGACAAGGTTTTGGAAATTGTTACGGTGTAATCGCCAGAGTTACTTCCATCCCAGAACTTGCCAAAAGCAGACATGAATTCTACTGATCCAAGACTTGCCTTTTCTATGGTGGACAGAACAAACTCTGGTGTGGCATTCTCGTTACCATTTTGACCCGGTGCTTCAAGTTCGAATATACCATCATTGATCTTCTGGATGCATGTCGTGAGGATATTGTCCAAGATTCCATTGAGCTTGTTAGTTTGCTCATATTCCAAATTATCCAGCTTCTCTTGCAGGCCGCTTTCTTTATTGCCTGATCGATGTTGCAAATCAGCCAGCTGTTGTAGACAGTCATCCATTCCCGCTTGCATGATAGCAATTTCTTCATCCTTTTCTTGCCGAATGCGATCGGCTTCGCCTTGCTGCAACTCCAGCTGAGACAAAAACTCGTCAATGAGAGCCTGCTTTTCGTTCAATGCGTTTTCAAGGTCGGCTTTTTCTCGATTAAACTTGGCAAGCAATGAGGTCACTTCTGCACCCTTATTTTTGCCCAACTCCTCGGCTCTGGCGTTTGAATCTCTGAGTTCTCTTCGGAGACGGTCTAATTCATCCTGCTGGCTCTGTTTTGAGGAGCAATAGTAAGTCAGAACGTGTTGTCATGTGGTCCTTCTAAAAAAGAAAAAAGTACTACTCACACCACGCATTCTAGTCAAGTCGTTTTTGGCACGGTCACGCTCGCGAATCATATCAGCAAGTTCCAGATTCTTTGCACGCATATCTGCTTCCATTCTATCCAGCTTTTCTTGTGCTTCGTTGGACGATTGGGCTTTGACTTGGAGCTGCTTGTACTTGCCGAGGAGATCCAAATGTTCTTGTCGAAGCTGAGAGTAAAGTTTTGCCAGTGCCTCGTATTTGTTTTTCCACATTGTTATTTGATCTAAAAATGTTCCAACTGTTAATATGTTTGCGTCGAATAGGTACTACAAGGATGTGCTTGTCTCACCTTGCAAAGACTTGATAAGTTCGTCTTTAGATGCATCTCTTTGCTGAATATGCATATTAAGTGCATTTAGCTCATTTTCCAAGGCTTTCACTCGCTGTGAGATAAAGGTTGTCAGTACAATTGCTCGCAGAAGGTTGTACTTTTTTAAAAAAATAAATTATACATACTCGATCATATTGCTCCAGCAACATTTGGTCCTTCTCAAACTGCTGTCTCATAGCAAGGATCTCACGCTCCAGTTCGGCTGCACGGCCTTGAGCATGCATGGCCATTTGCTGTCGCATGAGTTCTTCTTGCTGCATACGAGCACGCTCCGCTTGTAATCGTTGTTGCTCTTCAAAGTCACGCTGCTGTTGAAGTGCAAGCTGCTGCTGTCGTCTCTGTTCATCCAAACGCTCTTGTTCCAAACGCCTTTGTTGGTCCTCATACTCCTGCTGCTGCTTGGCTTGTGATTGCGACCAGAAATCAATCACTGGTTCTGGTGATGGTGCTGGAGGAGGAGTTGCTTCTCTTTGGGGTCGTTTAGATAATGTTGGAGTATCAGCCTCTTCAAGCGATGGTGGATCCTAGAATTTATACTCATGTTAGACAGCACGTCTAAAGCAAAAACTGCATGCATGACATTTACCTGTGGGAGCTTTGGTACACTGATAAGGGAAGTTAAATACTTGAGATTGGAACACTCATAGTAAAATCTTAGCAAAGCGTAATGTTGGCTATTGTAACGCTGCTTGAGAGGTTCCAATGCGCCTACGGATTCAGTTCCTGGGTCGGTCACAAAATCAAATATTTAGAACAATCTACAGAACCTTTGAACTTTATGCAGATGCTACTTACTTCTGTACATTGCTCTCAGCATACTGGTGATGAATTTATATATTCCGTAGCTCTCTTCCACTAATGGGACGAGCGAAGCAATGCGACATTCGTTATTACTTGTTGGGCGGAAATGGACAAAGACTACTTTCTGAAATTGATCGATCTGGTCTTGCAAGTTCATTAAATCGCTGATGGTCTCATAACTAGGGGATTGTAAAATTAACTATACAGGAACATGAAAGCCTATTTTCAGTCAACTTGAACATACCCTTCATTTGGATCATCGATATTTTTCAAGCTGATATATTCCTCATATTCGAATGTTCCATTAAATTCGGGATGAATGCGGTGGTAATTGAGTTTGTTGATAATTAGCTGCACATAATTGCGGATAAGAAGTCCGTAACCACGCGCACCTTCGCCGGAAATACTTCGAGCGCACGTCTCTAACCAAGGTATTTCTCGCAGAGCATCTTTAAGAACCTAAATTTTGTACGCATATTAGTTTTGACGTAGGCGACCTGTATATGTTTCAAGGAGTAGTAACTGACCACTGGATAACCGTCCTTGATAACTTTGTGAACGGTAATAAGGGCTTTGAATATTTGCACCTCATCAGACATGATTGGCGCTACTCTTAGCGCAGTCCAAAAGCTAGCCGATGTTTTAAAGTCATAGGTGTAGAGAATACATTCTGTACGAGATAAGGATATGAGTAAAGCGTACAACTGTAGGAAAAAACTGCCAAGACCAATGGCGGTAGGTACTTACTTCTGACATGCTTTTGTTTAGGAGCAGTTTCTTCGGGGCTAGTTGCCTTTTTGACGGTTAGTGAAAGCTCCTGATCGGCAGCGTTTCTATCGCTTGGCCGCGAAGTGTGAAACGACATTAGAAAGTTCTGGTAAGAGAGATTGAGGCGATGAGGAGTTTCCAGCTTCGTGATCCAATGGTTCGGAGATTGGAACACCAAAAATGCCATGACGCAAATGACCATTTTGGACGGCAGCGAAGCATAGCACAGTACAAAATGCGCGAGCTTGAAGGTTTGAAAGCATACTAAAATGTGATATTAATACAAATCTCTTGTCCATTTCCCTTTATTTCAGCAGAATTATGAAAAAAATTGTGTGAATGTTTTGAATATTTTGGGTTCTTGGTCAGTGGTTTCAGTTTGTGCCTGGAGACAAAAACTGCACTTACGAAATTGAACCGTCACACAAGGAATCCTCCCAAGTGTTTTCCCTCTGCCTCGGCAACAAACTTGGCATGTCACAGTTACGCCGTTCCGTTAACGTCATCAACCCTCTTATACGTACAGCCCTCGTTCCGGGCTGTCGAAGTAATACCGTCAAGAATGCCATTGCAGGTTGTAATCGACCACAAACACGATCTTTCATAGCGACCAGAATCAACCTGCAACAATCGCGCGAAAGTAACAAAGAAGAGCAAACGTTGATATACAGTGCTCCCAACGCACCAACTGTTAAACTCTTGAAAATGTTTTCTGTAACTTCTCTCGGGGTAAAGTTCATTCTGCTAGACCGAAGCTTGTCACTCAATGGCTTAACCATTTCCTGTAGGTCGCATCAGTATCAGCACCAGCAGTACTTTACTTTTGGGAAACGCCAGCCAGTAAGCACTAGATTCACAGTATCGCTCATCGTATATTTTCCATTAACACAATTTCCGCTTATTAGTTCAAGCCGCCGATATCAATGGATACATGTTCATTGGAGGTAAGCATTTTCCACATGCGAGCTTTGCTCTTCCAAAGAGGAAAGCTGTAACATTTGCCGAACATTAGCATCAACGATACAATACATCTTTTCCATTTTTGCTTCTACAGCTTTGGTTGCCAGCGCATGTTCAACTGGAGTACTACACAAGTTCCTTTCACCATATGTAAACAATGTCATTCTACATCAAAATCCATCCAAATCCATCCAGTCAATATCACCAAATACACAAATCACTTTGGAGACATTAGACCTTTTAGCGAGGAAAAAGCAGACCACACTTAAACTGCGTGATTTAGTTCCCGCAAAAGGCTCTTGGTTGACTTGGAATATCAAAAAGGATGTTGTGCAAAGACGAGAACAACTTGGCAAAGACGAATTTCCTCAAACGCGATTTTGGTTAGACCAACGTGGCGGGCTCGGAGACCTAGAGACGATGTCAAAGATTGTCAAGGTTGTCGACGAAGAATTCAAGCGAGGGAGAACGCTCTAGATAGACCAAATTTCTTATTTATGTGTATCTCTGTCCATTTAAAGGAAGTAATACATTGCAATATATTACAAGACCGTTCGAGATATGATAATGTGTTATGGGTCATTCTTTGCATACCCTACAAATAACTATAAGAATACCTCGAATAAGCATACTTTCTTGAAGCAAATACTTCATTGTACTGGAAGTCAAATAAAAGTGTACTTTGGTCCTTGAAGAATTGTCCAAACACAATTTTTCAAGATTCCACAAGGCACAAGATATTGATCAGCAGCTGTCACCATGAATCAGAATCTGAAATTCCAGGAACCGAGAAAGACTGTCACAGCCAACTCTGCAGTGATTTAACGAATTCTGTCCACTTTTATACTCACTACTTACTCAAGAGAAGCTAAATTCCCTGGCGCATTCTGGCTCTGTTGTCTATAATATGAGTACTGATCACACTGGCATCGAATGGCAAAAAGAAAATGTTCAGCTCGGCATCATAGGAATGGGCGACATGGGACGCATGTACGCCAGTAAATTGTCCCAAATCGGCTGGAAGAAGTAAGTAAATTTGCGTCTACATTGCAAAACCCGAACAGTTACTCATTCCTGCTACCAGGATCTATGTTTGCGATCAGCCTTCCAACTACGAAAAACTGAAGAAGGAGTATGAAGGTAAATTGTCAACTTACACCTAAACCTCACCGCATATTATTTCGCAAGGCTAACGAAAGCGACTTTAGGCACTCTCATAAATGTCATGCGAGACGGTTATCATGTTTCGCGTTTGGCTGATTGGATCATGTACGCGGTGGAAGCCGAACATATAGACAGGGTAGTTGCTCAGTATGGTCCGGCGACGAAGATAGGCTCCATTGTCAGTGGACAAACATCAGTTAAGCAGCCTGAGATCGAAGCATTCGAACGTCATCTTCCCGAGGATGTACATATCATCTCCTGCCACTCAATGCACGGTCCAAATGTCAATCCTAAAGGTCAACCCTTGGTCATCATAAAGCATCGCGCAACACAGGAGAAATTGGAACTTGTGCGTAATATCCTCTCAGGATTCGAAAGCAACTTCGTTGAGCTCAGCTACCAAGACCACGACCGTATTACCGCAGATACACAGGCAGTAACGCATGCCGCGTTTTTGAGGTAAGTCTCGATCATTCCACTATGTACAAAAAAATTGTTCATATGCTAATTTTATCTCAGTATGGGCGCTGCTTGGAAGGCAAACAACCAGTTCCCCGTAAGTCAGCTACAGTGAAATGCCTACTATCGATGACTTTCACTAATCCGTACATGTAGTGGCTTGTTCCTCATTTTGTTGGCGGTATCGAAAACGTGAAGGTCAATGTTGCTCTTAGAATTTACAGTAACAAATGGCATGTGTACGCAGGTTAGTGAAAAGAGGTGATGGATTGGATGACCAGATCCTTTACTTACAACAATACATAGGTTTGGCCATCATGAACCCAAGTGCACGCATACAAATCACGCAATACGCAAGGTCAGTTGCTGATTTGTTCAAGTTGATGATCCAAGAAAAAGAAGACGAATTTCGAGCTCGTATCATGAAGGTGGGTTCGCTTTCAAACGATCGTTATTATTCTGTGTCGTTTACTAAATGATCCTCGCAGGCTGGTGACTATGTCTTTGGTAGTTTGAACGAGGACCATGTGCCTATCTTGTTGGATGATAAGCTACTCGACGAGTTCTCTCTATCGAATGTTCCTAGTAACGGCAAACGAGAAACCAATTCACATTTGTCGCTGCTTGCAATGGTATGATATTTTTGTCCCTGTGAAGAGAGAAAAGGCGTTTTACTAAAATTGGCGTTGGCGTTAAGGTGGATTGCTGGTACACTCTGAAGCTCAATCCTTATGAACATATGGTCTGTCAAACACCTTTGTTCCGTTTATGGATGTAAGTATCAGACTGCGTTTTTCTTCATTATTCATTCTTGAGACCATATTAATTGTGTTGGCTTTTAGGGGTATCACCGAGTATCTGTTCCGAAAACCGGAGATGTTAGAAGAAACCATACAAGCAGCGCTTTATCGTAAGGAAATTCGGTCGGACGATATGGAGTTTGTGACTTGTGCTCGAGGATGGGCAGAATGCGTCGAACTTGGCAGTATGGACGGATACCGAACACGATTCGAAAGCACTGCTGACTTTTTCAAGGACATGTTTGCAGACAGCGCTGTTCTGGGAAATAAGATGATTGCTATGATCAGCAAGAACATGCAGAAGACGAGTTAATAGAGTATCTCTTGTGTGTCCCATTTGTCCTGGGCAGTAAAAAGTTGAAATGTTTTTTTTTCCAAGGTGTTGACCTCGATATGCAGATATTTTAAAAATCAAAGAGACGCTTTCGAAACATACACATGGTTCCTCGCACTTTGTAAATTCAGTATTCTATTTCATTCTATTTCTATCTATATCTCTAGAATATACCGAAATTACAATACTCATAAATGCTGAGAATCGACCAGTTTAAATGAGTAGTGATAGCTTGCATACCGTGAATTTGCAAATGCACTTTGGTGTTTGGAAACTTGTTCTGCACTGGTGTTCTGTTATGTTGAAATGGCCCACTTTGTGAGAAAAAAAACATAAGTAAAGATGCTTTAGACACGGAGAAGGAAATGCCAATTTAAAATGCGAAAGATATATATTGAGAGATGCAAAGAGCACAATTTAAATACCAGAAGAACTGCGTTTTTATCGTTGGAGCTGCTTTAACCTGCACATCATGCGAAATCGAGTAAGCCCTCATAAACCCCCCCCCCAAAAAAAACCTCCTCTGCAGAGGTCAAAGTTCCAACCCAAAAGGTGCCAGTATTAATGATTATTACGAAAAAAGAGTGAGAGAATTTCGATAAGTAATAATAAGTCAGCCAGTTGTAGTAGATATTCGAGGGACGTCTCTCGTATTTTCAAAGTACTGTTATGCGCTCTGATATACTTCGACTTACGGCATAGGGAATTTGGGCTGGCATTGTTGGAGCCAGGTCAGGTAACTCTACAAAGGCCACCAGGTTATCCTCTATGCTGCAAAGCGAAAAAAAAATTAATAAAAATGGTAACATCCCAAAGGAGGTAGTTACTCGTCCAGCACTGAATTGTTTTACACGTGTAACAAGGAGACATTTTGAATATTTAATAGAGGCAGTTGGATAGAAGGAGTCAGAGAGTTTGCCAAGGTCTTAAAACAGAGAAACATAAAACCAGAAAGTAGTATGTAGTATTCATTTGGTTCAGTAAGGGTGCGATTACTACGGTTAGCGGTTGTTATGGAATAAGAAAAAGTCAAAGAAATTCGATAGTTTGTGCGCGTTAATTACTTTAATGAGATTCAAGGAACGTAAATGTTTATTAGAGCTTTTTTATTAATCCTGCTCTTGCTTTGGCGCATTCATATATGATTTTGATGGCAGGATGAAATTTCAAGTTTTACGACTGAAATTCGTCGTGTTACCCTGCCATCCAGAACCTTGCATGATGATAATACGTCCACGAGAGTCTCTGTATTCATAGGTGATTTTGTTAGTAATGTAATAGTTTCCATATGATCAACGGTTGCTGTCAAACTGTGTAGTAAAAGAAGGAGAAAGGTCATCAGGGTAGTTGTTTAGTGACAACAGCTGTATCAAAGTATAAGCAAGGCATAGTGAATGAAATGCGATTTTCAGAGAGATTTCTTGCTTTTTGTTTGTGATAACTGTTGCAGTTTATAAACAATTGGGCTAGCATCTACAGTAAGCTGGTTAGTCAGTTAACCTGAAAGGAACCGAAAGACTTAAAAAACCATAAAGTCATTTACCAGAGACAGTTCGGCAAGTCCAATAATGCTAGGAATAATTGTATCATGAAATTAAGAAAATCTTCATTATAGATTGCTCATCATCAGCCATCGAGTTTCAATACACAATTCCCCCTACTGAATTCTAAAAATTATCAAAAAGAAATCCTCATAAAGTTGATGAATCAAAGATATAAAAAATATAAAAAAGAGTGGAGAAGCCCGGCATCGATCCGGGTGCCTCTCGCATGCTAAGCGAGCGCTCTACCATTTGAGCTACATCCCCATTTCTTGAAATTTTTCAAGCGGAGTACTATTCATCCTAAAATACAAAAAGGAATATACAAATATCAGTCCAAAGGCATTCCCGAAGTGACAACAGCACCCAGATAGAATGTTCGTCAATTTTGCCAAGCTGTTCCACCTCAAAGGAAATGATAGCTTATTTCAGCTAGGTCATCGATCGGATGTCCAAAAGGATTAAGTCCCGAAGCCAACATACCGCCGAGATCAACTAGAAGACTGCCAAGGCCATCTAAAGTTTTGCTGCAGCCTAAGAAAAATTATGAAGACCCTAACGTAATTCATGAATTTGTATTAATAATAATTCATGTTCATTACATCGGTAAGTAAAAGTATAAATAGTATGAACATGGATTGTAAAGAATTTGATTGTATAAACAATAAGTCTATCTGGTCCAGTAGTCTAGATTGCGAATTTATCACTGGAATACACCCAAATGCGAAGAAGAAACTTAAGAAGATCAAGAGACAAGTATAATCTATTCAGCTCAAACTCACAAGGACCTGAGATCCGACAAGTACAGGCTTGGATTGAAACAGAGAGCAGATAAATCTGGTTAAATGAAAAAAGAGAAGCAACTGCAATATCATGATCGATAGTATCCAAGGAACCAACCCACAGAGCATAATCAAATCACAATAAAGAAACTATCCAGATAAATAACGAGATAGCACAATGCAGTTGTGCCACACAATCACCAGGCACCTAAGCCATTGCGGAGTTATGAAGCTCGGCCAACGCCGCCGTACGTTGTAGAACGTGAATCTGAATAAATAAATGAGCAAATGAGGAGGGATTCTTTTTAACTTACCTAACCTCCTATAAGGATTTCAGCGGATATATTTTATCGCGATGCCAGATTTGTTTTCCCGCGGTACAGTGACTAGCAAAGGTAGCATGAAGCAGAGGCGCCAACGGACTGGAGGAAGATACGGCACTACTGATTTCGTAACGGAACCAGTTACGCATGATCACACGCAGAGCATTCTAACAAAAATCAGAGAAATAGAAAAAGCAGCAGCGAAAGGCGACACAGACAAACATATTGAGACCGCACTGAAAAGCATCTGCTCTTATATCAAGGACAACGGGTCAGCTTATGATGCATCTCGTAGGCATCTCTACGACCTTCAAGACCTAAAACTCAAACATGACGTGTTAATTGAGGCGATGTCAGGGGAAGACTATTCCTGGGGCCGAAGCAGCATTCACGCTATAGCTTCTGCCACTAGTTCGCTGATAGTAAGCGAGCTCTCTACAGCAAGCGGACCTCTAGAGAAAAAGATGAGTGCTTTAAGGGTATTTGAAACCTTATATATCCTTGCAGGCGTAATATTTTCTAGCGACGACAAATATGGCTTCATAGAAGTCAGCTACATTGGAGGATTTGTCTCATCGTCGATATTCATATACTACGCCCTCAACTTAGCTGACGTGTGTGCTGCCAATAATGCGTTGATAGATATCATAAACTCAAGGTACCTTTTGCTAAACCATTCACAAAAATTTTCGAATGAGCGGACGGAATCAACTTACTACGAGCAAGCAGAAATGTCTTGGGCTGTTGGATCTGCTGCTTCTAGATACAAAATTAATGCGAGCACTGTTTTCCGCATACTGCCGGAAGCTTTGACCATGGTGGTTTCCGACGCAATAGTGGATGTTTTCTGTCAATCTATGTTTGCCTTGGAACGTCAAGACATGGAAACGATGTCTTTCTTTGACGCAGTAAAGAATCTCGACGGCAAGTTGTGTAGAGGAATTATCGGAAATATGGTAGGACCTCGCTGGCTACCAGCGCGCTACGTTCTAACGCCTATGGTGGCATCATCGGCCATTAAATCAAGTCTTCTCAATGCTTATGAGGTGAAAGCAGGTAAATCTGTCGCTCTATTTATGGAGCGTGAGCAGGATTATTCTGACGAGAAAACGGACATCAAGTGGACAAAACTGGGCGTTGAGAAGGAGATAATCTATCCCGTACTGGCGTTCAATCTTATCATGCTCGTAGTCTTAGTCGCAGCTTTATACTGCGCAGTTTCGTATAACGACACGTTTGCGAATGCCCAAATTGACGTTACTAGTTTCTTGAGCCTGATACTGGTGTTTGAAGGCTTGGCCTTTGCTGGTTTTACATCAGTGTACAGAGAGAACTGGTCATTGTATTGGATGTTCCAGTTCAAGGTGCATTATAATGACATTAGCAAAATCTTACAGCATAAGGATACTACCAGCATAAAGATATTGCGTGGCATACTGTCAAACAGGCATATATATTCGAAGCTAATACAGCCATCAAGATCGTGCTGGATAGGGGAAGGTACTGTGGAAGCCGACAACTATCTTTCATCCGACGTGCTACTGTGGTCTTACTATGAATGTGGCGTGATAGAACTCGGTACAAACATCCCTGGCGGCGGATATCGTGCTATTATGGTTAAGATAATAGGGGAAATGTTGACAATGGAGCATATAGAGCTATCCGGATTGAGCAGTGGACAGGCACACGTCAGATATAGCGCCGAGAGCGACATGACTGACGTGACTTTGGGATTTTTGCAGTCAGATACAGAAAATATGCCTATCGGAGCTGCTAAAGAAAATGTTACAAACTCGACGGCGGCATCGAATGCAGAGATATGCATTGCTACTGATGTCACCTCAAGAGGAGACACTACGACTAGGCCGATTGTAGACCAGCATTTGCAACGGTATCGAGGGTAGAGGCAAATTTCAAGTGCATGCCGCATTGCACATCTTATTGCGCGAGGGAGCCGACAGGACAACTTTATGTAATCACAAAGTATCTGCAACATATGCTACACGACAGCATTGAATGCTCAACTGTCTGTGTCAAAAGCACATAAATGTTTATCGAAAAGTGCCCAGTAGTTTGTTTGTATTGTCGCTGGAACGCTCGTACTGCTCATTTACCTGCTTGCACAGATCATTAATAAAGTATCCTCTCAGGATGCTGTTCAGACTTTGTGCTCCATCCATAATTTGTGAGCAAACGCAATTCCCTATTACCTTTTAAGCATCTGAGGAATGACTTATGTTTTACCCTGGTGTTGGAGAAGTTTTTTTAATGACAAAAGGACTATAAATTATAGCCTTGTCTCTTCGTGATAGCGTTACGCTAAAAGGTTGCTTCACTAAGGCATGCTGTTATTACGATGATTTAGCGAGATCATCCACAATACACTTCAGCACATATTGAGCATATCATGTTTCTATAACCGGTATTTATTTCGAATGTCTGATGCTATGATGATTTTTCAATCTCTTGCGGAGTTTTTGTCTTCAATGACAAAGCATGTACACCGGCTTGAAGTTCATCGTTGAGCAAGGTATAGATGGAGCGATGTCTCTGCATCAAGTTTTTTCCAGCGAAAGCATCGGAGACGATGGTTACTCTGTGAAAGATTGTCAGTAAAATTTACAGGGGTAATATCGAAAGAGAATAGTTTTAACTCACCGGAAGTGAGTTTCTTTGTCAGTATTTCCTTTCATGGCTTCGTGGTGAGCATGAAGATGGGATTCATTAACAACATCCAAAATGCTGGGATTGAAAGCCTCCTGGAGCTACAAAGGAAGGGAGGGTAAGTGGTTGCTTTTTTAACTGGTCAAATGCTTTGAAATCAAGCTCCTACCTTGGCCTCCATGGTTTGTTGAACAGGACCGACCTTTGCGCTATCCATAAAAGTTCTTAGAAATACGGAAGAGGGAAGGTTCTCTGGAGTTGAAGAGTATTGGCGCTGAAGAAGACGACCGGCGTGTCTAGGCAGGCGATCGAGATTTCGAAGCATGAAAGGTTGAGATCGTTCAAAATCTGTCAACAGTGGCGACTCGATGGCTGGAAACACCAGTCACATATGGGAGTTCCCTGAATGCGGGGATTCGTCACGATCAATTGGGCTGGCTGGCTGGGAAATCACTGAACCTTGAAATTTTTTGAAATGGCGAATTCAGCTTTTAAACAGCTACTTGCCCGGCTAACTTGCCCCCAACCACCTTCTTTTGTTTTACCGCAGTAACTTCCAGAAAAATGGCTGTACCTCAAGTTCGTCTTCATCCAGATGGCCCTAGCGTATCCCAGTTGGTATATGGTACCTGGCGCTTAGCAAACTCAAACGGTTGGGAAGCTGATCCTAGCTTGGCCACACCTGAGTCTGTCCTCGAGCGCATCGAAGCCTGTAAGTGACGTATGCTTTATAGAACCATATACTGCTTTATACCATCTGACAGCTTGCAATAATGAAGGCTTGAAGCTTGGCATCACCACATTCGACTTGGCTGATATCTATGGTGGTATGTATCATTTAACTGCTGAGGAGTAACGCCCCCTTCCAACGGCTACTGACGCGTATTTTCAGGATATGCTTATGAAGAGCTTTTCGGCAAGGGTCTTGCACTCAAGCCAGAACTGAGAGAGAAGATGCAGATGTGAGCGGTTTTTAAGATATGAAGGATGGTTGAAAAAGAGGTCATACTGATATTGAGTATAGCATTACTAAGACGGGCATCAAAATTCCCAACGATATGTGGTCTGAAAAGGTTTATGTCAATCATTATGATACTTCCTACGAACACATCAAATCGCAGGTCGAGAGATCGCTTCGTCTTTTGGGCACAAACTATCTGGACGTTGTCTTGATTCACCGACTCGATTATCTTTTGGATGCCGATGAGGTTAGTGAATAGCTATGATGGAACGAGTGCAAGGCATATAATAACCAACCCCTCTTTTATCATAAAAAAAAAGGTTGCCAAGGTTATGAAGGAGCTTCGACAGGAAGGAAAGGTCAGATACTGGGGTGTCTCCAATCACTCATACTCTCAAGTTGAGCTGTTGCAGTCCCGTTTGGATTTCCCCTTGGTGACGAACCAGATCGAATTCTCCCCCGCCCATCTTGAAGGAATGGATGATGGTACTCTTGATCAATGCCAACGCTTGCGTATGAAGCCAATGTGCTGGAGTCCTTTGGGCGGCGGTGCTATCTTCAAAAAAGACGTGTCTAACGACCCTAAAACTGAGAGATTACAAAAGGCTTTGAAGACGGTTGCTGAACAATTCGGACCCGACGTCACTTTGGATCAGGTTGCTTATGCATTCCTTTTGAGACACCCCACTAAGCCCGTCATCGTTTTGGGAACTAACAAACTTGATCGCCTTGAGGGTGCTGCTGCCGTCTATGAAAAGAACCTCCAACTCAACAGACAGCAATTTTACCTCATTTGGCAGGCTTCTAAGGGTCACTCCGTACCCTAAGTTATTCTCGGCAATAAGTAATAAAAGATTGTATACCATGTTTGATGGCGTAAAAATTTTCAAAGTGACAAAAGCTGAAGTGTTTTATATTCTGTTGTTACATATTACCCATAGGTGATATGGTCAAATTTACATGGTGTGCGTAGCATCTACAGCATTAACAATGCCATTGCGCTCACTGCTCGAATCCTAATGCCGATCATAGGCATTTAGTGGAACTTGCCAGGCACGATAGGGTGGCTTGAGGAAAGACCTCCATCAACAGCCCAAGATTGTCCGTTCACATAAGAGGCATCGTCACTAGCAAGGAATGCAACAACGCTAGCAATCTAAAAAGTAAACGATTAGAAACACGTTTACATAAAGCTTAATAGTAGGGTGAATTGAAACTCACTTCTCCAGCAATGCCGTAGCGAGCGAGTGGGTTCAATTGACCAATCTTATGTTCGTTTCCTCTAGATCTTGCATAGTCGAATGTTTGCTTTGTCATTCCAGTCTCGATCAAACCCTATTGCAAAAGTTGGTCAGTATGAAGCGAACACATATACGTTGGTCTGGAAGCTAGTTGCTACATACTGGGCAGATGGCGTTCACTCTAACATTAGTACGGCCATATTGGTAAGCGGCTGTCTGTGCAAGATTGATGACACTGAAGGAAGACGGATCAGTCAAGACGTAGAAGATATACCTAATTGATGTCGAAGCTACTTACGCTGCCTTTGATGCGGAATATTCGCTAGATCCAGCACCAGATCGAATACCAGCAACTGTCCCAATATCCGGTCAGTCATTGCTATTTTGGAAAAAGAAAATACCATTATAATATCTCTCACCTGAAGCAGTTCCAATGATTGATCCTCCTGAATGCTCCTTTCCACCCTTACCAGTTACCTGCATCGCTTGACCAGCATGCTTGATGGCGAGGAAAACACTATATGATGACTAGGTGAATGGAAATTCAGAATGCTATTCATTATGGATCTCGTGGCTTTACCTTAAAGCATTAATCTTCATCATTCGCATGAAGCTCTCGGCGGTTTCATCTTTGATGTGAGTTCCGGAAGCAATGCCAGCGTTGGCAAAGAATACGTCCAATCGACCAAATGTAGTCATTGCCTCGTTGATGATAGAACGAACATCTTCATCTGAGGAAGCGTCAATCTTGCGAGCATAACACTTTACTGAGGGGTATTGTTTCTGGACGGTGTCAGCAAGTTCCTCCAGGTTGTCGGTAGACAGATCTGTTACATATATGGCTGTGGGAGACTGCTTGGCCATAGCAAGGGCAGAAGCACGCCTTTTAAAACGTTAAAAATTAAACTTAACATTCTATGGTATTTCAGCTAGTAAGAATGCGATCTCCCTACCCAATACCATAGAGGGAGCTCGCTCCTGTGATGATGCAGACCTTGCCAGCCATAGAAGGCTTGTCAAGGGCAATGTGAGCCTTGATCTGGGCAAGGCGATCGCTGGGAACTGATGCAGTGGATTTGTTGGACATACTAGAGGTTGAATGTGAGCAATGAAAGAAAAGAAATGACAATTAACTTCATTCCCTTTATACTTTCTCCATTCTTTTTAACCTTTGTAAGCTGCTTTGCAGAAAGCTCTCACAACTTTGATATTCCGACATTTCATGTGTGAAATTTTGCCACGAAAGGCGGCAAATCTCCACAGTTGTCTTTTTGCAAGGCTGCACTACAAGTCAAAGCGTACTTTGTAATGGAAGGTAACAGTTTCAAAGGAAAGTATTTGAATATCATTATCAATATGTATAAAGTCTTGACAGCTTGTCAGAAACTACCTAATAGAATGAAAGACTCCACCTCCATTAATTTTGTAATGAAAGATTCTTGCTAATATATAAGGTCAAGTAGCGAACATGACTTGCGATCAAAATTTTGAACTCACGTCAAACAATATTATTCTGAATACATGAGAAAGTGTCAATCGTGTCGTGTTTGAGTATGGCTTTCAAAATACATCCAGTACAGTAGGTGCAAATATGACGGGCCTAGAGCTAAATTTTTCCTTTTTACGCTTGATATTTCAAAATTTCGAAATACGTTAGGTGTACTTCAATTCAAACGTTGCTATAAATGAGTTATCTATCCTACAGATTCATCGAGATATATACATTTCCACCGCGTCGTCTGAATGATACCAAGTTTTCTTTGCCGTCAAGGCCATTTCTGCGTCTTTAAACCGCTTTCCTATGGCAGCTCCCTTGGCCTTGTACGTTTGCTTGGATGATTGGTCGATATTGACTCCGCTTGAAAATACCTATAAGACGCTTGCACTCTTGACTCGCCAACATCGATCAGAGCATCATGTACAAGAAGCTTCCCTTCTGTATCTTTGCAGTCCTGCTGGTCTGCTTTGCGTCGACTCTCGCTTTTGCAAACGAATATAGCAACGAAATTGCAACAACCATTGTTGACTTGCCTGTCCATTTCAAAAACGTCAAGACAATCCGAACAATTGATCTCAGGTCCACTGTTGTACGCGAAGACATTGGCATTCGAGCCGAAAACATTGATAGCCAACCTCAGACCGAATACTATGTACCACTCCCTGAAGAATATGACAACAAGGTTGCTCATTTCACCGCTACCTTGAAGACGACTACCAAGGAAGCTTTGCCTGTCGAGAAGCTCGGCTTTGATTCTACGAGGTATATTTAGTTATGCGAGTTTGGCTAGCCTAACGCATGTCTAACGCGATATGATTACAGAAAGATCCAGATATACAAGATTACTTTCCCTGAGCCTGTAGCACCAGGCAGCACAGTTGCCTTTGGCATTAAGTTTGTTACCACCAAAAGTCTTATTCCCAACCCAGAGACAATTCCTCAAGTTGCCAGACAACACGTGGAGTACAACAACAACTTGTTCATTTACTCTCTGTACCTAGTTGAGGATAGCAAGACTACTGTTGTGTAAGTCGAAATATCCTCATTTTATCGGGTTTCTTGCTAAAGCATGGACTGAACGTGCCTGATTCTCTTACAGTCTTCCTCCTAACGGTAATGTTGTCACTTTCACCGAGACCACCGAATCATTCTCAAGATCTGGTAACAAGATTATTTATGGACCCTACCACAACATCGATCCATTGGTCTATAGCGAAATGCACATCCATTACGAGCAATCTCAGCCTATTCTCACCGTTACCAATCTTGTTCGCGACATTCAGGTGTCTCACTTGGGCGGTAACTTGGCTGTGGAGGAGCGTTATCCCTTAAGACACGATGGTGCACGGTAAGTAGATGCTCGAGGCTATGTTGAGCGGCACATCGTTGTATGTATATCTAATATGGTTTTTGATATAGCTTGGAAAAGCAATTTAGCCGTGTCGAGTTCCAGCAGTCTGCAGGAGTGCACGATCACACCAACGTTTTGAAGCAGCTTACTTTCCAACTACCTGCTAGCGCTCGTGACGTATACTATCGTGATGATATTGGCAATGTTTCAACTTCCCATGTTCGCAATCAAGTAGGCAGTACCCTTCTCGAAATTACTCCTCGTTATCCTCTTTTCGGAGGATGGAATTACACATGGTTCCATGGATACAATGCTGATCTTGGTGAATTCTTGCATTATAACAAGCGTGCTGGACGGTACATCCTCAATTTGAAACTTGTGGAAAACGCCAAGAAGATGTCATTTGAACATGTTAAACTGAATGTGGTTTTACCCGAGGGTGCAACGTAAGCAGAGGGATATGTTGATAACTATGGCGCACTTCTAACTAGACCACTAACCAACTCACTAATAGAGATGTTCAAGTTGAGGCACCTTTCGACTTTGATGGAGTCACCCACAGCAAGCACTTCACTAATCTCGACACCACCGGACGCTACCAGCTCACTCTGGACAAATCCAACGTTGTTTCTGAGCACGAGGACTTTATACAGGTAATACAACAGGCTGATTTGGCAGGCTCAATGTAGTCATGGAACGTCTTGACTGATCCGTTTTTATATAGATTTCGTATAAGTTCTCGTCAATCCACCATTTGCAAAAGCCATTGGCGGCCTGTGCTGCGTTCTTCACCATCTTTATGATGAGCATTCTCATTTCAAAGGTCAAGTTCACTATCGGTGTTACCCAGGTACGACTTTGACCAAGCTTTAATATTTTGACTTTTCCCGACTGTTATATTAATGTAAAGCCATCCATAGGTCATAAAGAAGACGGAGTAGATATGTTAGAAACTTCAGGACTCTTCTCACGTATATGGCGAACCAAAATTTTATAAAATGTCTTCCATCGCTTTTTCACTGTTTCATGACTGGTTTTGATACATTGGTATGAACATCGATAATCTCAGTACCATTTTTTTAATAGCCCTACGACTTTGTCAAGTTGTCCAAATATGACTGCAAAGTCCTAAATGTTTTGGTATGCCCCTTTCTTTCCTGGAGGGGTAGCGTTTAAGACTCAGACATTGAGGCGATCACTGACTTGGCTGATATGTTGAGAGCATGGCTGGTCGATAATCTTTCTAAAGACAGCTATGAACATCATTCTCTTATCTGATTCATAAAGAAGGTATTGGCAATCTCACGCTGACAAATTTTGGTGTGGCCCGTCATCCGAAATTCAAGTTTATGATGACGCGGTAAGCTAATTTGATATTTTTGGTCATGGGAAGGTTGCGCCAACTATTTTTTATTTTTCCCCTTGTCACCACCCAGCAACCATGAAGAAAAAGGTACACCCTCGGCGATACAGTAAAGTTATGAAATCTGTAGGCCATCAACAATTTAGTCTAACAGCCATTCAAATTCAAGGTCCTTTTAATGGGTAAAAGTGGTTCAGGAAAAACCTCCATGCGTTCTATTATCTTCTCAAACTATATTGCTCGCGACACTAGACGTCTCGGAGCAACTAGTATGTATAAATGACCTCCGCCAAAATGACTCAAGCTATATATCAGTCGATAACTAACTCCACTAAAGTTGATGTGGAGTCATCCAGCGTCAAGTTCTTAGGAAACTTGACATTGAATCTTTGGGACTGTGGTGGGTACGTATATGTGCTGAGTAGAGTCAGCATAGGTGCTAGGTGTTACATTAAAACTTATACTAGGGCTTATAATACCGTGATTGGCTCAGACAGGAAGCTTTTATGGAGCATTATTTTGCCTCGCAGCGGGGCCATATCTTCAAGTCTGTTGAGCTATTGATCTATGTCTTTGATGTCGAGAGCCGGGACTCAGAAAAGGATATTCATTACTACCAGTGGTGTCTCGAAGCAATTCTCGAAAAATCACCCAATGCCAAAATATTTTGTTTACTACACAAGATGGATTTAGTTCCATTGGATCAAAGGGACCAGGCAAGTTCGAGCCACAGCGTGCTTTGCGTCTATCATTTTGAGCTAATGTAATTTTTTTTTTGCATGCAGTTGTTTTCACACTGGAAAAATGAATTGCAAAGACTATCACTTCCATTAGAAACAGTCGTCTTCCCGACTTCGATATGGGATGAAACGCTGTATGCTGTAAGTTTTTGCCATGTTGCCCAAATTTTTGTGAAATGAACGTTGCGTGGCTCAAGGAACTTGTCTACAGGCATGGTCAAAGATTGTGCATTGCTTGATACCCAACATAAATACACTGCAAATGCATTTGGATAAATTCTGTGAGATTTGTGAAGCGGATGAAGTGGTGCTTTTTGAACGAACAACAATCCTGGTGATTGCAAACGCAGCGCGGGTTCAACATCCAGACATCCACCGATTCGAAAAAATTAGCAGTATCATCAAACAGTTCAATCCGAGTGGCCGGTATGTAGCTTTTTCCAAGTCTGATACACAATATACTTTATCTCATGTTGCTAACAAAACGATTAGGGAGCCGTCACATTTCAAAAGTATGGAAATTCGCAGCGCGACTTTTAGTGCGTTTATCGACGCCTTAACTACCAACACTTATGTCATGGTGGTTTTGTCGGATTCATCCATTCGTAAGTTGGTGGCGTGTCTAAAGCAACATAAACAAAGTCTCAATAACAAACAATATCTGGGTCTAGAATCGGCAGCTACCCTGCATAACATTTCTGTAGCTAGAAAGCACTTTAAGCTACTGGAAATTGACCGACCATAATCATTCCTCATCTATCAATTCGGCCACCTTATGATAATCAAGTCGTATGATATGTTAAAGCAATATTACTCACTAAGAAATTCAAAAAAAATTTGTAGAAAGGACAAAAAAAAAAGAACAAGGAACCAAATTATGTAGCATTGACAGGGTCCGTTAAAGTATAAAGTGTATCAAGAGGTTGTGGTATCGTTTGATGTGTCTTCCTCTTCCTCCTCCACCGGCTCCGGTCGACTTGCCTCTTCATATCCTTCCATTTCCTCTAATAATTTCATCGTAATTGCATCTGAAAATCCGTAAAACTGTGCATTTGGAATGAGTGAGGAATATTTATAGAGGTGGGTAAGAGACAATGGGATACATTACCAGAGGGCCACTAACGCGAGTACCCTGAGATTTGCTTCGTTTGCAAGCCTCTGTCCAAGGGGCTGTTGGAGTCGCTCCTTTGAAAACCTTTCCTGACCTTTCACCTTCCACCTTCGAGTGACGGGATTAATATGGCTGGTATCAGTTTTAAGAATCTATTGTGTAGTATTTACCGTAAATATTGGACCAGTCTCGCCTTTAGATATGGTCATGGTGTATACTTCGTCAAATGCAAGTTTGGAGGCTTTGTATCCAATGGGGTATGGATGTCGAAACATACACTACAAAGAGGCAAGAGTCGGAACTGTTAGTGACTTCCATGGCTCATCATTTACAGCTTCCATAACAATATACATACCCCTCGGCCACTCCAATATTTTCTCCTTTGTTCTCCAGTCTCCAGCTCACCTAACTCCCATATCGTGGTTCCTATGGAAGCTATAAGAGGATATGTCGTCAATTTCGGCATACTTCGTGTTAGATATCAACTTATGCGGATGTCGTTCCTTACCAAGTGTTACTGGCGTAGATACGCATTTGGGAACTGGGATTTCTGCCAAATACCCAGTGTGCTGCTTTTTTCCTCGCCAAACGCCGGTAGTTGCATCTACAATTACTCTCCTTTCAGGAACATCAACATTTCGCAATCGATCGTTGTCGTCGAGAAGACTTTCTAAATCGCTCTGCAAAGTAATGTCTTAACTTACGTTGCAGCAATTTGTCCTACCGGTCAGTGTATGTACTCACAATGTCTTCTGGTGCCTGGCCTAGTAGTCGCCGTGATACACGTGGAGTGACGTTAATTTCTTTGACTTTGGACTTGTAATGCACTGCTTTCATCTTCTTTCCCCCATATTTCCGGTCTCTCTGTATAGAAACATCGATCTGTGTTGTTGACAGATAGGCGTTAGCCTTCTGGGCCAATTTTTTTTGACACCTCGTTATTCCATCACACTACCTCTTGTACGAGTTCTCTTTTTCGGATGGCATCAATTAGGCCCAAATCCTTCAACAGACTTTGGTTGTCCAAGATGTTTCTTTGTCGCTTCAATTCGTACTCGCTAATATGAACTTGTGAGTATTAAAGTCTAAAAAGTAGTATGCTAAACGCGTCGAATTCCAGGCATTTCGCAATTGCATAACTGCACCAAGTGCTGTGGTAACACCATTAGCCTTGCTGAATCTCTTACCTAATGTCATTCTCTTTGCTTTCTCCTAGAGTGTCTGCGTAACTCATCCGACTCAAAACAGTGAATTTGAATTCGTGACCAGGATTCAGGACCTACAACTTTTTTTTTAGGCAGGCGTCACGTGCTCCAGTCTCTGCCGGATTTGAAAAAGCACACAACGTAAAGTGTGGTTAACAAGTGATACAGTATCTTCCCACAGGTTGCCATATGACCAGCAGAGAAGCATCAACCATTTGATGGGCGTACTCATATACAAAGTTAAAAATAGGCGACAGAATGTCCATAAAGGTCGCTTTCTTAAGTAGTTCAGTAACACTGACTTCAGCGTAAGCTTGCAGGATGGAGCTATAGGTTATGGATACGCCCATCAACCAACTAATTTTCTTTGTGCGAGTACGCTATGGGAAAATTTGATTGCAAATCTTATTGCCAGCCGTATGTACACAAGAACCACTTGGTTTACTATTCCTGTTCGTGATGTTAATCAACCATGAATTGAAGTAGAAACAAAAGAGCCAAAAAAGCGAGGTCAATGAAAATAACTGCTAATAAAAAATAAAGAGAGTAGAGGTGTTGGTGCATCATATTTCACAAAGTCTTGTTAAATGAGATGTAGCCAGCAAGGCTGCATAGGCTCATTGTCCCAAATCCATTAGCGCAGTTTAAAATGGCCAATGGAGACCCAAAAAAAAGTTTGGAAATCTAACACATTCTTACTACGCTACAATGCAGCGCTCGACTGATGAATTAGAAGAGTTTCGACGCCAGTGGAAAGCAGAAGTGGAAATCAAGAAGCATGTTGAACATGCGTCCGTGGAAGTACCAGCCAACACGGACAGTTCCCAGAAGAATGAACATTCCGCCGAGGCTACCCGTAACAGCTCAACCACAGGCTTGGTTCAGCATGTTACGGAGCCAGAGTCGTCAGAAACTCAAATAGAAGAGGAGGCTGTCGAAAAGAAAAGCGCCATGGATTATTATATGATTGCCGTGGACAAAGAGCGCCAAGGAAATTTGGGCCAAGGTAAGGTTGGGATGTTTGAATACGGGATATGGTAAGATTTGTCAGCCAATTGATTGAGCCCGCCATAGCCCTTGCAAACTATAGAAGAGCGTTCAAAATGGATCGCAACATCGATTACAAATACAAGCAACACTACCAAACACATATCGCTCCATCCATAACAGCTGAAGCTACAACTAATATACCCTCACAAACGCTGAGTGGACTAGAGGAATCGGAGAACGATAACTTTCACCACGTAGTTCAGTTTGGCAGGGAATATGTTGCTCCAAACACCTCACATAGCCCGATCGATGATTTAGTCGAAGACTTTAAGAACCAAAGTCTCGAATACATACCTGCTGACGAAGAGAAACCCGTGTTGATATCAATCCTGCCCAGTAAGTTAAATTTAGTTAACATTTTTGGCGTGGTAATCATTGTGAGTAACTCATCCTTGGATGAATTAGATGAGGTGGTTGTTCATGTTTTACGGAATGTAGTCTTTGACTCAGTGCGGTCAGTGCATAATTTTGCATTGGTGTGCAAAAGGTTTTTACTACTTACGCGCGCCCAATCCATCTGGCGCCCGTTGTGTGAACATGTTTATCACACACACAATATTCCCAAGGAGATATCAGATCAATTCCAACTTGATATCGTCAATAGAGCATACAATGGAAACTGGTTGCGAATGTTTATCGAGCGACCACGCATTCGATTTGAAGGCATTTATATCGCGACATGTCACTATCTCCGTCCAGGAATCTCGGACACAGCATGGAATCAACCTATTCATCTAGTCACCTATTATCGGTACTTACGATTCTTTCCCGATGGTACTATCGTTAAATATCTGTCGACAGACGAACCTGTACATGTCGTCCGAAATATAACAAAACATTTCAAGGCCAAACAAGTGTTCCATGGGAGATATGAAATTGAAGGCGACAAAGTCATTGTTCACATGCGAGATCAAGAAACTCGACCGACCGAGCGATTCCAAATGAATGTCAATATCAAGAGCACTCATCGGGGACGACACAACAAATTAGCATGGGAGGAGTACGTTAGTTGGAGCGATGTGCGCGGAGACAAGACTAATTATAATCTCAAGCACATGAAGCCTTATTACTTTTCGGTTGTTCGAAGTTATATCGTTGAATGAAGCACCTCAGTGTATGTATTTTTGTTTGTTTGTTCGTTCCTCTCACTGTACGAGATTTTTCTTCTATCTCTTGTATCTGCTGGTGCCATACCTCCTACTTTTGTCATAAAATTGAAACATCCTTTTGCTGCACGTTGCATCATTTACGCCTCTGTCATGAATGTTAGAACTCTGCTAAAATGAAGTGAATCAAATTTTCATCTCCCAACAATAAAGTGTATACGGGAGACTCAATTTCATATTACATTGATGCTTACCTCAAATAATCCGATCGCTTTCCATCTAGTGAATACGGCATACTCACTTCAGCGGCAGCTATAACCTTGCATTACCCATCAAAGCGGGGCTCAACTCATTATGGCAATCAACTGCTCCTCACCTGCGAAAAGCAAACTTGTTAAATTCTCTTCCAACATGAATATCTACTCAGGGATAAATCCGATAGGCCTGGGAGACTACTACAATTCCTCTAGGGTCTATCTTCCTTCTGAATACAATCGTTTTTCGTCGGCCTTGCCTTTCAGATGTGTCACGATTGTCATCTTCGTGAGCTGGAGAAGTTGGATCAGCTGACAAGTCACCACAATGTCTTAATCTGTAAACATTGTAGCACAGTGTGGCAAAGAGTCACGAATGCCAGCAAAATTGTGCTCATTCGGTGTGGACTGGTGACGACCCCATTACAAGCTGTCAACCCGGCCCTTCACCACCTCTTCTAACAATTCAACCTAATGGTTGTTACGAATGCAAATTTTCTCTTATGAAAGGAACAGACATGTTGACGCTAGTCGATGGATCGCTTCTCATTATAGCACTATCAGCACAACTTATCTCACTCTAGCCGCAACATAATTTTTGAAATCACAGTGACAAAGGCTACACGGGATATGAGCGCGTACATCATGGTAATGCAGCCACGTTCGGATTAAAACTGCAGAGTGGAAATCACATCAATAAGTTCAAAACGCACAATCGAAATCAAATAGACCGTTGTTCTAGTTTCCTGCTTGCCAAAATACCATTTGCGAGCTTCTACCAATGTTCTAGATTTTGGGGGCGAAGCACCATGTTAATCTGACCAAAAAGCGCCTTTTTGGGCCAAAAGAAATAAGCGCCGCATTTTGTCGCCATCGTTTTGTATCCGTTGCACATACTTTTTATTTATCAGGTGAGGGAATGATGGTCAGGTTCAGTGATCTAGAAGGAAGTATAAGGAAAAGGCATCAGGTTCTATACTGTGTAATGCATTTTCGCATGATTTTTATGTTTTGAAGAATTCAGGTACACTACACGTTAAAGAGGTACCATGGGTAAAAGGCTCTGGGCATTGACGGTTTCACACAAATGGTATCACCAAAAAGAAAAGTATAGCTCTGTACGACGGATGCTCAAAACAGGCGGTTGGAGTCCAGCCGCCTTTTCTTCGGTGTTCCATTTATATTTGCCTGACCAAAATCAAGTTTGCAAAATGGCATGATTTTTTTAAGTTTACGATAGCGACTTTCCCATTTTAATATGTTCAATACCATCCTCAATGAAGACATCGCCATCAGTAACACGATAGCCTAATTTTTCATAAAACAGACGCTTATCGACTTGACTATGACAATCTATGAAAGTGATGCCTAAGTTCACAGCGTCTTTCTCCAGGCCTTCCACCAACTTTCTTCCGAGACCTAGACCTCTCGCCGACTGATCCACCGCTAGTCGGCCAAGCTTCCCGATTGAGGTATTCGGTACATGGTAGAGTCTTATGGTGCCAAGGGGTAATCTAGATCGTCGTTGTGGCTCATTCGAAGCAGTTGCAAGCCAATGGAGACATTTTGGATCATATCTATGGTGCCAAATGAACAAAAAAAAAAAATCAATTTGCGATTCATGTCGCCCACGTTATGCCTATGTTATGATTACGTACTCATCGATTTCAAGGTCTAGTGGAATATTCTGTTCATGAACAAACACCTTGATTCGCACATCGTAACATTCTTGGATTTGTTCAGGAGTTTCAGCTTTAATAATGGAATAGACGGTCGACATGGAGTGGCGATAATTGGTAACAATCAAGAAAAAAAAGACCAGGTGACTGAAAGCTTGGGTCAAAAAGCCTAGATTGAAAGCATACCCTGCTTAACGAAAAAAAATAAAGCGGGCATTCAAGTTTGTACGTCATCTCTCTCTCAAACGCCCCCAATGGGTTTATTTGGACGGGTAGTTGGCACCCAAGCCAACGTCCGTAGGGCCAAGTGAATGGAAATGACAACCAAGTCTTGAACAAAAAAAAAACAATGTTGGATAGCTTCAGGTTTAGTCAGGATACCGAAGGTGAGAATTACTCATCTGGTACAGGCGATCAACGCGGGCCATTTCCCTAAATGTATATGACGTCAAAGCCATGTCCAGTGCGGAGTTTCCTCCACAATTATTTCGCAACGTCTGACATGTTCCAATTTTTTTTTTTTCTGGTTTTCTTTCTTTTATATAAAAGTCTTGAGTTTCGGTTTTTGCTCTCTGCTATTGCTTTGACTTCTCTCTTTTATCAACGATATACTTTGAACAAAGAACCCCTCCATCTCCAATGAACGTCGTGTTCAACTCACCGTCTCATTCCCAAGGAGAATCGTACTTTTCGCCTTCTGGCGCAACTCCTTCCTTTGAAACGAACGACCCTTCTCAAACTCCTTACTTTACTGCTCCATTATCACCAATGCTGAATACCGAATTCTTTCAGGCTGTGCAAGCGCGTCAAGCCAGTACTCCTCCATTCTCCTCCAATTCTGACGGTTCGCAACAATTTTCTCCAAACACTGTTCAAACCTTCAAGGATGCAGCTCCTGTGAACCTCAATTTAGGTTCATCTATTTTATCGCGTAGAGAGCAAAATAAGCCCAACTCTTTAGAAAAGCATGTGGAGTTTAAGTCTATTACTTCAGATGATCTGTATAATCTGCTACCTACCGAAGCATCCCCCGACAACGCCAACAACTTGCTTCTTCTCGACGTTCAATCGTTTGTACAGTATTCGCGCTCCCACATCCGAACAGCTGTAGGAGTATCTGTACCAAGTACAATTTTACGACGACCTACCTTTACATTGGAAAAGTTATCCGAAGCCATTGTCAAAGATGAATCGAAAGTCAAGCTTAAAAATTGGCAGAGTGCTGATACCATTGTTATGTATGACCAAAACTCATACCATGTTCAGGAAGCTAGTACCATGCACTATCTTTTCCAAAAGTTTCAAAAGCAAGGTTTCAAAGGACAGCTTTTTTACTTATACGGTGAGTACGCACTTTCAACCTCTTTCATATAAAAAAACCCAAACAACTGACGGTTTTTTTTCTTAATTATCTTTCCTCAGGTGGTATGGACGCTTTTTTGAACGCTCACTCCAGTGCTTGTGTTGTCAACAATTTCAACTCGCAAAACAGAGCCAATACGTCATCGTTGCCTATGAATGCAGGACGACAGATGTACTTACATTTGCCCCAAACACCCAGTCTTCACGAAGTTTCTCGCAAGGAACCAAAAGGATCACGAAGAATGCACTTGCATTTAGATGGCCCATTAACCGCTCCTATGCCAAAGTTTGAAAACCAAGCTTTCAATCCTTTCTTTTCCAACATTCGACAAAACCTCGAGCTTTCACATGGAGGCATCAAGGAGCGATTTCCTGTTCGCCTTCCCGCTTCCTACAACATTGATACCAATACTGGTAATGTCGAAGGCGCTATTCATCCCATGAAACACTGCATTGGAACCGATGCCGGTTCTACGGTACCCGCTTGGCTCAGGAAAGCATTACTTCCCGACAATGTAGGTCCTACCTACCTCGCGGAATCATATGAAGTAAGATAATCTCCATCGCCATGAGACTCAGTTGGTCTCAACGTGTCTTACGATTTTTTTTATTAACAAACCTTTTCTATAGAAAATAGAAAGATTTGAACAGCAGCGCCTACAAAATATCATGCATCATCACTCTGATCGTTCCCAGGGAGACCTAAAGGAACATCCATGGAGTATTGTCGCTGGTATTGAAATGGGCTCCTTGAATCGATACACCAATGTCTGGCCTTTCGGTAAGTTAACTTATCCGGCTGAAACCACCGTGGAGAAACCAACCGACTGTTTCTGGTAACTAATTCGTGTTTATAGAATATACAAGGGTTAAACTCAGCGATCATAAACCTGAATCTACCGATTACATCAATGCAAGTCATATTCAATATATAGATGTCAGCCCAGCATCACTCCCCTCTGGATCCGGTTCGCGCATACCACAGGTAGACAATCTTGCTACTCAAAATGAGTCTACCATGTCATCCAGAACGTATCGACGATATATCTCCACGCAAGGCCCACTTCCAACTACTTTTGATGACTTCTACAATGTTATCTGGGAACAGAACAGTTATGTGATAGTGATGTTGACGAAAGAAGAAGAAATGAACAGAGTAAGTTGGAAGCAGCTCAATTTGCTTTTTTTTTTTTTTTTTTGGTCCAGCATATACTAAACTGTGTCTTGTTCCCTTTAGATCAAATGCCATAGGTACTGGCCATCCTCCGTGAACGAATCACAATGCCACGGAAAAATGACCGTCACTTTGGTTTCTGAAGTATCACAGCCTGTACCTGATCGTAATGGTCAACCCAATAGCAACCCCGATGAAGTTATTGTCGTAAGAAAGCTAGCTTTGGAAAAGCAAGGCAGCAATGACCGACGAATCATCTCTCAAATCCAGTATATGGGATGGATGGACTTTGGAGTTCCTGAAGATCCTCTCGGCACCCTAAGGGTGATAGAAATGGCTGGCAAAACTCAAACCTCTTACGAACAGCAAGCCACTCAAAACAGCGAACCGCTTGTCGGCCCAATGATTGTTCATTGTTCAGCTGGCTGTGGACGCACTGGTGCGTTTTGTACCATAGATACCCTAATGACCCGTCTCACGATGGACGACGACAGCATGTCTCAAGAAGAACGCCTTGGCCAATTGGATATACTACGTGCCACGGTTGAAAAGTTCAGAGAACAGCGTGTCAGCATGGTCCAAACCCTTAGACAGTTTGCTTTCTGCTATGAAGCCATTTTATGGTGGATTCTAAACTTCTAAGATACCTTTGTCAACTTTTGCTCCGTCTTTCGCCAAACTACCATCTTGTAATTTTAATCTTGTTTTCTTTTATATACTTCTTGTTTTTTCCTTGATTGTCTACAGTAAATACACACTTGTTTTTCTTTTTGTTACGAGCTCTGAATTCATAATGTGACATTAAAAATTAAACCCTCCTATATATACCTATGCGAGTCTCACTGTGGACTGCAAATGGCCTCCAGAAGCAATCGAAAAAGGCATGGTCATTGTTCTTTGACGTTCCCTCAAAGGGATAAAACAAAGGCACTTGTCTATTTTCACCAAATGTGGCATGGTCCTCGGTTAGTTGGGGGGTTATTCAGGGACAATGGCTCCATAACCAGGGTTTCGAACGGACTGATTTGCTTGTACCAGCGACATCCAAGTATTCAGCACACCACACCACATGAGAAAATGACGTTCAGACATCCACCGAGTGGCTTAAAATTCCTAGCGTCTCTTGGCATCCATGGTTTCCGCCAATTTAACCAGTGCATGGAAATGACATACACTTCCCTTGGCATACGTATGTATGATTTACATACGGAAAGACGTAGTATTATTGAATAGTAAATTACGTAGGATTTAGAAAAGTAATACTCTCAATGCAATATAGCATGGGCAAACTATGGTACAGAGCAATTTGCTCTTTAAGATCTTCTTTGCTTGAGAAAGCTTGTGGCACCTCTACTCAAAGTACTCCCAAGCAAACTCATCAAGGTTGCTGATATCTCTGTTATCTACATGAAACCAGATATTTCTGACTGGAGACCGACCGATCTGACATCCCAGGCCATTAAGCTGGTACTGAAGTCTAGCGGATATGACGTCCAATTCATCAACGGAATACTTTGGAGTTCCCAGTGTGACACCATTCATGTGGTCTTGGAGAAACTTCTGGGTCTCGAGGTATTCTAAGCTTGACGGAAGATATGTATAGTAAAGACTGATTGGCAAGCAGTGCTGATGTAACTGAAACAGTTGCTGGAGGGTGACTGTCTTTTACTTAATTTGATTAACTTCCACTTCATTGAAGCATCTGGTGGTACCGATAGTTGCTAGTATAACATGTAAGTCAGCCTATAGGTCAGAGAAAACACGAGTGCTCATTACTATTAATACTTACAAGGTGTCGAACTTATCCATTCTTGAGCTTTACGTTGTAATAGATCGTGGATATCTTGATTTATGTCGATCTGCTTCCTTTCTGGAAACTTACCGGAACCATAATCGACCAATCGGTTTATTCTGGGTGACAAGTTTCGATCTGCCAGTAGATCATGGTAAGGCTTCCAATTCATCAGCATCGCACCGCGAAACAGTTCAAAGGAAGGATAATCGAACTTGATGGCGTCAGGATTGTCAAACGGTGGATATGGCTTTGTTGCTTTCGTTTCCGGGCTATATCTCCTGTCGAGGGTGTCAAAAAGGTACGGAATGGTGAGATCCCTCTCTTGAGTAAAATATGTTGGGAGGTAATTGCCTATATCCCAGTCTTTTGGCTGAGGCAATAGAATCGATTCGCGTGGACTTTGTTCTCTTGGAAGCGACACAATCAAGTCATTAACTCCCATATGTAGTTCGTATTGAGGAACGCTTCCACATTCCAAAGCCAATCCTGTATATTGTATCAAGTAATCGGTAAAGCTTTCGCTGATATAACGTATGTGGTAATGGTAAACTGACGCTACTGAAACATAGAACACCTTTGCACGTTCATTGCATACGTTGTCAAAATTAATCCGATACTGGTTGTTTGCGACATGGTCTGGTAAATCTGAAGGGGGGAGATCATTATTGCTAAGCATGACGAATAGTCCGTCCTTGTGCCCATCGCAGTCGTATTCTGAGTATCGCGCAAAAGGAGCGAGTTTGAGTGAAAGAAAGAATTCTGCAGCGGATTGAGGGAAGTTTTGCATTCTATTTGGTCGAACTCTAGAGCATTCTCGATCAAATTGTTTTATATCGAACATGTTAACCATCCTTTGCCAAGTCAAGTCGGTCTCAAACTGCATACCTGAGGCAAGCGGCATAACAAGCTCCGAATATCGTTCCGGCTGCTTTACACGGAGGTGGTGTGCAAAGTAGTACATAAAGATGACTAGATCGATCGGGTGCGCAGATTCGAGGTGCTGTTCCATATTATTAATTTTTCTAATGTCATTGAAAGGTTCTTCGTATATCTTCTTCAAATGAACTGATTCTTTTGCGAAGGACTGATACAGCGCTTGATTGAACGTGCATGATATGTTGAACATATACAGTTCTCTGTTTCCATGATTGTGGCCAGTGGTCGAGAAAGTGAGGTTCACTACCATCCAATGGGATAAAATCTAGGCGTTTGACATTTTCTACCGAATTTGGGATCATAAAATGATTCGAGGAGTAACCAGGGAGAACAGTATCATATATTGCTTTCCACACAAGCTGATGAGCAAGACCAATGTACCAATCACGGCAAGTCATTGACGCATTTAATACATCTTGAGGTTGCAGATGTGAAGTAATGCTCAACCATACATCCACTGATACGAAGGGTTTAGACCGGCTATGCATTGGAAATACCAGAGTCTGTGCCAGAAATAAAAATATCAATTGTCGTTTTCTACTTGTACAATATACAAAAGTAAAAATATAAAGTCAAAAAAGACTTTTGTACGACATGTTCAAGCTCGCATTGCAGAAGTTTGAGCTGCCATATCATCTTTGCCAATATGGTGCGCAATTCATTAACAGACTACTCGATATTCTAGTCTAGTTGACCGCTAAATGGATATTGCATATATTCTCAGTCTCGATTGTTTAGACGTCATGGTGAGACAAGACGTAACAAAAGTGGTGGACGGGATCATCTTCTGTGTTTGTTGCCTCAAGAGACGCATCGTCAGTTCTGAGGCATGGTACTGTTCGAAGTCCTTGAATTGGAGATATCGTTGCTAGGCTGATCTCTAATGCATTCATTGAAAGATTAGTTATAGTCTAGTTTATTCGACATTCTTAAAGTGTAACTTCTTCCAAGAAAAATGACTTATGGTATTATGTTCTTGGGTGAAATATGTAGGGAAGTAACTGCTAATATCCCAGCAGTCTATAGGCTGAGGTAACAGAATGGACGTTCGCGGACTTTGATCTCTTGGGAGATCAACGTGCAGATCAGCAACTCCTGCTTCTTCATATTGTGGTACCTCTCCATACTTTAAAGCAGTACCAGTGTATTGCATGAGATAGTCAGTGAAGCTTTCGGCAAGATACTGCACCATATATCCGCAATACTGTGAATAAATGAAGAAGACTTTTCCGATACTATTCACCGTTTTTTCCAGGTTAATTTCATAGCCTTCGGTCGCGGCGTATGGTGGTAAATCAGCAGGAGGTTCATTGTTCTTGCTAAGCATGACGCTAAGACCAGCTCTAACATCATCGCATTCGTATTCATCCACTTGTGCGAAAGGAGCAAAATTGAATTGAAGCATGTATTTCATGGTAGCAGGAGAGACCTTCTGTAAGCGATATGCAGGTGTCCTAGGACGGGATCGCATGTAACGTCGAACGTTGAATTTATCATACAGCTTGAGCCAATCGTACGTTGTTTCAAATTGCTCACCAGAGGCGAGTGGCAGGATACCCTCCTCCATCGTTTCAGGCTGGATAACGGGTAGATGATGTGCGAAATAGTACATGAAGATGACTAGATCAATTGGCAGTGCTGATTTGGCAGAATCTTCCATTTCCTTGATCCTAACCATGTCAAGGATTGGGGCTTTGATATCCTTTTCAAAAGTCTGAGTGTTCTCTCGAAGTGCTTTCACAGCCTTACTCTGAACATGTATTATATGTTGCAGATATACTGTTCGCTGTTTAAAAGACTCCGGCCAGCAATGGAGATATGTGGGCTCGCTACCATCCAGAAGGTTAATATCCAATCGTTTGACATTTTTAACCATGTCGGTGATACAGAAATGGTCGGTTGCATATTCTGGAAGAATAGCTTTATACACTTCTTGCCAAAGTATTTGGTTTGTAAGAGGCTTATACCAATCGCGACAGGTACTTGCAGAATTTAGTACATCTTGAGGTTGTAGATATTTGATAATGATTAGCCAGATCTCTAAGGGTATATAAGAGACTTTACTTTCAGTCATTTTTCAATGTGTGCTTGCTGTCGTGAGATATATAGATACTGCTCTTTTATAGATGAACGACGAGTTAAGTTAAAGTTCTTTTGATACACAAACCGTAGTACATGTACGACAGCGTTGTTATGCCAACATAACAGTGCAGCGAACTCAGCCATGTATCGCGAGAGAGTCGGTGCCTATAATTATGGTGACAAATTTGCGTAGCTTTCACCTTTGATATAAAGACAATAAAACATCCAGCATAGGTAGTACATAGTAAACGGGACACTGGCCCATTTTTCTGTACTACGATAAAAAATATCTGCGCCTCTGACTTTGACGCCTGGAAAGCAAATGGTTTGGAAGGTAACTGGTGCAATTTAGCTCAGATATCTAGTATGCGTCAGTAACTACAATATCTTTATCGATTAGGTAAATGTCTTCAAGTTGAGTTTTGAGGGCTATTTTTTAAGCATTTCTCCTTAGCTTCTTAATGCTTGTAAATGAAAACTTCAACGCACCTTCTTCAATACAAATGAAATGACCTTGGGCATAGTTCTGCGACATCAATTACTTGACTACATACCATGGCACTTCTGAATAAAGGAAATGGAAGGTGGTCGCCGATGAAACAGAAGTACCCCCTCTCTTTAGCTCCTAATTTCGATCACCAATACTGTCTAGGTTAAACTTGATGAATGTAGTTGCAGTGCTGGAAGACGTTTTGCTGTTGTCCATCCGATAAAGCCCGGTAGATGCTGTAGCGATTTCTGTAGGATACTTACAAGTAAGCTTGCCCTATCTTGAAAAAAGGGTAACATAGATGTTTGGTCGAAATTATATGTTTAAAGTACACTGTTCTGCTTCATGACTCAACCCTTTATTTCAACTTTCGCTGATAAATTTTGACTTCATTTTCGACAAATATGGAGATTAGTAACAGTTCCTAGCAGTGTAAAGTGTAGTGTGCATACAGGTTCGGGGCTGAGACAGGTGCCATTTTCACAGTAAGCAACAGTCTGTAATGGGAAATTCTTACCAACATGCAATTATCGCAAAAGAACTGTGTTCAACGAGACACGTTATTGCAAAGTTTATTTTCTGTAACGTATAGTACAAGTGAGAAATGGTAGGGAATGACCCATCTGAATGATGAAAAATCAGAGTAGAAAGGAAGGGATAGGTGAAATGACAGAAAAAGATTTCATTTATATCGTCTTTCATGTCGATATGTGGTAGGTATAAGAATTTATATCCGCTGCAACATTTGCAAAAAGCTGAGCACAGATGGGAGGGCCTCAGTCTCTGTAGTCGGGAGGTGCATCATTTCGCTCTCGTCCAGCAAGTTGAATGTATGTAGTACCCTCGCCAGCTTGCCGGAAGCGATGACTGAAGAAGTTGTAAAATGGTAGATATGCCCACCATTGGGAATTTCTTGGTTGCGAGGAGGTGGGCTCCAAAAATCCATTCTCTTCTTCCTCTGAGCGATTCCTCACCGAAGACCCATTTTGCCACTTTTCAATCAAAACTTGCACGCCACCTACCATGGCACCAGCCTGCTGTCGTCCAAAGTAGAAACAAATGACTGCAGTTGCTGTAACAGCCAGTGCCACCGCTCCTTGTTGCCAATGCTCACCAATTTCCCATTTCTGAAAAGCCGGAGGATATAAAAGTTGGACAGCATCCTCACGTTCTATACAAACGGATGTATTGCTACAATGGCCGGGATATCTTCTCAGATTGAAATGGCACTGTTCATTATATTCGCAAGGTTCCCCTACATCTCGTTTTGGTTGGCAAGTTTTAGACTTGGGGTCGCAGTATGAGTCGTATGTGCAGTTTCCAATCAAGTCCAAGTCTGCATCTTCAATAACCACTGGTCCACGGCGTTTCACATAGTTGGAAAGTTCATCTGATCGTGGAATGGTGAAGCAAGGCTCGCCGGTGTCATTCCTCATATCATCTCGAAGATCTTGAAATGCGTATACAAAAGTATATATGTGACTGACTGCCATTTCGAATCCTCCATCACCTATCGTCAGTTGAAGCATAAGTGTTTAACAATGAGGGTTTGTTGTATGGTATCTCAATATCGGTAGTATTACTTACGAACGCTATGGCACACTAGTCCTTCCTGTTCAGCAAAACAGGCATCATAAGGATACATTGGACAATCCAATGTCTCTCGACAGTGTTTAACCTCGTCGTCTGCATATGTCGACAGTGAAAATCCCAAAAGGATGAAGCATGTAATCAGTTTGCGAAACATGACTAGTTCATCCGGTGATTTTGTAAGTTAAAGTTTTAAAGGTGGAAAGGCGGGTTTCTTTGGAAGGAAGTGATTATCGCGGCTTAAATTTGGGTCGTTTTGGGAATCAACCACCGGAAACGAGACACCCAATTGGAAATTGGTGTTTCCAATGAAACATGATTTTTATTATGCAGGCTTTTGAGGAAGGTCAAAAATTCATTGAAGCGGTAGTGCCGTTCGTTGACTTATAGAATGTTATGGTCAATGCATTCCTGCAGAAAAAGGGTAACAATAGAGATAAAAGAACTCCGTTCTGTCATAGTTATCCGCACCTTTTACTCAAGCAGCCCGAGGAGAGCATGGTCCCAAACTTTTAACATGAATTGCTTGAAGAAAATAAATTTTTGAGCCAAATTGATATTTATATTTTCACGTTTAATGAGAATCGATGTCTATATATGCCGTATAGGTATCTCTTATCCTTTGATTATCATTTGTTGAAGTCTTCAGGTTGAAGGTGATGCTGCATGATGTCTCGCATGGCATAAAACGATCTCTTGAAGTGACGAGGAAGAGCTGGGTCGGTGAAGTTAACATACTGTAAACCAAACTTTTGAGTCAAGCCAAGAGCCCATTCATAGTTATCGTAGAGCGACCAGGCAAAGACTCCTCGTAAGTCAACACCATCCTGATGGATTGACAACAAGAATTCATTCAAGTAGTCCCTGTAATACGTTTCTCTACCGTAATCGGAAACAATTTGGTATTGCTCAGTGCGCTGGTTTTCAAATGCTTCTGCCCATCCAAATTCGCTGATGTAAAGTCCTCCTTTGGTAGGATAAGTCTTTGACAAATATTTAAGTTGTTCTCGAATAGCAAACCAGGAGTTAACCAGCCAGTTGGATCTAGGATCAGCTTGTTGTCCATATCCCCAACCACCAGGTGCACCGGAACTGTATTCTACCCTGCCATCTTGACAAGCCGGCCAGTTGGGATCCGTAACGTTACCAGCACATGCCTTGATTCCATTAGGTGCAGCCTTTGCGGTGTTGATGCGATACAAATCTTGAGCGTAAAAGTCAGCCGATCCCTTGATCAATTTTTGTTCTTCTGGTGTCAATTCTGGCAAGAAGGAACCAAGAGTTTCTTTGCAGGTAGTTGGGTAATCACCATCAATGTACACAGGCTTAGCAAAGATACCAATGAAAAAGTCGGCGTGGCGGTTGGATGCCTCGATATCCTCTGGGCTATTGGACCAAGGAGTAGGCTTATTATCGTCACCTTTAAATGCAATTTGTCCAGCCTTGATGGTTCCTTCTTTTACTAGGCTTCGATAAGTCTTCACGGCTTTTCCGTGAGCCACCAGAAGATTGTGAGAGCAGTGGTAAGGTGCATTGGTGGCATTAATGCCGCTTGGGAAATTGAGGTTATATGGGTTGCCTGCTGTTTGTGAACAGAACACTCTTGGTTCGTTGAAAGTAATCCACACCTTTACCCGGTCTCCGTACCGACGGAAAGCGGTCTCAGCGTAATTATTAAAATCATCCGTGATATTCATTGACATGAATGAGCCGTATTGTGCCGAAAGAGCTAGTGGCGTATCCCAGTGGAACAGAGTAACGATAGGCTGAATATCATTCTTAATAGCTTCGTCAATAACCTTGTCATAAAATTTTAGTCCGGCCTCATTGACTTGCCCACTACCAAGAGGATAAATGCGAGTCCAGGAGAGAGACAACGAAAAAGTGTTGACTCCCATGGCCTTGAGACGAGCAAAATCGTTGACATAGCGGTGATAGAAATCGTCTGTCACATCAGGTGCACCAAGGTAGAGGTCGGGATAAACATGCGGGCCATAGTCCCAAACAGAAGGTCCCTTTCCATCCTCTTTTGCAGCACCTTCAACTTGTGTGGCAGCCGAGGCAACACCGTACCTGAACCCCTTTGGAAATTTTAGACCTTTGGTGTTCTCTGATAGGTAGGAAGGAAGAAATGTTGGTGGATTCGGAGGCAGATCAAATTTCGTACTGTCTGTCAAGTTGCTTTTGGCAGCCACGAGGACAGGACTATATTTTTCAATCTGAGCCCAAAGATCTTCCACAGTAGTCTTACCCGCAACGAAGGTTGGGGTAGGAGAGTCGGTTGCTCCAGTGCTGGTAGCAGAGGTTGTGGCGGCAGCCGAGGTTGGAGAGCCAGTGGTGGGAGGAGTGGTACCAGGGATATCGCTGGTAGGGCTTAAAATAGAAATATTGTAGCTGTTTCCTCCAGAGACTTGTGTCTGTGGTAGCGCAAACGCTAAGGATATGCAGGCAAATAATGAAAGGAACCTCATTGACATGGTTGCTGTGCTTTGAGAAAACCAAACAGTTTCAATGCGTCCATTTATACAAATCGGTACCTCGGGCGTGATGAAAATAGTTTTTAAAATAGTTTAGTTACGAATCAGATACAATCAGCGTCTCGCTCACTTTATGGTTTGTAGGTCTTCCATAGCCTTTCACATCGCCCATATCCGGTGGTCGGATGAAGTCGCGGGGTAAGCTTGTACATTTAAGGAGGAAAACTGCTTGTTAGTCATAGTTCGTTTTTCCGAGTACCTGAGCGGGCTGGCATTTGGTTCCTAACTTTCGGCTCAACGTGCATCAATTATCCATCACCGATATCCATCATGGATATCTATCATGGAACTTTCCGCGTTTGGTGTATGACCACTGCTTGTAATAGGGGTATAGGAGCTTGAACGTTTTAGCTTGCGAGATGTAACAGGCTTCATGACACTCCTTTCCCCACATGGCTGTTTAATTTTTTTTCTTGTTTCACAAAGACCATGCCAAACATGGTATTTGCTCATAGACGATTCCGCGCATACACAAAAGTAGCGGGTAGAGAAAAAAAAAGAAACGGGAAGATGGCGGGCACTCATTTACATATTAAGTCTAAGCAGATTTCAATTAATGATCAGCTCGGGGATCGTTTCACGTAATATTACAAAAGACTAGTTTATGTCAGGTCTGCTTTGATGAAAGAAAAATGGGTAGGATGATACACAGTTGTTATGAATTTGCTAAGGATGTAAGGCACCGTAGTATAGTTATGATTTTGCTGGCTAATCCGTCGTCATGGCATCACTGTCAGGTAGTTTTCCTTGGCTCATGTCGAAGTATTGGTTAGGATGTTCGATAGTTCCTACTTGGCCACTTTGCATTTCGGGATGAGTTACTTCAAAGTAACGTGTGCATGCCAGTTGATAGTGTCGATCTTTTGCAAGCCGAACAATTTCATTCACTTGGGGAGCGCCTACTTTGTTCTTATATAAAGTCGCCTCTAAGCTCTGTGCGGAAAAGTGCCTGAAGGGACATCCGTGATGATCACCAGTGGAAGGCTGGTTACTCTGGATGATTTTCATGCAGCTGTCATGAAAGGGTTTATTGAGTTTGAAGCCATTTTCCCACATGGTTATAATGATATCGTCAGACATACCTATACGGAGCATAGTTCACTCGCCGGCCTTCTAAACCGTAATTGTGGCGAATGTTGTACGAGTATTCCTTTTGGAATTTGTCATCAGTGTGGTTGCCAAAGGCCTTTCTCCAGAAAACAAGGGCTTCCTCAACCGAGAGTCCAATGCCCTATACAAGTATTTTGAATAACTGAAAAAATGGCTATACACAAAGAGAAAAGTGATAAATTACCTTTAGGAAAAGTCCATATTGCATTCTGCCTCCATGTTTCAGATGCTTGTCCTTTCTCAGAGATTGATGTAGATTGCTCATACAAAGTGGGAAGTGTTGTGACAGCTACATAGTTCAACATTTAGTCCCGAGCATTGGATTTGCCCAAAATCAAGTAACAGAAACCTTACCCCATCAACTTCAGAAGCTTTCACTTTGCCTGTTACGTTAGTGACATCTCCGTAGTCTTTTCCAGTATATTGTTTCTCCACGTTAAGCAGTACAGGTTTTAATCTTTCATCTTCATCCATGCGTGGAAGTGCTTTTGCTGTCGCCTACAATGCAACGTCTTAGAAGATGGAACATCCATGATACTATTTTAACAGCCTCTTACCTCCAAAGCTTTTGACAGCCTAGCTTTAAACTCATCCATAACAAGACTGATCTGTTCAGTCATGGGTACGAAAGCTTTGCCCCGTCTTACCAGCACCGATCGGCGACCGATGAGATCAGGAACCTTTTCAAATTCAACCTAAACATCCAACGTTAGTATTTAGAAGAATATTCCAATTCGACAATAGTTTTCTTTGACTTACTTCGAAATACGTCTCATTTTCAACGAAGTCCTTCACGTTCTGTATACCGGCAGCTTTAGCAGTCCAAATAGCACAGCTCTCAAGCTCTGCTTTCATGTTCATCTTGTCTTCTTGGCTGACCTGAGGGTGACAACTGATGAGCTATTTACTCTTCAATTACATTTAGGGCTCATCATACTCAACAACTTACCACTTTCCAGTTGATATCAAGGGATTTTAAAAAAACTTCCTTATCTTTTCTACTCTCCAACTCAAAGCGGTATCTATTACCTTACGTCGTCAATAAACAGAGATCTTTCCACGTCAGAAAATGGTATTAGTACTCACCTGAACAAGGCGCATTCCTGTCGTAAGAACCATGCTCGTAGGTCCTCACTAGTGTAAGGAAGTATAGTGAGCCAATGGCCGATCAAGACGGGGTGTGCCATTCCACAATTATCATTCCTTACCTTCTGCAGTACGCAAGTCGCAAAATAAAGTGACTGACATGATCTTTCTTTCTGTCTTCCATAGCTTCCTTCGTATGACCTGTGCGCATACGCATATGCTCGCTACTAACGCGATCCATCTCACGCCGAAATTCGTCTGCCTTTTTATTTCTCAGTGTAGCATTCTCAATCGTTTTGAGCACTGGGAAGTACGTCAATCAGACAATGTTCAATTTGTAACAAGATTGATCAAAAGTTATTGTACAAACCTTGTAGTCTGTCCAGGGCAAATCGTTCAAAGTCCTCAACGCTAATTTCAACCGGTGGTGGGCGAAGATAGAAATTAAGACGACATGGGTATTCAGAATGACGGACTACTTCTCCAGTAGGTTTGTATAGCGATGTGCGATTAAACCGATTCTGATGCTTTGGCTGCATGGGTTTGCTCATCGTGAACTTTAGCAAGATAAATATTTTGCGTGCGGCGCGTTGTTTGTCAGTTGTGAACGCGCGCGCTTGGAAATTCATTTCACGTAGTCACATCCACAAACTCCGAGTCGTCCCTGCCAGATAAATTCAAGCCCACCCAAGCATCACGTTTTCGAACACGGTTCGCACTTTCTGACTTAGATGTACTGGAAGACTGCAGTATATAGGCGTATTACACCTGTTTTACTATATTTGTGCCCTTCACCGAGATACTTAAGGCTGCCAATATGCCTGTATAGCCAGATTCATAATAGACTACAATGGAAGATGTATATTGTTATGTCTTCTCTCTCATTCCTAATACTAGATTCAACTCTGATCACACCTCCTGGTGGAAGTAAAGAAGATAATCAGAATGCATGTGAGCCTCGGTTATCCAAAAAATATAGAATATTACACAGGTGCGTCATTACCCCATAGGTGAATACCGTCAATGAAACATTTACACGCAATCCATTGTGCCGTTTGCTCACCGAGATTATATATTAGACCACTAGTTACCAAGACACAGTGTGGCAGCGCTAATATCTCTTAAAACGATGACATTATGACGCCAAGATAAATTGCCGCTCATGTTTTTGGACCAAACAAAAAAGAAAAGTTTCCTTTGGACCACCCCGTAAATGGTCTGCAAACAAATCTCGACAGTTTAGCGAGTGCCAAATGGAATTGAAAATTATAAACTACAAAGAGTAGACCGATTGAGCTAGCTTCTTCTCTCATATTTGACCACCCCATTTTACATCCACCCCATCATAGTTTGAGCCAAGAGATGTCTCTAAACCATTCCTTTTTTCACACCGTGTCAGCAGATCTGCTGAAAAATTTAGGATAAATCGCTCTTAAAGTTTGGGTTGCGTCATAAATAGTTGAAAGAGGCATGAAGACAGATTGATTTGCATACAATATTTTCATTGACTGTCTTGTAGCCATGCCGATCTATACGAAGAATGAAAGATCGGTTGTAAATTTTGGAATAACGGCATAGTGTCTTGAGTTTAAAAAGGGCTTTTTCGGTGAACTGATTCGTGCGAGAAATTCCCCCCAAGGACTAACGTTGCTGCTCACCTGACCAAGCTTAATAAGTTTTGTGATGGGGTGGCACTCGGCAAAGAATGGCTACAAGCCCTAAACTGTCTAGACGTCAATGCTAAGCCTGCATGATGAGAGCTTAGACCATTTTTACTAGTAACAGTGGAGATATCTATGAATTCTGGTGTGAACATCCGCCCCGCCGGTGTATTTTTCTCTTAGCCAAGCCGAGCATTTTCACATGTGAGAGAACAGGTTTAAAAATTCAGTCATGTGATGCGGCCAGTTGTTGAAAAGTGAGTGTAGTTCAAATTTGAAACCGCTTGCTATTTTTTTTGGCCCCACGTCGCCGTTTCCCCATTCCTTTTTACGCTTGGCGTTTTGAATTAGAACCCCATGGGCTATCAAGAAACGTCTTCATCGCCTCTTTCCTCACCTGAAAGCGCTTCAATCTACCACTCGCCAATGTCCGTCAATGATCTATGTGGCGACACTCTCAATTCCGACCGACAAATGCACATTGATAAAGATGATCCAGACGTACAAGCAGCAGCCGAAGCTTTGGGAAGTATGGCCAGAGGTCTTCCTAACGGTTCATCAGGTAGAGCATTTCAACTACATTTCTTTCAATCACTGCTCTGTTGCTCTCTTCCGTGAACAATGGTCCATGAGGCTGAGTTGCAATTTTCTCCAACAATCATCACATTGATCCGATAAGCGATAGCCATGTACTGACCATTTTTTCTAACTAGGTGTTTCCACATCTTCATCCACATCATCCTCCGTTTCCACTTCTGTAAGTAGGGAAAGTGATGTTCGCCAAGGTCCTTTGTCACCACCGCCACAGCGTTTCATGTCTCGTGTTTCGTCACTTCCTTTGGTCAATTCCGCAATCAAGGTGTACGAACAAGGAAAGGCATCTAATCGGGTGCTGAATTACGGTGCCGGACTGGTGGAATCCAGTGTCAAAACGATTGCTGCTCCACTCTATGGCACACTAGGAAAGCATGTAAGAATTGAATGTCTTTTTTGTTATTTTCCTTAGATGTACCCCTATGTTTCACACTAACCAATTGCGTGCGATCTATTTCAGATTGAAGACCGATATAACGCTCACAAGGAAGATGAACTAAAGCAAGAAGAAGAAGACGAAGCCGCCACTGCTGCAGCTATTGCCCTAGCTAGAGCCTCCTTGCATGATGTTGACAGCCGGAAAGACTTACGCAGACGAAAGCATCGTGACAGTGATGATGAAGATTTAGACATGGATCGTACGTTATCCTCAAAAATTTTTTATCCTCTTTTTTTTTTTCAACAACAATCGTTCTAATATCTTACCTTGACATGACCGTCATTGCAGAATCCATGAAATCTAGGTCCAGAACAACATCGCGTTCGACATCTCCTCGACGTAGCCCACATCAAAACCATATAGCGTTGACACCTATCAATCGACGTCAAGAGCAAGTTTCACGCAGTCGGTGGCAACAGCTGGTCGTTGGAGCGGGTTCTGCTGCAGGAACAACTGTGGCCGTTGTTAGCGAAGAGAGTATGCGATGCCTAAAATATTGTCTGAGTTGGTTACAGGTAATTTATATTTATATATTATTCCATGTGTTTCATTCGTTTTTCGGTCACACCATGAAGGAAACTAAACATTCATCAACCACCTTTTAGTACGCTATCAAGCATATTGAGCAACAAATGGGATTTTTGAGAGTGTTTCTGGTGTCACTGGCCAAATCGAAGGCTACGGCAGAAAACGATCAGGCGTCAGGTACGGTGATGGCTCCCCCAGACATATCCAAACTGGACGCTATCAAAAAAGAAGTCATCGACACCCTACGAAAAGTTGTAGAAGTGATATCAAAGTATGCTGGTTCATCTTTACCCGAGCAGGCTCGATCGGCGGTTCGAGGGTTCATCCTTTCTCTACCTAATCGTTGGGCTAGTGTTAATCAGTCGGCGGCCAATTCACCTACCATTGGACCTCAGCGAGACGGGCACGCTCATGAAACGGCGATTAAATTGATGAACTTTGGAACCGAAAGCGTAGAGATGTTGAATGGTGTGGAAGCTGTATTCGGTGACACTGTGGAGCGAGCAGAGACTTGGCTTGATAGACTACGTGTTATTGGCGTTGTCAAGACAAAGCAGGACTCCACTCAGCACGAAGCAAAAAAACGAAAGAACCATGAACAAGATATCATTGCACCACCTATTATTCAAACTTCTTCACCTCATGAAACTGGCAAAACGAAATGATTCAACCAACTGAACATTTCTTTCTCACTCAAAACGATTCATAATTTCTTCTCTCCATATATCCCCCATCCCCTCATGTTCCTCCATTCTTGAAACAATTACCTAAAGATACTTTTTTTTTTCGTCCTTCCAACCAACCTGTATTCATGTAAATAAAGATACTGTTTATTCTTTGAATTTTTTTTTTTCAGTTCAACCGGACTTTTCCTCCATTCATTCTTTCTACTTCGCTCAAGTTCAATTAAACCAAAGATTCTCTCCCTACAGTCATGCGATAAATCGTTTGATCCGTTTTAGTGTCATAGATTGATACATGCTTGTCTAAATTGAGCAACCAAACTGACGGTTCTGCTTATGATGCATGATATGGCATCTCGCGATGGGCAAAACCCACGTTGTTAACGTCGGACGTTGACTTGGCACTAATGCGGCTTCGGAACAGTTCAACGCCGATATACGAACCAAAATTTTTTTTGGTTTTTTTTTTTTACTAAGGTATGAGGTACAAGGTATTCAAGGTTTATGATTAGAGCCGTACACCTTGTCAAGGATATCTGTTATTTTTTGATAGAAAAGGGAATTTAAGACAAACGGTGTGTAACTTCCCACGTTGACAGCTTAGATAGGTGATTGTATTCTTCACAAGATATGTCACCCCCATAGATACGCTGTGGTCAGGTCATGGGCCAAATGAAAAGATAAAATAAAGATTAGCAACACTCAGTTACCCGCATAGCTTAATCGCGCAAAATGAGGGGAAGGTTGTTATCGATGAGTTGATGGCAATGATACAGTACTGAAAAGAAAGAGCGCCTTTGAATTGATCAATCAAATTGCTGATGAGCTTATTAGCGGCTCGGTGTTTAACAAGTTGCAATGTCGGGGGGGGGGACCCTGGTTTTGACGTGATAGAAAATTTTTATATGATACAGCGTCATAAGTAAGATACAGCGTCATTATCTTAGAGGGGGGCCCGTCGGAGACTAAGATAAACCACATAATGTTCAACTTCCGTTCAAAGGGTTGGCCCGGGTGCTCTGGCAAATGCCTAAATCTGCTTCAAGATAACCGGGTGCTTCATTCATATATAAAGAGTCGCCTTCGTCCACTTCATTCAGCTCATCAACTCAATTCAACTCACAACTTCAATCAAATATGCTCTCTTTGGTCTCTGCTAAATCTGTCGCCGCCACCTCTTTGGCCTCCACTGTCGCCCTTGTCACCTATGTTCGTGCAACTGCATCTCCTTCTCAAGTACCATCTCACATGATGACCACAAAGCCTTTGGCTGAGCGAATCGAGCACTGGAAAGCTTACAATAACGGAATTGGCATGATCGATGTCAGTCGTAGCTGCGGTGGTCTCTAATTGAATCCAATCATATACAAACAAGCACTTTTCGTTTACCCTCCCGCACTGTACATTGCATTTTCTTTTCATTCATTCTATTCCAAAGAGTTTAGACACATCCTGTTTCGATTACTCTTGTATCATATTTTTCCATTTCTTTATTTCAATACAAAATATACCAATTTTGCTGGCAAAATTTGACTGAATATGCATAATGAATTTTTCTCACGAGACTGAGTTTGGGCCATGTAAAAAAGCCTTGTTGACCAGCCTTATCGACACACCGTCGGTATACCAATCATCCCAATTTGTTCCTCCTCGTGTGTTTCCTTTCTTTGCTATTGCTTTGTCCGCTATGGCTACTAGTCCCCCAGATCACAATAAATCTGTCTTGCCCATGGTGCAAAGCCCTCCTTCATACCAAGTTCAGCGCAAAGGATCTCTACCCACTAATCGAAAGACTCAGCGATCTAATAGTCGTACTAATTCAGATCAAGCTCAGACTCAACGATCACCATTCATACCCTCTCGTATAGCTTCCGTGCACTCCCAGCCTACCCAAAGGTCCTTGTCAACCGACGACGGCTATGCAAACCATACGTTGGTAGCTAAGCCATTCACGGCTCAGCATGATCCAAAACGGCTGTTGAACGTCGTGACCAGCGTTGTCAAAACCAGGTCCGGGAGTGTACTATCTAGAAATACCATATTGAAAATGGATCATTTCCCAAGTGGTACATACGAGGCACTTTTATGGACGTTAATGCACACAGTATATTAATGCTATCTTCGATAGGTGCTCATTCTAATCTTGATTTCCATCTGCAAGGAGCTCCCAACTTTCGTATGGTGGATTTGAATGTCTACGGTGTTGCTCAACCAACGGTATGAAATTAGCTGTCACCACCCCTTTGTTTGATGACTAGCTAGTCGTGATTTTGACCTGTCTGACTCATTGTAAATATTTTTATTTTTTCCAGGTCATTGGCTTGTCAACAATCTTAGCCTTATTAAACTGTCACCCAAAGAGTCATGGCAAAGCGCAATGTGCCTGGTAAGCCATCTATACCAGCTAGTTATCCAATCAGCACCTCCCGATTACGTTTTCTAATTGCCTTATTCGTGAAAGGTTTTCTACCCGCGAAGAGCCACTAGGTAGGACCAAGTGTTTGACAGAACGATAAATGAGGGGGCGTCCTTATCGTTTTAAAGTAAGCTAATGCTCCCTTTCAGTTTATCTAAACGGAACCCCCTATGTGCTCCGAGAGTATACAAAGCCTCTACAGAACATAAGGGCGTATTATGGCATGAATTCGCAACGCCTTGAAAAAATGGAGGAGCGATTGAAAGCGGATGTAGTGAAAGAAACTGCTAAATTTGGTGGCCTTGTCTTGGTTCATCAAGAGCTTTGTAAGATGCCATTTTTTTTCCATCTTGTAGTATGACAACGGGATTTCAAATGCTGATGCAAATATTATGATCCTTCTAGTGGATGGCACGGTGGTTCCTTGCTGGTTATCTGCAGATTCCATTCAAACGCCGAAAGAAGGTCAGTTGCATTTCAGGTCCAGAAAATTAAAAAGGTGGCTGGATTATTGAGTATCATCAGTACATTAGTATTTCAAAAGTTTCAGGAACAAAATTACCGCCTCCAATATTTCCGCATACCTATATGTCCTGATCAGTCACCGGGCGATAACTACCTTGATGAATATGTCAGAATCATCAAAACCTTGGAACCCACCGATCCCCTGATCTTTAATTGTGGCATGGGCGTCGTTCGTAGTAAGTAGTTTCTCACGTTGGTACATTTTGGTTCATGTACTCGTTCGCTCCTGGGCTCACCATGCATCTATAGCGACGGTTGGTATGATTGTGGCGCAAATCATTAGGAGAACTCAGTTAATTGAACGTGGTATGCCTGATCCATTCCCAATCATTGGCTGGCAATACAGTCATGCAGTTGATGGCGATGTCGATGCCGCAGTGCCTATGGCACCAGAGCTTGTAAAAGGATTGGAGGAAGCTGCAGAAAAGAACAGTCAAACTAGAGCACTACTACGCCTTGTCTACGTACTTGAAAAAGGTAGACTTGCCATTCCACACTGAAATCCACAGCTTTGATACGCATAGAGGATAATAACATGTTCATATTGTAGGGTTGGATTCGAAAATGTCACCACACTCTGCCATTGAATGGGCACTTGCTCGTGGGCAGTCTATTGATGCCTTACGACAGGCCATCATGGGCAATTATACTAGCATTGTTGCGCTGTCATCCACGCTGGAGAGTGGAAGTTACAGTAAAAAATTGCTAGATGAGATCATTGACCGATGTAAGCATTTCGAAATGATATGTTGAGATAATGCTTATTTTAGCTTACTGTGGTATTCTGCATTGACTAGCCGATGCTGTGGTCAACCTTCGAGAAGACATTCTGATGAACCGCATCAGACAAACCACAGTATCTTCCAACCAGCAAGAATACGATCCAAACAACAATGAATATTTGGCGAAAGCTTTGGCTGGTCTGGAAAGATATTTCTTTTTGCTCATTTTCACGTCTTATATCAACGAGTCTGAGGACACGGGATTTGCAATGCGATTTTCAGATTGGGTGAAGGGACGCTCTGAGATATGGAGCATGATGCAAAAGCTTCGTCGGAAAGGCCCTCAGCTGTATCTGTTCCGACCAGTCGAAGACCTTAGTGCCCTCGGAAATGGAAGAGATAACCGATCCAGAGCAAATAATTCAAGCTCCTTTGGCCATAATACTGGCATGTTTGGGATGACTGACCAAAACGAAAGCAGAGTTGCTGGAGAGGTTGAGGGATATGCCTTGAAGGTGAGTTCTAGTCTCTTTAAATTGTCATCCGTCAGTTTACTTTCGATGGTTTTATTTAACCAGCTTGGTATAAATTATAGGCAAGATCCGGTTCTGTCCTTACCTCGCATACAATTCTCAAAGTTGATTTTTGGCAGAGCCAATGGGTGCCACAAGAAGAACAACACCAAAGTGCGCTGTTTTCGCCTATGGCATCTCCAAATGTACAGCTTGATGGTTTTATCGAAAGACACCAACTTGCTACCGGTTACGACGGCTTTATGATTGAAGGTGCTTCCAACTTCCGTCGCATCCCGCATACTGCAGTTCATGCCGTTGCACAGCCCACCATTGAAGGTTTAAAGGTTCTTCTTCGAAAAATGAGAAGGGATCGTGGACAGGGTGAAACTATTTTATGGATTAATCTTCGAGAAGAACCTATCATTTACATCAATGGAATACCTTACGTCCTACGTGATCGCTACTTCACACTTCGCAACATTCGTGCCTATTCTGGAATTACTTCTAGCCGACTAGAGATGCTTGAACAACGACTAAAAGAAGACGTTATTACTGAAACTCTCAACTACGACGGTCGCATTCTACTGCACGGTGAAGACTCAGACGGCAATGTTCGCGCTGTTTGGGAAGATGTGCATGTCGACGATATATTGACGGTCAAGGATGTCATGGAATTAGTAGTAGAGGATGTTTCAAATGATTCCGACAGCGACAGCGTTTCTAAAGGCGATATGGCTATCAAGTTCATGTACTATCGAGTTCCAGTCACCGCTGAGAAACCACCGGAATGGAAGGATTTTGATGACATGCGCAACTTGATCGCCAGCGCTGAGCATCCTGACAACAGTATTGTTCTGTAAGAATTTATATCAACATTCTGCATCAACTCACGTTTGATAGCATTTTCTGACAACATTCGTTTATACCTCTAGGAACTGCCAAGTTGGACTTGGAAGATCAACCACTGGTAAGTCTGATGATCTCCAACACAACATAGTTTGTAACCTTGGGCCTAACATGACTTTGTACTTGCAGGAACGGTTATAGCAACCTTGTTAACATCTTGGATCTACCCTGGAATCTCAACCCAAAAAGCAGAAGATGTCGACCATGAGGTTTCACAACGACCTCGTCTTAACTATCAGCTTATTAATAGCTTGCTGCGTGTGATCAAGAACGGATTAGAAGTCAAATCAGTGGTGGACGATGCTATCGACCGATGTGGCCGCTTCCTCAATCTTCGCGATGTGATTGAGGACATGCATGTCCAAGCTGAGAACGAGACCGACGAAGCATTGAAGAAACGCACCATCAAGAAGGGCATTACGGCGCTTGAACGCTACTTCTTGCTCATTTGCTTCCAATCTTATCTCGACCAGACTTCTCCTGAAGCTGTAGGAGATACTGAAACGTTTGAAACTTGGATGAAGCGTCATCCAGAGCTGAGCACCATTTTACTTGAAACCCGCAAGGACGATATCGAACTCATTGTACCAGTTGAAAGCTCCATCGGTGACGGATTGGCCTTGGAGAGCGAAGTGACTGGTGTAGTCAGCTCACGACACGGTCAAGTGTTGGCACAGCAGACTATTTTGAAACATGACGCATTCCCCGGCTGCCAAAAGATGAGCCTTCGTGAAAAAGTGGATGGAGCACCTAATTACCGACGAGTCGAAGCGAAGGGTATTAAAGCTGCTGTTAAATATTCAAATCTCAGATCCAGTACCAGCGGTCTACAACATGACATGGAACTAGATGACTTTTCATCCCTTTCACCTCCATATATCTGCGGTTGCGCCATGCCCACCAAAGATGCCATCAAAAAAGTTCTCGCCAAGATGGATGCTGGCCCAGGTGGCAAGCGTAAAGTATTGTGGACATGTTTACGTGAAGAACCAGTCCTTTATGTCAATAAGCGACCCTATGTACTGCGTCTCTCGCACGATCCATTGAAAAACCTGGAAACCACTGGCATTGCCAAAGAGAGAGTTGAGGGAATGGAAAACCGCATGAAATCGGATGTTCTGGAGGAACTCAAAGTATATAATGGGCGACTACTCCTGCACGACGAAGAAACCACTGAAAAGGGAGGATTTATCATTTTGGTAAGTAAGGGGATGGGGTTGGACATGCTGCTATTGTTTCATTCACGATGATATACTTATTTTTTCTCACTCATAATGTACAGCCTCAATGGGAAACGGTTCCCGTTGAAATGGTGGAAACACCAGGTGATGTTTTCAAGTCTATTATAGAGGAAGGATACCAAGTTGATTACCTCAGAATCCCAATGTACGTGGGCTGAAAAAGTCGGTCATATACCATTATAATTGTAACTAATAACGCTCACCTCATCCATTATTAGAACGGACGAACAGGCACCTATTCCGGATGTGTTTGACCAATTGATCAGAAGAATGCAAAATGCTAACACAGGTGTCGACGTATTGTTCAACTGCCAAATGGGGTAAAGTATCTCTTGAATTATTAGCAACTATAATCATGGAAAGTATGATACTGACAAGCTGTTTGTTTTCAAAGACGAGGACGAACGACCACTGGTATGGTCACAGCATGCCTTATGACCATGATATTGAAGAACGATTTGGTGATGGACATGACTAGTTCTTATGTGGTCGAAAGCTCAACAACTCCATTGGCCTCAACTGCCGATCTGGGCGAGTTGTCGCTATATAATCTTGACGAAGATGAGGCTCACCAAGCTGCTGAACGATATACAAATGGCGAGTACAAGATTATTCTCCAACTTGTCAGTGCGCTCACCTATGGCAAGCTGGCTAAGAGGCTTACCGATCACGCCATCAACGAGTGCGACCACATGCAGAACTTGCGAAAGGCTATTTATGATTACAAACTTCGCTTGGATGCACTAGAGGTTGGCTCACAGAAGTACCATGCTACACGAGAAGTCGGACTCAATTACCTGGTGCGCTACTTCTACTTGATTGTCTTTGCAAACTACTTACTAGAAGAAATGGTCCATCAGGATGATGGATCCTCTGATGATGGCGATCATGACACTAATGAAGAAACAATTCTGGATGACGAGGCTAAGAAAATCATTACATTTTCTCAATGGCTCAAGGGTCGCCGGGAAATTACAAATATTATCAAGCTCAATTCTATCGATTTTGAGTAGTGGTTGTTGGTCAATTGGTAAAAGTCATCCTTTATATATAATTAGCAATATCTTAAATTTGCATGCAAGATCTCTTTCTTTCGTTTAAAATATCATTTTGCGCAGACATTCACCCATTGCATTGTAATGAAAAATACATATGTTCACAACTTGATTGTCCTAATTTTTTTTATTTTTTTTGGAATACAATGCGTTGGCTAACAAACCCATGTCAAGTCACAAAATTTCTGGGCCAACAAAAAAAAAGGGCCAAAAGTTTGAGGCTACTGCCAGCTCAGCTTGACAACTAACCGCCAAACCCCGAGATTGCGAACCATGTTGCTGTCTGTCGCCACCAGATCTAAGCAAATTAGAAGGACGGGTGTTCGCTGTGTCTCACAGCTGGTAAGTCACTGTTGCGATTTCAACCTGCCCTGACATCCCAGCTATTAAGCTTGCTCATTGATGTTGACAGACTCCGCGGAATCGCTTGTCGCAAATGTTCATACCAACGTCAAAAGAAAAGGTGGCGGCCTCCAACGCCGATGCAGTTGCAAGTCATTCGCTAATGCTCAAATCTGGCTTCATAAGACAGGTAAGAATCCGCGCTGGTTCAGCATGCGTACCCCTGAGTTTCAGCAACCGTTCTCGCGACTGACATTTTTACATTCTGCTCTCCTCTTGTGAACGTTATCAGTCCTCCTCTGGAATATACAGCATTCTTCCTATTGGTTTGAGGACTATAGAAAAAATAGAAAAGGTTATAGACGAGGAAATGCGGGCAATTGGTAAGTGGAGTTTCGGACCACAGGAGCAAGTAATGATTATGATTCTAATGTTTCATTCTCTGTAGGCGGGCAAAAATTGGCATTGCCTCTGGTTTTATCCTCAGAAATGTGGAAAAAGACTGGCAGATGGGATGGAATGGGAAGTGAAGTAAGTTTTGTCTTCAGATCCCAGACTTTGCGAATAGATCATTAGCTTACAATATCCGTAGCTATTCAAACTCCAAGATAGAAAGGAGTCTGACTTGCTCTTAGCGCCCACCCATGAAGAAGAAATCACCCAAATCGTCGCAAACGAGTTATCATCTTACCGACAATTGCCCATTCGCCTATACCAGATTGGTAAACACCAGATCACATCATTGCACTGCTCTTGCGAACAAAAGGCTGACTTTGAGATCATCCAAAAATTTAGGAAGAAAATATAGAGACGAGATGCGTCCTCGGTCCGGCCTCTTACGAGGACGTGAATTTATGATGAAGGACTTGTACACATTTGACGAAAGTTTAGAAACGGCATCAGTTGCATATGACGATGTGCAAGGAGCGTATAACAAAATCTTCCGTCGAATAGGCGTGCCTTTTGCCGTGGTAAGCATACTTTCATAATCGAATTATAGCATCAGCATGGATAATTGATATCGATGGAAAAAAAAAATGCATAGGCTGAAGCCGATACTGGAAATATCGGAGGATCAAGGTCCCACGAATACCACATTCTATCTGCAGGTAGGCTGCCAACTAGTATAATCTTACATTTGAGAAAAATGCTAAAAGTAGCTTTACCCCTCAGCCGGAGAAGACAATTTGCTTACTTGTTACAAATGTAATTACACCGCTAATGAGGAGAAGGCAACTGGTGTGCTCCCTGAGACTCACGAAGCAGCACTCAAGGCTCAGTCAACCACAACCCCAGCTGGCGATAACTTTTTACAGCTGCTAAATCCTAGCTCAGCACACTCTCTAGGGGTCCAGTTTGCTACCATCAAAGCATCATTGGTCGACAAACATGGAAAAAGGACTATTCTGGAAGACAATGCACTTGTAGCAGCAGTCAGTAGCAGCAGTCGTGAAGTCAACTTTCTCAAAGTGTACGAAGTGATTCGAAAGCACATGGAGTCCAAAGTGGCGCCAGATCAACAGTTTGTTCGCTCAGAAATATCATTAACACCATCGGTGCCGGACACCATATCTTCATCTCAAAGCGTCCATCTCATAATCGATGAATCAGCGGAAGAGGGAATAGAAGCTAACGAAGACACACTACAAAATGCAATGAAAAAGTTGTCGTGCAAAGACATTATTGTTCATCCAAAGGGAGATTATCGTGTTGCGCATGAAGGCGATTTCTGTCCATCCTGTCACACTGATAACGTTTCGTCAAAACTCATCACGGAGAAAGCGATAGAGATCGGCCATACATTTTTGCTGGGAACAAAGTATTCCGACGCACTTGATTGTTCTTTCACACCTCGTGAGCCAGCTAACGCGCCCAAGTTGCCTGCACAAATGGGTTGCTATGGTATTGGTGTATCAAGGCTGTCCGCTGCTGTCATTGAATCGCTACACGATGACGCCGGCATGATTTGGCCGACTAGCATTGCGCCTTATAGAGCCTGCATCCTTGTGGCTGATAACAAAAACCCAGAATCCAACGACATAGCCGAAAAACTTTACGATGAATTAAATGCTCAGGTATCCATCAACGATCCTCTTTGCAATGAAGTGGTGCTTGACGATCGTAAGGGCGGCTTTGGATTCAAGATTCGTGACGCCGAAATGATCGGATATCCATTTGTAGTCATTGTTGGCAACAAGACCCGAACAAATGGAATGGTGGAAATAAGAGAACGCATCAAGGGTCAGAAAAGCCATCAAATCGAACTTCCTATAACGGAAGCTGTAGCGCATTTGAAGCAACGCGTTGCTGAAAAGCTTGCTGTATAATAATAGAGTGTAAACAAAACTGAAGGAAATAAACATAGAGATAAAAATCGAGCTTTCTTTGCACGTTCTTTGGATTGGAGACGTACTTCAGTAATTAAATTCGTCGTGTGTATTACTACCTTTGCATCGCGTCTGTTCAATTTTTGGACACTACAAAAAAAAAAGTTGGTCACGATTTTTCTCATTCACGCGTCCCAATTCAGTCTTACAATCCACAGAACATGCAATGAAGCTACGGCTGACAGATAAACGGAAAATCAAGCCACGACCAAAGACTAATGAGGCTTTAATGGAGCCAGTGCGAAAGTTTTGTGTATGTCAGTCAACGGAAGACAATGGTTTTATGGTATGATAAAGCATTTCGTATAGTAAAGCTAAGAATTCCAGCTAACTTCAACTGACCAATATTATACTCTTCTTTATCCACAATGGATATACTGTATTGAGTAGATATGGTGTGAAGTTTGCTTTGACTGGTTCCATGGAGCATGCGTGAACGTAAGTTGCAACACTGTAGAAATTTTACCTTGCTTGAGCTTTGATCATTGAACAGACTCCGTTTCCCACATAGCTGACGCCAGCTGAGGCAAAAGGCATGGCCCATTATACCTGTCCTCAATGTACAGAGAAGAGCAAGGAGGGGGACAAAACGAAGGAGGATGGTGGGCTTGAGAACTCTAATAGTCAGCCGTCGAAGAAAGAAACTCGAAAACGAACCATCAAAGCCAAACCTAAAGCTGCACACAAAACCAACAGCCGAACCTCCAACGACGGTCATAATGCCACAGACCCTACCACCCTGTCACAGCCTCCGTTGAAGAGAAGACGAGCTCTTCCGAGCATTACTGCCGCATCCCCTCAGAAACAGTACTTATTAAATAATACCTCACCTGTACAACAACCTATACGCGCTAGAGCCAAAATTATGGTCATCCCACATACCACCGAAGATTTTCCAATATCCCCATTATCAACAACATCCTCCATGGATACTACTTCTCATATATTCTCGCCAACCCCAATATTGTCTACCATTGTTCATGATGAAGAAAACGAGCCAAAGCAACCATGTTTTATAGGAATGCTCAACGATGACTGCTTATTGCATATATGCCAAATTGTTGGCGAACAGTCGATAAATAACCTCCTCACTTTTATGGGAGTCTGCAGGCGCTGGCGCATGGTAGCTCTCTCTCCATCTGCAGTAAGCTCAATCTCGCTATTTTTGACTAGTTCTTGCCAATGGATTACTTCAACTCTCTAACATCCTCCCCCTTTTTTTTTGTCTTAGTGGGATGCTGTTGGCGTGGATTTGCGAAAGTTTTGCACGCAAATTTATGCCATGGTAGCGTCACAGCAATTATTGCATCAATTCTCTCATATTCGCAAGTTTCGCTTCAGAGATGATAGGCATTCTAATCATGCTATTTGGTCGTTCAAATTTCGCACCATGACATGGATATTTCCCAAATTGAGGGAAGCTTCATTCGATAGCATGTTGGTGGAGCATATATTTGCTTTCATTTCGGCGTTTCGCAACTTAGAGGTCATATCATGTACACGGATGGAAAAGCCGCCTTATTTCGAAATGAATTTTTTATCGTTTGCCGATCACACTCAACTTCGAAAACTTCATCTGCATTTTCAGCATCCATGCGAGCATTCCAGCTATGGTTATTTGATGAAGAAGCGAGGACAATGGTTGCCCTCTAGCTTGCAGACACTCTCAATCATCAACTTATATGACACCGAAGAACATGATATTACAGGAAGCGACTGGTGGAACGTACGCACGGACAATGACTTCAACAGATTGGTGGCACGGTGGAACTTGATGGAAGAGGCTCTGGTCTCCAAATACGCGTTCTTCAGCGGTATGCCGCATTTGAGACATCTGACGGTAGGAAGGTGCAATTCTTGGACGTCGAGAGTCTGGATGGAATGCTTCTTACCGTGCTGCGAACAACTCGAGCACCTCCACCTTATAGGCTGGGATGGTGACGGCTGCCGAGAATCACCCACGAGCTGGCGACAACGTGTGGCAGACGAGGGCGATGATACTATAAGGGATTCAAATGACGACGCAGAGCAAGCTATCATACATTGTATCAGTCAGATGAAGAGCCTGCGTAGCCTCCGTTTAGAAGATTTTAATGTCCCCCCTGGCCTCATCGATTTGGTGCACAAGTTGCCGAGAATGGAGTCTTGCAGTGTATTTTGATCGCTTTCGATGTATCAATAGACTAGAAATTCGTTGTCTTAATTCGCCCCGATATATTAGCTTGAGTAAAGTTCTCCTCGCTATTTGTACTATTGCATTTATGGAAAGTTTTGTACCCATAACTCCCATCCACTCAATTCTACCGCGAAGTCCGATGAAACTCATTGAGAGCTCAGTCAGTCAGACCCTTAATGGTCTCGGAGAGTCACTGCTGAAATTGAAGTCGAACGCTTTCATTCGTTTGGATTTTACTATGGATCCTTTTCCAGTGGCGATTAAATTGGGGGAGCTGGTAATGGGCTTTTTTTTTTTCAAACCTTTAAAACCTTCTTAATTGGTTATTTTGACATCCAGACCGCGGTTTCAACGCATTTTCAATACCTGTTTGAAAATCTTTCCATTGATCCTGATTGCAAGATCAGGGTTTGATATTCCATGTTTGGCATCAACTCACCAAATCTGCAGCACGTACAGGTAGGTCACACGATATCCGCCTATTTGTTTTGCATTGCATCTTACGCAACGTGAACGCTTTTCGTCGGCAAAAAAAGTCTTTCGAATCTACTGCAATCTATTTGCAATCATAGCATTGTTTGTGATCTGGATTGTATTAGAGGTATGAGGACGTGTACGTTAGTGGTTGGTAGTTGCGCAAGGATACGCAAGCAAGAAGCGGAGTTGTAATTTCCTGAAAGTGGCGCAGACAGCTCTCATTTTGGTGAAAGGCCACATCATCCCTATCGAGCCCTGAAACATGAGAAAGCTATCGACTTTGCTTTAGCAACTCGAATATATAAAATCATGTTCGTACAGTATCAAGTAGAAAATGAAGCGAGACACAGCCATTTTTTTCTTGTCGCTACTTCAACAGTAAAATATGTGCTGCGGTGCGTGCATGTTCAAAACAATGGAGCTAAAATCTTGTGGCATACTTGAAGATCGCATGGCCCTGCCAATAGCCGGATTTAAGGAATGTCATTCGATGGGCGGTCTCACATAAGCAGACCACACTGATGGTAGATTTTTTTCATGTAAGTAAAGAGATCAAATGAATAGGTTGAAGATGATCGCCTTGATAGACGTATTTTAACAATATTAATTACAAGTGGCTCGTTATTTTGCGGGGAGTATCGCTGAGACGGCGGTATAATCCAGGTAGCGGCCGAAGATGCGCTGATTACCAGGCTCATTCGGCGCGTACACCGCGTGACTGCTCTTCACCAGGTCGAATTTTTGAGTCATTCCCAGACTTACTCGTAAGAAATCGATTTTGGGGGATTTTGAAAAAGGTCGACCCAAGCTAACAATTACTTGCTGCGTTTTCTTTTACCCTCACTTTCTCTTTCCCTCATTCACTTTCCCTTTTCTTCACTACTGCATCTTCAACTGTGCATGTAAATAGTTTTTCATGGATAACATGCACGAATCCCAAACGACGGACAACAGCGCCAGTGCGAAACGGAAGAGACTTACACAGGCTTGCGATGTTTGCCGCAGAAAGAAGGTATGCCGAAAATGCAATATCCCCCATTTAAGATTGTCGGCCATTTCCTACATGTACAGTGTACATTTTAAAATGTTCGACATTCAATATAATTCATCTCCCAACCTACATCCTTCAATTTAGTTCTTTACTAAATGGTATAATTCCTATAGATCAAATGCGACGGTGCAAAACCAGCTTGTGCCAACTGTGTTCGAATGAAGCAGGAATGCTCTTATTTGCCCAGCAATAAAAAGCGAGGACCTCGACAAGGATATATTGAACTTCTGGAAAAGCGTTTAGATAAAATGGAAAAAATGCTACAAAATAATCCTGGTGATACCTCACCCGAGGACATATCGCCTACCGACTTCGACGCTCCTCTATTTCAGCCTACCAAAAATCATCGCCATTTTTCTACAGATAGCGAAGATCAGGCAAAACCTCTTGTGAACGGTCGATCACATGGAAGTTTAGATCAATCTCCAGCCCCCTCGCCAACATCTCCCTCTAGTCGACTATCACAATTCTCGCCTATCATGTCACACAGCTCCAACTCATTGACCAGCCGTTCCAATGCAGAGGAGGGTGGTCTACCAAGCTCAGATGTTATTGAGCATTTGGTTGCTGTCTATTTTGAGCATTTATATCCAATGATGCCTATATTGCACCCAAAGTTTTTCATGGAAAAAATTCGAAACAAAAAGTGTCCAGAAGTTTTATTACTCAGCGTTATGGCGTTGTCTGCTAGGTAAAGTGTCTCTTTAATTCCCCCATTTGGTACTACATTTTTTCACATTGCAACTCAACTAATATATCGTTATTTACCCAGGTTCTCTACGCGATCAGATGTGCTTGAGAATCCTCCATGGTTGTCTGGAGAAAAATATGCTAGTCGAGCCCGTAAAATCATCAACAATATATTTGATTATCCGTCTCTCAGCAGTGCTCAAGCCCTACTTTTATTGGGTATATATGAGTACGGTTGTTCCAGAGGCCGAAGGAGTTGGATGTTACTTGGCATGGCCCTTCGGTAAGTCACTTGATATACCACGCTTTTTTTTTTGTTTGTGTTGATTACTCATAGATCGCCTTCCTTTTTTAAATTTTAGTATGTGCACTGAACTCGGCATGCATAAGGAGTCTTTGCACGAAAGTGACTTTTCTGCTCCGCTCACTGAAGATGAATGGGTAGAGAAAGAATCCAGAAGACGATTATTCTGGCAAATATACATCGTTGACATGTAAGCAAAATGAAAGCCAACACCACTTTCTTATTTCTTTCTTTTGTTTTGCTAACGTTCGGAATGATATAGTCTTGCATGCGCAAATAGTGGTAGACCTAGATCTATAGGTGAATTAGATTGTCAGTTATTACTGCCAAGCGACGATGGATGTTGGTCGAATTCGTTGCTCTACACAGAAACTCTGGATGGGTCTTGCTCCGTACGATTTAAACAAACACCCGATGGCAGCATCATCGGCTCCCTGTACAACAATAGCAAGTTACCGCTAGCTGTTCAAAATGATCAACGCTCTCGATGCACCTTGAGTTTGATCGCATATCTCGCACGCGCAGCCACCATACTCTCAAGAATAACCTGCTATATCAGCCGATCCAAAATTCGAGATTTGAACATTTTAAGCGATAAGAATTCTGAGCTTATGCAGTTGGACGAAGAATTGACCACATTGCAAGCAAATTTGCCAGAATTCTTCCAATTTACCGATGAAAATATTGAAGATTTCCGACATGGAACGCCAGCTGAATTTCACTCTCTCGTCATGGTGAGTTTTCTAACATCTTGAAACATACCCTATCCCTAGATTTCCATCCACCGATGTACAAATGCTAATGGTTACCTCTCTTTAGCTCCATGGTTTAATCAATACCGGCATGTTGTTGTTACATCGACCTAGCTTGCTGCTAAGTGGAGCTGCCGAAAGCTCAATAGTGCAACCCTGGATTCGTCAACAAATCGAACATGCAAAATTGAAATGCAATCAATCTACTGATAGAATTACCCATATTCTCAATCTCTGTGTATCTGGAGATACTAAGATCATGGTGCCACTTTTGAGTTACTCAGCATACATAGCTTGCACTGTTCTGGTGAATGTTGCCTTCCAAGATGATCAAGTCGAGGGAGAAAAAGCAAGAAAGGCCCTTGCTATCTGCTTCCGTTATCTCTTGGTAAGTATTCCCTGGCCTATAAGGTCCAATGTGATAGCATTTATTGTATTCTAAATATTGCATTCTAATAGACAATTCGACCGTTTTGGTCAATGGCGGACCGGTTCTACTTTATGGCACGCGATTTGTACGGTTTACGAAGTAAGATCAATGGCAAAGGCAAAATCAAGTTCGGAGTTTGTCCCATGGCAGCATCACAGGATGAGATGATGCGAACGGCCACCAACGACAAAACCACAACTGGAAATCCTGATGGAAAGAAGCCATTTTCTCTCCCGGTTCAAACCGATTCGGGTTTTGTGGCTCTATGGCAAATGGCTACCCTACAACAACAAGCACAAGATCATTTGAAACGAAAAGAGCCATCGGTTGGACCACAAGAGGATATCATTACAAATGATGTTTCTCCAATACAACCAATGCCATCTAACGATATTAGAGGAGGCGACCATAACAACAGCTTCGCCAACTCCATGATGCCGCCGAATGGAATTACTACACAACAGCAAACCGCTACGATGGATAATAATATGGCGACGCCTATGAAGTTTATGGATGACAATCTAGATGAGCAAGTCAGTGTAGCGGCGGTTACGGAATACTATAGTAACCGAATGGCATCCAATCCTTCGACGTTTGCCGATACAGGATTGAATATCCCTGGTAACGATCCAACTGGGTTCAATTTTCTGTTTGATGGTTCCCTCCTTAATGACATGATGTTCCCTGTCATGTGGCCTGGTATGGAAGACAATGTTATGGCGGATATTCGTCTGAGTACCCCCAATTGGACTTTGGATAATTCTAATCTTTTAAGTATGCCTGATGAACGACCGTTTAACGTTCAACAAGCAGTGCCTGTCCAGAATACGTTTGATAAAATGCTGACGGCTGCCACAAGGGAAGCAAACAATGGATCTCATTCTCTCAACACTCCACCTTAATTATCCCAATGTCATTATTGTAACTCCAGTTTGTGTAATTATTTTCTTTTTCATGTTACCTTTACATTCATTCCTTGTCTTTCTGTGTCATTTTCGCAAAGAAATCTGCTTCACCAAACCTCACTCCGTTTTTTGTCAAAGCTTGACAAAACAACTTCAAATAAAAATTTCGTATACCCACTCACTCCTTCATCCGTTGAGCGCCACGCCATGTCCATCTCACCTGAGAGGGAGGCAAAGCAATTTTGCCTTCCATGCTTTGTTGATATTTTTTGAGACTGACTCATGTGGCCAAGGGGAATCATTGTTGTCAACGATAAGCGGTTTGCCTTTGAATCTTCATGTGAAGTAGAGCGGGTGCTTCTCTTTTAAGCGTAGGGCCGGCCAGCCAAAAAAAAAAAAAAACGAGAACGCTATTGACATTGTGAAACCACGGTGACTCTATAAAGGGGATAACAATTGATGAATCAGTGTGGTAAAAAAAAAAAAAACTATTTGAGTCGCGGTCAGCGTTCTCAGCATCAATCTTTCCCTTCTTCCTTGTCTCATGTCACATCACTCATCTGCGCAAATGGCTGCAATGATGATGGTATCCATTGACGATCGCTTTTCCCATCATCGTACTTCCCCACCTCATCCTTTCACTCCCACTTCATACCCCAGTGATACGCATTTATTCTACGATCATAGCCCCTCCTCGACATTACTGCCGAACAAAGAATCAAGGTACACTGTCCCTTCGTCTAGCAAATCTGTACCCTGGTTGGATTTACTGTACAGACTAGAATCTGGTACTATGAATGCCAGTGATAGCAGTGGCACCAGTAGCGACAGTAGCCATCTCTCCGATCATCCGTTTGCTCAGTTTTCTGGTGCGAATGGTAGAAGCGCATGGACAAGCTCCGACTTGACGATGAGCGGCATCAAAAATGCTTCAAGAGCTGTGCATATACGCAACATTGCATCCCATGTCAACGAAAAAGCATTGTTGGAAGCCATTCAGGTAATACTTGGCAACCCTTATATGCACATGTTGATTATTCATTCAACATCACTACTCTCATGTTGCTTCCCGTACTCAATTTTTTTTTTTTTCAAAATAGATGAACGGTGACCTGAAGGCGATCTGGGCTGAACATCTACACACAAGGCATGAAATGATTGTGGTGTACTTTGATGTCCGAGACGCATATAGGCTAGTTCTCAAGGCTGCTTTAGCCATACAAGAAAGTGACCCGTTTTATGGAACTTGGGTGACTTACTGTACTGCCGAACAAATGTCAAAGATACACGGAATCAATATTCAAAAGAACAGTGAATTCATGGTTAGAGTTAGCGGACATGATTTATCACTTGCCACGGATATTCTGGCTCGCTTTGGTAGTCTCCAAAGTCTTTGTCCCAACCCCCTTTTCTATTCTGACCGACAGATATTTGTTGGAGAATACTTTGACGAACGTTCAGCCATCAAAGCAACCCAGGAACTGCATAACCACATTATTCAGGTAAGACACACAGCATTTAATCTTATTACAGTAATTCCACCAAACCACCACCATCTTATTTGTCGTTTTATGTCATGGTTCGGATCGGCTTGTCCTTTTTAGAATCTTCACTTTGAGTTTATAGATACACTCAACAATATTTCATTTGGATCGAGTAACCGAGCCTATGACATTGTTTGCGACAACAAGGTCTTACCTACTCCCATGGCTAATAAAGATGACCAATACCAGGAAAGGAGAACTGAATATGGTGCAAAGCAACAAGAAACCATCAATGCATTCCTACAACGACTGAAAACTTTCAAGCACATGGCCGATGTAAAATTAGAAGACGTCGTCGACACGCCACTTCCGGAAAGTGAAGATGATTCCGCTAAGTCTAAACCACCTGGCCGTACCACATCACCGACCATCAATAACGAAATTGACATCGACCGAATTCTCATGGGTGTGTAGCAGGCTGCGACGATCTAAGGTTGCTTTCTAATATTTGGTTCATCTTATTCTAATTTAATTTTTTGCACGATGCTAGGTTTGGATAAACGCACGACTTGCATGATTCGAAATATTCCGAACAAGGTACGTAAACCCTATGTCGGAGTGCACTAAGTTGGGTGGCATGGTACTAAGATAACAATACGCTCTCATTTCCACCAATGGTTTCTCTCCATATTAGTATACGCAGGTAAAGAAAATTTCTTGTACGATGCGTGCGGAAACAACAAACATGACTATCCAGGCTGGCTAACGTCTCGTTCTTTTAATAGCAAATGTTGATCGAATGCATTAACACCACGCACAACGGCGCATACGATTTCCTCTACCTCCGCATCGATTTTAAAAACAAGTGCAACGTCGGATATGCATTTATCAATTTTATTGAACTTCGGTAAGTTTCCATACAAAACATTTGGGAATAAAGACGAGCATTTAATCCAATCCTACTGTCAGATCGCTTGTTACTTTTGCACAACAGAGAGTGGGCAGAAAATGGTAAGATTTTTTTTTATAAAAAAAATAATCATTTCTGTCATCCACAACAGTATGGCTATACTAACTTTTTGACATAGGAATCGCTTCAATTCAGAGAAAAGATGTACCTTGTCATATGCCAATATACAGGGCAAAAAAGCGCTCGTCGAAAAATTTAGAAACTCAAGTGTCATGGACGAAGAAGCTAGCTACCAGCCTAAAATCTTTGTTTCAACTGGCGTGCACCGTGGTGAAGAAGAGCCTTTTCCTCAGCCGACGTTGCCTTCAGAACTCCGTAAACGCAAGCAACGCTTGACATCAAGTCACAGATCGTCCACTTTTCTGGATTACTACCGTCATAACGATACCAGCAACTCTGGTGACGACTGAGATAAGACCACCACCTCCCAACGCCATGTCGCAACTTTGTCGTTCACTGGCTATACCACTCGTATTTACCTTTTGCGTATATAGATTGATCTATTTCCTCCATTCTTTGCTTACATGATTAGCCAGCCAGTTATGGTTTTTCATACCTTTTTTTATACCGTCGTTGGGGTTGTTGTTTTTCTTAATATTCTTGCTGCTCAAAAAAGTTGATATCTTTGTTTGCATCTTTGTAAGTATGGTAATTTGCAAAATTAACTTTATAAGTACCAAAAAAAATATAATTCAAATGGCCGTAGCTGTTTCTGCTTTTTTTTATTTTCTCTTGCACTCCTATTTATTGACTAGTATACAACTCTTTGATGGCTGCTTGAGCGCTATCCCATCCTTTCCAAGTTTTACACTTGCCTTGCCATCGCCCTTTACCGCCACCCTTGAGACCGTCCAAATGCTGAGTGAGAATTTGCGTAGCCTTCTTGACCGAATCATCATCACTGCCAAGAACAATGATGGGTCCGCCAGCGGATGGGTCACCGCCAGCAAGGATGATGACCGCCCCGGCATTTTCTTCCAGCAATTTTTGCTCTTTTGCTCCGTTGGCGAGCAGGACAAGATAATCCATGTCGGCATCTTCTCGATGCACCATAGCATAGCGATTTTCCTTCACCTCTGTAACCAGCGTGGTAACGGCGTGGCCAGCGAGCTCCGCCATGAGCCGTTTGATGGTCTTAGCTTGAGTACGTTGCAGGGTTTGCAATCGGGTGATTTGAGGCACAAACGACTCCGGTCCACATGAGAGCAAGCCAGTCAACGATTTGCACGTCGTGTAGGAGGAGTCGAGTAGATCCAGCACACGGCGGCCGACTACAAAATACAGTCGCATGTTGTTACCGCGAATCTTCTCGGTGTGTAAAAACTTGATGGATTGAAGCTGGGCCAAGTTGTTGGCGTGGGTACCGCAGCATGGGTTTCGATCGAGGCCTTCAATTTCTATGGTGCGAATCACTCCTCCACGGTAATCACTAGGAAGGGAGTCGGGTCTATTGTCGTCGGCAGCGTTGTTCTCTGCGTGGGTGATGATTGGTACGCCAGAGAAGATGAGTGTGTTGATGGCATCCTCGGCTTGGCTGATTTGTTCTGCAGTTGGCAGACTGCCATTGTTAGGAGCGAGTTCCACATAGGAGATTTTGTCACCAAGGTTCCTATTTACCACGTCAAAGTTGAGTAAGCGGGCAGACAGAGAAACCACATACGGTATTATATTTTTTACCAAAGTACACTCACCAGCCGACGGTTTCAAACTTGTATGGGTCCTGTTCTAATACGGCACTGAGGAGATGTTGTCCAGTGTGCTGTTGAACGTGATCGAATCGTCTATCCCAATCCACCTTCAATGTGACTTCCTTATCTACCGCTACTGGCTCCTTGGTGAAGTGAATGTGCTGCAGTCCTCGACGCTGTACGTTGTGAACTTTGATATCATCGATAAAGCCCGTGTCGTTGGGTTGGCCACCTCCCTCTGGGAACAAGACTGAGGTAGTATGATTAGTAACATGGGGATGCCAATCCTACCCGATGTGGAGGCACCTACTGGTATCATGTAGTAAGACTTCGTAAAAGCCTTTCTTATCCGGCTTTTCCGAGCATCCGATACATTTCGTAGTGGCTGTTTTGAGAAATGTATCCTTCTGGCATGCCAAAGCTCCTACTGGAATTTGGTCTGGAATGTGTTGAGCGGGAGACATGTCAAAGGTACCAATCGACCGGAGCCAGAAAATCAAATAAAAAAAAAATTTGACGAAAGAGGAGTGTTAATTCGTTCAGTATGCAAAATTTACAAGGGGTGAGCTGCTAGTGGTATTATGGATCGTTTGTTAATATTATAATGGCTACTAATTGTCCTCTTCTTCTACGACTTCATACTCCTTGCCACGACAGTCGCGCTTGCACATTGGACACATGCTATTCAACGCAAGCCATTCGTGAAGACAGTCTTTGTGGAAATGGTGCTGACACCTACAATAGCATGGTGAGATATATGAATATATATATTTCATATCTTGCTGGAAGACAAACTTACCATAGTCTGCAAACAAGTTCATCCTGCTCATAGTTGGATAGACAAATAGCACATACGGCGTCTTCACTGCAGTCAAAGCTGATGGTTTTATGATCCCGCTTTGACTCAGGTTTCTCAATGTCATTGGGTTTAGCTTGACCAGCCTTTCGACGTAACATCCGGCGGAAGAATCCCACGCGTGGAGCAGCTTCCAGTCCCCTATTAGCGCTACTCCTGACAGATACGTGAGACTCAGCAATGCTATTAGTGTCCGCGGCATTGTCGGTAAACCGTAAAACTGGTATTTTTTGTATTTCTTCAGCTGTCGCCCCACCCACTTCGGAGGGTTCACCAACTTGCATGATTCGCATACCAACTGCTTGATAAAAAAGACTGGTCAGTGTGTTGTGCACAAGGTAGTTCCCATACGACGTTATACACATTACCCAGTACGCATGGTAAACAAAATATAGCAGCTGCGCAGAACAAAATAGGAATGGTGATCATGACATAGCCCAGAACCACCCATGTTAAAGTTACATAGAAGAGTACACTAGCAGTGTTTGCACAAGATGTGCTTCCGAATAAAAAGTAGTTGCCGATTACGAACCAGAAAGTTGCAAACAAGTCGAGCAACGATTTTGCACTGAAGAAAAAGAATATTCGTCCAAATTGAATTCAGTATGTTGACTTTCAATGTGAGCAAATGGTATATAGATGTAGTAGCTTACCGATCGACTCGGCCGCCAATGATATGACGGCGGGTGGTTCGAGATTGATGTTCTCCGGTCGTAGGAGGCGTGGTGGTAGGTGGAGCAGTAGGTGGTAGTATGGACGAGCTGTTGTCTATTTCCGTTGCCGGGGAAATAGGATGCACTGTCGTAGGAGCCTGCGTCTCTGCCGGGGCATTAGCGGTATTAGAACGTCTCCGTCGCGTTCTCCTCCTTCTTCGTGGATGTAAGTACTGGTACATGGAAAATGGAAAAGAGAGAAGCACTCTGATAGCATATACAATTAGGAAAATCTTGAGTGGTCGTTCGCAGGTACCGTCCCCGGATATTGCGACAGCTACAACGCTCGCAGCAATCTGAAATGAGGAAGAAAAATTAAGGGAGAAACCCCTCCGAACATGGTCAATGCTTTAATGTCTCCGAATGAATCAAGGAGACGTTTATGTATATAACGTCTCCCGCCATAGAAATAACCCGCTTTTTTGTTTCTTACCTGAATAATCGATATGGCCGTGGTAATAATCAGCAACACTTTGCTGGAGCTTGAGATATGCTGCCAGCGACTTCGTAGATAATTGACCCAATTCCACCGTACTGTGCGTGAAGTGGGATTAACACTTCTGGCGGTAATGGCAGCTGCATTAGCGGGAGTTAGCGATTCCAAAATGCCGCCGTTTTGTGTAGCCCTGCTATCTGCTGGGCTGTTATAAGCGTTCAAGTATTGTACAGCCGTTTGTGAGTTCACTTCTGGAGCAGACGATTGAGAGGAAGGGCCACTGGACCCGACAGTGGCAGCTTCAGATTCGGGCACAATATCCAGTACGCTGGATGTTGCATGGCCTGCCATTGCGTTATGTGGATGAGAAGCCAGCTGATATCGTAAGTTGGCTTGGGAAACTATGCGGCGGCTATCTCGAAATTTTTGGGACTTTTTTTTTGTTTGTGAGTCTAGGACCTTGTTGTTTTGGGCCAGCAGACACAATGTACTTTGCAAACGTTTCCTTACATGCCAAAGGATGTCAAAGCTTGTTCAAACGTCGTTCAATAGCAGGTAATTTTTCAAAGTAGTATGTATTTAAATAGCTTGTCGTCTTCGGTGTGCGGTTGATCGGACATTTTCCACTACTTTGGTATTATGCAAGAGCCTATATGAACAGCATGTTGCGCAGTGAATGATTTTTATTCATTGTATGATGAAATGAGACTATGACTTTATCTGGACAGAAATCTGAGTCTTATGCTATGGAGCATTTGAGGATAAATAATGTTACAACATTCGCTCAGCGTGCGATTTGATGATGTCTTTGGTTGTGGTGTCACTTGACAAGACGCTGTACCAAAAAGGGGTTTCGTGAGGTGGGTCGCCGATATGCTTAACACCATATTGGTTTGGCTCAGCAGATTCAGATGCTTGTCCTCCCCAAGCCCAGAAGGATGTACCAGTCATTTTACCTTGCTCAGCAAGTTCTTCAGCAACCTTAAAAATCGTAGCAAAATACTCGTCTCTGTGTGTGGTGGTTGTTTTTTCGCTGTATTTAGCTCCGAGATGAGCATCGCGTGCCATACCAAACTCTTCCATGATATGTGGTTTGCCTAGCTCTTGAGCCCAATTTGTCACCTTGTGTATGAATTCAGTGACAGCCTGTTTGGTCTTTTCTAAACTGGCCGTCGTCTTGTCCTCTGGGTCGTAAATTTCCCAGTTCTCACACCAGAAGTGACTGGTACAGAAATCAATATTGGAGCTGGCATGGGAGTTGGTGAAGTCTACATGATCGTATTTTGTCTCAATACCAGAGGTGATGAGTTGTGAAACTCCCAGATTGCGAATATACCCTGCCACATCATCTACCCACCAAGCAGGTGGGAATTGGGGCTCATTGCATAGCTCCCAAGCCAAAATGGACGAGTCTTCGCTATACAGTGTACCGTTGATGGTATTACGACGGCTGACAATGGTCTTGATATTATCCTTAAACATGGTGTCGATCTTTCCTCGGATGGTTTCGTCGTTATAGAAGCGGCAACCGTATTTAGCGAAATCATCAAATGATCCAGCAGTCGTGTAAGCTTTGGCAACAGGATCCCATGAAGGTGGATACTGGACCTCCTTGTCGTCGGAAGCCCAAGCAACGTATTGAGCAAATCTTAAGTGGTAGAAAACATCAACTTTAGACTCTGCCTCCAACATCAATAGCATACACTTCAGTTAACTTACCCTCCACTCCAGTGCCATTGGTTGGTCAATGTCACTAATCATCAAAATATGTACTCCGAAAGTTAGACACCGGTGTTGAAAGCTGTTTTCCCATTCAAACGCCTCAAAATACATACCGATAGCAGTAAAGCCGCGCTTAGCCAAGGCATCCAAAAAGTAATCCAGTCCGCGGAAGATCTCTTCGTTGTATTCACCAGGCTTGGTCATCAAGCATGGCTTCATACGGAAGGGTTCGTCTCCTTCACCTTCGGAAGAAGCCATAATGCGCAACATATTGACACCTAAGCTCTTCAATTCATCCAATTCGGCGTCCAAGCGCTTGCGGTCACCTCCCCATTCTATCAGTCGTAAGCGTGTCCGTCAGTCTCAGATTGGTACAGGCAAACATCTGTTTTCGATCTATACTATACCTTCGATTGCGCCCATGTTGATGCCGTGCCAGAAATTGGTGCCAACCACTCGGAAGGGCTTGCCGTCACGTACAAGCGTTGTACCATCGACCTTGACAAAGTTTGTTGAAGACATATGGGTAGTGCTTGGTAATAATATGCTATGGAAAAGAATAGGTACCGCTCTCCAAACTCGCCTTTTATACTCAGAGAGAGGAAATGAACCCCCATTACCTGGAAACCTTAATATTTCATGTTTCCAGATATCATTGTGCTAATACTAGCGTTCTGAACCACGCGGGACAATCAATAGTAATGGATTTCCGCGGAATCAAGAATGGAGCCACGCTGGATGGGGTCCGTGACAGTGGCCGCCACCTCTTGTGTCGCCCCACAATTTTCCATATCAAGTACATCGGTCGCACCGCACTCTCTACGGCTGGAACGGTAAACTTTAAGACAGCGAATGAAAAATTAACAGAGGGGAGGGAAACCAGACAGTTGGCTACCGAGGTATAGCTTTAACTTTCCGTTTCATTCTCAGTGCCTTGGACCATTGACTTTGCATCAAGATAATGTACAATGGAAAATTGCACTTGTTAGTCACAAAGTAGCTTTTGTCTGATTTTGTGGTCATAATTTCAATGAGCAATTTTGCTTTTTTTTTGTTTTCAGTTATACTGATTTCATTGGGCAGATTTATCACACTGTTCAGTTTACAAAACGGCAGCGGTAGTTTGTGTTCATGGGTTAACTTTATAAAAGCGCTTCATATTATATACAATTCCATTATTGGAAGCTAGATATCAATCATACAAAAGTGATGATCTTTTTTACTTGGCCAACTCCTTGGCGATTTCCTCCTCTACACGACGGCCGTAATCAGGATGGGCACGCTTGAAGTGACCGATTTGCTTGGTACGAATGTACTCTTTGCACTGTCCAAGATGGATGGCAATGTTATGGACCAAGTGTTCTCTGTCTGTCTCAGACATGACCTTCCAAAGTTCACCAGCTTGATAAAAGTCGATGTCTTCCTTGATAGGCTTGACATAGGTTCCAGTGATACCGTAGACCTTCTCGGGAACATGAGTGAATGATTTGGTAGGGTTGTTCTGCACCAGAGTCTTTGGTGGGTGCTCCTCCAAGGTGCTGTCGGGGTAGTTGGGACGGCCACCGGGGTTGTCGAAGGCCATATGACCAGCGCGTTGGTGGTTAACAACTGGGGCAACGGGACGGTTGATGGGTAGTTGCTGGTAGTTAACACCAAGACGATGTCTGTGAGTGTCAGGGTAGCTGAAAAGACGTCCTTGCAACATCTTATCGGGGGTGACATCAAGGCCGGGAACAAGGTGAGAAGGTGAGAAAGCAGATTGTTCGACTTCACAGAAGTAGTTGTCAGGGTTCTTGTTCAAGATGAAGCGACCAATGGGGTGGAGTGGGTAGTTCTTCTTGGACCAAACCTTGGTGATATCGAAGATATCAAAAGGCATCTTATCCTTGTCTTCGGGTTCCATGATCTGAATGGACACAGTCCATTCGGGGTAGTCACCCTTCTCGATGTGTTCAAACAAGTCCTGGGTCAAATAGTCGGGGTTTTCACCACCAATCTTGACAGCTTCCTCAATGGTGAAGTTTTCTTTGCCTTGCTTGCTTGTGCAGTGAAATTTAACGTACTTGAACTTTCCATCGGAGTTGACCATCTTGAGAGTGTGGCCATAGAAAGCATCCATCTTGCGAAGGGAAGCGGGAGTACCACGGTCAGAGAAAAGAATGGTAACCTGATGAGTGGATTCTGGATTTTGGGAAAGGAAGTCCCAGAAAATATTGGGATCCTTCAAGTTGGTGCGAGGGTCTCTCTTTTGTGTGTGAATGAAGTCGGGGAACTTGATAGCATCACGGATGAAGAAGACTGGGGTATTGTTCATGACCCAATCACAGTTTCCCTCTTCGGTGTAGAATTTGACAGCGAATCCTCGAGGATCGCGAGCAGTATCGGCTGAGCTGTTAATGAAAAATAAAAAGGCGACGTCAATGACTGTCCATGACGATGCGCAATGACCACATTAGTGTAACCAATTAATCAACGTACCCAGATTCACCGCCAACAGTTGAGATACGGGCAAAGCAAGGAGTTCTCTTGCCAATACCAGTCAAGAACTTTGCGCAGGTAAGGTGAGAGATGTCGTGAGTTACTTCATAGTAGCCGTGGGCACCGGCAGCTTTGGCTGTTAGGATAAAATTAATAGACGTGTTTAGCCATTCAAGCCGTACAACGAACGCATCAATTGACTATTGAGCAAAGTACTGACCATGTACAACACGTTCGGGGATACGTTCACGATCGAAGTGAGCAAGCTTGTCGATCAAATTGAAGTCCTGGATCAAAGTTGGTCCGTCTTCTCCAACAGTCAAGGAGGCATTTTCGTTGACTGGAGCTCCATTGGAAGCGGTGACAGTATCGTTAGGAGCCATAGATGTTCTATAACTTTAAAGTGGGGAGAGAAAAGTAATATTCGTATATCATCGTTGGTTTCTCAGGGTTTATATACCACTTTTCGTTCGAGAATTGATGGCGTCACCATATCTTTGGCTCAGGCAATGGGCCACTGCTGGCACTTCCTCCAATCAGGCAATCAGTGTTAAGCTTACTCAGCTTACCTTGTTAGGGCTCTGAGAAAAAAACTAATGATTTCACCATATTGAATAAGCTCACTTCCCACCCCTACACCACATGCTTAATAACCGAACAGCCCTTGTGTTCAGCTTGGGGCAGTGTATGTGAGGATCTTAAAATGCCTAGGCTATATATTTTTCCCCAGCCTATTCTTTCGACCCCTACTATTTATGTTTAAATTTGTACTTCTTTTGATATTTTCAATCATTGCTCAAACAGTTATGTCTATCTGTTTTGAAACAGATATTGTTAGGGTTGCAGTATCAAAGACTGGTATATTTTCTAATGCAACTAGACAGATTGACTTCTTCAAGATGACAAGGAATTCACAGCCAGCAGACGTGGCAAAGTATTACAGAGGGGATGTTTCTGAATTTGTTTCAGCTATCAATAGAGAAGACTCTACACAAACCATGCGCGTTAAATATCTTCCAACTTCTGCTTATGCAACAATTCCGCCGAACATAACCTTTAGTATGCATTTAAAGCCACTAGAAGAGTTGCCGGAATACTTCCGGAAGCACATTAAGAATGCTGAGATGGCAAAATAAACTTCCATGTATCTTTTTTCTGTCATCAATATTGCAAACACTGAGATAGCATCTCATAGAACATTGAAGTTGTGACGGAATCGTAGCGTTGATGAGATCATACGCGCAGAATCGAAAGGTTCAATTATCATCGAGCCCGACGCTATCTATGTCATAGAAGTATGTCATAGAAGTAGAAAACGTGGTTCTCAGTAACAATTAACAGCTTCTTTTTTATTCGATGGGCGAAAATTGAGAACCCGATCGATCGATTTTGATGCTGTGAGATTTTTATCGGCCGGTGTGTTGGAAGACTAGTTCAGGCAATCATGACGCGATTCAACGCTTGTATAGATTTACACAACGGCCAAGTCAAGCAGATCGTTGGTGGATCCTTGACAGATACCGATCCAGATTCACTGCGTACTAATTTTGTGTCAAAGTAAAATTCCCTCGCGATTTTCTGATTCTAAACCAAACGTCAAAACGTAGTAACACCATAATGTTGCGTTGAAAAGAGAATCCCCCGCATACTACGGGCAACTGTACAAGAAGCACAATATAACCAGAGCACATGTGATAAAGCTCGGACCTAACAACGATGCTGCTGCAATAGAAGCACTTGCTTCATGGCCAGGTATTTAGTGCTTTTCTTTTCGGATGCTTATCACTAAACCAACGTGGAAGTGCCATTATTGACGGGCCACTCTATAGGCGGTTTACAGGTCGGAGGAGGAATCTCTGTAGAGAATGCGCAGGAATGGATTGATTTGGGTGCAAATAAGGTTGGGGATCTTGTCTGTATACTCGGAAAAGTCAAACCATTGTTAATTTCCATATCGAAATCTACAGGTCATCATTACCAGTTATCTCTTCCCCGATGCTAAATTTTCACTGGACCGCTTGAAGCGATTATCTGAAACTGTTGGAAAAGAAAAACTTGTGGTCGATGTGAGGTAGGTTTGATTGTATGGGTATAGCGATCATAGGAGTTCCTAACAATTGACATTTTCATAAATTAGCTGTAGACGGAAGGATAACAAGTGGATAGTGGCCATGAACAAGTGGCAAACTATGACAGACATGGAAGTGAACAAAGGTGTGTAGTGCTTTGTCGTATAGCAAGGCGATCGTATGTACATGAACTAATATCATGGCCAGAAACATTGGATATGCTATCACAATATTGCAGGTAAAGATTCATTCTACTGTCAATATTGCAAAGTGGGACTTTCCAAATCTGATTCGACTGTTAGTGAATTTCTAGTACACGCTGCCGATGTGGAGGGTTTGTGCAAAGGGATAGACCAAGAGCTTGTTCGCAGTATGTTTCACATTTTAGTATTGTGCGCGTAGCTGCATGAATTTAACCCTTGTCTTCCATAGAGCTGGGTGAATGGGTCACGATTCCAACAACCTATGCAGGTGGGGGTAACAGTAAGTACATTCTGGTCACACATACATATTGAGGTATACATGGTTTAATGCATTGTTTATGCAGACATCAGCGATCTTGAATTAGTTGATCGTTTGAGCAACGGCAAAGTAGACCTTACATTCGGAAGGTAAGGTACCATTAAGAGTTGAATCAAAGAGTACAATTGCTCACAATGGATACAGTGCTTTAGACATTTTCGGTGGCTCCAGTGTCAAGTTTGATGACTGCGTAGAGTGGAATTCTAAGCATTAACGAGAACTGACAAAATGTTCACCCCATGCTATTATTCATCAGTTCGGACTTTGCAGTTATATCTTCGACGCATTGTCGTTCAAATGAACGCGTTATAGACAACCCCCCCCCTTACCATCTGGCCCATCCAGCCTACTCCATATTCTTCGCTACCAGAGTGGAATACAGTTTTCAATCATTCAAATTTGGGGAGGAATAGCGCGCGGATTTAATTTTTTTGTTTTTGGGTTGAGAAGAAAAGTCTGGGAAGATGGTAACAGATAAACAACGAAATGAAACAAAGGGAAAAAGATCGAAGACCAATCTGGAAGAAGGTCGATAAGGTCTACAGGGATATCAATTACTATAGCTATTCAATCAAGTACAATAACCGTTACGAAATACAAGATAAAATAATCCGTGGACGGAAGACAGTTGGGGAGAGAAAAATATGGATTTCATGGAACCATACGAGAAAGGGCGGCTGAATAAAAAAAAAGTGGGGAGGAGACTTGGGGGGATAGAAAGAAATGGGTGACAAAAGACAAGCAAAAACCGCTCTAAATTATTTCTTGGGATGGTACACATAACAAGATAATCCAGAACAACGCTCCTGTCGATACTGTAAGTGAGAAAAAAATATATAATGTTTCTATGAATCGGCGGCATCGAATGTGCAAGTGGTGCCATATGTTTTGCCCTTGATCACAGCTTCCACGCGCAACTCAACTTCTCCAAAGTACATTTTGATAGATAAATCGACCTTCTCGCCTTCGCGGACTCCCGTCAAAGCTGGCATGGGAATGGTGAAATTTGCGACCTTGCGAACACCAGGGCTAAGGGTATAGCGAGGCTGATCTTCAGTATCAGCTGCATATAGAGTGCAAGTTGTGTGATGCGGATAATAAGCAAAGAAATCCTTTGATACGCAGTTGTCGATGTCTAAAAGTGAAAAGCATGGGAAATTAGTTTATACGGTTCGCTTAGCAAAAGGAAGCCATGCAGATGAATGAATCATACCGAGTGGAACACCACGTTTTACATAAACGGAAAACCGGTTATCACATCTGGAAGAGACAAATGAAGTTAAGGTTAGTATTGGATGTAATCAAAAAAGAACGGCTGCCCTGTGATTCTTACCGAACACTGCCATCAGCGCGTACAATTCTGTAGCTTGGCGGGTCAACACCTTCTTCAAAAGTAGTGGTGGTGTCGATACCATACCAGTATCTTGGAATACGGGTGGTAACAATTCTGGGGTTGAGGCCAAAGTAAACAGCACCACGTACAACAGCAAGCTCTCCTCTAGGTGGAACAGCCACCAGACCAACACGAGCACCAAATTCTTGCTGAACGCGTTCGAATAGATAGTTTGAAGAGCCAAACCCACCAACCAAAAAGATGGCCTGCATCGTCTGAGCCTTGACCAATTGTTCTTCAATTAAAGCCAACACATCGCGGATGACTGGTTCGAAAACTTCTGTTTTCAATTCTTGAGCAGACACAACAAGGGTACCATCTTCCAAACCAATGGCGGGATTATTGAGGGAATCTAGGTTCATGGCAGCTGGAAGTTGTATAAATTGGTCGTCTACTCCATCAAATTGTGGTTTGATAAGGTCTACAAAGGTATCCATCATAGTTTCGAAGGCACTAGCAGGAATGGTGGAAAGGTATTCCTTGAACTTCTTCTTCAAGAGTTTGCGCATACGGCGATCCAAAAATACTGATCCACAAGATTGACCATGACCTTTTGTGCATTCCTTGAGTTTACGACCAAAGCGGCCTTCTTCGATCTCAAAAACGATTAAATCGACAGTACCACCTGCAAATACACAGAGTCATTCCATTAATTAAAGTGCCCATATTTAGGTGATTTCTGAATCAGATTCAAAAAATTATTTTACCTCCAGCATCGCAAATCATGAAACGATCTCCATGTCTCAAGTTGAACTGCTCACATTTCTTTTCACAGTACAAGGCAGCAGCTTCTGGTTCGGAAATGAGCATAAGGCGATCACGGTGATCGCTGGCATCAATAAGACCAGCTTTGATAGCAGCTTCACGCATAGCGGCTTTCGCACGATCGCTCCACATGGCTGGTACCGTCAGGCAGTATCTGAACTGATGCTGGCCATAGTTCTTGGCAAAACCCTTCTTCAGTTCCGAGACAACATGCCCATGAAAAGCGTTGAGGTAATCGGCAATAGCATCGACGATAGTCAAACCGTTGGGCAAAGGAGGTAAGTCCTTGGCAATATTTTCATCCAAGTAAAGCTTGTATTGCTTTAGTAGCACAGAGTTCCGCGCGATTGGGCGTTGCATCTCTAGCCTTGCTGCATTTCCCCACTGTGTCATTTGCTTGGAATTGCCTTGGTAAAAGTTCAATGTAGGGGTCTAACAATAAGAAATGACGGGTGTTTAGTGGATCGGGAGGGCAAATAACGGCAATGGGGTACGGTAATTCGTTGCAGCAGGCATGTGCTAGAATATCGAGAAAATGCTTCAAAAGCTTAATACCTTGGGGTAAACGTTTGAGTGCTGCTTGGGCCTGTATCGTCATAGATAGGGGGCAAAGGTTAATCTCGGGTAGCAGAGCCATTATTCGGACAAGGTGAAATGACCCGCTCATGAGGCGATGCAGTATTTCTTCTTTACAGAAAAATAATACTGCCGCGAGCACAATTTAGTCAAAGAGATACTTTACCATCGAACAATATCAATAACTTCGTCATTCTGTACAAAGGCATAGGAACAGCCGGAGTATGTGGTACCTGTTTCCCAAGTGTGTTAGAACATCTCGGGTTGTAAACATTGAAATGCGAAGAATTTTCTTACCGAAATCGATACCAATGACAACGGGATAGTCTTTGAGATTGAAAGGCTTTGGACTTGTCGCTGACATATATTGGAGTCTATGTAGGGAATGTGGACAATAACCTTTACAGATGAAACAACAACAGTAAAGATCTGGTAATTGGCCAGAGAGAGAGAAAAAAGGCTCAGGGTTTGCTGAGAGAGAAAAAGAATTGGACCACAGCCACTCCTTGGGCTGGTACAGCGTTTACTCGGCGAGCGGTGTTCAAAAAATGGCTCCAAGCACTCCTCGCATACGAAGCTCATCGTCACTGTGACCCACCAACCACACTAGCTAGTATGCGTAAAACATTCATAAACGTCGGTAATGATCGTTTGTATTACTCATGATTTGGAGTTATGGGTTACGACAAACCAACACATAACTCGAAATTTTTAATTTTTTGGTTTAGGCACTGGATCAACACAAAATTGATTGACAGCCACAGGATAAGCTGAATCAGCCATACTGCTGCTGTGAATGGAACATCGAAGGTCGAGATACTTCGTTTGGCTGGAAAATGAATAGAAGTCAATTATATGACGCAATGACTACCTGTTTAAGGCATGACCAGATGGTAATACCTTCCGCTCCTACCAATACAAGTATCCAGGAATACGGAACTCCCGACCATTTCATTTTATATCCTGTATTTTATTCAATCCACCAAAGGTTTTCTTAAAACATCACTCCATGCGATTCGGAAGAAAACAACCTGAAGTGCCCATCATCTTGCCTGCAAAAGATGCCAAGGTACTTGCACAGTACAAGAGCAGAGTTGAAGTATTTGACCGCATGTTTAAATGCTGCTGCTGTTGGATCGGCTGGGACATGCTTCTTGGTAAGTATCTAGTAACACTACCCATAAAACTGCGAAGAAACAGTACTAAGTCTGTAAAATTAGATTTGATACCCGTGCTTGGCAAGACTATCTCGCTGTTCTTTGCCATTGCTTTGTATCGCTTGGCATGTACAGCTAATATTTCACATGAGGTCAAGTCGCAGATGCGATGGCACACAACGGTGAATTTTGTGGTAAGTTGTGGTAGTAAGAGGTGGAATGGAGGAGAATGTTGTATTAAACTTTTCCTTTGAATAGATCGGGCTGATACCCATAGTTGGCTTAGTGTTTGACATACTTTACCAGGCAAACGCGAAGAACTTGAGAATTCTCGAGCAATTTTTATATAATCGAGCAAGAACCAACTCTGCTCAGCCACTAGATGCAAGCGTTGCGCCCTCCAAACATGTTTCGATAGAACCAACCCTCGTCTGATCATGCTGTACTCATCACCTTATATATGACCATTTAATTTTTTTTTTGAAAAGATAAAAGTACAGGGCTCTATTCAATAAAATTTCCACTGAAAGATAAACTGAACATCGGACTCACTGCTGTATTTCGGTACGCCATTCCTTTGACTTTGTCTTTGTATGTTTAAGGAAAACCGACCAACTTCTTTGGTTGTGGCGCTTAACTCGCCGTTCTTTTTGTCAAAAAAAGATCATGAGACACGGGGTGAGGGATGCAAGCTGTCCAAAAAACAGTATAGCAATTTCGTTTGGGCAACTGGTGAGAAAAATTGTCAGGCCACATGTCATCCTTTCTCGAATTATATGGGGTAGGTCTGCAGCAGAAGTTTCCTCTCTTTCCTGATCTCGTTTTCCAAAGCATACCTTTTGATAAATGGCAGAAATTGAAAACCACAGACCACAAAGGAACTCTATTCGTTTCGACGATGGGACCGACTTTAGAACCTTGGCCTCACTTGATGGATCTACCATTAATGATGTTCCACATAATTCTAATAGGCGGAGAAGTATTGACGCGTAAGGACCATTACCGAGAAATTTTTGTTTCATTTCTCGGTACGATAAACTAACTCTTTCTATAGTCATTTGCGTCGCAAAATCCTTATAGCCTATGACAACAGCGAGTTCAGTCAAAAAATGTTTGAGTGGTCGTTGGCCCAAGTATTGCGCTCTGACAACGATCATGTTGTTTTGGCTACTGTTTTGGATGTCCAGGAGTCCACATACTTTCATCGTAATTGGGGTGCTGACTCAAATGCAGGTAACGTTAACACACTATAAATTTGTGGTTTTCGATCCTTTTAATGATGTCTTACTTGTGCAGGATTTCGAGGATCGGCACGAAGATTGTCTATTTCAGAGTCTGATCAAGCCACGCTCAAATTGAAGCCTCTAGTCGAACGTCTGGTCCAGCGTGGGGTGGGTGCTGACTGATTTTGGCTTGGCGTGTGCTCAGCATTTACTCATACCATATTTTTTTTTTTTATTAAAAAAAAAAAGATGACTGCTCAAATCCATATCCTCAAAGGCGATCCAAAGCATGAAATTGTAAGACTTTCCAATGAGATCGGTGCAGATATGGTTGTCATCGGATCGAGAGGCCTCGGTGCCGTTAAGCGACTTACCATGGGCAGCGTATCTGATTGTAAGTGATTCCAAGCTATGTAATTTGAGATGCAAGCTCTAACACATGTTTTCCTCACATCCTATAGTCTGTGTCCGTAATGCTGAATGTCCAGTTGTCGTCGTAAGGGAAAAGGCTCTCGATTTAACACTAAGTCGATCGATGTCTCGTCGTCAATCGCAGTAAAACAAATATGTGCCATCGATGATGTGTGCATAGTCACCTCAGAATGAGGTTGTACAGTTGGTTGGTTACGTCCATTCCAGCCTAACTATCATTCCAACACAATATCCTAGTAGCTTATTTTTTCCAATAGCCAAATCAGTATACTCATATATTCCATATTTTCATATTAAATTTGTCTTAGCCTAAGCGATCGATGACTGCAGACGTGCCGTGGTAATAATTCTGGGTTTGCAGTTCCGGATTTCATGCTTACATTTTCATTCGACCAGACTCATAAGCAGTTGGCGCTGAAAAGATCTTCTGCATTTATTGCCTCCCAGAATATAAATAAGCTCAGTTTTCCACTTTCCAACTTATTTTACACAATTTTATTTTTTATCAAATGGACCGCAAGATTCCTGCAAACGAAGTCATTGAACAACTTGGCCGTGGTACCGAAACCAACCTTGGTAGCCAAACCTCTGGTATGAGTAGTGACACTTCCCACCATCTGTTCAGCGGTGCTGGTGTCATGGAAGGTGCCGGTGATAACGGGATTAAATACTCTGGTAACCAGCAACGACGTACCAGCATGGGTTTTGGTAATGATGGCTACGGAGGTACTTCGTTCCAGAAGTTAGATCAACACAGACGAAGTTCTTTGGACAAGGCTCAAGAATTCCAACAGCAATACGCAAAGGATAGCCTGGCTGATACGTTCAAGTCATGGTTTAACAAATGATAAAAAGTGCTACTGAAAAAGAATTGACCGCATATTGTTTCTTATGTCCATTCAGCATTATGTGTTATGATTTTTATTACTGTAAATAAAACGCTGCCTGCTCCCCCCGTACAATTTTTCCATCGATGTGTCTCCATTTTCTGAGTGTCATACGTAGGGACTAAAGCACTGTTTGCTACAACAATATAAGCGTGATGATACGCAGCTTCAGCATGTAACAGTCCTTGTCGTGTTTTTCAAGGTATGCAGATTTTTAGTATTGCAAAATCATTGTGACGAAAGCTGAACCTTTGGGCTGAAGCGCCAAAAATTTGGTTCAATTCATGCGCTCGGCTGACTCCCACACACACTCGTACAGCGCCATATTGTGCATTTTTGTCTAAACATTTAGACTCTCGGATGACGAATATTGCTTTACTCTTCTCCTACTTGTTTTTTTTTTCTTATACGCACAAGCCCATACAGTGTCAAGCAAATTTTCTTCCTGATTAAGAGCCAAAATATGTTAAGACGGATTGTTGCAAGAGATTTAGCATCAGTTTATAGGCAAACATGGTGTTTACAGCGGACTACAGTATCAGCAAATCGAGCCTATGCAAGACCTTTCCCAAGGACAGTGTCTCCACTTTCAATGCAAAGAAAGTTTTTCCTCACCAATCAACCAGCCGAGCGTTCTGTCAGTGCGTCGGCGCAAGAGGACCAAAAGAGGAGTGAAAGCTCAGTCTCAGAGCTGGGAAGTGATGTGGTAAGTTGACATGGAGTGAACAGGACGTTATACTCTGTTTTTCACTTTGTTGATTTTCACTCATTTTTCTACAATGAAAAGAAAACGGTCGTGTCCGATTTTACAGACGTCCCGAAGCCTGCTATGTTCTTTGGCTTTCTGGGTGTCTTACCATGCATGGCAGCAAGTGTGATGAGCGTTTATTATGCAGACTCTCCCGAGCTTTTATCTTTTATCGAGCCAGTGCAAGTGGGCATTGGAGCTTGTATATTGTCGTGGCTGGGAGCTGTCCACTGGGGTTTGGAAATGGCCAAATACAATGGTAAAGTGGATGTCCGATTAATAACCCAATATGCTGCCGTTGGCAATTGATTGTCGTTTTTTCCTGATCCAGGTTCTACGGGATTCGCACGTTATTCTTATGGCGTCATTCCTCCACTTCTTGCCTGGCCGACGCTGTTCTTCCCAACGGACGTTGCACTCCTATCTCAAAGCTTTGGTTATGTGTTTCTCCTGTATACTGATGTCAAGGCAGCTGGCCGAGGATGGACTCCAAGATGGTATCCCTTTTTAAGGTATTGGCTTACTTGGATCGCTGGTGGATCAATTTGGATTTCCCTTATAGGAAAGGATTGGCGACGTCGAGGAAATCCTACCAAGCGTGTTAAGGATGACATGGCTGCTGAATAAAACCAATAACTGTGTCCTGCATTATTCAAAAGCAATAAAAATATGGCGGGAAACATTTCATGATCGATGCTCAAAAGGTTGGGACTATTTGGCAATACTGTACTTTTTCAATTGAAACGCCATACGAATTGCTAGAATGACAATCGACAAGTGTTGCAATTGCGTGCGATGATGTATGTTTTGAGGAGAGTGTGCTTAAGCACCCTTATTTGTTTACCCCAGGAAATAGGAATACTTATGAACAAGCCGTTCTAACGCTTTCCTGTCTATCCACCATTACGTTTCTGAACCAGCGAGATTGATATTTATTTACTATTTGACATTTAAATGAAAAAAATGCTACGACCTATCCTATGACGCCGCCTGATCGTCCGCAACAGCTTTCAATTCTTCATTCAAGATCTTGTTCATGGTAAACATATGTACACGGTCAATCTTGAAGACAGCCTTCATGGTATCGTCACAAAAAATACTCCTTCTGTCACTTGGGTCTTGCAGATCCTTTTCCTTTATATACTCCCAAATTCGCTTCACAATCGTTGGTCGGGGTAACTATAAGTAATACCAGGATTAACGTCCATCCGTCGCATCATTGCAGACGTCTTTGAATAAAAAATTACCTCATCCTGTTCACATCTTGTCAATGTCTGGATCGCTGGACTCAGCTTGAGAGGTTTCATAAACCCATTATTTGGTGCACCACGCCCAGTCGATGAAGGATTTCGTGTCTTCTTCTTTTTCGCTGGTTTTGCATCGTCTGTCTTGGATTTTGACGAGGCTGCTTTCCGCTTGGCTGGGCTGGGCTTCATAACATATGCTTCGTACTCTTCATTCTTATCCCTTGGTTTCGTGCTGTTGCTCTTTTGACTAACTAGCGGCTGATCGTCGGAACTTTCCTCTTCGTCTGCTTGCATGGCTTCGTAGATCTCGATGATGAGAGCATCGATTTCTTTCTTTTTGTCGTTGTATGAACAGCCATTGATGGCTTCCAGCTTCTTTCTTACAGACTTGGCACTGACAGTGGCCATGTCGGAATCCTTTAGGATATCTATAGCAACATATTATGGTTAGAGACTAGGTTTCTGAGTATCACCAATACCCTTGACAACACAAGTCAGCGGCATGTTCCATAATCTGGTCCTTCATTGTGTACAATAGCCAACAGAGAGCATGAAATTCATTATGCTTTACCTCGAATTGCTGGTTTCAATTCTTGTACCATTGTTGGCTCGATGGGACAGAGGTGGAAATGGTTTGAGATCGTGTGCTTGAAGTGTGGGTATGTGACTGGGAAATTTCCTTCGATGCTTGGAGGATTGGAAATGTGCCAAAAGTGGGAATGCAAAATTGATTTGGGAAGGTGTAGCCAAGCTATCTGGCATATCGTTCACCTTGAAAGCAGCTGATTTCTATTCATCTAGTAAGCATCTAGATAGTCACTGAAAGTCAATGTGATAGAAGTGTTCTTCATCGGCTACAGATATTGGCCAATGCTAACTTGCATGAAAGTCCTTGCTCTTTTTTCTGATCAAGGGGCATACATCGCTGCCACTGAGTAAACTGATGGAAGGTATGCATTCTCTTGATGTAATCAGTAAAAGCATCTGATGGATTAGTTGCATCCGATATATCATCTCTTCTTCGTGTGGACCTAAATTTATGCCAATCTCGCTTGCAGGATATTTTCTTGAGTTCAGGTTCCGCAAATCAGGATGCGCAGCGTGGATGAGGGTTTGTCGTCAGTCCAAATAACTTCAAATACGACGAATTTTGCAAAACAGCTATATGAAAACAATTAGACGAAGGAACGTATAAATTTAAATAGACTTCGTGTAATATGAACAATTATGAACATCGTTGCGTTGCATGAAAGAAATACAAAGGTAAGGTAGTTGGGGCATACCTGGTAATTGGTGTGACGGTGCAAAAGAATTTCCAGCAAGCTGAAAAGGCTGCTGCTCCCGCTGCAACTGATCTGATCACCGCCATTCCTTCCTCATGTCGACTCAAGCAGCAGTTTTCGCGTTCCTGTTTCCAGGTAACGCGATGGTCAATTCGCTGCTAGCTACGGCATACATCTCCATCTTCCCAAATTTGCTTCTATACTTCGTTCCCCCGGATATCGATACCTCATCTCTCAATACCCTTGTCAGTTTTGCAGTTGGTAAGTGTTGCAGGAACCTCAGCCCCTGACTGTAGTCATTGTTTCATACAGCACACACATTATAGCGATATATAGGGTAGAGCGGTGAATGAGAAAAACGAATACCCTGGTGTGCTTCTACACTGAAAAGCTTGGGTTAGTATGTAAATTAACTCAGATATTGCATTTTAGGTGGCCTTCTAGGTGATGTATTTCTTCATCTACTCCCCCACGCCTTCCTTGGCGAACACCACGATGAACATGTCGAAATCCACTATGATGAACATAAGAACGTCCTTGTTGGTCTTGGTATCTTTGCTGGCTTGTTTTTCTTCTTCGTTATGGACAAATCAATGCGTGTATTTGCTGGCGGAAGCGGCCATGATCACTCTCACTCACATGCACACAAGAAGGATGACGATGCTCACGCTCACTCAAATGATGTACACCACCACGACCATTCAGAATTGAGAGCTCGCAATGGTGGTAAAGAAACTAAGGAGACCACCGATGCTGTTGCTGCCACTACCTCTATAGATTCCGGTATCAAACTCAGCGCCTACCTCAATCTGTTCGCTGATTTCACTCACAACTTTACCGATGGCTTGGCCATGTCCGCTTCATTCTATGCCTCACCCAGCGTTGGAGCCACTACTGCCGTCGCTGTCTTCTTCCATGAGATCCCTCACGAAGTGGGAGATTATGCTATTCTGATCCAATCTGGATTCTCTAAACAAAAAGCTATGATGGCTCAGTTCACAACCGCCATCGGTGCCTTCCTAGGAACCATTGCTGGTATTGCCATTGAGGAATTCACAAGATCTGGATCGGATGTTACTGAAAAATTGGCCTTGTCGCATGCTGGTATCCTTGGAACCGATCTTGGATGGGGTGATCTAGTTATTCCTTTCACTGCTGGTGGTTTCATGTACATTGCTACCGTTGGTGTTATTCCTGAATTGCTCGAAGTGACCAAAAATGTGAAGAAAGATTTCCGTCAAGCTCTCTCGGAATTCGCCGCCATGCTCGTTGGTTTAGCAATGATGACAGTTATTGCCTGGAACGAAGCATCAGCATAGATGTATTTAAAAAAATAAAAAAAACAGAGTCACCGTTTTTATTTTATAATGTAAAATGACGACACATTTTTGCTTGTATAGTTTGTATTATAATCTACCCTACCACCGTTGAGCTGGCAATTGTTTACGCTACAAAATTTCGGTGGTAGCTATCACGTCAAAGCCCTTCTTTACCCCCACTCTTCTTTGGTCTACAATGGCTCTCACCTTCAAGTCTGCCGTTCAGAACTCTAAGTTCCTCTCTTCTTTCTTGAAGCCAGTCTCAACTGCCTATGCCAATGTTGCTGGTTACAGACAAATTGGTAAGTTGGGAGGAATAGACAACACAAGAGGTTTATCCTAATGTTGAATTCTCAATGTTATGGAAGGAATCTCGCTCCTGGAGAGTGTTAATGCGAACCAACTACTAATGAATGTTCTTCTTTATTTTTTTTTCATATCATCTCTTTTCTTCTATCGAACTATTACAACTTTCGCCATTCCATTAATTACCCATTCCATCTAATTCCTTACGACGACGCATGGAAACTTGATTTCAACCCGATGTCACTTTCACATTCAACTTGTTACCTCAACAATAATTTATTTGACGACATTGTCATCAAAAGGTCTTCGTTATGATGACCTTATCGCTGAGGAGAACGATATTGCCCAAGAGGCCCTCCGACGTCTTTCTCTCTCCAACCCCCGCGAAGCCTACGATCGTGTCTACCGTATCCGTGTTGCTCAACAATGCTCCCTCTCTCACTCACTTTTGCCCAAGGAGCAATGGACCAAGCCAGAAGACGTAAGTCATTTGATTTATTTACTTGTAAGCCCAGTGATAAATATGGGCAAAAGCTGATCCCCAAATCCTATTTTTTTTTTTTTTTGTAGGATGTCAGATACCTTCGACCTATCCTCGAAGAAGTCACTGCCGAATTCGCTGAGCGTGAAGCTTTTGACAACGCTAAGGTGTTGCCCCGCAAGTAGAAAAAGTGTGTTTTCGAGTTACTTATAAATATAGAAAGCAGACCCACACCATTTCCCAAAGTTTGAATTAAAAAAAATCTTAACTATCTCCCCTGCTGTTGAGCAACTGCTTGGTTGAGAGAGAGTCACATGCTGAGTGGGCCGTTGAAATTGGCGTTTGCCGGCTCTTTCACTTTTGGTTTCTTCTGTCAGCACATTTACACATTTACTCTTGAGATGGTGCTGCTTTTCCAGCTACCGTTGGAACTATTAAACTATATCGCTGACCAGCTGCCTTCTAAGGCTCTGGCTCAACTATGTTTAACATGCCACGATCTTCACATGGCCATTCTGCCTACACTCTATGCCCACGTTCAGCTATCTTTTCGCTCCCATATTAAGCAACTAGAATATGGTCTCCAAGTTTCACCTTATCTGGCCAACACTATCAATCAATGCACTCGCAAATTGACTTTAGTGAGCCGTCAATCCGGCACTCACTGGGTAGCCAATGATGTACGATTTTTACTGCAGATAACCCATCGTGTAGAGTCTCTCCATTTTCATGATTTTCATGTTCTCATGGTCGAGCATGTTTGTCAAGTTGCCAGCGCACTGCCGCTTCTCAAGCACTTGGAATTCAGATATTGCAATCTGGCAGCGGAGGTCATGCCGTCCAGCCCTATTCGGAATTCACATAGGCCTGAATCGCAGCAGGGGCAAGGTAGTACCGATGCACTAGAACAACCGAAATCAGACTTCAGCCGGACTAGCTATCTTACCCTTGTTTGGACCGACTTCAGTTCGTCGGCTATATCCACACTTTTGCGCCATTTGCCAGGCTTACAAGTAGTGGATTTTGGCGCAAACCATAATCGAATTTATTCAGCTAATGACTCCGCCATTTTCTCTCTCAGCCAATATTGCCCCAAGGTTCAAGTCCTACATGTAGGTTTGCAACAAGTCCGGGAACAGACACTATGCGAAACCATCCGTTTATATGGTTCATCATTGACCTGTTTGGATGTAAAATGCGACTCAGTACAAACTTTAAAGGCTGTGGCGGCTCATGCCGAATCTCTTCAAGAACTGACAGTACGCGCGGCTGGACCGGGTAGTTACGGTGATGATATGATCCATGTTTTACGACAATGCAAAGGTCTTGGAAAACTTGAAATGGTGTGTTGGATGTTGGAAGATGTACCTCGTTGCGTATGGAGAGCGATAGAAGCCGTCGCTCGAAGAGCAAAGCAATCCATTCGAAACAGAGATAACGTCGACGCTAACTGGATGTATTTTTTGGAGGATCATGTCGATCGACTACATGGATCTAATAGCGGCGGTAGCCAAACTAGTACTTCTGAAGATGGCTCTGATCGAGTACAAGACCTCTATTCGACCTCAGATTCTTGGAACAACACCGTACCATCTTCCACTGTCGTCCGATCTCGTCGACGCCGAGATGTAGGCAGCATCAAAAAGACCGTCGCTCTCAGTTTTGAAGAACTTAGCGAGATCAGGAAGGAGGTTATACCCTCGCCACAATCTGGTCACTAGAGCCCACTCTTATTTCATCTACTGTGCTTTTGATATATCTTTTTCTTTTTTCCAACTAATTTTACCTTATTTTCTTGTCATTACCCACCTACCATCATCTTCAACTCACATAGTTTCCCCGCTCTTTCATTTCTTTTGCACACAACGAGATGAAGCATTTACCCCTCTCTCCCGTTCCTCTCTCTTGCCAAAAGTTGTATTTTTCTCCTACTTCCCTCCTTTGGCTATCTCGTCCTTGTTCATCGTATCATGAGATTAGCAATAAAATATGTATAGAATGAGCCATTGGTGCAGTGAGGTGGGTGTGGCTGAATGCTACAGTCATATATCTTTGTTACATTCCATTTATTTACATGTGTTCTACCTTCAATCCAACTAAGCTCTCGATGTGGGAGGAGTAGTTTCCTCTAAAGTTCCTGTTGTTTGACGAAAAAAAAAAGGATACCATGAAAATGGAAATAAGGCATAAAATTACTGTTAGGGTAATGGTTCGCATCTAGATTGATTTCAGCCACAACGAACCTTTGTGCACAAGTTCCAACGTTGCCATGACGCCTCGCATATCACTTTCCATGACCTCGGCCCAGTTCTGCACATCTCCGAGTTCCTATGTTTGGCGCATGGGCGTGGTTGCAAGGTGAGTAAGTCAGTCAACACGGGTCTCTGAAAGACCTCCACCTCCTTCATAACCGAAAACATCCAAGCTTACCTTCAATGCGCTGTTGAAGCTATCGATCGTCTGTATCCATTGTTTAGTCTGCTTTGCATACCTTGAGGTCTGATTGGACAACTTTCGACTTTCTTGCTCGATCTCCTTTTGTTTCACGAACACCTCCGATATCCTGCATGAAGAAGCGTTAGTACTTGGAAGTGACGAAGGGTGATGAGATTACTATTTTTGTTTCTCACCGTTCATTAATCGTATTTGTCAGGGTGTCGTTCAGCTCGCTTGCAGCCGTAGTGGCGTCTTTGCATAGCTGACCTGGAGCTTTGGTCAGGCGAATTTGTTTGGCAAAAAAGAATGATAAAGAAGATGGCGATCAACATACCATTTTGACGTTTGATGTCAGCTTGTTTCTTCTGATGTGACTTCAGCAGCTGTGAAAGCGACGCTGAACTTTTTGATTCTGACATGGATGCAGCGGAAGCTGTGCTGGGAGTGCCTCAGGACTTTTGCACTGAAAATTAATTTAGAAACTCCGAATGGCCGTGTGGAGCATGTCAAGGAGCATCGCTCATTACCGTAGCAAACCCTCTTTCATTTCGTTATGGTATGGCCATGCATCCATTTTGATTTACAATCTTACAGATTCGTGCGATGCACCGATGGATGGGTTGATACGAAGATGTGATTGATGCATGGATGAAAAGCAAGTTCGACATTCGACATGGCCAACATTTCCACGACCATGTGGGCAACATTTTGAATCCACACCTTTATGAACATAATTCGCTTTCCAGCCAATGCGATAGAGCACCATCGTCAAAGATCACCAAGAAATTTGTTATAACAAATGCTAACGCTTTTACTTTTTTGCATTTCCAGGCCGACGCTTCTGTCACGATCAGGACTAGAAAGTTCCTTACCAACCGCTTGCTTCAGCGTAAGCAAATGGTCGTTGATGTAATTCATCCCGGCCGTGCCAATGTTCCCAAGGATGAACTTCGTGAGAAGCTCGCCAAGATGTACAAGGCTGAGAAGGACGTCGTCTTCTGCTTCGGTTACAAGACCCAGTTCGGTGGTGGTAAGACCACTGGCTTCGCTCTTATCTACGATACTTTGGAGGCTGCCAAGAAGTTCGAGCCCAAGTACCGTCTTGTCAGAGTATGTATTTTCGACGATTAGTGTGTCGGGTGCGGTTCAGTCAGGCGTCCTAGTCCATCCGCGTATGGTTGAAGGGCAAACCCCTTTCTTCATCAGAAAGGAAACAATGAAGTGAAGTGGACATGTCGACACATCTTTGTGGAAAACAACCTTTACATTTGTTGCAAACGCCTATGCTGGGGTTTCGTGTATCATGGAATGACTAAGTTTACTAACGAACACTATCGTCTTCTTACAACAGCACGGTTTGGCTGATGGCTCCAGAACTGCTCGCAAGCAACGCAAGGAACGCAAGAACCGTGCCAAGAAGTACCGTGGCACCAAGAAGGCCAAGGCCGCTGGTGCTGGCAAGAAATAGAGTGTTTGGATCTCTTAATAAAACAGAAGCTACCGCACCTATTGAAATATTTCACGAAATACGTCTATAGCGTTGGGTCATGAATGGGATGGTGTCGCACACAGTAATGATTGAATTAGCGTAGTGGATGAACTCCATACATATTTTTCACCTTTATATCCATCAGGGCTTCTTTTATAGCCGTGGACTGCTACACTTATAGTCATAGGCGTGTCAATGCCAGCAAAGAGTGCGGAAGATGATAATTTCGTAAATGAAGCGACATGTCAATAATTAATGGGATACTAACATACCTATGTGATTACCACTACGTCTTAACATCTTTCCAATCTGCCAATCAAACATCTAGGCCATCAACAGCGCAATCGTGATCGAGCTTTGCTGAAGTTGTAAATGAAATAATTTTGGATGGATTGTGCGATATGAAATATTCATAAAACATTCTTTGTGGAAATCGATAAAATTTACCACGGCTATAGAACAATAACATTTTTTCTGCTTACAACTTTGTCTAGCACATTTCTTTCCTTCGACACACTCGCCTATCTTTTGCTGTTGTCCAGATGCTACAGCGCACCATTTTATTAACCTTGGGATGTTTGCTGGTACTTGAAGTCGGAAACTCCAGCGCTTCCATTTCACTTCCTATCAAAGGTGTTAAACGTATGGCATTGAAGTCTGCGAAAGTGGGAGCGACAAGTGGCACCGAGCATACAATCGAAAGCGGTGTCCGAAACGCAGATCTTGCAGTATGTAACATGCGGTTCATCTTGCTCGTCTCACTGAGTTTACACTGATATATTTTGCTTGTAGTATCTATTGGAGATTGGAGTAGGTAATGCATTAGATCCGGGAACTGAAATACTTGTTTTTTAAGTTCCTTTCGTTAATTTAACGTTCAAATAGGCTCTCCACCGCAACCCTTCACGTTATTGTTTGATACAGGTAACCTATCCATCGATTCATGTATTCAGGTACAATGGTCAGGCTGACACTCGTACATAAAACAGGGTCGTCCACGACGTGGATCCCTGTGGACAATTGCGGTCATCGCTGCGGCTTTCCACCACACGGATACTCTGACGCTAGTTCGTCTACCAGCGAAAGTACAACTCTAAAGTTCGATATTCAATATGGGAGAGGATTTGCAGAAGGATATTTTGTCAAGGTAAATTGACTTTCACGTGTGTTTTGCACTCTGTTGATGCCTTAATTATAATTTCATTGTTGTAGGAAACAGTAACGCTCGGAAATGCTAGCATTCCTCAAACTGTAAGTGCCTGCATGGGAAAGCCACGTTTTTGACCAACACGCAAATTGTCTATCAGTGGGTTGTCCTAACAATTCCTCAATAGTATATTGCGGTGTCGAATTTCAATGATGGAGAGCTTTCTATGGACGGCGCGGGTAAATAAATCACGACCTTAGTGGTTAATGTACAAGCAGTATTTGGAATAGCATTCTGACTGTATTTTTGTTTATGCAGATGGCATATTCGGAGCCGGACCTGACGAGCTGTCTTATTCCGACAACAGCGAAGGCATCATCATCCCAACTGTTTTGACTAGTATGAAAACTGAAAAATTGATCGACGAACGCAGCTTTTCAGTATACTTCCAACCTCGCAAGGACGAAAACGATGAAAGCATCAATGGAGTTGTAACGTTTGGTGGAGGTAATGAGACTGCTACGATTGTATTGTGCTCATGACTGCGATATTTAAATTGCCTCTGCAGTTGACACAGAGCGAATTGAACCCAAGATCAATTATGTAAACGTTACCAAACAAGCTGGTTATAAGGTAAGTAGGCAAGCGAAGAAGTAAACCTCTTTGTCAGCACAATTAAACTCACGCACGTGGTACATTAGGACTATTGGGCTATTAACATCGATGGCCTTGCCTTTGATAACCAAACCGTCAGCAAAACCCAGTCGATGGTGGCATTAGTGGATACGGGTACGACCATGGTATTAATACCAGAGGCCATTGCACGTGATTTCTTTCGCAACATACCTTCAGCATATCGAAGTCAATCCGGGTTATTCGTAATTCCTTGCAACGCTTCCAACCTTCCAACGTTCTCAGTCATTATCAATGGTGAAAAATATACACTAGATGGGTCCCAATATGTGATCCCACGATTTCAGGTGGTACGTAGGCTTTTTTATTTATGCTGGCCAAGGGAATTACTTCGGAGGTACAAAAGTCAACTAGTTACTAAGCTCCAACCTATAGCAACACTTGAATCCAGACTATTGTTATACCTACCTACAAAGTGGACCACCTAACTTGCAGATTATACTTGGATATGGGTTCCTTCAGTCTGTGGGAACCATTTACAACATGGATACTCGGCAAATTGGCTTTGGTAGACACAAAGCTCATTAATAAATTAAAACAAAGTGTCGAGGAAAAAAATAATCCGTTGAGTCAAAAGTGAATGAAAAGCAGTCTGCCGGAGTTACCCGGGGGTGTCAGCGCCCCCAATTTATATTCTTATTTTTTTTTCCTGACCTTTCAAGCCTTTGTCTGGAATCGATCACCATGTCATTGTCACTGGCTGCTACTAGACGTTTGCCGCTCTCAATATCCGTGAGAGTTGTGTCCAACAAACATGCGACAGTGGGTGCCACCACCTTGCTGTACAATACACATAGAATGACCGCCTCCAACCAGCTACGACACAGGTTACATGCAGTTTCGCGATTTCATACTGGCAATAGAGGACAGCAAGAGATTATGAAGCTTCCTAGAGAGCTTCGTATGTTTCGGTATGCAGAACAGAACGCTGTCAAGCAACTAAAGGAAGAAAAGGAAACCATGGCATCGCGAGCGACCAACCTTGCAAAAGAGCAAGTCGCCGACAAAGCAGCTGCTGCTGCTCCTGCTGCTGTTAAAGCCAAGAAGCCTATTATGCAGAGAGTCAAAGAAGAGATTATTCACTACTGGCATGGTACCAAGCTGTTGGGCCTGGAAATTCGAATCTCGTCCAAGCTGACTTCCAAGCTTTTGAAGGGCAACAAGCTCACTCGTCGTGAACAGAGACAGGTTAGTAGTAAATCTCGATTTCAATGGATGTAAGCAAAGAAAAAAAAAGTGTATTCATTGAAGACGTATGCAGTTGCGTAGAACCACTTCCGACTTGTTGCGTCTGGTCCCCTTCGCCGTCTTCATCGTTGTGCCTTTTATGGAGTTTTTGCTCCCTGTCGCATTGAAGCTATTCCCCAATATGCTTCCCAGTACATTTGAAGATAAATTTCAAGAGGTAATGATTTTCTACTGACAGAAACCATTCTACAAGGCGGTAGAAAACTAACAGTGACCATTTTTTTCTAACCATGTAGGAAGAAAAAAGGAGAAAGTTGCTCAAGGTTCGCCTTGAAATGGCCAAGTTTCTTCAAGAGACCATTGCAGAAACAGGTGTACCTGGCTCAGACGATGCCAGAGCTGCGAAAGAATTCAGTGATTTCTTCCGAAAGGTAAGGGAGACTGGCTGTGAGGCATCACCTCCTATTCCGTGGCGTTCCTGACAGCATTTTTGGTTGGCAGATCCGTATTACTGGAGAGCAAGCTACTACTGATGATATCTTGAAGATCGCCAAGCGATTTGAAGATGAACTTACATTGGATAACTTGTCCCGACCACAACTCGTCTCCATGTGCAGATACATGAGTATCAATGCCTTTGGAACCGACAACTTCCTCCGTTATCAAATCAGAAACAGAATGACCAAGATAAAAGCCGACGATCGCGTCATTCAGAACGAAGGCATTGATTCATTAACTATTCAGGAGCTGTCCAATGCATGCGCTGCGCGTGGCATTCGCACCATTGGCACTTCACCTGCTCGCCTAAGAGATGAGCTAGCTCAGTGGTTGGACCTTCACTTGAACCATCAGGTACCCTCGACGCTATTGATCTTGTCTCGCGCTTTCTCTTTCACCGATCGCGGTCTTAGCACGCAAGAGGCTTTGCAAGCTACCCTCAGCAGTTTGCCTGATAATCTGGTGAACGAGGCGGAACTTCAAGTTCTGGAATCAGAGGGTGCTACTACTTATAAGCAGAAATTGGAGGTTCTTGAACAACAACAAGAATTGATCGAGGACGAATCTGAACAAGAAGAGAAGGAAGCCCAAGCTAGAAGGGAAGCCAAGGAAGCTGAGGAAGCACAACAGAAGTTAATTGCTGAGCAAGAAGCCCAGCAGAAGGCTGAGTTGGGAGACAAACTGCTCACTGATGAACAGGTAATGTACACTGTGTGTAAAATTAGGTGATGGTCTCTACTCCATTTGGCTAATGCCAGCTTATCTTTCTTTCTGTTTTTAGATTGCTCAAAAGGAACAAGACATCAAGGATGTTCGTTTGTCTGAAGAACAACTTCAGGAACTCCGAAATGCCCTTGCAGTTCTCTGCGCCAAGGCTGGTATCCTGGAGGAACGCGAGCAATTGAATGAGATTAAGGAAGATCACGAAGATTACAAAGAGGTAAAGCTATCTGGGTAGAAAATGATCGTTTAAACCGAGACATCCAACTTATTTCTGTTAATCTATACAGGATATTGAAGAACTCAAGGAAGCAACTAAGCGACAAGCAGATAAGGTGACCACTCGCCTAGGAAAGCGCCTTGAAAAGATGCTCGGTAAACTTGACAAGGAGCTTGACGCATTCGAAAGCGAGCAGAAACACTCTACTGGATTCCCTCGTGTTAACGTCAGTGAATCGGGTCAAATCAGTACAGCGGACCTCGAGGAGGCTCTCCGTGTCATTCGCCATGCCCCAGACAGTGATGTAATCAAGAAGGTGGTAAAGCAAATGGATCTTGATAGTGATGGTCTCATTTTCCTTGAACATGTCACCCAGATCGCACAACAAGTCCCGGAAGGTCTTGGTGTTGTGATTGAGAACATTACAGACAAGGAGCGCGATGGCCGCCTTCGTAACGATAACGTTCTCAAGACCGGACTAGTCTCCAATGGTAGCGAGGCTAAGAAATAGACGTCTTCGCATGTATCCTCCTATTCCATACAATAACACCATAGAATGTAATTTTTGTTCCTCTTCTATCGAACCAAATCCTATATCAGCTCAATTTGGTCTGTTTCATACAAGTATTCATAAGCGATAAACATGCTCTTTTTTTTTTTCTTTTCCCAAAATCCCTTTTTCCATACTTTTCAGATATTTGTTTTTAATATGAATATCACAATTGTACATCGCAAGTCCCTTTTACCGCCATGTTGCCATCACGATCAGCAATCCATAGTTCAAAGGATTTTTCCTTCTCGGTGCTTGAAGACATTTCTCGTCCGCAAACATTGAAAGGCTGGTCGGCATACACCGGACTTAAACACTTATATTGGAAAGATTTAATATGGGGTGGTGTATCGAATGTTCCTGTCGCCAGATGTCGACGCATGAGATCCATTAGTAGCGTGCTCATCAGAGGACCATGGACCAAACAAGCTGCAGCAGCCAATGGTATGAGGGATATGGACAGGCGAGCGGAACGCTTCCAATTGACTGCATATAACTTACCTGGGTGGTGCTCCACGGTGGTAGCATAGATGTGATCATAGTGTATAAGATGAGAGTTGAAAGTCAAGGCTGAATATCTGAAGAGTGTCATCGGTGTGGGGTCGAAACGAAGTGAGAACTCAGGAGCCTTGCTGACTTTTTTTTTTTGAATAAATATAAATGAATCATATGAGTAAGTGGAAAGCTTTGGTAATAAACATCGCTGCATTGTCGCAGTGTACGCTTACTCACCTTTGATACGTCTCGCAGGTGTGGCCTTGTCACCTCCATCTGTGGGTTCCTGCACATACACCAAACATCGAGTTTCTTTCATGGACCAGCCTTGCTCGTTATAGATGTCTTTATCAATCCACACAAATGCAGATTCGCCCCTACGACCGGCATTGACCTGAACATCAGCTAATTTTGATTTCATCGTGGCCTTTTGTCCAACTCTCAGTAAATTATCTCGACTCCACTCCAGTTTTGCCCCTGCCCACATTCGATGAACAAAGGGCTTGGGGGGCTTAAAATTGACCTCGTATCCGTCCGACGCCAATTCACTTTCTGTGAACCTCGGTGGAAAGTAAACCAAATGCCATGCCGGTGGTATTATTGTGCCTTCGGGAGGTATGTTGTCGTGCTTGAATTCTGTCAAAGGATCGTCTAACGTGTTTGCCAAAAGGTTGAATTGAGAAGCGCCTATATGGTCCTGCGAATGATCAACATGGGATTCTAATTGAGATTTCCACATGTTGATCACCGATGCTGCTGTTGACAGCTGGCGTTTCTGAAAGATAGTTCGTGTTTTGGACAAATATTTGAGCATGAAGGATAATTGACAGGTTATGTTAATCCGTTTCTCCAACTGGTCGGTCTTCTAGGCAAACGGCTCCAGTGTGACAAAATGTTTATCCGACCACGTTGCTGTGTCCTTCCCATTGTGAGGTAAGCCCCACAGGCACACATGCCCGCTTAAGGTCAGCTGTATTTTTTGTTACTTCCATTGAACTTGGTTTACTTGGAAATCTACATCATGACTGCAAACAAGCCTACAGTGGTATGGTAGCTAGGTAGCATTGAAATGGTTTGCATGCAGTCGATTGCTAATTACTTTCGCGTTGGGCCATTTACAGCGAACTCCACTTCTTGCACGGGAACCAGATGAACCGGTCAACGAATCCAAGTCCGTAATCAGCAAAGTCTCTGATGGCCTCACGCACGGCATGGTTCTCTTCTTGTGGGCCGGTGTAGTTGTGACCAGTCTCATTGGAGGATTCTTTGTTGAGCTCTTCTATTATCGATAATTTTGTTGCTTGATGGCTAATTGTTTCGCCATAATAATTAATTATAGTAGGACCCTCTGTTCTGTTCAACATCCTCATATTTAATCGCGTACTTTAGGATATCGTATTTACGTTGAAGTTTTAATATTATTTGCTGTCATGTAAAGCGATTTCCGCAGACTCGGAGTGCCATGAATGTTGGTAAGATTTGCCAATATGGCCTAAGCACACGAACGACCATGCGTGTCTAGAAGCGACGGGCTGAAGATCTTCCAAGCGGAATATTGAGAAAAGACCATGGCTTTCCAATTGTAGCCAGATCTCCTACTGTTTCATTAAAGTCCAGTTTCCTTTGAAAACGCCAGAAGGTAAACTTGAGATCTTCCCAAAGACTTTACTTTCCAAGCATAGCTAGTATTATGGCACCAGGATAATAGAAGAACGGTGAGAGGCGTTGTGCAACATCAATCTCACTTTGGCCCTGACCAAGTCTGACTTTCTTTTTTTTTTCTTTGGCTTTTGGAAATTATGACTCCAGATGCCAAATTCAGAGCTCTTAAGGAGTAACTCGCGTGAATCCAAGGGATTTGTATCCAAATTATAATAATTAAGCATACAATCAAATTGCATTTCTGATGCCAGTACTGCATTGTGGCAATTGTGAGCCACGTCCAAAAAAGGTCTGGGCACCTAAGTTCAAGGACCGCGAAATTACAAGCGAAGGGGCCCCAAATGAATGGCACAGAAAAAAAAAAATAGCTCTCCTTCCAGCGTAATAACCCTCCTTCCTCCTCCTTTCGTCTCGATTATTCTACTTTTAAACTAGAATCAGGTTTGCTGGTCAACCCGTCGATGCCTTCAATTCAAAAAATCGTATGTAAATCGTCGATCACAGACAGCCAGTGCATGTTTAAAAAAACGTGCCTAGATAAAAAGCTGACACACTTTATCTTGGTTTCAGGTGTCTCGCGTCACAGAGTCTCGCTGGTCGAAGCTCTACGTTGCAACCGCATGCTTGCAAGCCATTGTAATTATAGTACTGCAAGTTGCAATTCTTCTCCAGAATTCCCAAGAATCAGAAGAGCTACCTGATGCTTTGCCCATTGGCACAACAACCTCTAGCAGTGATGTATTGGATCAGGCAGCCGTTCGTTTTCGCAACATCAAATGGGAGAATCTCGCCTTTTGCGGCTTTCAAATATGGTTCTTAGGCATGGCGTTTGATGCAGTAAGTAGCTTTTTCTAGATATAATCAATCTTTTCCGTTCAGCCGTGCTAACGGACTGAATTCCTTTGCAGACCGTTTATCAAAATACAGCCGAAATTCTAGCTTTAGCTGTTCTCAATGGTTTTTGTGCGCTTCTAGGTGCATTTGAGATCGTTGATGGTGTGATATGGATCAAACGCATTGGCGCAGACGTCAACGTCGTACCTCTGTCAGTTGCACGCAATATTGAAATTGGCCTCACTTGCGCCATTCTATTGTTCGCCTGTGTCTTTGCCTACCTCAGTCTAGCAATGGTACGACAATTCGGGTAAGTTGACTTGTGATCTGATCCTTGGTTATGGCCCGCTCAGCATTCTATATTTATCTCACCATAATGCTTTTTATAACATCAGCTGGAATATCTACAAAAAAATAGGTGCCGACATTAGAATTCAACGTAAGCTGTCGATGCATAATTCCTAAGCCTGCTATGCCGATCCCAACTAATTTACCTTTGCATGCTGTGTTCTTTTAATAGGCATGTATCGAACGTTTCAATTCTTTGTTCTGGCTCTGAAAATCGACCTATTCTTTGAATTCATGGTCAGCGTTTTCTACTGCATTCAATTCGGTCTACGTAGCGGAATTACTGGAGAGACTGGTATCCAGTTGGTTGTTACCATTCTTCTAGTGCCCATGCTTTATTTTTCACGAATGGCCGTAAGTATTCTCACCAACCATAGATTCAATCAAAATTATCTGGTTCAAAATGGGCTAAACTTATTTCCTGACCAAAGTGCTCGTCTGAAAGTATCGGTCAAATGATCACTTGTATCTGCTTCCAAGGTTTTGTGGTCGTTCACTTTTCTCTTGTCCTTCATCAGACATTCGTTCCCAATAACAATTGGTACGTGTGGATTTGTCTGGTTTGGGCGGGTATTGCTCTCACGGTGGTAAGTACCTTGAAGATATCACTTTTTGCAATGGGAGGAACGCGTGCTCACACAATAACTACAATAGGCCACATCAGTTCTTGGCGCAATGTGTTTGCGTAACTTTGAGAAGGGTCTGAAACCTTTTGTACAACGCGGCCGCAACAAGTCGTCACAGAAGGACTTGGAAATGAATACCCAAAAGACCATCGATGAGTGGAAGATCGATGATATCTAAGCGTCAGCTGCTACCTTCGTTAAATTCCCAATTGCATATCTATTTTCTCCTGTCGTCATTTACCAAGACTCCCCTTCACTCCTTACCCCACACCTTCCATGCAATGGGTCGCGGGTATTCTTTAGCTGGCCAAGATACCTCACTCCTATTTGTTGCATATAGAGAACAACACGCTCTCTTCAAAGTTTGATTGTACAATATCTGTTCAAGATACTCTTGATTCATAAACTACCATTATCACGTTTCAATTAACCATTTTTTTTTGGATCAGTCTATTTATTGTAGGGCAGATATCCAAGATGTGTTTGCAATCGGCCATGGGGGGCACGAATGCTATTATTTACATTGACAGTTTGGATGTAATTTTGGGTTCTAAGAAAAAAGTTAGCGTAGTATGTGGGAGATGAGGGGTGAATTTTTCTTTTTTAGTTCTGAAGCTCCTTGAGTTTCTGTTGTCGTTGGCTTTCCCAGACTTCCAAGTCAACGAGGTCAAACAGGCGTGGCTTGGGCTGATGAGAGGGAGTTGGCAAGGTTTGCTCTCTATCAAAGACGACTCCAACAAATCTACGTTTGGGTTGCGTGGGGTCCTTGTAAAAGTGGACGAAGCCGGGTTGCAAGGCATAGATAGTATGATCTTTACCCATATCGACCTTTTAAAACACAACAAAAGGGGGTTAATCGATGAGCAAGCGACAAAAAGGCATATTGGTTGTTCGCTCGGTTGCGAGATTCTTACATTATCGCCGGGGTGGAATTTGGTTCCTCGCTGTCGAACAATAATATTGCCTGGGATGACCTCTTGACCGCCGAACTTCTTGACACCAAGACGTCGACCTGCAGAGTCTCTACCGTTGCGAGTAGAACCTCCGGACTTCTTTGTAGCCCAACGCACTTGCATCAATTCTATGGAAAAAAAAACACCAAGGTGGCAAATAGTGAGTTTTCAATGGACTCGAACAAATGATGACATGCGTGAATTTACCTGAGGTAAGTGATGATCTTGATGGCAAATGTGCTTGTGCAAACAGTGAGCTAGTTGCTCCCGAGACTAACTTCGGTCGAAGTGCCTGAACTTGCGAAAGCATGGTCGACATTTTGGTATACAACAACTTTCTGACAAGTGCAAGTACCAAAAAATAAATGTTTACCAAAATTACACGTGATGTGTGACTGCCATTCGCCCACCCACAACTGCCCAGGAACCAAACGAAACGATTCAAGTTGTACAAGTTTAGCGTCAGTTATTATAAAAAAAAGAATCATTATCCATGCAAATAATTAGGGTCTGTCAATGGTAATGGAGGAAATGCAATGAAGACAGCTAGGCAGATCACCGTAGCGGCAGCGGATATCATCATAAACAACCAAGATCGACGCATATGGATACGTCGAATGGTTTTGTCCAGCGTTGTATGATATCGAAGGTCTGTTAACCCGCTAATTGAGCACAATGTATTAGAATGTCGTAGCTTGACTTGAATGACATCAATGAAATGTTACTGTACCTCACATTGAGTAAGCCTTGCCACCAGGAGAACTCACCAACTACGGCCACAAGCGTACAACACCCTAAAAAGATAGGAATAGTGCCCCATAGCCTTGTCACTCTAGTTCCAATTCCAGTGAGAATAAACGCTATTTCCAATCCAAAACCAGCAGTGAGGAAAACAACGCTCAAGAACAAGTAAATTTTCATGCCTTGGACGGACACGTTCTTATACATGACCGAGTCAAGAAATCGTCCATAAAAAAAAATATTGAGCATTTCGTAAACGTATAGAAACGATGAATCGAAGATAATGGGGTCAGCTAGATGATGAATCTCAATCATTTCTTGCAGTGCTATCCGGTAGTCGTCTGGCAAAAATATTGTAGATTCTGCATGGTACGGTGTACAGAACTTGAAATAGATTCGTTTGGCATTTTGTTGCAGGTCTTCGTAGCATAACATCGATGGAATGTCTATACGTTTCCATGAGTATAGTGACTGTGGAATATAGACAGAAGTATCGGAGTCTTCCAAAAGCTCAATGGTATCGGTCACCTCTGAGTATTGAGGGCTCGATTCTTCTTCCTCTGCAAAAGATTGAGGCATTGAACGAGTTGCATCGTCCTGGGCAGGGTGGATACTGGAGGATGGGTAAGAAACAGGTGATAGTTGAGACGCCCGCACGGCTGCAATTAAAGAGGATGTGTCGTGGGATGATGCTTGGTAGGATGAGAATTTGGACCGCCGGTAACTACCAGATGACGCGGCATCACTCCTGCGTTTCCTTCTCGCAATGTTCGTATGTAATGCAGCCCACAGCTTTTGATGATTATATATCTCTCGCCAGAATGCTACATTCGCTTCAGCACCATACCGTTTCAGAAAGTCTTCAAAGTTTTGCAAGGAAAGCGGAGGGCGGGTTTTGCGAGTCAGTATTTGATCTAGTGTAGGCAGACCATTCACAAGTAAATTGTGATCTTTCACTTCTGTCCAAGCCTGGAGTGGGCTTGGCTCAAAAATGTCATTGGAGTAACCATACAGTTTGTGACCCATGCTGCTTTTTCTGGCTAATTTTCCTTCTGTCGCTCTCAAATAAGGGTTATTAGGGTTGGAGATTCGATAGCTACTCCCGAAGGTATCCATAGGAATCTCGGAGTTACCGGTCGGTACAGTTGGAAAAAGTATGTGCGCTGGACGGTTGCTAGAATGGGGAGTGAATATTTTTTAAAAAGTAAATACATATCAACACTGCAGATCGATCTTACTCTAGAGCCTTTGGATAGTGCGAAACCGTGGGGAAAGACAGTTTCGGGGATTGCGGAAAGGCATCTTCGCTCGCCATGACCAGGCAAGCAATGGCCAAATGTCAGTGATGCGAAGGTAGAGAAAGTCTGGGAGAATGGAAAAAGCAAGGTTGTGGTCAAACAGTATGGCTACCGAGAAAGCCTGCTCAGCATGTGGCGAAAAGAAGTTTGAGGTGTTCTCCTGAAAATGTGGTTCGAATCTCGAGCATGAATGTTAGTGTAACCTTAGAATACGTCAATGCTCAAGGTTACATTTAAGGGAAGATAAGCAATTGCCCAGCATGAGATTTATTTGCTTATGGTTTGCATTGCTACCATTGTTGGGAAAATACATGAGAAAGAAAGTTAGGTACGGTACACGGGTAATGCCAGCCAGCCAAAATTCATAGGGTAAAAGTAAAGGTATCAGCAGGCACGGCGATCAAGCGAGGTAGTTGTAAGATTTTCTGTTGTTTGAAAAACAAATAATAAACTAGTCAGTTCAAATATTGACAGCCACATCAATTCAATCCGAGGTCAACCACTTTACCTATCACCAGCATTACGCTCCAGGTATTCTCGGTCAATCAATTCTTCAATCCGCTTCTTGATCATCTGCGGGCTCGGATTAAACCTATTGCTCAACTGCTTGACCACCTCAGCAATGAGAAGGTTATGATCCATAGTCTTTCTATCCTTCATGATTCGAACAATAGCTGCTTCGATCTGATGTTTACGAAGTTTATCCACCTTTTCATGCGTCGTTTTGCGTTCGCTTTCCGTTTCCACTTTGGTCGCTACTGTCTGAATTTTGATCCTAGCTAATGGGCATGTGAAGTTGACATTCAGATAGAACTTGTCTGTAGTGTCGACTTCTTTCCCTTTTGGTTCTTTAATCAAAATTTTGTATTTTCCACAAGCCAGTGACTGTAAAGTCCGTCTAAGGTCGATATCGTTGATATCTGTTTGTGCTTGTATATCCTACGTAGGTATAAAGGGATTAGAGACTACTGTGTTAAAAGTGGGAAATGGCTGCTGTTAGTGTCACACTCACCGAAGTCGTTAGGCATTGCTCGTCTGGGACTTCGTTGAACAAAAGGAGGATGGCCATGCCGTAGGTTGAGACATTTAGGTCATGTCGTTTCGTGTTGAAGCTGGCTTTGATATCGGCGGTTCCCTATAAAGGCCGAGAGAAGCTGTTAGGTCAGATAAAGGTACAAGGGCGAAAATTGCAATTAAATCATTACGTACCATGTTTGGTTGCCAAGTCAATCTTCGTCCATTGTGTCGTCCATAGTAGAACTTTTCGAACGATTGACAGGCATCCGTGATTTCCGCAGGCATGATCCACTTTGGTGAAGTGGAAGCACTCATAGGCCAGAACGTGGATGTCAATATCGTTGAGGCCATATCGATCTTTGGTTTCTGAAACGAGTGATAATGTTAAAAGATAAAACTTACAGATGACAAACCAATTAAATTTTCGTACCTCAATTCCAGATGCATCCAAATAGTCCTTGTATGCAGTAACAGTGTCTGCAGATATTCGTATGTCATTGAACATACCCTCTAATTTTGTAGTGAATTGGTAGCCACACTCGACCTAAAGCGCCGTTTGTAAATTTTGACATTTTTTGGTAGGCAGAAAACGCTTAAAACCAACCTTGAGTTTTGTAATCATGCTTCTTTCGGCATCGTCCGAAACACTCCGTCCAAACAGCAAACGCTTGGCAAGGTGCTGCTTATAATATCGCTCAAAGACATCCTTCTCACGAATAAATCGAAACAAAGTGATGGTATGATCCAGAATGTTATCGACCTCTTCTTCAGTTTTCTGGGAATGATAACGGTGAATCAACAAGATCCATATCATATAACAGAATTCTCCCAAAAAAAATACCGTACCCCTTTCAGTCCTTTCTTCAGGTTTTCATCAATAAACAGAGATATGTACTCAGGAGACCTAGGATTAGCATTGATGAACGTTTCAAATGCCTATTCATCAACGAGATTTTAGTACTGGTATTTGCAGGTAACATGGTGGTGAACATAGGTTACCTCATTAACGGCTGTTTGAAAGCTCTTGTCCTTTAAGACAGCAAAGTCTATGATTTTGTTGAACTTCTCCTGTAGCTCAAGAATATCTTGCACCCATCGCAATGCTGTGTATAAACTACCAGTAGTTGTTGCGGGTTTATCACCAGCACCCGCTCCGTCTTTATCCTTTGGTTTGGTATTATCGTTTGCTGAGTCCACTTTAGCATTAATGAGATTTCCCAGTTCCAGCACGTAGTTTTTGATATAGGTGCGCATTTCGTTGAGTCCTTCTGGAACTCTTGAGAATAGTTTGTACATACGCGAGAGATCTATTGGTGGTAAATTGAACAGCTCATGCCGATGAATATAACGGGAAGACAAACAACCATTGATTGATTTTGTGAACCTACCTTCGATGGCACTGGCTGCCAACATTGGCCTTAAGCCAGAATTTTCCATCTATAGTTACCAAGTCAGTTTAGAAGGTCTTGTGTTCATAGTGTGATCAAGATTAAGGGCAGAAGACTTACTTCCATAATGGTTTTTGCATGGTTCGTGATTAATTGAGTTTCGACAATATTTCGAATTTTGGGTTCTGTCACAGGAGACAAATAGTGCCTGGTTCTATTGTATTCTTCATTCATCCTCTTCTCAATCTAAGTAAAGAATGTTTTTTGTTAACAAGGTGTACTGATTCAAAGGTCATATGTATTGAAGAAAACAGCTTACTTTTCGCATATATTCAGAAGCATCGCATTCCGCCAAAAGAGCCTGGCTTTCCACAAGGTAAAACGCGCTACTTGTTTCCAGAAAGTGTGGTTCAAAGTCCACTACGTATACATTTTCTCGTTTGTCCTGGTCGTATAACTCTACCAACATATCTACGGCGCCCTTGATAGCGCTCCGGTCGATTTGCTCCCCTCTACGTTCCATTTTTATTTGATCAAGTAGAACTGCTGTCAATTGTGCCTGGATTGGGTGTTTTTGAGATCGAATAACTTTGTCGCGAAAGAGCTCTAGGCCCATATCGTATACCAACGGCATATTCGCTGGCTTAACATGTTTTTTGTCCTAATGGCATCGGCGGTTTAGCATAAAGACTATGTACCGTCCAAAGAAAGAAAGAAGTGTGATTTTACCATATACATCAATATGTCCCTAATCATGATCATAGAGGTTGTATGATCATTCCAGACACGCTTTAGCGTCATTAAAAACGATGTACCAGCGTCTGCGCTCATCCTTGCATTAGTATCTGTTGTCTTGACAAAGGCAGGTACGACTTCTGTCTCCGCTACAAGCTCCAAGTGGTCTGAAATAACCTCTTTAACACCGTTGTACAAAGTGTCTGCCCTCTTTTGCAAGACCATGATGTAGGCATTTCTATAGAGTTCTTCATACGACAGGTTGGAGGCATTTTTACGGTGAATTTCGTGTATTGCCTGAGCCAACAATTCAAATGACTTGTCAAATTGAGGGTCTGTGCTAGGCTACAGGGGCCGAACGAATATGAATGGGTCAGCATTGCAAGTGGGTTTTGGGCATGGTGGGGGTTGAAATAGGAACATAAATCATACCAATTTTGGAGCCTGCATCTTTCTCTTTAGTCGTCTTGCTGACATAGCCATGGTGGGTGACTAATGGCAAACTTGGTTGAGAATTCAGTAGAGAATGGGGAACTGGAAGTCTGTATGTCTTTTTTTTTTGCAGAGCGACTTTGCCAGCCAAATTGGAGGTCCTGTCACACACAGTCGGTCGGCATTTGGCCCTCCGCCATGTCTCGTGCTGTGCTGCAAAGCGAACGCGGATCCCCCCCCCATTCAACCTTTTCTTTCCCATCCTTCATCGCGTAGAATGGCCGAACCTGCCACAGACCCTGTCATTGACACTCCCGTTCCTACTTCCGAAGCTACTGGTAGCGAAGAAGTTAAGTTCAAGGTAAAGTACTACACATTCCGTTTATCTATGACTTTGCATTATCGGGGTCTTGGCCTAATCTTTGCATCGCCGATATTACCTTCAGCAAGTCTTTGTTGGAAACTTGCCTTTTAAGACGACTGAAGAGGATTTGATCCAGTTCTTTCAAGTTGCTGGAAAAGTGTAAGTGACCAGATCTTCCTTGCTGAGTTGTACACATGGCGCGATCGAATCACCGCTGATTCTAACGACTCTCCGTTTTTTCAGAGAAAAAGCTAGTATTGTAACGCGCGGTCGTCGATCTCTTGGATATGGTTTTGTTTCCTTCGAAACTCCAGAGGAGGCTGAAAAGGCAGCCCAGGATTTGGACAAGAAAGAGTTCGGTGCTCGTCAGGTCAACGTAGAGATTGCAAAGCCCCAATCAAACTCTGTCAACGGTACACCTAAACCTCGTTCCCAAGCCCCGCCAAAGCGTCGTCAACGTCGTGACAACAAGGAGGTAGGGCTTAACGCGACTACATGGTCATCAACTAACGGATCCAACACTAACAAACATAATATCTGTTCTTTATTATTTCCATTGGCTCCTCTTTGATTTTTCTACGTCCGCAGGCTAGCACCTCAGATGCTGAGCAGAGAGCAGACGATGGTTCTGCGGAGGGCATTGAAACAGCTGAGAATGGAACAGCCGCTGAGAGGGCCACCAAGCCTAAGAATAGTAAGAAGAGAGTTCCTCGCAAGACCACAAAGGCTCCGGCTAGAATTGATGGCGCTACTACCAACCGAGGAGAGCCTTCCAAGACCACTCTCTTTGTTGGCAACCTACCCTTTTCAACTGATGATGAAGGTCTAAAGGACATTCTCCAGAACTACCGGGTCAAGAGCGCTCACGTGGTCAAGCGCAAAACGTAAGTGTCTTGATCATCTTCAGAATCTTCACGCAATGAGCATTGCATGGAGACCCATGTTGACTTCTTTATTTCATTTGAATTAATGCCTGTTCTATAGTGGTCGCTCCAAGGGGTATGGATTCGTTGAAATGGAGGACGAAGCTGAGCAACAAAAGGTTTTGGATGAGATGAAGACGGTAACAGTTGATGGTCGTGAAGTTTCTATTAAAGTATCGGTCTCAGTGCCTCATTCTGAGGAATACTCAACCGAAGATGCAACAGCAGAAGCAACCACTGATGCTGAATAATATCAACACCTTTGCAAAAAAATTACACCATTTCGCTCGCTTCCCGTTTTCCTGACCAATAAAAAAAATCCCTTCTATCAAAGCGTCTCATTGACTTTGCAATGATGCAAACGCGATGTGCTATCTCCGAAATTTTTTGGTTTCATGGCAATATTGTCGTCACCATGACATGTTAGGCTCATTTCATTTTTGACATATATAAAGGCACTTTTCTACTCAATATCAACACACATCTTACCTAACTACAGAAAAACCCAATATGTCCTCCACACTTAGAGAAGTCGGCGATAACATCCTTCAAACTTTCACTCCCGATGACCACAATGAAGTCAAGGCTGATGAGGCCGTCACCACCAACGACAAAGAGACAACCAACCCGGAAGCAAAGACATCTGAAATCAAAGGCCAAGGCAACATCAGTGCCGATTCAGCCATGAAGGAAAAGGCTCAGGCTGATTCCGCTGATCGATCTGCCAGATACGGAGGTAGCTCACAACCCACACAGTAATGGGATGTAAATGTTTATATCATAACAATGTTGTTGTACATATGAGAAAAAAAAAGTGTCTTTCTAGAGATATTCAAATTTTGTGTTCATTTAAATTCATTTGAATAAAATATACTCTCAAAGGACAGAAATGGGCAAGGTATAAAACAAGGGGGGGGGGGGATTGGGTTTGACTTATTCAGAATCGCTACTGCTACTAGTGATTGCATCATCTTCTTCCATCGGTTCCCCGTCATCATCTATATCATTATTATTTGATTAAGCTACGAATGTGCCGGTATGAGGACAGTGATGATCAACTTACCTAGAAACGCTCGAAGAGATCGAGGTTTGTTTGTTCCAGGTTGTGCAAGATTTGTGGAAATTGGTAATGTTTGAGACGGCCGAGCGGGTTGAGAAGGCAGTGCGCTGTTCGTGCTGTCCAGTGTTTGTGAAATATTCTCTGCCAAGTTGGCAAAATCATCGTCGCTATCACTTCCACTGTCGCTACTACTATCATTATCAGACCCTGAGCTTGATGAACCTGAATCAGAGCTTCCAGATGATGATTCTGAAGAAGATGCGGCTGCCGACTTTTGTTGATTTGATGGGGTACTTTTCATAATGGGTGTTGCAATATGAGCGATCGGCTTTGCTGGAGAAGATGGTAGACTAGTAGTTGTAAGTGGTCGTCGTATTGGTGTCGATGCCAATGCAGGTTTGCGCCGTCGATCATTGATTCTTGGAGAGTTTGTCGCTGACTTGGTTTCTAACCGAGGTGCAGGTGAAGGTGGGTTGACATCCATGGCTTCCAACACGGTCTCCAACGGCTTGATAAGAACTTCTGTCGGCTGTACGTCTTCCATGGAGCTGCTAATGCCAGTTTTGGTATCTTCTTCATCGTCTTCTTCTTCTAGTAACTCTTCCATGCCCTTGAAAATGTCCATTTCGAAATCGTCTTCGCTAGTATTCTCTATATCGCTTCGAGTATTTGTCTCAGCTGGCTCACGGCCAACGTTCTCTGTCTGAATTGGTGCAGCCGATTTCTTTCCAGTTGTCTGAGTCTTCCTTGCTTTACGCATACTCAAAAGTAAACGTGGTCGTTCTAGCACAAATGTCTAGACAAGGAAAATCAGTCAACAGAACTCATCTCAATCAATCACCATTCCTGATCTACCTGTTTCTCTTCATCGTATAGTAATAAACAATCAAGATCTTGTGTCGTGTTCTCGTTGCCTTCATATGTGACCTGATTGCTCTGCGTTCTCTTAGTCATAAAGAAAGAAATGACTACACAAATCAAGAAGTGGGCATACCTCATCGTTCTTCCATGAAACAAGGTGCCGACCTTCAGCGTTGCGTACGCAGCTAGTTTCCTTAGAAGAAGAACTGCTGATGTTGGGTTTGGAGGCATCTATCAAGCGATCGTCAAATGGAGTTAGTTCTGAACGGTACAGGACAGCAACAGCATCGAATGTGGATCATACATCGCATCAAAATAAATTCACGTCCTTGGGTAGAAGCGGGATGGAGTGAATCTCCCAAGTGTAAATCATACTGAACAGACGCACTCATGTTGAAAGCTAAACGTTTCAGATTCAGCTTTGACTCCAATGAAAAGCTTGAAGTCTCTCTGGAACAATCTGTCTCATTTCAATTGCAGCCACGGTTTTTCCACGCAGCGAAAAAAGTTCCAGGCACGACTTTTCGCAAAAGTCCTCTACTCTAGCCTTGAGCACGCAATCCAAGTGGTAACCATCCATTGTCTTCGCAGGAAGCCATATTACATTTGAAACGAATGGATTCCAATTATATAATACAAAAGATTATCATATCATACATGCACTGGCAAATAACTTCATTATGTTTCTCCATGTCTGGCTTGACAAGCCCTTCCAATATATATATATATAACATCCTGATTATGTATATCTAATCTTTATCAGCATCGCGAAGTATCTGTTGCCATTCACTGTTTTCCATATTTTCGAGAACATCACCCGTTATGCCTTGTGGAATATCGTAGCTCGGACTCATAGGCGGACTCAGAAGCAGATTTGGTAAACTGTTGGCAGCCGATCCACCACTGCCATAGCTGCTCAAAGACTTTGTCGGTGAACTGGAAGTTGTGATTGGGTGTAGCTGGCTATGCCCACTACTGGCGGACGAAGTATCTGAACCTCTTCTGTATCTCGTAGAATTGGGTCTCGCTGTATTTGGATGCAAATAATCTGCAGTATCGTCACCTTCATTCGGATGATGCTGAGGATGCTTGTTGCTGACGATAATGCTTGGAATATCAATCGCAGTATGACCTGTATCAAAAATGTATATGAGTGATACGACAGCAAATGAATCAATTGAGCAGGTAAAGTAGGTAGGTACCTGAGCGCTGAAATGGCTTTAATCGTTCCAAGTCATGCAGCGTAGGTGAGAACTTGACATCATCATACTGAATGTCGAGTGGCTTGTTCTCTATATTACTTTCTTGCCATTGAAGGAACCTTCTGCGTTGTATAGTGGTCAAAAACACTCCCCGAGCCTTTTCAAGAGCCACAGCTTCTTTGATAAGAGCTTCGTGAGTTGCTTGTTCCACAAGGTCATTCAAACTACAAAGCTCGTCAATATCACATCAATGAAATCTATGCAGAAATTGATGGATTGCTTACGTAAGAGATTGAACAATGTCCACAAGTGAAAGTGCAAGTGCTTTCATGGCAACACTGAAAGGGAGTCCTCGAGGTCCAACACATGATTCCAGTTCCTGCCGGCAGGGTTTAGACTTAGGTGTCCCGCAGGTCAACCAGAATATTTGCTCACCTTGTACTTAAAATTAAAAATCCTCCTAGCTTCTTTGACCGCATTAGTATCCATAGTCGACAGAGCTTTAGCGACTTCCTCGGTGTTAAAATGAGGTATAGATAAATGTTTGTACAAGTTCGACAAGTATTTTTGATAAAGTGTTTCTGGTTCTATATCGGGATAATTCCATGGTCTGCGGCTTTTCTCCACCAGAGATGGTATACTCAAGTGTTTGGGGTATATTCGTATGCCTAGCTTTCCCTCCAATATCTAAAGGAAAAGATTTCGTCAGCTTCTCAGCGATTGTTTTGGTTATTTGCTTATTCCTTACATGCAGTAACTTTCCAATATCCTTCTGTTGAATGTATCCAGTGGCGGTAGGGTCCAGTTTAGACCAGGCAAATTTGAATCTAGTTTGAAAAAAAGGAATGTTCAGCTCCTTAACCATATTTTTATGAGTCTGTTCCTAATCACTTACTGTCGTAAATCATTTGGTGTTAGCAAGGTTGATACGTTTCGTCGATCGAATGCATAAGAGAAATTGCTGATGACAACCTAACAATGAAAGAAGTGGGTTGAGAATGAAACATCGTAAACTATCTTTAAAAGCCATTCTCATTACTTACCACAGTCAGCAAATTCACAAAAATATAGGTACATATGAAATAGAAAACGAGAAACAAAACATATGTAAAAACGGGGTAACCACAGTCGACATAGTACGACACATTTGCTACACAGTTTGGGTAGTCAACAGTAAAGTCGTGTAGCAAGCCATTCTGTCCAAGTTGTCAGAAGCTAGACTAGGAATAATTTCAAATGTTTCAAAATCTACATACCCAATCTTCGCCTGTAGTCATTCGAAAAAGTGTTTGAAGCGAGGTAGCTAACGTTCGAAAATTTGCGTGAACAGTACCGTACTGGCCAAATCGCACCAAAGCGAAGAATTGATTGAAGATAATTGCAAAGCAAAACAGCGTGAGGGCGAAGACTGCTGATACATTAATGATGGATGGAATCGACAGCCTAGAATAGATGTTAAACCTTATTGTGCACTGTCCAAGATTGACGTGGTATACTCACTGAACGGTAAGAAACAATTCATGTAGGACTGGACTTCGTTGAGCAAGTCTGAATGCCAATGCAATCAACACCAATTTCTCCAGAAAAAGAGGGAGGACCTATTAAAATGGTCAGTAGCCAGACGTAGGTAGCCAATAGATCCGTTATGATGCAAACTTACATCCGTCACAATAAACCTTGGTATGATTGTCATCAAGGCCATGAAGGTGACAACCGCATCATATATATTCCATTTGTTTCCAAACCACTAAGGAACATGTTAGCTCAAGCGAGATTTCCTTTCTTTCGACAAATGATGCTGCAATTTGTCAGTACTCACGCGTGCAAATCCTAAAGCAGTAATTTTGATAATAACATCTACTGTATAGATGCCAATGAATACAACATAGGCGTCGTCTGGAAAGCAAAATAGATGTTAGCTACCGAGATTATTGCAACTTATGGTGCCAACATTGACTGCCGTCAACACTTAATACTAACCTTGAAAAGTGCTCAACCAAGACGGTTGTCGATAAAATTCACTTGCAAATAAACCTATTGGTATTCTTCCATGGTTAGAGAGTATTTAGATATGATACTATATCATGCTCGTACTTACCAATATTCAAAATGACAACGCCAGACATGCAATTTGAATATGTTCCATATTTATCAATCACCATATCATAGCACATAGCCCTAAATTTTGTTTTCGGTCTGACAGTCAATCTGAACGGTTTAATGGACGCCAACCGCCTTTGAATATCTTGGTATTGACGTTGCGCCGATGTGAGAGATGATATACCGCTTCGTCGTTTAAAGTTCTCCAAAATGACCTGAATACAATATGGCGAGTTAATTGAGAAAAAACTGTGTGAAGTAACTAGTCTCATCAAGAACTTACACCAATGAACAATTGCAAAATGAAGATTGATCCCAAGAACATAAATGCAACATAAAACAACGAGTTCCAAATGGCTGCATAGTTCCAATCAAATCGTGGTTGTTGACCTATTGCTGACGGAATGCTCATAGCAGAAAACAAGGCGTTGACCTAATCAACTCTAAATTTTAGCATCGTCATTGATCATAACTGACCGGTATGAAAATGGCATTCTTACCCATCCTTCGCCCGACGTAATCTCAACAAGATGTAGCAAAGCTACGCCAAAGGTATCGAACGAGTATCCATATGGATTGGCCCATATTCTAGGTTGATAGATAGACAGAGCATCAACTTCAACAAATTCTCCAAAGCAATCATCGATTCCGTTGGCATCTCCGTCGTTGCAAAAATAAAACCTTCCGCCAAAGATATTGACTCCATAGAGCGCAAATGGGATGTACATGACCAGCATCAATACGCTAGCGCAGATGATGTTTGGAATACCATGAAGCAGATCCACGAACATGGTGCGAATTCCCTCAAAGTAGCGAACAATTCGAAACAGACGCAATCCACGCATACTTTCGATCAGCGGTACGGCACGACTGTCGCCCATTAATGGCACAAATACTGCCACTATTTGAATTAAAACCACAATCGAGTCGAAAATGTTCCAGCAGTTGCGCAGATAAGATGTCGGTAAAATAAGAAGACCATCAGCAATGATATGTATGAGGATGTCGAGGATAAAAATGGCCAATAAGGAGATCTCTGTGAAGAAAAATGCTTCTAAAGGTATCGGAAGGGTGTCTTCGAAGCGATCTACAGGATCTTCAATTGCCATCAAGATGACACTGAGTAGGATACAGGTGAAGATAAACCAATTATACAGGTTCTTTTTCTCAAGCTCTGGGTCGGATGCAGATCCGACAATGCGGCGACATATATTTCGAACTTTGCTGTCATCTGCGAAGAAAAGTAATGTCCTGACTTTAGCTTCGTTCTCAACTTGGATCTCTTTGTATTCTTTTTCCAGGTTCGCTAAATAATCATCTTCTTCAGTTTTAATTTCTGTAGGTTGACGATTTTCGATGGCTCTGTTGAAACATTTAAGGGCCTTAGATATAAGCAATCAATTAAACAGTTTGTTGAAGAAATTCTTACAAATACGCCGGAGGTCGTGGTGTCCCAGCTTTTTTAGATTCCGGGACATCATGTGCGTTCCTCGCATCCAAGAATTTGATAAAGTCCTTCTGTGGAGTATTGAGCAGCAGATCTGGAGGTAGCTTAGACATAGATAATGGTTTCTTGTCCTCTTCGTGGCACAATGGTAATACGAGCCTAAAGCATGTTTTATCTTGATATAGGCCAGAACTATCATTGCAAAACAACAACTGAATATATACACCTACCTCCCAATCATATCCATCTCTATCTTTACAGGCTTTGACTTATTTTCACTGACGTATTTTTGGATTTGCAACTTTCTCATTTCATCCTCATCCATGTCGAAGTTTTCCATGACGATGGCGATGAAGAGGTTGAGCACGACATCTTGAAGTCGATGTTAGATTTCTAAACTACTTGATAACCACATTGGAATGAATGAACTTACAGTGTCCTACAAAATAAAAGAAAATAGCGAATAATCCTGCATACACTGTTGATATATTTGCTTGGCTTTGCATGGTATCGTACAGTATTTCCTAGATATTACCATGTTGTATCAGTAGATGCGCTGTTGCCCCATACCAGCTTGTAAATTGGATGAAGTCATGCTTACGTTCCAATTTTCACCTGTCAAAATCTAAAAACAAAGGAAGATAAGAAGGTTGGACCTCATATTTGTGTAGTATTTCAACCTGACAACCCAACTAACCTGAAACAAAGCTAAAAAGCTTTGATAAAACGTGTCAAAGCGCATGACGGGCTCATCTGTGGCGGCGACATGCGTAAAGTCTCCTCCGTAGAGTTGCATAGCAACAGGACACAATAAGAAAAGTACAAGAAATGTGAAGAACGACAAATTCAGCACACCTTCGCCGTCGCCCAAGACATTCGCCTGTGATAACTGTAAATGCAAGGAACAGACTCTTTCGCATTAAAATTAACAGCAACTTACAATCAGATGATAAACCGGTGGTAGCAAGTATATGATCCTGTATGAGCGCACAACTTGAAATATCGTCAAGTATCGATAAGCCGGGCTGTTTCTGATGGGTGGAATCAGTATGATACATGTCGAAATGGCTATTACGAAATCTAAGATATTCCGTACACTGGAGTCAAGCAAAACCGTGCATATCAATTTCAAAAAGAATGAGTTCAACCATGGCAAAATCAACGCTTCAAAAGGATATTTTTATGCTCCCAAAAGGAATCATATGGTATGGCACCATAAAATCGAAGCATAATTTCCACGAGTAAGATTAGTGTGAAGTTGATTTCCAAAATATCTGGAAAGAGAGAGCTGTTAAACGTGCTATCCATTGTGGCATGTTACTTGGTATTACAACACTTACACCAGGCATTAAGCTGCGTAGTTAAAAACCACTGTTCATGTCTTTTTGATTTCACCATCATTGTCAGTAAGTAGGCAGCAACCAGCACATGACTGGCTATGAAGAAATATTGACTAGAGACCAGATAATGGCAGTATACCCGAATCTTGGCTATGTTGTCCATTCCTTCGCCTGTGTCAATCTTCCACTGGCCGCCCTTTTCATCCGTTTGCAGTTGTCTTGTCTTTGTCTTCCTTTTTTTTGCTGTGAACGCACTCGCCTTAGACTGTCCCCGAATTCTCGCAAACGATGTGGTAATAACAGCTATAGGATAATCGAATGTTAATATCGAGCGTATGATGTAAAATTGCAACTGACTGGCGCATACCAATAAACAATGGAGCCATAATGAACGACATAAAGTAAATGCATAGACAGAAGAATATCGGTGATCCAATGGTTGAGGTGCCATCCTGGGCGTCATACATTATATAGGACCAGTCTTCGATGGAAATTACCGTAAACACGTTGACCATTGCGTAAAAGATGTTGAAAAAATTGAGATAATTCCAGTATGGTGCAAGGGAGCCGTCTTGAATACAAAATTGGCCAACTTTGCAAAAGAGACCGGTACCTGTTCGGACAAATGCTTGGCTGGGTAGATCGTATGGCCCTTGTAGGTATATTGAACCATCTGACGGATCCTCAGAATAAAAACCGCTACAAAACAACTCAGGTTCAACCACTACAAAATCTAAATGAAGAATTTCGTTCAATCAGCAAAAGGTCCATGGTAAAAATGGTGATTTTCGTGGTTGTTACCTTCCCAATGACCGTTTGGCAGGCCGTCATCATAGACTACACATCTTCTTGCGTAGTTCTCTTGGAAAATGAACAAAGCGACCAGCGAAAACAGCACCCAGAAGAAGAAGAAAATGAAGAGCGCATTCCAGAGCATGTCGCTGCATTCAGAGAGAGACTGCATTATTACCTAATAACATGTAAATCAGTTTTAACAAGAGTTCCTAGACAATGTCATGTAGAGAAGATAAACTTACTGATGTTCCTTCTGTAAGAAAGAGAAGTTTAAAACACTTCATTGCAGCTATGCCTTTGAAAAATGAGCACCATGGATAGTCAAAATGAATAAGAATGAAGTCGACCCAATAAGCGACCACAACTACTAGATCCAATATATTTGTGCCGCTGCTCAAGTAAACGTTGTGGTATATGACGAGAATTCCATCGTCGTCCGTTAGACATTTTTCCGATCGTTTGCCAGCCAAAGCAGGTAATGGTTCTTCGTCGATATTTGGTACATTGAATTTGCCAAGATCCACAGAGGAGCGTGGATGACTAGTAAAAAGTGGCATTGGAGATACTGGTATCTCATTTGGTCCAAAACGCTGCTGTCTTTGACCAGGTAACTCTTCCAGATTATCTTTCGCCTCTCCATTACCCTTGCTTGATTTCCAAAAGTAAAACAGCGACCACAGACCATCGTTAAAGTTGATGAATCCATATACAATGATTTTGATAATCATTTCCAACCTGTTAATGTGTAATGTTACATACACTTCGGCAGGTAATTGACAATAGTTTTACAATGAACGCCTTACGTATAGATGGAGTATATAACGCAGAGTGTAATCTCCTCACCACTACCGGTCCAAACAGTTTTGTCTTCCGTCACATAAATTGGCTCGAAGGACATCAGTGCCCAATTTGCTACTATCAGTACGAAGATGATAGAATCGAACCACCTATATGTATATGGATTAGTAGACAGCTATAAATTGATTGAGGAAGGATTCCGCTCCTCACCATTTCCCGATAATTGTCCACAAGAAGAGTCTCAATTTGTTGGTGTGTGAGAGGAAAATCAACGACGTATGCTCGAACCGAATATTCCCCTTGTGGACAATAGGTTCTTCTTCAGCATTATCTAATATTCCCAGCTTCATTAGCTTCGATGGCTGCAAAGGTTTGCCATTAGTATCCTGACTTGATGGTTCGCCAATCGATTGTAGGCTATCATGTTGCACCACATCACAGCTTCTCCGTCCCTGGTTGATAGATGCTGAGCTTCCGGAAATCCTCTTATCGGTTAACTTCGGACTGGACAGTGCTAATGATGATACACTACTTCTCGGCGTTATATGAAAAGATTTACTGCTAGGATTGCTCCATTGATAGCGAGGTGTCATATGTATGGAGTCTGCATTTCCCCCTTCTACATTATAATGGCTGTGGCCACTGACATTGGTATTCACGGATAGAATACTGGGCGCATAAAAATCATTTCGGTTGTTGTTATGTATGGATGATCTACGCTGTTCTTGCCGGTGGAGTGCATGATCTCGAATATATGCATTTCGAAATTCGTGCACAGCACCAATGTTCAACGCCGCCTGCTTTATACTGTCTGATGATAGGTCCAGCAAAAATTGAATGTTTTCGCATTGTCGGGAACGTACACAACGAGAAGCAATCCGGTATAGCATGGAAGTAAAGCCAGAATTGGTCGACCATCGTGGCAACTGTAACCAAATGTGATTGATAGCTTCGGTATCATCCATTGTATCGTCTTCGTCTTCAGATATTTCCGAGTTGGCTCGCGATGGCGTTGTAGCCATGGAGCCCATGGCAATATTGTTCTTGAATATGTCGCTTTGATCGCTTCGAAATATAGATGACCTGTCGATACTGAGCATAGAAGAGTTACGAGTTGTATGTTTAAGTAACGGCGAACTGGTCGTCGACGATCTGGCGTCGTCGGCAAATCCAGATTCCAAGTTGTTGAAATCTAAAGAATATCTCCTCTTTATATTGGGTCTGGAAAAAGAAGCTTGCCTCTCAAACTGTTCAATTTGAGGGCGGAAAACTTCCTCTGCAAACCTATCTATTCTGTCCTTTCTTCGCAATAGATCTTTTGTAAGTGGTTGACCGATTCCTTTTTCCGCCGTAGTTCTATCGACTTTGTTCTGTGGAGGGACGTCATGTGCCATTGGCATATTCTGTGTTTGTAACCATTTTCCAGTACTGGAGTTATCTTGAGGTTGTGGCGCTTCGACTAGGAAGGTGGGAGAGCGTATCGACTGCCAGTGGGCCAGTGGATGTAATGGGACGGTCCCCAATTCGTTTGAGGACTTTCTACTCTTCTCCTTCGGCATAGAAAAATGACAGGTTATAAAAGAAACATAAAGAGAGGTAGGAAAGCAAGTATTTTTCCACGCAGATGGTTTATTATATAATAATACTACGGTTTCAAATGGTCGGTTGCCAAAAAGGGGCTGCATCTGATTGAAACCTGCCATCGACGATAATTTGTCCCATAAATGAACGATGCTTTCTGCTTGACAGAAACACTCTAACATGAGAGATCAGGTCAAAATAACCATAAGTATTTGCGATTTTCATGCATAACGGCACTCGACAGAAAATTTCATTAGCGATATCAAATATCTGACGGGGTTATTTTCCATCGTATTGAAAAATTCGCCCGTTTTCCTTCCCCAATGTCAAATTTTGCCTGTGGATGTCTATTCGATAAAAAAGTCAAAGAACCGACGTTTCGAAAGACAAAATATTTTGAAGATTTGAGTGCCAGTTTCGCTATCAATGCTAAAAACGAACAACTGAGTGCACAGTAAGTATTGGCGGCTGGACACCATAGAGAAAGAATAACACATTGACATTTCTATTTTAGTTATTCTTGGTTGGTGGAGCTTCATAAACCAATCAACGGCTCACAGTTATACGTCGAGGCTACGCTAGAGAACCCGGATGATAAGACTAGCCCACTCCAAGTACAAGCGATCGAATTGCAAAACAACGAATCCATGCTCCCATTCGAGCATCGCCGATTTTACGTTCTGTCTCCTTCATTGCCAAAACTAAGCTGCGGGTTATACAATATGAAATTGACCGCTTATAGTGACAAGTCTAAGAAAGAGAAGATTACTGAGCATTCTAATCAAATTCTCTCGCGTGTCAATACAGATAATTGCTGCAAGTCAGAGTTCATGGAGCAGATGAACGCCGCAGCAAGAGCGTCGGAGTCAGGCTGGGAAACTAAGCAGTGACATGGATGTTCATAGAAAATGACAACCGCAACAGGTGTTTTCCCTACAGAGCTTCTGTAGATAACATAGACGATTTCGAGGATATATTCCTTGGTTTTCTTTTTGTTTTTATCAAAAATAAAAGTGTACATTATGGAAGAATAATAGTATGTTACAAAGGGATCAGTCTGTCGGCGAACCAGATATTGTCTGAATGGTATCAAATTACTGTAGTAATGATAGGTCATACTTTGAGCTATCGTTGGCCGCCAAAAGGTTCTGACGCCATTGTTCCGCCAAGGTGGTCAGTCGCTGGTTAGTCTCACTATCCGAATTACACCACAAGGCTGGAAACATGCCACATTTTGCTGGATTGGAGTCCATTCCGGCTGAACGGAATTCTGGATCACAGAGTACTTCCATAGCGAATCTTTCGTAGATGAGCAAAAGTGAGGGACAGGGATCCTTTGTTGTTAGCAAGTGATCTACCGGCAATTCCATGAACGATACTCTGACGTGTGGCGCAAAAGGGAACAAGCCTGTATATGGCATGCCTACTTTGAAGGCACCATGTGCTTTTTGATATTCTATGCAGGATTTAAGGAATACTCCTTGGGCAAATAAAGGCAGACCTAAAAAAAACAAAGTTAGCTCATTTAGCATTCATCCTAAACCATGGTCGTTCAGTAAGATATGCATACCTGGTGCGTAGATGAGAATATCTCTAATATCAGCGAATGGTAATATGTATCGTAAACCAACAGTATAGCTGTACGGCTTGAACAGTCGACAAACCATTTCTGAAGGGTTTTTGTTGCACGGCCAATCTTTGTTTTGCTTGCACTTTTCTTCACTGTATTCCTCAGCTTTTGGACAATCCAATCCGAAGAATGCATGTGTTCCTCGTTCCTTGTGTACTATATACAGTCCGTTTGAGACACGCCTCAAAGTAATGTCTTTGAAAAAAAAAAAACCAGTCAAAAAAACATGTTACAGAGAGTAGGGAAAGCAAAGGTACCTTACCTGTAAAGTTAAAGTTTTGTCGAATGCGAGTCAGGACGACTTCGGAACGGATTTGTCTGAACTCGTAAAAGTCGCTTGGCGGTGAGAATACTTGAGTTCGAGCACGACGCCATAATATTGGATCATTCTCCCGATGGCTGGTTGGAACCGAAGCCAAAGATATACCAGGCCCAGTATCATTATAAACAAATGCAAAAGCGTCGTCTACAGATCGCTGCCAATCAATCTTTTCTAGATCGAGGTGTTTCTTATAAGCTGCCGGCAGAGCTGCTGCTGTATTGACGGGCTCGGTTCCCTTCATAAAACTTTCGTAGAATGCCATTGCTGGAGAATTATACAAGTGTAAAAACTGGAAAAGTGGCAACGTAAGACGAAGTTTACAGTACTTGTCGGACTTTGAATATAGCTATTTTTCTTCCACAATGGGCTTTGATGGACACATCCCGCTTCTTGGCTCGCTTGCAAATGGCTTATAGAAAACTTGCTGCTAATCTTGCTTATGCGGCTAAAATGAGCCAAGTTGGCTTTGGATCACCACCCAAGCTTTCGACAGCCAAGACCATACTCAATACAGTGCTGCCGTCTCCGACCTTGGTAAGCAATGTCATTCGAGACCACTATACGAAAGGTTTTAAATCCCAGACAAATATTCCTGTAGCCAACGTCAAATGTCAAACTAATGCGAGATGCGTAATTCATAGGTCCACCAGCAAAGTCATGGTCGCTCGAATTTCATATCGCTATTGCGTTTATTCGCGATCTTATAGCACGTTCAAGATTTCACACTGTTGAGCATATGCAGTGGCTGACCTCGCAACTCCACGTCCCACTTCCGCCTTTCACAACCAGCAAAGACTTTATTGTTCCATCATCCTATCGACTAAAAGCCGGGTCTGTCATTGAGTCGGCAATTGATAAGAACGACTATCCAGCCATCGGATGGGACTGGATTGGCGATAAAAAGACCGCACCACCGCTCTCTGGAGAATGGTTAGCAGGAGAAGATGAACCGGGCGAAAAGAGGAATGAAAGTGTTGTTCTCTACGTTCATGGCGGAGCAGGTTACATGGGATCTACTATGACCCATCGCTTATTGACTTCCAGCATCGCAAAGGCAAGTAATTGCGTACCAATTCAGGTCGTATAACGAAATTTTCTAATACGTCATTGTTCGTCAGGCTACAGGTGGACGGGTTTGTGCTATCAATCAACGATTAGCCCCTCAACATCCCTTTCCCGCACCGTTGGAAGATGCCTTGACGACGTACTTACAACTAATTGACAAGGAAAATAGCGAAGGAGTTGATCCCAAAAATGTCATCATTGCTGGCGAGTCGCATGGTGGTGGTATGGTTATGGCTTTGCTATTGTTGTTACGTGATTGTAAATTACCTATGCCAGCCGGTGCCATTGGGTTATCTCCTTGGGTGGATTTGACGCACTCTCTACCATCGATTTTAACCAACATCTCGACGGATTATTTACCTGCCAGCGGATTCTCTCACAAACATTCCAGAGCGCTTGAATTTAATAATTTACCGCAGTTTGAACCTGAAGCGCTTGGGCCACTTGGTAAAGCCGTCCGACTTCCAATGTCACATGAAGATTTGGATCGTGTACAATTCTACGCTCCCAATTCTACTCTCAAAATGCGATATGTCAGCCCGATATTTGACGAACAGGGACTGCACGGATTGCCTCCGTTGCTTATTGTACGTGTATCACCTTGGGATTCTTAGAAGTCATACATATTCTAACCAGAAACTGATTTTCTCACGATCCTTTCGTAGCAAGTCGGAACAGCCGAACGGCTAAGAGATGAATCCATTTATTCAGCCTACAAGGCTTCAAACCAGTTTCCGGATTCTCCCTCTCCGCAAATGACCGCTGTCTCCCCAACACAAGTGAAACTAGAACTTTATGTCGACCAACCTCATGTGTTTCAAATGATTCTCGCTACCAAACAACGTGCCGTCGCCATTCATCAAATAGGTGAATTTGTAAAATCATTGGCTACAGGACGGGAAAATGCAGGGAATCAGGTGAAGAGCCCTAGTCATCTGCAGGTGTGCACCGTTCAACCCAATGGTGAGATAACAGAAGGCATGACCGACCCTCCTACTAAGGAAGTATGGGATTTGTGGGAGAAACGGTTAGAGCGGCCTTCTCTTAGAGAGAGGTTAGAGGAAGTGCAGCATACCCTTAGTAATTTACGGCCTTGAGCTAAAAATGCGATGGCCACTGTAAATAATGTTACATAGAACTGTCATGCATGCAATGTAGAAAAAAAAAATCTAGCATATTTATTTGCTCTCTCGATATTGAGATAGAGGTACATTGAATTTGTATACTATAGTACAATGCTGTTTGCATAAGTGAAAGGTTAACGGGCAGCGATGGGATGGGAGAGTGGTATGGGAGGTTATCTGTCGGCAAGCTTAACGCCAGCAACAACCACTTCACCGTCGTCCCACTTGTCATTGAATAAATCAATCCAGCCTCTAACTTTTTCGTAAACCATAAATGTTACAGCCTGACCGGGAGCGACACGCATAAGTCGTGGGGTAAGGCCTTTGTAGAATGCAGTGTAACCTTCTTTCTGGATGATTTCGGAGGTGACGGTCTGGAATCGTTGCCAGCCAGAGCCGCTGGCGTTGCTTTTTTGGATACGAGTCTTAATGGTATCAATAGGGGCATTGGACATGGGACCCATAGCACCAGACACACCACCCAAAATGAGATGTTGATATGAAGGCAGTTCGTCGACTTGTTGGGCTTTGATAGCATATTTCTTCATCTCTTGATACACTGTGAAATTGACAGCTTGATTCGTGGCTGATCGGGAGTTAAACATAGAATGTGTCAGCATCATTTCCAATAGACGTCCAAGCGAGTGAGAAAAAATAAATCCTTACATTGTCTGAGAGCAGTCAAGGCAACACCCTTATACAAAGCTCCAAACCCTTCGTGCTTGACGATCTCATATGCACAGTGGAATGCGTTTCTGTATTTTGGAATATCCATAGGGTCGGTCATGGAGTGCTTCTGAGCTTGCAGACGAATTTTGATCACATCCATGGGTGTGACGACCAACACAGCTTCAGTAACACCAGCACTCAAACCAGCTGATATGAAAGGAAATGAAGGAGATTAGGTACTGCAATGCATATGCATAACCTACATCAAATGAATGAATGAAAACTCTAACGTACCAAAGAAGGTAGAGCTGGTGCTGACCTTGCCATTGCTATCAGCCAACAATGACTTGTAGTATTCAAACGAACTGAATCGAATAGCCATCTTGGGGACAATACCAGTGACAACAGCTCCGAGACCTTTGTACAGGGCAAAAAATGATTCATTTCGTACGATCTTTGCTCCTACACCGATGAATCCCAGTCGCTTTCCCTACAGTATCGAATGGAATATTTAAATTCAGGTCATCTATAGAATTGGATCCACAAAGACAATACATACAGCAGCGTTTCGAGCTCCCGACTTTGAAAGTTGCATTCTGACTTTGATGGTATCCAAAGGATGGCAACTGCAAGCCTCAATAAGACCGGCAGCACCACCAGCTACCAAGTGAGTGACCAATGTCTTTGGTCTTGGTTTTTTGGAGGATTGTTCGGGCTTAGAAGCGCTCATGGTGAAGGAAGAAAAGAATAAGAAGGGAATGGAAATGAAACAAGGTGGAGAAGGGCCTTTTATTTAATGCTACTGGTGTTATTAAAGCTTGCGGTCATTTTCATATGCTCGATTAGACTCTTACCCCGCAATTGTCCACATTCAGCCGTCCATTGGCTCTCTTGCTGCCAATGAGCAACCAAGCGTCACCGTATTCCTCCGAACATGTGATCACTGTACATGTGATCCCATCATTTCAGTCAATTCAATTCTAAATACCTGAGATAATGTATAGAAAGCCTATCGAAGCATACGAGGAGATCTCCTCAAAATAAAGGAGAAACATAAAGGTGCTGTTGGCAGGCACCTGCATGCGATGTACAGCTGGTCAATTTTTTTGTTTTTTATAATTTTTATTTTTGGATGTTTAGTTACTTGACCAAAAATTTGGGATGACAAAGATGAGTTTCATAATTTCGTCTTGGTAAAGCTGTTCTACATAACAACGCAGTCACCACTTCGAACTTTGTCCTCCAGTCTATCGAGCCACCGCATATCTCCTTTGCCTTTGCCGAATTCTACATACAAGCAACCAGGATTAGGGGTGTTAGGTTCGACATGAACGTTGTATTTCTCGACCATGGTGGTGATAGCTGGCTTAAGCTTAGCAATGTGATCTATAGTGCGGTTTGGGGGAGGGGTGTTAGGTTGTTTCAGTTCCATCCAGAAAAATACTGTAATGATTACGGACCAATGCTATGATTGCCTCGGCCAACGATGATGGTCAAGTGATCTCTGCCTTCCCTCTGACAGCGGGCGATGGCTTCTTCAGCACGTTCGGTTGCTTCTTGCACAAACAAGCCATGCAAGTCGACCTCGTCGGGACTTCGACCCCGGTTCTTTTCTACATGTAGGATGCGTGAGAAAAGGTGTTACATCAAAATCTGTATACATTTCTGCTTACTTTCAAACACAAAATCCGCTGCCTGTTTGTTATATTGTTTCATCAGGCGATCGTGCTCATGTCCCTGGTTCGACAGTTCCTTGGCTGAATTATATTCAGTTACTGCAAACTGCTTGATATAGAATGAATGATATTACTTTGAATCCTTCCTTACCTTGAGCTCCGTCACCACTCTTATAAGCCTGTTGACTTCGCTCATAACATTCATTACGAGTCATGGCCGCTTGATGGGCAAGGCCGCGCAGACGAGAGTACTCGGGATCGTCACCTTCGTCTAAATGAGGGGAAGGCGCGTGTGGGGCGCCTTGATTATTGTATTGTTGATTGTGCGACTGTTGATGGTGTTGCTGTTGGCCACCACCATGTGCGGGCTGCTGAGGGTAAGGCTGAGAATGGTTACCAGGATAAGGTTGGTTATATTGAGGTTGCTGTTGGTCCTTTTGTGAGCGTTGGTATTCGTGGTAGACCTGGTTGGCAGTGTCAAAGGCTTTCTCTAAAGACGGTTTGTTACCCATAGTGGTGGTGGTGGTAGTAAAATGATCTTTACTGTGTAGAAAAATTGATCTGAGTTCTTTAATCGATGTCGTCGTTTGTCTAATGCCGTTCTTTCCTTTTTCAGCCTGTGCAATAAGCCACAGACGCTCGTCTTCCCGCAACTTCTTTTTATGTTAACAATTGTGTATTGTATTTAAAATGAATGACAATAAAACCATCCAACAGGCCGTAGAAGATGAACAACAGTAAAAAGGTGAAAACAACGAAAGAAATAGGGGGTGAAAAAAATGGTTGCGGTATAGACAAGAACTGGGTAAAAACCGATTGAACAATACCATGACTACTGTACTCAATCAGCATCTCGGTTGATATAATGTTTGACCATCCAGTCTCTAACAAATATGCTAGCTTTCATGAACTTCTTACTTGCATACTTCTTGTAAAAAGCATCATGAATAGGCTCCTGTGCAAGATAGTCAAGCATGAGTTCTGCCCATTTGCGAAGTTGGGTCTCCTTGTAGCCAGAGTAATGTACAAGATTGGCATCCTGGTTGTTTCGGGTGGTCAGCCAAAGCGAACTTGTTGGTTTTAAAAACGCTATATGAAAGTGAAACTTACCCAATCGCCCCGTGAAAGCATTTTTTTCGCCAGGAACAACGCAGAGGCTGATATCAATGATGGTGGACATCCCATAAACCGATGGTCAACCAGCGGAATTTCCATAAAATATTTTGCAACGGTACGAGTATAAATATCGTAGTTATCTGCCTTCGATGCTCGTCTCAAAAAGTGCATTGGGTTTGGATAACAGAGCTGGAAATCGAGGACTTGAAGAACGTATCGTTCTGCCTTCAAAATATCAGCGTCTTTAAGACTACCGTCGGCCATGAAGGTGAAATTCTTAATGGAAGGTGCCATCACCTCTTCGTATTTTGAAGCAATGAAAAGGGCAGTGACACCAACTAGTTGAAGCTTCACGAGAGAAACAACGCGAGCAGAGAGGAAACGGTCAATGATATTCACAGCAAGGAACAAAGTTTCAGGCAAAAGTCCAAAGTTGCAATGGACTTCCATGAGCCAGTCGACTAGAATGCCTCGCATCTTCCATACGAGTTCTTTCTGAGACTCCATGTAGTTGGCTTGCGGTAAAGTTTCGAGCTGTGTGGCAATATGAGATTTAGTGCCTTCAATACACAGCAAGATAGTAAACATTCAGGAAATGGATCATTACCTCCAAGACGCGCATGTATTCAAAAATTTCATTGACATACTCAGTCACCATCATGGGATCATTCTTGTCTTCAGCATCCAAGTCAGTCCATGTTTGTGTGGCAACTTGAAGTGCGCGCTTTTCTTCATCGAGATCGGCAACGGTCGCTTCCTGTATATCTTCGCTCATTTCGTGAGTGCTGATATGATTAGATATGTCACTAAAGAAAGAGCGCGATCGCTTTCCCAGGCGTATGTTATGGAGTTCTTTGTTATCATCTTTCAAAGCATTCTGAGATTTCCTTAGATGCGCTGGCAGGATAATAGGTAGAACTGGTACAGCACGCACGACGTCTTTTCCATTATTGTCTTTGGCTGCTTCTTCCTTAATAATTTCGGTTACTTTCTTCTCGTGCTTAATTTCTGTTCGAACAGTTTTTGTAATCTCGGTCGCGTTGGTAACGGCTTTCTCATTTTCTGAAGTTGTCTATAGCAAAAGATGTGTTAGAACACACTTATCATGATTGGCGCGGTAGTAGCTAAATTGAAAATTTTCGTTACCTTTTGTTGCGACTTGGCATTGCTTACATCGTTTAGAACAGAACGTCGCTTTTGAAAAACGTTGGTGTTAGTGGTGGTTGCAGATTTCAATCGAGTGGTTTGACTAGAAGTCTTGGTGTTTGCATCTTTGACTGACTGTTTGGCGTTGTTTTCGTTCTCGCTATTGACAAGTCTATTTTGATTAGAAGCAGTTAGAATGCCTCGTCTCGGAGGTATCTGTTTTTCGTTATGCGATTCACGGTTACGCGAAAAAAAATTAAATGCAAAAGAAAGTCATTGCAAATCAAAGCCAGCCGAACAAAACAAATGGTGAGATGGTGATGAAAGTAATAAAGTGAAGATGAGTGTGAGTGAAACGCGATAAACAGGTTGCGTGGCATAGTAAACCATCGATGGCTTGGGTTTACTTACGTTGCTATTACGACTGAACATTATGAGCTATTTTCACACTGTGCCGTGAGATAAGGCGAGATGGAGGGCGAGCTCCTCGTATTCACCAATGAACGCGAGTTTGTGGTGTTTTATGGTTCTGTCTGTCACAAAGCGGAAGGGTCAGAGGGAATAAAGGCTCGGTGGAATCTGCGTAAAGGGTAATTGAGAGAGAACGGGACCTTGAGGTCTCACAAGCAACAGGAATTTTTTGCTGTGATATGAGTGACGTCGAAATGGTGGGTTAGGGCCTAGCGATAAACCCAGCTTCACTCGTCGAAACTTCATGGATCGCCAACTGCTTTTCTGTAGCACACTTGGCAATTTTCTTTTTTTCGTCTAGTCAGCGAGCAGGTGCTTATTGTTTGCTAAACAGATTCACTTTAAAAAAATCTGGTATGTCCACTACTTTTCATAAACGACAATTTTCGTCCCAGCTGAATATTCAATTTAATTGAGCGTTGGTTGGTAGCATCTAGGGTAGGTAGTTTCTTTGCTATTAAGCCTTGTGTATTGAAATGCTTCAATAAATTAAACGCATAGACGATTTTATGGTCGTACTTGTATTGCTACGCACAAGTCAACAAAGCTGGGGTGGCTACATACGAGCAAACATGTGCCATAAAATCCGGTGTAGATATCCAAACCTGAAGTGTAGGTTCGGACTGGACTTTTAAAGCTGGCACTCGGTCTGTCGGTTTATTTGATCACTTGATTCACAATGTCAGAAAATAAACAAATGGGTCCTTCCGAAAACAATATAAAAGGCGTGTTCGATATGGCCCAGGTCCTAACCGTAACGTGTCTAAATGTCTACCGCACAGTTCCGCTTACTATATCCTTCGGGAAGTGGTTCTGTATCTATCTCCATTGAAGATGGGATACCAAAGCCGCTTATGAAATCTAAAGGAGGCTTATACGAACTCGAACGGCAATTACTACGAGACACAAAATACAACTATCAGGTATTTCTTGACGACGAGCCCCAACAAATAGAGGTATTTGATACTGCGTGCGCCAAGTCAAAAAGTGACCTAAGTGCTCTTCAAAACTTGAGCACTCTGTGCCTAGTTGATATGGATGCAAAGGATCAACCCAATTCGCACGATAGAATTTTAGGAGGAGGCGCCGACCCTGCCGCCGTGCTAGAAGATCCACCTGAATTTGATCACGGCGACAGCCATAGTGATAACGAAACAGTCAGCTCGGAATTGGATTCCCCTCTTACTCCTACACGATTTGAAGGTTTTGAAGAAGAACAATCTATTCACTCTATGTTACATGAAAAACACGACGTAAAGAACGAAGACTACAGTACGCCTCTTATTGACACGATTAATCAGGATTCGCAGAACATCATACATGTTGAACATGCGTCGCAAGTCACCTCGGAAATTCAAGCTGAACCAAATCCTCAACGCAATGTCCTGGAGACATCTATACCAGAGAGAAAGGAAACCGAAGATCATGCCGTTGACGAAGTAGCCGCCAATGACGTGCCTATGGCCAATGGGGTATTTGTCACGCCCATGGCGCCCGATGCAGAGGATTACCTTGACGATCACTGCATTGTAGACGATCTTATTCAAGAACTGCGCGAGAAAGAAGAAAGTCAAATGAAGGCAAACACTGCTGGAGAAGTCATCACTACACAATTGCAAGCCTTCTCAAAATTCGGCCCGGCTGATGTTCTTCGGCTCCAATCTATGTTTACTTCATTTATCATGATAATTATCCTCCAAGCGGTTGCAAACGTATTCTCCTTTGCCAAAGCTTCCCTTGATTAAGCATTTTTCTTATTTAGTATTTTTATGTAACTTTTTATTGATGATTATATGCACAAAGTATTGTATTGAATAGCGAGAATATAAAGATCGGAAGCAAGTCATTTGATTACATTGTCGGGTGACTTTTTATTGTTTGCCGATAGCATAGCTCCATTCACAGCTAGTTGGTCAGCCTGTACATTGCCATCAACTCCCTGGTGACCTCGAACATGTTTCTAAGAAGGTTATGTTGAATAAAAATCATTTTGAATAACGTGGTACTTGCTTATGGGGCTTTTGCTTACCAGTACCACCATTCCAGGTCGGGTGTCTATTAGGTGGAACAGCCTCCTAAACAAATCCTCATTTTGTATATCTTTGTTACTAGATGTTTTCCACTTATTCTTCTCCCATGCTTTTCGCCAGAATTTGACCGCTAACAACGATGTAGAAGCGCTTGTCAGTAGGTAGGTCCATTGCTTAGATTTTTAATTGAAAGGGTGATCATTCTTACCATTTACAGTATACATACTGTCTGTGCAGATATTTAACCGACTTTTATCATTCCCACATGTCTCGATCGCTCGGATTACAGCCTAGCATTTACCGTTATTAGCTATTCATAGCTGTCAACAAATTGTTAACTGGTCATACCTGAATCTCAGCTCTTTGATTAGTTGGTTTTCCTTCCAATGGCTCGCTTAAGTTCCTACGATGACAATGGTCAGTAAATCCCTGAACTATTATTTGCCTCGCTTGATGCCCGTCTTTGCTCATACCTTTTGTCATTAGGTCCCCAATACACACCAATACCAGCATACGCCTTGCTAGTTCCATTCCCTGACGCAGCTCCATCAGTATAAACTATCATGCCTTCGTCCTGCTTTAAACCATTCTTAAATATCTCAACGTTAGGAATGACTATTGAAAATCCCGACAATTACCTTCAATGCTACTTTTTCTTCACGTTCCGTTTTGGTTTCTATCTTCGATCCAGCAATGCCAATTTTCGTATCCCCCTTTCATACACAATTAAAAAATGCAGATGAAATACGCTTGTCGTCATCAAAGGAACTTACAGATGTATCTTTAGAGGTGCCAGCGAAATTAGTGGTGGTTGCATGCTTACGGGATGTACTACTGTTCCCTTTTGACTCGGTTGCTGAGAGGAAGTCGTCGGCTTCCTGCTTTGAAACAAACTTTTTGTATCTAGAATTAGGGTACCCTATCACTTGCTTTTCGCAGTCGGACCTAAAGTTGCATGTTTAAAGAGTGTATAATTCACCAGTGCCCAATTCAGAACATTGTCTTACCATTGAGTGTAAATGCCGGGTTTTTTACCAACACGCACAGCATAGTAGTACGTTCTTGCAGCTTTTGGCATTGCAGAAGTTAAGTGTGGTGACGTAGAATATATGTATTTGAACAGTATGAAGAATGTATACAGCTAGGAATGAATTGTAGGCCACGTCGCGAGTAAATTTCCTTGCTCGATTTTTTTTTTGGTACCCTTTTTTGACAGTTTTCGCCGCGTCGTTTCGGGTTGTGATGCAAACCTCCAAAATCACACAGTTTTTCAAAAAGGTCCCGTCCAAGGATTCCGATGCTGCAAGAGAGACATCGGGAGCTAATTCGATTAGGGATTCAACAGCATTGCTAAGTGTCAACCACAACACTTCCGAGGCAGAGGTATCTCTGTCACAGTCAGCTTTATCACCGCAGGCACGAGATAAAAGCAATGCTGCGCAAGCTATTTTGATTGAATCAGATACCAGCGAAGACGAAGAAAAGTTGGTAAGTGTTACCAAATGGTGAAAATGATTACTGAGACAATTTGGATAACCAATTCTGTTGTTAAGAAGCAAGGGGCTAATCCATTACATAAAAAGAACGCCAATCGCTCCAAAGCAATCATACTTGATGAAGAAACTGACAGTGAAACTACTATGGAGAATCTGAGTATTCGATCGCCACAAAAAAGGAGGAGGTTAATATTGGACGATGACGACGAGGATGCGTCTGCTGGCGATATTGGTGCTTCTACAAAAACAGCTGAGGAAGCGCAAGATAGCTTGTCGCATGGAGAGGATCAGGTCACAGAAAGTGGAGGTGAGGGTTGCAGTACGTAGAAAGCAGTGAAGTGGAAGCCATTACATGCATATCTCTAACTATACGTAATTCAAGTGAATATACCCTCTAAACGTCGACTCGTACGCAAACGCAGTGAGACACAGCATCGTGAGGAAGATTACGATAATGCAGCCATTTGTCTTGATATTTTCTCAGATAGCCAGAAAAGCTCTGATGAAGAAGAAATACAGCTGACACGAAAGACGAGGAAAAAAAATGTGATAAGAGACAATGAAGAAGATGAAAGTGATGAAGAAGATTGGGATGTTGACAAATCGGGTAAGCACTAAAACAGGACTGTCAAAAGATAATGACTTTAACACAGTAAACAACGTTTTACATTTAATATTATAGCCATATTAGAAGAGCGGACAAGGATTAAGAAACAATCTCGATATAGTGAAATGCTGGCTGTCAGGAAAGGTACGTTGTTTGATCGTAATGTGTTATAGTCGCGCTCCAAAAGTGACTAATGTACACATTGTTTATCAAGCTGGAAAACAACGAATGAATGAATATAGTAACGATATACCCGTGGGGCCATTAGATCGCTTCACATTTACACCACATCAATCGGGAGCAGCTCCGAATGAAGAAGACTTTCTCAACGATACGGATGATGACCATGAACACGTTGAAAGTCAAAATCATGATACTGAAGACGACGACGGATTTGTGGTTGCAGATGATATCATTGATGGTGTACACATCGCTTTATCGCAACAAGAAACGCATGAACTTCCAGGTACAGGCATCTCGGTGTACACTTTCAGGTCAAAGATATCGGACTTACGCATGTGTATCTAGATGAGTTCTCAACGAGGTATCAAAACAACACGGAAGGCTACTTTCATGTCTACTTTGAGTACCTGATGTACTGCATCGTCGACCCCGCATACGGTCACGCTGATAATATTGGTAAGAACCCCTGCAAACCTCCTTAGTAACGACAATGTGGCAAGGCGGCGGCGCTGAACCGCGACCTTTTTTGTTTCAGATACACGGTTCAAAGTAGCCATCAGCGCCGTAAATCGGCTGATAGACACCTGCAAGGATAAGGTTCACAGCCCTGTGTGGAAAAAGCATTTTACAGTACGTATTGGTGTTGTTTCCATCATTATTTGTGTTGAAATGAGCTTAGTAACCCCTTGCTTCAGGAAGATCTCGAAGCCTGGCCGTCAGCGGATTGGAAGCCGATTTACCAACCCAACCACGACTGTGACGCTTGCATGATTTTAGGTAAAGGATCAACATCCTCTCTGACTCTGTTTGGCTCTCGTTATGATGAGCATTGCTTTCCGGTATGTTTTGCGATGTTGGAACCAAAAATACATTTGGGATATACAAAATGTCTCACTCTAGCGTGTCACAGATCCAGTATGAGGAGCCGGTCCAGTCATCTGCTAACCTGGAGAATGTAGACTCTCCAAACATCAACCACTGGCTTGGCTATCAGAAAGACCGACCACGAAAAGATCGTTATTGGGTAGGAAGCACTTGCTTCAATCGGGCAAGAATTTACCATGCATTGGTGCATTTGAAGTTTGATTTGTGCACAGAAATAAGAGAGTTTGTCCGTTCCGTTAGCAACGACTACGGTAGCCAGGCGAGTCAGTCTTCGCAACACCGGAATATTGACAATCTAGTAGATATTATGGTGGAAACGAGGCTAACAGACAAGGTAAATGCGATGTTCCTACTCTACTTTATTTTTTCTTGCGTTACATGTCAACGTTTTGATCAAGTTTTAACGGAGATACTAATGTAACAATGGGATGGTTAGTTATGGTCTCTTGCTAAGGAACGAGTCAACGACGCCCTCCATCTTCGAAGTGATAGAGCCTTTAAGAGAGGAATGGATGTGTCTTCCTTCTTTAAAGACTAGTAGCTCCCTTCGTAGCAACCGACCTTTATGATACGTAACTAGAAAAATGATTTCATTCATGCTGCAATCGGTCGGCGGGACACAGACCTCGAACCCTCATTGGGGCGCAAAGCGGAGTAGTTAGGCTGGTGTTGCGTTGTATCACACCCGATACCTTTTCGGTCATGGTCCAGCACTGAGGTGTTTTTCAAATAGTTCTTGCTCATTTTACAAATATTAATAAGCAAGCATCCTCCATCTGTACAATACATCTTGAAAGAACGTGTCTATCCACGATGATCGTGCTGTATATAAGTAAAGTTTATGTGTTTTTCGTAGGTGGTGGGTGCTCGGATGGCTCGGCAGTGTCGCTTGTTGTCGATAGCCTTTTAAGGTGTTGTTCCTGTCATTTTTGGTGCCTATGTGGGTATTTGTTGATGGTGCCGCAAAACCTGCGAAACGGGCGAGTCATTTTTCCCATCTATCGATCGAATATATAATCCGTTTTGCAAGTCTTTCATAGCACGCCTTTCTCTGCTCTTGTTCTTTCCCCTTTGTTCATATCCACCAACCCTGTTTATTATCATCCATTCCCTTCAGTATTCTAATTCGCCTCACGTAGCACTCACTCACTTATGGGCAATCAGAGCAGTAAACAACGACCGCAAGTCGAGAGCAGCAAGAAAAAGCTCCCTGGCAAAAAGATAGCTCTATCGGCTGTTTCGCGATTTTTACCAAAAAACAAGAAAGAGCCACGGCCCCCTTCCAGTCATTCTCATCGAGCTGATGCGCCGGTTAATACTGCGCCAACAGCTATAACCACGGAAGTTGTGGCGGCCCCTCCTTCACCTGCTCCACAGCCTGCACAACGAAATACCATACTACAGCCTTTAAACCGACGGAGGCAGAGAGCAACGCCTGTGCGAACGCCAAGAATCAGTAATGCTTCAACCAGCGCTACTTCGGCTATTAGTAGTACAAACGCTAGTGCCTTCTCTGGCTTATTTTCACAAATCGATGTTACGTCTTCCATCGCCACCGAGTCTAGCTTCTCACGACAGTCCATGATGGACGACGATGATAAGGTAGCGTCTCCCCCACCTTACACATCACTAAATTCCCACCGAAGGAGCTACCTGCAAGTGGTTCGACCTCATTCTTCACTTATGGAGAGCAGCATGATTCTTGACTCTTCTGTCATGCTGAGCTCAAGTATATCGGCTTCCACTACATTTAGCTCAGAAGCTTTGCAAGACGCTGCAATGTATTCCAGTCAAACATCGGCAAGTGAGATGGAAGACCAAGATATCACAATCGAGTCATCCCACCAGCCAATTACACGGCATCGTTTGTACAGCCTACTACAAATAGCACAGGCCAAGGTCAAAGCACAAGAGCGGCACGCGCAATCTTCCAGCTCGGCTTCATCCTCCGATAACGTGACACAAGCGCCCAGTGCCATTCTTCAGGAAGCCTTTGAGCAAGCCCAAATAGTCAATGATCCACATGACTATGCTGAAGTCTATGCTGCAGTCTCTATCTTTGCTCAAGATACTGAGAACCCGTCTGCTCTTGTCTGGGTTGCACAATGTCACCTCAACGGATGGGGAGTTCCGCGTAATGCTGCCCTCGGCTTCCAACAACTAAGTGATTTAGCCGCTCAAGAAGTCTCTGAAGCATATTATCATCTCGCCTCATGCTACGCTGATGGCATTGGTATCACCGCCGACAAGGCCAAGGCTTTCGCATGGTTTGAAAAGGCTTCTATTGCAGGAAACACGCTGGCTCAATATCGAACGGGTGCTATGCTTGCTCAAGGTGTCGGCGTCAAACAAGACGACATCAAGGCATTTGACTGGTTCAAGAAGAGTGCCGATGCTGGCAACAAGTAAGTGACAAAATACATTGTAAATATTTTTATTTATTTCGCATCTAATATTTTGCTCCATTAGATATGGTCAATACCTAGTTGGTTTACATTATGAGCAGGGCCTGACTGTCGCCGAAGACCCTGAAAAGTCGAAAGAGTACTACCTTAAGAGTGCCATGCAAGATTTCCCTGATGCCCAGTCTTCTCTAGGCATTCGTTTGGCTGACGATGGAAATCACACCGATGCAATCGTTTGGCTTGAAAAAGCTGTTCAGAACGTAAGCTTTCTTTTCGCCACCTTTTTTACATAATAACTGCGTTCAATGTATGCTAATGCATCTGAATCATTACAGGATAGCACACCCGCGCTACTCAAGCTAGGCATGATGTATGAAGAAGGCCATGGTGTTAACCGAAATTATGAAGTTGCCTTAGTTCACTACAAGGCAGCTGCCAACCGTGATGATCCAGTAGCACAATACCTACTTGGTTTAAATTACCGAATGGGTGATCTCGGCTTGGAACAAAACTACTCAGAAGCTTTGAAATACCTCCAGAAATCGGCTGAAGCTGGCTTCCCATCGGCTCAACGTGTCCTTGGCCTAATGTACTCTGAAGGAGTTGGCTGTACGCAAGACCATAGCACCGCATTCAGCTGGTTCCAAAAAGCTGCTGCCAAGAACGATGTCAGATCCATAGGTCTTTTGGGCAATTGCTACGAAAAGGGTCATGGTGTCGAACAAGATTACGGACGCGCTTTGGAATATTATGAACAGGCTGCTGAAGCTGGTTCTGATATGGCTGAATACTCTATGGGTCAACTTCTTCACATGCTCAAACGATTCAACGAGGCTTTCCGATGGTACCAGAAGGCAGCTAAACATGAACGACAAAGCGCAAGACTTATGGTCGCCCGCTATATGCTCCATGGTTGGGGTGATGCTCCGCATAACCCTGAAGCCGCCTTTAGTCAACTCAAGGATTTGGCTGACAAGGAAGACTTCTCTAGTGCATTTTTCTGGGTGGCTGCCTGTTATGAAGAAGGTGGAGGTGTAGCCAAGGACCTCGCAAAGGCTTACCTTTACTATCTCAAAAGTGCAAATGCCGGTGATGTAGATGGAGAATTCCAGGTATTTATTTTTTTAAAATGAACCATCATTACACGGGACTAGTATTAACCACACTCCACTGTTCTTTGCATTAGGTTGCGCTGATGCTTTCCAATGGCCATGGTGTTCAAGAAAATCGCAAAGACGCATTTGAATGGTATACCAAGGCAGCCGCCAAGGGTCACAAGACTGCGCAATTTTCGTTGGGACTTTTTTACTCCAAGGGACTGGAAGGGATACCCCAAGACCTTTCCAAGGCTCAGGTTCTCTTTGAAAAAGCCGCTAAACAGGATCTCCCTGTGGCCATCAATGCACTTTCCAAGTTGTTAATCAAGCAGAAAAAGTTTCAGCAGGCTATCCCATGGTTGCAGAAAGGTGCCGACTTTGGTGATATTACCTCCATGCGCGAGCTAGCTATTCTATACGGCAAAGGCAAGGGGGTGCAGCAAGACAAATCTGCTGCGTTCAAACTTCTCCAAACGTGTGCCAAAGCCAAAGATACGCATGCTTTGTTCATGCTCGGTACATACTATCACGAAGGATCACAAGTGGAACAAGATTTGGACAAGGCTTTGGAACTTTATAAGCTTGCTGCAGCTCAAGGATCATCACTGTAAGTACTAAACATTATAGTTCACGTTGCTTACAACTTTGTTTACTGACATGCACCACCTCTGTATAGTGCCATATATGGTATTGCCCAGATATGCCATAGTCAAGAGCGTTTTGCTGAAGCCTATCCGTTTTATCGAAAGGCTGCTGTGGATGAAGCACTGAAAAACACAGAGATCAGTCGAACTGCTCGTTTTATGGTAGCTCGCTATGTTACAAGTCTCTACAGTGCAGCAGCTACCAACGACCCTGACTCCGTTACCAAAGCTGAAGCATTCACTATACTTTTGAACCTCGCCGAGCGTGAACAGTATCACGCCGCCTACTTCTGGGTGGCCGATTGCTACGAACGTGGCCTTGGTGTCTCCAAGAGTGTAGAGGATGCACTACAATGGTTTCAACTTGCTGCTGATCAATGCCTAGACATGACAGTGGAAGCTGAGAGGCGCATTGCACGTTTGCAAGCCGTTCCTACTCGTGGCGATGATCTGGAATGTATCCCTGAAGAGAGTGAAGAAGGCGAGTCTGATGCCGGTATGTAATCGAACCCCAGAGTATGCATGATGAATATTCAATATACTGACCTATTTTTTTGACCCTCATTCCTTTCATCAGGTTCTGAAGATTTGTCTGTCATTCCTGAAGATCGAAGACAAGATTTGGAATGGCTCAAGTCCCAGGCTGACCAAGGCAATGCAGAAGCCATGTACCAATTGGCACGCAATTTCGCTGAATGTGGAGATGAAGACTCTGCATTTGAGTTCTTTGAGAAAGGTGCTGAAATGGATCACATCGATTCCATTCGAGAACTAGGCAAATGCTACCACCGCGGACGTGGGTGTGTTCGTGATATCTTGCATGCCGTTAAGCTGTACAAGACAGCAGCTGCAGGCAAAGACCACTTGGCGCTTACTCTACTTGGCCAAATCTACGAACGTGGCGTCGGTAATGTCGTTCCAAGAGATCCCGAAGCTGCATCTCAATGTTATTCTGCCGCCATGGAATACGGTAGTGTAAACGCCATCTACCTTGCAGCACAAATGCATCACACTAGGGGCGAGTACGGCACTGCCATCGAATTGTATAGAACGGCCGCTGATCAAGGAAATGTTATGGCCAACGTGATGTGTGCACGCTATACACTTACTGGATTAGGTGGAGTTGAAAAGGATCAAGAGAAGGCGTTCCAGGTACCTATGAACACATCATTTTTTGACCATCATGAGAAATTTTTTGCTAATGCTTCAAAACCCCCTTCGATCAGTCGCTACTCAAAATTGCCAAATCGGAATGTAGTGAAGCATTCAATTCTGTTGCTCAATGCTACGAGATGGGAATTGGAACAGAGCAAAACGATGCACAAGCTTTAGAATGGTTCTTGAAGTCTGCTTCTGTCGTCAAGGATGCCAATGCCATGTATCACATCGGTCGCATGATCGAAGAAGGCAGAGGCACTGGACAAAGTGCAGCTGAGGCTCTCAACTGGTACCAGCTTGCCAATGAAACTGGTCGACACCGTTCTGCTCAGTACAAGATCGGAGTGTTCCATAAAGAAGGCTTGGGAGGACTCTCTCAAGATCTCGATGTCGCGCAACTGTACTTTAAAAAGGCGGCCGATCAAGGAGAAGAAAAAGCCATGCAGGAATTGGCTCAGCTGTTCTGGATGCAAAAATCTTATTCATTAGCCCTAGTTTACTATGAACAAGCAGCATCACTGGGGGTAATTGAAGCCAACTTCACCCTAGGAAAACTCTACCATGCCGGTTTCAAGGTGGATGAGGCCACGATTGTGCCTCAAGATTATTCCAGCGCCTTTGCGTATTTCACCGACGCGTCCAATGAAGGCGATGCAACGTCTACGATTATCCTCGGTTCCTACTATCAACATGGATGGCATGTTCAGATTAATCGTGGCATTGCGCTTTCACTTTATGAAAAGGCAATTGAGCAAGGAGGTGGCACCTTAGCCCAGCTGGCTGTAGCCCAACTCAGGCGCAGCAGCAGCACCACCACCGACTTACCCGCCTTATGACCTTGTTTATTTTAATTCTTTTTTTTTCATGTTTCCTTTATGTCGTATATTGATGTATTATCTGCTTTTTTGTTAGTTTCCTATGCTGTCTTTATTCACTATGCATTTATACCCCCTCCCTCATATTCATGATCATATCTACAACCTATAAGCACACCACTCATTCTTACACACTTCTACATGCTTCTGTTTTATATACTGTATACGTAATGTTTTTTCATACACTATGATTTTATAAAGTCTGCATCCGAATGCACAAAACAAATTCTTCGGGTTACAAGTTGATGAAAGCGCCAGGAGATGTATAAAAAGGGGGGTATTGAGGGTAAAGAAATGGAAAAAAATGATGACAATCTCACCCCCCATCCACCTCGATGTACTGTGCATGTGGTTTTCGCTGTCTACCAGGTAAGTAAAGGCGGTTCATTTACTAAAACGGAACTTCGACAGCATAATGTCATCTTTGTAATATGGGCTAATTCGATATGTCCAGCCGGCACAAGGCCTCCTCTCCCTTAGCTCCCCAAAATAAAACAAACTGAAAAACATAGAAACCCTGCAGTGAGTCCAAGGATGAACCCATACAAGGTGGACGAAAGCTTATTGTCCATTTTGTCACGTTGCCTCTCAATCAATGCATTCGAAAGTATGACACAAATAATCATGATTTGTATATTACCCTGAGATGAATAGAAAAACCGCGTTCAGAGCCTGCAGCTTCCCACATATGCAAATGATTCTATTTTTTTTTTTGGTTTGTCCCTGGAATGATAAATAATGCTTTCGATACCGATCGAATCATAGAGCATTGCACTTTGATTCATTCATGGATAAAGAAGACAAGTTATTCATTCTGTAGATTCCCCCAGATACGGTGAATATAGCATTGTTGGGTTATATGGCAAATTAGTCGATTAGGAGTCTGTTAGTATGAAAGGATGCACAGAAGAGCGCGTGCGTCGAGCTAATTTGGGTTTCTTTCTTTCTTATAATACTCCTCATCTTTTCTACGCCATCACAGTAAACTCCTTCCTATTAGAATATCACCCGCTTTATTCCTAGCCACTCCTTCCCAACATTTTCTTCTCTTTTGTTTCCTTTTTACATTGAAGCATCAAGTTAATTATACGAAAGCCGAGTTTTTTTTTTTTAACCCGAGAAGCAAGCAAACCCCAAAAATGAAGTTCAATGGTATGAAGATCTTCAGTACTTTGACAAAGACCAAGGTAGCACCAACCCCAAGCGAGAAAAAGCAACGTTCGAAATCCGTCGATGTGACCAATGATTCGACTCTATCGTTGCCAGAAATCGCTCCACAATTCATTCCAGTCGCCATGTCTGGTCAAGACGAAGAGCATTTGGTGGTACGAGACTTAGAACCAGTGTGGAGTTACCAAGACCTGTCCAAAAAGGATAAATCCACACGATTTGAGGAATACAATCAAGCTGTATTGGAAGATAGCTTCCATAAAGGCAACCCAAGTATGACGATTCAAGATGCCAACTTCCAGTACAGCTATGTGACGATTCACTTGACCACCAATCCAAAAATGCGAAGAAGAAAGAGCGACAGCTATATGAGCGAACAGCGACGACAGAAGCAAGCACGTCTAAGTCAATGTCATGCAAAGAATGAATTGGAACTAGGTGTCAATGTCCATAGGACTATTGTCCCTGTGTGGAGATTCTCGTACGGCAAACGCTGGATTCGATTTGATAATACCAATCAAGTCCGATTGGAGCTTTCCATGAATCGATCCGAGAAGCTGAATTTGATTGACATGGCATTCCCCCACGATACCCTCAGCATTACCTTCAAGGGCATCCCGGAAAGCGATGTCATTGGCACCATGGAAATACAGCACGCGCACGATGAGAAAGAAGGTGCCGACGAACCTGAAGCCAACGAAGCAGGTGAACAGGGTGAAGCTGGCGATGCTGTCGAAGCAGAAACGCCTATCTTCGCCGACATGAAGAATAGCCATAAGATCGAGTGGGACTACGACAAATTAATGACAGAGAAGGCCATGCCTGCCAAGAAAGAAGGTGGACTGTTTGAAATGCTACTGGATATGAGCTCAGATTCAGCTATTCACACCTTCTTGTGGCCACAAGCTATTGATAAATCATAAGCTGGAAAACTGAGCTTTAACATACAACGTGCATCCATCCCCACAACGATCATATCATTTCAACAACCACTTGCACTTTTTTTTTTTCATATATTATATTTGATTTGCAGCCTTTTTCACTTTTACCCTCTCTGTTCCATTAATCTCGCTCCATTACCCTTCCCATTCCTTTACATATTAAAACTAATTTAATGATCAGTGATAGCTTATTGCTACTTCTCTTAATCTCGGTTACATTTGCATTTAAATTACCATCATCCGGTACTGCAACGGTAACGCATTACCTTCTTGGTGACAATGTCGGTGCTTGTGATTGCGCTACAGGAGCCAACAAGTTTCCAGTTGCAGGTATGAACAACGTTGACAAAAGATCAGATATCGTAAAATTACACATGTCTTACTTTACGCCCATAAATGGTCGCAGCCATTAATCAAAATGCCTTTGGCCAAGTGAACGGAACGGCTGGCCCAGGATGTGGTCGTTGCTTTAATATCATCCTGAATACTGCGATATCTGATCAAAATTATACTATTACCGACGCTTCCAACCGCCCCGAAATCACCGTAAAAATCGTAGATCTCTGTCCTGGCCTTGCACCCAACCTAGGTAAGACTTTTGTTTATTTCACCTGCCATAAACAATCAAAAGCCCATCTTTCTTTTTTGTGTCTCAGTGATTATCGACATCTGATCCTTCCTCTTTTTTGGTTCAGAGTGGTGCGCGCAGACAGATTCAACTCCAAATCCACACGGGGCATGGGTTCATTTTGACCTATCACAAACCACCATCCCAAGTAATTGGTTTCCTCAACCTTTTGGCTATGATATTGGCCAATGGTTGGCTACTTACTCAGAAGTAAGTTGCACGGAATGGGCTGGTTACAAGCAACCACAGACATCTGGCCTTGCTGTTGCTGGTGCAGGCTGCTGTCCTGCGAATCCAACCTATGACAACCAAACATGCCCGATGTCGGGCAGCTCTGGGACGACTGCATCTAGTTCTAGTCGCGTTTATTTTGACCGTGCTTTGGGCACATTGATATTCATTGCTCTTCTATCTGTCATCTATTTAAATTGATAAGCTTCATTCTTAATCTACATGATCTACGCATGCCAAAAAATGGGGTCACATTATACTGTGACACTGCAGACCGGTCGATGAGGCGACTGGTATGTTGCGAAACATTCCTTGTGAGCTTACTGTGTCTCAGTATTCCATGATGGGTTGGGGACATTGATGTGGCCAGTATCTTTTCATCCATTCACTCCACTGCCGCTTTTGACAGCTACCTACTATACTTACTATTCCGTCGCCTTGCTTTCTCACGCTTGCATTATAGTATAGGCAAGGGGCCAATCGATGCCCAAAGGGGTTGTGATAGCAACATGACCTTATTGACCCCATGACATCCACGTACCATAGCTCAGGTGGCTAGTTGACAAGAATCTGCAAAGATACAGTAACACATCTAACACACCTTTTTCTCTCCTCCTTCGTTTTTTACCCCACCTCTCGAATTTAAAAAAACTTACATTGTGCAATGTACATTCCCATTGACAAGGCGCTGTACCTGAATCACCCTCTGGGCGACGATGTGGGCAAAGATCCATATCCTGTCATTATGCAAGTGGATATGATGACAGCCTGTTTTGGAGGACAAGACATCATATCACCCCTCCCTACCACACCTCTCTCCCACTACACTGGCAGTAGCGAATTCAGCAGCAGTAGCGGTAGAGCTGGATGCGAGGTATCATCATATCGAATCGGCAACGGTCGCAATGCAAGACCATATCGTCCAAAATATCATGTGCCATCAGATGCTTTTGAACCCATGCCACATAAACACATGCCCTATCCGAACGATCCAATGGAGTACTCACCTACCGAGAGTAGCTTACCAATAACTATACCTTGTAACTTTTATGTTAGAACAAATACAGGTTTAGCTACCTTGATTGCATGCAGAGATTTGACAGCATCACCAGTTGATCTGGATGCTGCCTATGATGAACCAAATACGGACAATATATGGTCACCCGAAACAATAAACGCAAAGTGAGCAAATACAAACGTCTGACATGTTCGAAAGTGTCCGTATTGGAAAGATGTGCTTTGACAATTTCTTTTTATTGGGAAAGGGATGCAATTGTTCCTTATAAATGCAGTGGTGTCGGCTTAGTCTAATTCAAACTGAGCAATAACGTGCTCTTCGAAGTATGTAACTTGATCTTCCACATCAGCGGATGTTGAGCCGTTGCAGTCGTTTTCGCAAACAAATATCATAACCGTTCCGAACTCCATTCCGACGTTCCACTGATCCTTTCCGGTCTTGTCTAACGTCTGCTCTTCTATCATGGCATGCTCCGTTACCGATAAAAGGCTCAGCATATGAGGCATCAATTGAAATTCAAATGTACGCTTGGATCCACAGTGAGGGCAAGTCGGTAGCTGTGAGTTGCTATAAACGCCATAGCCATCTGATGACGATACGATCAAAGATTTAGCGGCCTGGTCTGAATTGGAAAACAGAAGAGGGGATCCACCAAATTCATAGCTGATACCGGCCGGTGTGAGTGAGTGAGAATTGCGCCATTCCATACAAATTCAAAAATAACCCTTACCGAACACATTGTTCTGGCCAAGCTCCTACACGTTCGGTAAACTTCTTGAAAGCTTTATCAAATCCACGTGGTACATCCTGTTTTTCATAGGTTTCTCCAGCCCATGAAATACCCTCCTCAGAGTCGTCAACGGCATCTTCGGATTGTTGTTGTAAGTCGAGGTATTTTTGATATTTTGACATGTCGAGTCCAAGTGAGTCATAGGTTTCAGCAATCTCTTCTTCAGATATATACAAATAATGGCCAGGAAACTTCATCTGACAGACGAAGCCTTCATCGTCTTGAAGTGCAGGATTGTGAGCCCAGTAGTCAGTATATATTATAGTCAAGATAAAATTTTACTTACGAGCGACATCATCATGTTCCATTTCTTCTTCTTCCTCCTCCTCCTCCTCCTCATCCTCTTCCTGTATGGTCAAGCTCTCGGCAAAGCGATGATTGAGGTCAAATGGCTTTCTTTTTGAAGATGCGGCTTGACTGTAGCTTTGTTTCGATTCTTCTTCCATTTCTTCTTCCTCGTCTTCGTCTTCCTCAGGCTCTTCCTCTACTATATCATTGCTTCCGGGCATTTGAAAAGGATTGACTTTGGAAGGGATGGCAGGCATTGCGAAAGGGTTACCAGCACTACTCTTTGCTTCGTTGGACGACGACCATAAGTCTCCCAACTGATTGTCGTCGAAGCATTTTGAAAGGATGAGTAACGGCATTCAGAATATCAGTATGAATGAAAAAATCACTAACCTGGAACGGTGAACCATTGGGCGATGCAACAAAGGCATTTCTCTTTTGCGCAGCTTTTAGTTGTTCCTCCTTTTGGATTCTCGCAGCTTCTTTTTTCTGTTGTTGCTTCAAATACTCTGGATCTACAAGATGCGCGCGCAGTGCCTTTATGCTGCCAGGCTTCTTAATGCATATACGACGGTTGCATGCCCACACATACATGGCTCGGTGATAAATTGAGTTTTCTAATGGTACATAGCCCTGAAAGATCAGGTACATTGGATTTTGACAACTACCACAGATTTGGATATCGCTATCAGGGTGCTGGTGGTCGATTAGCCAAATCTAGCAAGCGATAAAAGGGTTAAGTTCCACAAACATATTGTGTAGTCAATCTAGAAAAAATCGATTCGTACAGGAGCACCACCAATCTTGGTTGCATAAGCATCATTGTCGAGATGCTCGTCCACAGGAATGTCCGGCATTCCCAGCATAACTTTGGGCTTTTGCTTACTATTGGACTTGGCATTTTTGTCTCGGGTTAGTGCAGGGATCACATCAAGAGATGGAGTAAATGGATTATGCGCTGGCGGCTGATTCGCCACAGGCAGCGCCTTGTTTCGCATTTGGCTAGAATTGCGATTCTTCTTGCTTGTATTCCCGTTCATGGCAGTGAAGATGGGTGCAATATAATTTGGCCTGGGACGGAAACCAAAAAGAAAAAATTGTGACTTTGCGCTTGGAAGTAATGAAAAATTTATGGGGGCAACTGATTTAGTGTAATTTAGTGTACAGAAGATCTATTGGGTAGGCTTGTGAATCATAGCATCGCGGCTAACACCAACACCAATCCATTCGACTAGAAATAATAAAAAGAGTCAGTGGAAACTCATTGGGAGTATACTTCATCATTGAATTTGTGCCTTACCTGGAACACCGAGCTCCTTCTCTATCAACTCAACGTACTTTTGAGCATTGACAGGCAAATCTTCGTACTTGCGGCATTGTGAGATATCTTGCTTCCATCCGGGAACTTCGATATATTCAACTTCAATGCGCTCCAAAACGTTGAGATCAGCAGGGAAGGATTCAAGAACCTTGCCGTCAAGCAAGTAGTTGACACCGATCTTAATGGTTTCCAATTGATCCAAAATATCAAGCTTGGTGAGGTTCAAGCTGGTATATCCGTTGATCATGTCAGAGTACTTCATGACGACAAGATCGAGCCAACCGCAGCGACGCTTTCGGCCAGTGGTAACACCATATTCATGGCCAACAGATTGAAGGTATTCACCAATATCCTGTAGAAAAAGACATGTATAACCGTTAATAAAATGATAAGGTTGGTTGGTTGGTTGTCACCATGACAAATTGATTAGTTCCATACATTAAGCTGCTCGGTAGGGAATGGACCGCCACCAACGCGAGTGGTGTAAGCCTTGACGACACCAATGACCTTGTCAATGTGGGAAGGTGGGATACCCAAACCAGTGGAGACACCGCCAATACCAGTATTGGAGGAGGTCACATAAGGGTAGGTACCAAAGTCGATATCAAGCATAAGAGCATTGGCACCTTCGACCAAAATCTTCTTGCCGTCCTTGGCAGCCTTGTGAATGTAGCCAATGCCATCGACCACATAGGGTCTCAGACGTTCAGCGAGAGCCTGTTGAAGTAAAACGTGTTAATTAAGACGATGATGGTTCATAGATCGAAAAATATGATCGTGGTACATACCTTATAGCGTTCAAGTTCACCTTCGACATCATACTCAAAATGTCCGTAACGCTTTTGCTTGTTGGCAACCATGACTCTGAACTTTGCGGAGAATTCTTCAAAGTTGTAGAGATGGTGGACGCGAAGACCAGATCGAGAGGCCTTGGAAGAGTAAGTTGGGCCAATACCCTTACCAGTAGTTCCGATACTTCCACGACCGAGTTCGGCTTCCTTCAAACCATCGATCATTTGGTGGAAATCAAAAACAAGATGGGCTCTGTCAGAGACGAAAAGACGACCATCAGCGTTGAGACCTGTAAAGAGATTTAGAGCGGTGTTATTAGAGTGAAATAGCGGTACACTTAATGTATAGATCAAAAACTAACCCTTAGCCTCGATCTTTTCGAGCTCGGCGAAGAAGGAGGGAACATGCATGACCACACCGTTACCAATTAAGGCGACGCAGTTAGGGTTGATCAAGCCTAAGTACAAAATATGAATCAATAAACGGTTAAGAACTTTTGTAGCAGCGGGTGGATACTTACCAGAGGGAAGCATATGGAAGTCGTATTTAACATCACCTACGACAATAGTATGGCCAGCATTGTTTCCTCCCTATCCGGTGGGGTTAGTTTTGCTAGTTCTAGCTGTCAACATAATAATAATAGTGAATATTTACCTGGCAGCGAGCGCAAATTTCAGCCTCTCCACACAAAATGTCGGAGAGCTTTCCTTTACCCTCATCACCCCATTGAGCACCAAGAACGATGGTGGCACCTTTAGTGGACAAGACGGACATGACTTTGGTTTTTGTTGAAATTACTTTGAATGCGGTAGAACACCCAAAGTATTTTCGATAAATTGATGGGCTACTGGCCAGTGAAATAAATCAGGGATGCCGTGACTGTTTCCCGGATGTGCCCGGAAAAAAATCTTTCTGATCCATCTTGATTTCAGTTGTGAAGTGTCAGAATCACGCATAAGCACTACTATTTATTTTTATTCTGCAGTTTCATTATAATAAGAGGCAAAAGAAAGTGCTACTTTCGCAGCAAGTTTACGACGTTCGCTATCTGGAAGATTGGCTCCTTGGTCTCGAAGCTCTTGGATTTTCGTGAAAACGTGGTCAAGGCCGTCGTTCGGATCATCAAATGCTCCAAATAGCTCTTGCTGCATTTTTTTTATTTCACTGCTAGAGGGTAAATCTATTTGGAAGGTCAGAATATAAGAATAACACGATGTTAGTCATTGCCTGTCATATTGACTTACCCGTCATTTCACCGTCTTCTTCGTCAATCAAGTCTAACATTTGTAGTCTAGCTTCTACGTGTTCAAAAACATGAATTAGGATAGGACATGTAAAATGAAGAATCACGACAGCTTACCGTTGGTGTCAAGTGGAGCCTGAGCTGACGACTTTGTAACAAGTCCATCCCACATATTTGATTGTAACGTTTCCAGGAGCAATGGAATGCCTACTCTGTCTTCAAATTCGTCGTCGTCCACTTTTTGTGCCTTCTCTTCGGCATCTATATAGACGAACATATTTTCCAAGCACCAGTCTTCTATCGCGTCTTTGTCTGTCTCTGGCAAATCTCCTTCCGTTCCAATCACGATCTTTACATTTGGGTCGCACTTTTCAACAAACGCAGACCACAATTTGAGGTCTTCTAAGCTTTTGGGCTGTAAATGATGAATGAGAACAATTGGAGTCTCCCATGCTTCGCGCCCGTCTACCCCACTCACCTCGTCCTTTCGAAAAACTAATACAAGACCATCGACAACTTCACAGACACCGTTCTCATCCTCGACGAACGCCTTGACTGCTGCTTCTGCGTCGGACTCGATATGGTCCAGCCAAAGATCAACCTCGGCTGTATAGTATTTGGTATCGATAGTCCAAGGTATCATTTGAGTGTCGTCACTGACATCCTTGGGTAATGCACTTTGTGATTCCGAGAACAATTCTGTCTCGGTATATTGAGATTAGTAAATGGAAGGGCAGTGCGGTGATGACGGGAGTACGTGATCATGTACGTTTTATAAGCTCCAACTTGTTGGCATTGTGCCTGCCGATGACCAAGATCTTGTTCCGCTTCATAATGGAACCTCTCAATAGAAAGTGAGAACAAGCTAACCTTTGTTTTATTATATCCATTTTTATTCTGTTTCGAGCTCCACCAAAAATACAAAACCTCACAATTAATTACGATAACGTGGGTTACGGTCTCGGTCACGATCCCTGTCTCTACCACCGCCATAGGGTTGCTGTCTCTGTTGCGGTGGACCGTTTTGGCGGTAAGGTGGTCGTTCTGAATTGCCATATGGCGGACGCTGCTGCTGATAATGGGGTGGTGGCCCGCCGCCTTGGTTATGCATCGGTGGTCTAAAAGGCGGTGGGGGTGCCTGAGGATTGAATTGCTGCTGTCGCTGGTGTGCTCCTGGCCCTGGAGGCAGGAATTGCTGCTGATGTGGCGGTGGGCCGCCAAACTGTTGCTGTGATGGAGGTGGACCATTAGGGTAGCCGCCCTGCGGCCTGAACTGCATTTGACCCGGTCCATCAAACTGGGCAGGAGGCGGACCATTCTGTGGTGGTTGACGTTGGTATGGCTGCTGTGATGATGGCGGAGGTCGGAAGGGAGGTGGATCATTACTGGGCGGTCCATTTTGCCTCTGCGGTGGTCCCGCTGTCGATGGGCGAAATGGAGGCAAATCAACTGGAGGTCGCTGTCCTGCTGAGGCGGGACGGAACGGTGGTGTGTCAACATATTCACTTTCATCATCCTTGTTTGATTCATCGTCCTGGTGTTGGCTAGCATTGAATTTGTCTGATGCTGTCTCTCCTGGTCGTGGTCGTGTCCAAAATCGTGTGGTATGATCATTAGATCCCGTTACCAGTATGTGGCCAATAGGATGCCAGTCCAAAGACCAAATATTAGAATCGTGAGCCGTTTCTTGCTCTCCAATATGTCCGTCTTGACCGCATAGCCAGAACATTAAAGAACCATCGGAGCCTCCGGAAGCAAGCATGCGTTCGTGTTGTGGATGCCATGCAATGGCTGCATAAAAAACCTCATCAGTACTCTGAACGAATCGCAGGTGAACATCATATTATATACTCACAACAAACTTCCTTCTTATGACCGCGGAAGCCTTGAAGCTCTTTCATTGTACGTATATCAAATACTTTGATGGTTTGATCTTTACCAGCTGTGGCTAACCAATTACCATTCTGATTCCATTGCAACCCTTGTACCGTATTTTTGTGGCCATGACTTTTTGATTTCATATGTTAGCTGCTATCATCTCTTACACCAATAGCAATTTGGAAAAACACTTACAGTGTTGTTAAGTTTTTACCAGTCTTAGGATCCCATAATTTTACCATGTTATCTTTACTACCAGATGCTATTAATGCTTTGTATGGATGCCAGTCAACGCATTTAACATCCCAACCGTGACCAGTCAATGCACGCTCTTCTACACCTTGATTGAAATCCCAAATCTTGATCAATGAATCGTCAGAGCACGTAGCAAAACGAGTATTTGACGGAGCAAAACTGTAATCGACAAGGTTGGTAGGTGACGTTAGCGCTTGTTAATATAGTAGAGTACAACGCAACGACGAAGATTTCAACTTACGTTAGATCTCGAATAGCTTCCCGATGTCCCTGGAACATCTTCAAATTATTCATGTTGGATTGCCAATATTTCACCACACCACTGTTGTCGCCCGTCACCATCCAACTATCATTATGTGACCATTTCATCGCTCGCACCGCTGAGTCATGAGCCTGTAGAATGGTTTCGAAATTGAACGTAAGACCGTTCCATAGCGTGAATTCTCCACTCGATGAGCCTGTGATGAGACGACGTCCCTCTGGCGTCCACTATACATTGACAAAATTAGTATCAACCATTACGTTGATAGGATCCGCGTTGGCAGACACTTACCCTAACCACATTAACAGGGCAACGAATCTTGTTTGTGGATGTGTGAATGAATTTGGTCGTTACCGCATTAACAGGATTATCTGGGTATGCTGCAGGAGGTAATAACTGAGAACAATAATGTTAGTCTGTGTTGTTCAAGGTGAAAAGCGTCAAGCTAAGAGGGAAACGAACATACGTCGACGATAAAGCTTGGATCGGGTCGAAGGAATTTACGATCGCGACGATCACGTTGCCAAACACGTTGCTAGAGATTGAAACCATTAGAATTTAGTGTCTTTTTCAAGTGTTTCGTTAAAGAGGAGCAGCTGAATTCACCTGGTACCAGCGAGCAATAGTGTGGTTGTAATCCACAGTGCGGCGCTGAATCCTGCCTCTCATGCGTTTGCCGTCAAAGACCATTTTTGAAGCCGGAACATAGCGATCTTCCTGTCCGGGAGCTCGATGTGGCCTTGGCGTGAATCGTGAAGGCGCTCCTCCTTCACTTGGGCGGGTGGAGTCACCATTCCAGGATTGTGAAGGTGCTACTTCCATGAAAGAATATGGCCGAAGGTAGTCAGAAGGCGGTTGCTGATTTTTTTTTCAGCTCAAATCAATTTTGCCTTTTGGCACCCAAAATTTCACACATGTTATCCTGAGCACCGATTTATATAACCTGTCTCTCACACAAAGAGAGCAGCTAATAGCTTTTATATGAAAGAAATATTAATGCTCCATCTTGATTGATATGTTTTTTTGATCACAGTTGTTTCCCCCATTCCATATTGTAGACTGCGTAGTCGGTATACGTGGTTCACCAGCACTTTCGTTTCGCGCATTGTTGAAGTACGCTCTTTCTCTTGCGTAAAAGTTTTGCATTATTATTCGGCTCATTCATACATTATGCTATAGTATTGACATCTTTACTGTCGCTAAAATCTTATTTATGGCTCTATTTCGTTGCTAAGTTCACAAAATAATGCTCGCGGTAATTCAATTCCAGAACAGTGATAACTCACTCACAGAATCTGGTACAGATCTCGTATTTGCTCATATGGCACCACAACTAAAAGCATGCCGGCCGATTTCAGTCCCCAATGCTCGGCCAAGCAAGCTTTCACTCACGCTCATTTCATACAATATATTAGCCCAGGCTCTTATAAAACGAGAACTGTTTCCTCATTCTGGAAACATTCTTAAATGGGTATGTAGCCTAGTTGAACGTCTAGTGATCCGATAAATGTACTGAGAACTTATTTCAGAAAACTAGAAAAGCAATGGTATTGAAAGAACTAAAGGAACTTAATGCAGATATATTGTGTCTTCAAGGTAAATTTTGTGCGTCTTGTTCACTACATAGCTATGTAATTCGTACCTAAAATTTACGCTCTTCTGCCAGAGGTTGATCATGTTGAAGATTTTTATGGAGACGCTCTCCATGCACTTGGGTATGCTTCTGATCAGTTTCATGCTGCATTCTACAGATCCTAATCCTCACTTAGCTACTCATTTGAGTTCTGCAAACACTCAACAAAGCTCCATGGTAAATCTGCTTGATGTCACTGAACACCGTTAGGAAGCGTAACTCTAATCATGTATTTCAAGGTTGCATGATTGCATTTAAGCACTCTTTGTTCACCAAAGTGAACTATGATACAGTAGATTATGATACATATCCATTATGTCCACCCACGCAAAAGACCGGTAACATTGCTCAATTGATTGCACTCAAGGCTATCGACCACGATGAAGGCATACTTGTGGGCAATACTCATTTATATTGGCGACCTCAGTCATATTACGAACGGCTACGACAGGGATGTATATATGTTAAAAGTGCCAGCGAAAGCCTCCTATCTGTAAAAAACCTTCACTCTGAAATCCGTTGGTCCTATGTGCTCGCAGGAGGTAAGTCATTTGTAAAATTATCATCGTATGTTTAGGTACGATGTATTCACCATTTTATTAGATCTAAACACAACGCCTACCGACCCAACGTATCCATCACTAACAGACAATCCGCTAACCCCCATACAAGAAGCATGGCTGGAATGGTCTCGGCGAGAGATCGCAGAGGGCGAAGAGATGATAGAAGGTGGACCTGATCTGACCCTACCACCACTTAAGCCCTCCAACAGTGATGATACCAAATTGGCAACTGTAGATGAACTACGAAAGATAGTGGGTAACCATTCTGGTCTGAAGAGTGTATATAGCCAGTATGGGAAAATAGATGCAGAGGACATACAGCATTATGGCGAACCGAAGTTTACACATTATGGCACATACTTTAAAGGCACACTAGATTATATATTTTTGCCAGCAAATGGAAATTTAGAATGTAGAGGTCTTTCACCACTACCAAAGGAGGCGGAAATGGAGCCTGGTCTACCGAACGCCGTTTTTGGTAGCGATCATGTACCACTATGTTGCCAGTTGCATCTACTTGAATAAATTTCAACAAGTTATAGAAGCGTGAAGGATATCTCTTTGAAACCGACGCCATTGGATATGCATATTCACTCAATTTAAGCTAACTTTTGATGCTACATTGGTAGCTAGTAGTAGAAATCATTTGTGTTTTTGAGATGCATCCTGTCCAAACTAAACTATCATTTATGGTGCATTCTACAGTGGTTCTCAGATAGACAATATATAAAGTTGGTTGGTCTGAGACTCATTGGCCGCACATTTCCAGTGGGGAACCAAAAATCAATTCCGACGGGTCTGAAAAATTTTGGAACTCCTGGACTTATGATCGAGTATCCAGTGCATCGGACTGACTCTCTCTCTTTTACTTCCAGCATGGCTGCCGTCTCACAGATTTCCAAGAAGAGAAAGGTATGGACATCGATGACAGATGCTTGGATGGATGCAACCGATACGCCGATGGATTATCGATCGATACAGTCGAAAAAGTTCATTCAGGCTATTCAATGGTAGCAACATTCAAATTCAGTAGTGATTGAAAATTTCTAATGCCATGGTCTCTTTTTCTTTTTTCTGCAAACTCTTCTGCGCCAATCAACAAACTTGTTTCAACATTCGTCTCTGCCATCGAACTCATTGTCATTGATTTAGTTCGTAAGTAGCCCCATGATCAATTATTGAATTCTCATGTTACATTTGGGATGGTTGATGTTAACATTGTATAATTTCACTAGGTCGCTGACGGTGTCTTCTACGCCGAACTCAACGAGTTCTTCACTCGTGAGCTCTCCGAAGATGGTTACTCTGGTGTCGAGGTCCGTGTCACCCCTGCCCGCACCGAGTAAGTTGTTACATTGATCAACTTGGAATAACATTACAACCAACGACTGGAAATACTGACTTCAATACGCAACTTTCCTCCTTTTCAATTTTTTTTTTCTTTCCTCAGAGTCATCATTCGTGCCACCCACACCCAAAACGTTCTTGGTGAGAAGGGTCGCCGTATCCGCGAGTTGACCTCCCTCGTCCAGAAGCGTTTCAAGTTCCCCGAGAACACCGTCGAGCTCTATGCTGAGCGCGTCCAAAACCGTGGTCTTTGCGCTATTGCTCAGTGCGAGTCCGTCAAGTTCAAGCTTCTCAACGGTTTAGCTGTTCGTCGGTAAGTTGGTTTTTTTATACTATGGCAGGTTTATCAAAACCCAAAACAATCAAGGGGTTCTTCAGTAGGCTAAACTATCGATTTTACTGTTTTATAGTGCCTGTTATGGTGTCCTTCGCTTCATCATGGAGTCTGGTGCCAAGGGTTGCGAAGTTGTTGTCTCTGGCAAGCTCCGTGCTGCTCGTGCCAAGTCCATGAAGTTCACTGACGGTTTCATGATCCACTCCGGTCAACCCACTCGCGACTTCATCGATACTGCTGTTCGCCACGTCCTTCTTCGCCAAGGTGTCCTTGGTATCAAGGTCAAGATCATGCTCGACTGGGATCCCACTGGCAGAGCCGGTCCCAAGAACAACCTCCCTGATATCGTCAGCATCCTTGAGCCCAAGGAGGAGGCTGCTATCACTGAGCCCATCTCCCAGGACTTCAGCAAGCCCGCTGCTCCCGCTGCTGCTGAGCCCGTTGCTGCACAATAAATCATTTTTATTTTGTCGCAAAGAAAAAAGAAATAAAAATCAATTCACTTTTGTAACCATCAAGGAGAAAAATTGAACTACAATATTGGGGATTTCCTCCTTGCAGCCCACATGACATGACTGGGGTTCCAGTTATCTGACTCGGTCATTGTAGGTGATTTAATCACCAGGCAATCAGCCGTTACTTAACCTGTGTACCTTTTTTTTTAACAAGAAACCTTTTTATTCTTTACTGTCTGTCCGATGCGTGAAGCGTTTGCCCGTCAGTCCGCTGTTGACCTTTGTGATTCAACTGACTCTAGTCGACGAAACAGCGAAGAGATTTTTGACGGTCCATACTACAGCACCATAGACGACTTATCTAGTGATGGTGACTATTTCTCTCCGACGGAAGCCTCCCCTACCGTCATCCAGCTCAACCAAGAAGTCCATATTGATCAGAGCCGGCTTCTTCCGTCCGCCTCCACCTCCTCCACCCAAGAAGACGCTTCTTATGAGGCTAAGGAGACTAAAGACCCCACCACCATCGGGCAAACGGCCGGCCAAACCGAAGCCAAAACCACCCCGCCCCACCCACAACAAAAAGAAGCAGCACAAGAAGAAGAAAAAGAGGCCTCAGTATCAGTATTATTATCGCCCTCATCCATGTGCGATGGTCTTTTGCGGATGCGTGAGGATCTACTGGTGGGCAGCGACAACTTGCCTAATGTCAATATTTGCCGGCTTGACGACTTGCGCGAGACAATCGCTCGGTTGCGGAAGGAGACGCAGGTATTGGAGGAGACGGACATGATTTTGAAGACAAAGATTGCTTATGTGGCTGATCGGCGAGTACGAGTCAGACAAGATATTTTAGAAGATATGGCTAGCTGGGAGTTTGTATAATGAATGGGATATTTGGAGTTTTTTTTTAATAGGATGGGCGCTTGTATACAGTAGTGTAGTTAGTGTACTTTTAGTTTTTCTCTCAAATATGACACATTATTTGAAATTATATAATATGCCACCTTCAGAATCAGTAAACAACCGCTGTGAGTTGCATGTATGATAGAGAAAGATTCCACAACCCTGTATGAACCAAGAGAAGTAAGGTGACCAAGTTTTTGGCCATCGCATTGTCATTTTGCATGCTACCTTGGTCACTTTGGAGAGAGCTCATTAAGTGAGGATTCACATATTCTTCAGAGTCGATGGCATCAATCCACCTGTCAGGCTGATGTTTACTACGTGATTTGTATTTTTTCTGAAGTCGACACTCTCTCCTATGACCTTTTAAATGATGATAGCAAATTTCAGTCATGGGGGCATATATTTACAAGTCATCCACCGAATGGAGTATTTACCAGAAGACACCGTAAGGTGCTTTAACGGCCAAATTTCCTTCTTTGATGGCCTGCGTCGTTTCTTTAGGACGCGTGGCTCCTTATGATGTGAGACCTCTTTTTCCTGTGACGTTTCTACCTCTTCGCCACAGGACCTCTTTGATGGTACAGTTGCGCACGTTTGTAACACATGGGCTATAAATTTAAATCCTTCGTTAGTGCGGTACAGCAGTTGATATCACGTTATCGGTTTATAGCTTCACCTTGCACATGATGACGAGGTGAAAGCCTTTCCAATAAAGAGTGTTGTGTTTCCGCTATGAACAGTCATGATGAGTATGGTCGCTTCAATATATTGAAGTCGTTGGGATGTAGATATCTTACACTGTATTATTTTGATAAACGAGTTTCCGCTTGCCATTGTACGGTTTTCGGCCGTACGGAACTTGGCTAGAGAAGATAGCGATATAAGAATACGTTGTGCTTAATATGTGCAAAGATGTCAAGAACTGCTACCTAAGGGTGTTCTGTTGTGTTCTGCATGATGAAAATTTAGCCTATGTTTGCCATTTATACTTTCAAAAGCCAAATGTATTACCAATGATGCTAGCCGCCAGGCCCACACCTCCGCAGAGGATGATCCAAGTAGCGCACTGCTTAAAGCATACATGAGCTGCTGAAGCGAGAACTGGAGTCCGTATCGTGTCTATCATTGCAGTAGTTTAAAGATCGTTGCACGAGGTCAAGCAGCTCATGTCAGATATATGATAATTTTTATCCATTGTCCAAAAGACAAAACTTATTTTTGAGTTTATTAAATTTTAATTTTCGTCAAGAGGTATTTAACCAACCAGCTGGCGGTATAGTAATTGCAAGTCTTTCCTGACATTATCGTCTTGATCAAGTCGACCAAAAATAGATGATAGGAATCGTTGTGTTCGATAGGCTGTTTGCATGTCCTTTGCGTGCTCGTGCTTTGCTTCCATTTCCGATGCTTTTTGATGTGCCACATCCAAAATCGACTTGGGTAGATTCGCGAGGCGCGCCACATTCAATCTAATAGAATTAAAATTGATACCGTCAGTTTCTAAACAGCTGCTAAATTTGGTGCCGTTCAATCCATAGCATGTAAATGCTTACCCATAACTACGCATCGCCACCCCATTCGTCAGCTTGTACAAAAATGTAAGCGTAGAATGATCATCTGGTGAAAATATCAGTAATTCATCGTTATCTCAAACAATTCAATCCCCAATAGCAATCTTTTTTTTATAAAAAAAATTACCATCTTCCTTGTTTTCGATAAATGCCATATGACAGTTTTTGGCGTGTTCAGAATGTTCATTGACAAGTTCGGCCAGAGATGGATAATGCGTCACAAAGATCGTTATAGATTGAATCTTTAGGAGTGCACATTAGTAAATCATTCATAATATATCAATTTTGTGCACACATACCTTCGTTATGAAATGTTGGAGTACAGCGTAGGCTATAGCGACACCGTCGTGAGTGCTCGTTCCTCTTCCCAGTTCATCCAATATGACAAGCGATCTAGCCGTCGCTTGCTTCATAATGTCCGACGTTTCATGTAGCTCTATCATGAAAGTACTCTCTCCAGTCTGAAGATTATCCAATGCACCCATTCTATACAATGCAAAGTTATGCACCAACTTCATGTATGCACGTTGCTATTCAGTTTCTTACCTTGTGTACACTGCATCTAGAATGCCCAATCGCGCTGAATCTGCAGGAACGTATGAACCGATTTGACCCATGATTGCTATCAAAGCAACTTGTCGAATATAGGAACTTTTTCCTTTAGCACGAAACGTGTTAGGCGAACTGCATATTTTGTTCCAATCCTAACATACTAGAGTCTTACCTCCCATATTCGGACCAGTGAGAACCATGGTCCTGGACGCATCAGACTACGGTGAATCAAATGATTAAAGTTAACAGTAAGCAAAAATTGAGCGTATAATTATAAACTGCTCACGTCAAACTCCACGTCATTGGGTACAAATCCGCCTGCGAGCAGTTGCTCGACCATGGGATGTCGACCGTTTTCCACCTTCATCATCAGATGATCAACATATTCGGGCTTGCAATAACCAGGCTGAATGGCAACCGTTGCAAGAGATAAAAGGCAATCAAGCTGAGCAAGCCTCTGAACGACATCACGGAAAAGCTCATATCTTTCGGACACTTGATGTAGATAGTCCTGGTAAGCCTTTTGCGAAGCTATCTTCAATCTATCGCGATACTGCTCTTTTTCTTTCGCCTTTGCAATGATGAACGGCGTATGAAATCTCGAAACTGCCTTTGTACCGCTAATCTTGATCCAATTTTGAGGGACTTTCTTAAGCTCAGTATTCTTCACTTCTACCAAATACTGTACAGTATAAATGTTAGATTAGGCTATTGATAAGTGTATGTCTACATATCTCGATCGCGTCGCGCGAGACTTACCTCGATACCAGCAACTGTAACATATTGAGTTGTTGAGTTTCGTAAAATCTTCCGTAACTCCTTAAGATACTCCTGAAATTCTTTTTCTGTGTCGTTTATTCTCTGCCACCATCCAATGTAAGCTGATGCAATGTACGTAAATCTTATGGCTGAAGCAATCTGTACTTACCAGTTTATATTCACTTATCTCCTGCCAAGGTTCATCAGACTGAAAGAGATTGGTGACATCGTTTCCTCGTTCAACAGCAGTGACGTCCAGCATTGACTTCAATGTAACTACTTCCTCCAGAATAAGAGGCAGGCAATCGAAAATGGTATTGAGAAGGGATGAACGAAACTTAATGTCTGCCACTGGGGCAGCTTGGTGAAAAAGCTCTGCTACTTTTTCCAACGCATTCAGAACCTGCAACAATTCAGACGGTGACGACTGACGATTTTTTTTTAGTCATATTGATACACTCTTGCATAAAAATTCGGAAGGAAAGGCTTACTTTTCCATAGTGAATGCGGCACAATCCTTTCTCCAAATCAGGGAGATGCTTTAAAAGACTTCGTACTTTTGGGACCTTTGGATTATCGGTAGATATCAATTCTTCCACAGCATTTGTTCTTTCTTCTAATAGCCTACAAGACATTTAAATCGTTCAGTACAGTTCTTTATGGCCACTATCATAGTCAAAACTGCCTACCCTTTGTTGATCAGTGGTCTACCAACCCATCGCTTTAGTAGCCTTTTTCCAAAAGATGTATTGGTATGATTCAATATCCAAAATAGCGAATGCTTTTCTCCATAATTCGTTGAATTGCGGTATATTTCCAAATTGGCCATGGTATTAGCGTTCAGGGTCATATGAGATTTCGAAGAGAAGTGGTTAAAGTACTTTGTAAGCTTGAAAACGTGGTCGAGTTGAAAATCCGTGAGATACTTGACAGTAAGTGCCAGACTTTTACTGCAAAAGGGCATTTAGAATTGGCGTTTCGGTCACATCTAATCACTACCGCAACTTACATAATGACATCTGGAAGCCTTAGAATCTCAGCGAATAGCGTCTCGGACTTTACACCACCTTGAGAGCTCGACTGGCTGCCAACAGTATTTGCATAGAAATCAGATACATAAGTGAATGCAGCATTGTAGTCAGTGGCGAAGACCATATCCTTTGGTACTCTTTCCACACGCACATTATCGCCAAAGGCTGTCGTTCTGATAAATAGATATTAGCGGCTATATTGGTCGTCTCGAGTAACGATAGTAATTACCTTTGCAAAGCAATATGATGGATTAGCTTCTCTGTCGGTCGGCTTAAGGTTGCTGGCAGCAGTAATTCGCATGGCTGAATGTGCAAAACTCTTGTCTCCAGTTCACTTCGCATATACGTGTCTTCAAATGAGTCATAGACGATATCGCCAGTAGCCGGTTGCACCGCCTTCATGCCAAACTCAGTATAAAAGTACGGTAGCTGCAAAGATTGCTTTTGAAACTTACCACAATTCCCACTCGAACTCTTTCATCGGGACCTCCGCCTCCGCGGTTTTCTTCTACTATGCACATAAGATAGTTTGAGCCCGAGCCAGGTGATGTTCCAGAATCCTCGTCTATATCAGCTGCAGCCATTTCCTCTACAAAGGTTCCTTTTGTGTACAAGTTCTTAAGCTCCCTCAGAAATGGTCCTTGCTTGTTATCGCCTACTGCTTTGAGTGCAGCAGTTTCGGTCTGCCTCACTACACCGACTTTATAGCCAGCATTGACAAGCCTATGGCTCTATATTAGCAATGTGTGTCCGATCAGCACTGCCCTGGAATATTGGCTTACCTTCGCACGTGGAATGGGAGGCGATGTGTGGGTATACTGGCACAATAAAAATTATGGTCCATATAGTGGGCAATGTTGAGAATTTTCGAAGCCGTCTGTTGCATGATTGTTAACAAATGACCAAGTGGATAAAGTAAAGTTCCTTCTAGGATGGTCGCAACAATACCTTGGCATCCTCTCCAAAAAATTTGTATTTGTATCCAACTTCAATAACCAGTAGTACCCCGGGATACTTTTCCTTCAATTCAACAACTTGGATTTCCAGAGGGGTATAGTTCGTTTTTACCTTATGTTTCAAAACTTGGGTATCTGGCTGGATCACTTCATTGGCAGTAAAATCATTCGCCTTGAACTTTTTGACAGGCCGATTTTCTGCGGCGTCTCCAAATTTTGCCACAAAGCGTTGGTGAAGGTCTTCCTGTTCCTTTGTTCTCTTTGAGCTCGATTCTATAACCTCATTCTCTGAGTAAGAGAACTTGTTTGCAAGCTTGGTGTGCTGTGTTGGTGTTGACTCCTGAACAAAAAACGGGGAGGCAGGTGTATCGTGAAGGGACGAGTCTACGTCGCGTTGAAAATAAATAAATGAAGCTGAAATCGTCTCACTGCCACAATTACCACTAACCTGAAGGTGGATCTCGGCGAGGTTGAAAGGACGGTTGAGCTGGCTTGAAGAATGAGCTTAAGCTCGTCTGCTTTGACTTCATGGAAAGAACAGAGAAAAGGCAGTCAACCACAAGACGGGCATTTTGTATTCCGCTTTCTGAGTCCCCCACTTGACTCTTTCACCATGCAGAAAGGTAAGCTTAGCATTTGAAGACTGTTGCGTAATTAATACCAATAGCTGACAGCTAGAAACGTATAATAGGTCGTAAACGACGTATCTCGGACGATGAGGATATGACGCTGGCTCCCTCCGCAGCAGATCCCACATTTCAGTTTGGGAAGACTCTTCAGTCTAATCTACGAACCGACATGAAAGCCAAGACAGCAGAAAATAGCAGCAAAAGGACGAAAACAGATATGACGAATCACCTTTCTGTCAGAAAATTACTAGGTAATGCTTAGGAACGCTTTACTGGGACGACAACAGTAAGAGGCTCATTGATTGAACTATTCTCGCTTCTGATTGTAGACACACTGGATAAAACGACGCTGGTTGACCTCGTTAACGGATTGATAGACTCATACCCTAGTTTACAGCCAGAGATCGAAAAAAACATTCCTGCACCAACTCTCCAGTCTGTATCACAAGCCATCAATGATTTAGAGTACAAACTATCCGAAAGTTTCCCATATAGCAGATCTGGACCAATGCGCGATGATTACAGCTACAATCGAGTTAAAGGACACCTCATGGATTTGGTGGTAAGGATATATTTTTGCTTGTATCGTTGATTCGACTTTACTGACGGCTTGTATAGAACGCTTTACAAGAATACGCTGATCATTTTACGACATCAAGTGACTTTCCCACTACTACCTTTTCCTATCTTCACTTTGCAACCCTGGTCGCTGAACGATTACCATCTTGGAGTAATCCAAGTAAGTGGAATATTACTCAATGGCGCATACAACATCGTACTGATACTTTGCCACACTTAGCGCACAATAATATACAACGCAACCTATATCTTGACCTTGTGAAATACTGGATGAAAGCCATAGAACAGGCAACCTCTAAGATTGCCGAAGGGAAAATATATGGAGAGCAAGTCGTTACAGAATGGGCTAAAAAGTAAGTCAACGGCGTTGTCATGCAGACTCGAAACCCCTTCATGTCTTGACTAACTGGGTATGATTCATCTGTTACAGCTTGATGCAACATAATAACGCTACCAATGGACTATTTAGCGAAGCTATAGACCTCTTTGCCAACAGTTTGGGCTGGATTATTGGCTTTTCATCACCCAGTGAACGGTCATCAGCAGCACTACAATCTTTTTCAATCGTTTCTCCGACGACCACCGCGATTAGCCATCGGTGGTAAAGACGTGCGTGCTTTGCCAAATTTTTATTTTTTCTTGCCCTTTGTACATAATACTCTCTGCGATCCCCCCATTGACAGTCGTATCCCTACTTTTTTCTTACCTTATACTGCATTAAATATCTCGCCAGCAAGTTTTTCATATGGATTCTCAATTTAAGATTCACCAAATTACCGAATTATATTCACAGAAGCCCATACATTTCCAAATAACAGAAATGAACAAGTCATTCATGATCTGGGTGGGTCGGCCGCAAGATGGCCTCGCCGATCTGTCTATTGCTATGCCTGCCATGAACAAGGTGAGTGTGGGGGGTATGATCGTGGGGGTATTTACGTGGTATACGGTGCTTACGCTGCGGCAGAACACGCCACCACCAGCATCCAACTTGATCACTCAGGATATGTCGGACGTCAGCGTGGATCTCGGCCGACGTTTAGGTAAGCAAGCTGTTTCAAATATCTGTCGAGCCATCTTTTCTTTTCATTGTCTAATCGAGTACCCCTTACATAGCACTTCGTTATGGCCAGCAGTTTATCGTTAGCATAAATGTACCTAGCGACGATCAAATGATGATGGCATTTGTAGAAAAGAAAATTACAACATTATTGAAGGATATCATTGTAAACTAAAGCTGGATGTAGAGACATAAATCAAGAGTATACCATATTTTTCATTTCATTGAAGACATCGATAGATTGGCAATTTATCAATGAGGGGCAATTCTTAAGCAACGTGGATCAAACGTGCAAGTTCTTTTTATTGAAAGGAAACCAAGTGGCTGTAATTGAAGAAATGATTTGGTCAGAGTAACCACAGTACAAGGCTTCTACTATTGTGTCGAAAAGTGTGTTTGACTAACTACGTTCCATTTCCATCCCTCTTTATGCATGGATCTATAAAATTTGAAAAATTGCCTTTTGGTGGTTGAATAGGCTTTCAGTATGTAGTTTTGATCAAGTAATGAAAATGATAAGAAACAAAGGGAAAGGAAGAAAAGGTAAAAAGCGAAGGAAAAGAGAATATAAGTATCTACAAAACAGCATTTATATAATGGAAGCAGAAAAAAAAAAAACGTTCGCCTTGGGGATTATTCAAAGATTACTTTTTCATGGTAGCGTGTGGTGACGGGTTTGCCTGCCTTTTTTTTTTTTTTTGTAAAGAGGCAGGGATGGAGGCGCATGCAAGTTTGGCGTGTATGATTTCCCTTAATGTTTAGTTATCTACAAATGGCTCGTCGCCGATAGTATTGATGATATCTTCAACAAGACGGCGATATTGAATAGTATCTTGTAGATTGGCTTTAACAAGAGCATTGCGAGCGATACGAGCTACATGCTGACGTCCATCTTGATTGACATGGACGCTGGTCATGATCTTCTGAACGAACGGAACTCCTTGTGCCGTATCGGCAAGAATGCTTTCCATGGATTCGCATACTCCCTCTATAATGGCTTGTTGTGTTTCAAGATCCTCCTGCTGGTTGATCATTTTGTATAAGACGCTAGATGCAATTTTTTGAACGGCCAAATGACGCAGGTGAGGTAACACTTGAGGTAAAAGGACCTTGAAGTGACCAGGCGACTCCAATGTATCCAACAACCAGTTGAGAAGAAGAACACCGTTAGGGTTTATAATTAGAAGAGGAGCATTTTGCACAATCGCAGCAGCGGCATATTTGCGTTGCCAATCACTGGTGTACTGACTCTCCAATGTTGCCCTAACGGCTCTGGCTCCAAATCTTCCCTGAGCGATTTCCCAGCAACGGTCAACGATGGCGTCATAAATGAATTGGTTGCGTCCCGATCCAAGCGGTAAACAACATTGGACGACATAGTTGCCAAATTGATCGAGGAATAAGGCTGGCACATACTTTGCCAAGTGGTGACAAATAAGAGCAATCTGGAATGAAGGAGAAATGTATGAATATGGAGGCATAACATAGTCTTTCAGACGTAGAGAGAAAGTAAAAACAAAGATGTACCTGTTTGTCAGTCGTAGACTTGTCAATGATCTTTTGAGCAGCCCAAGTACCATTTTTATGAACACCGATGGAAGCCAAGTAGGGAGCCACTTTTTCCAACATAGCGTCCTTGATCTCGCTACTGCATCGTTCATACAATTTTTGTATGACAGTGTTGCCAATGTGATCTTAAGCGAAAGATGCATGAGTTTATCGCTTGCCATGTGACCGGTTCAGCAACATTCAATGACTTACCACTACACAGTTCAACAACATCCGGTAGGCATTCTAAACCCATAGCTTCAATCTCGTCTTGCGAGTAATTACCGCTATCCAGACGTTTTCTCATTTCACGTAGACGGGCAGTTTCCAGTTTTCTACCTGTGGCAGTTTCGGATACAGCAGGGATACTGGCAGCATAATTGATGACAGCTCGTTCTGTACAACAGTGTTAATAAAATAAAATAAAAATGGTCCAAAGCGTGAACCACGAAACATAATGGTACACCATTATGGGAGTAAACGATGCTTTACCTTCAAAAACAGGTTCTTCGGCGCTATCGTCTAAATCCTTGAAAATCTTCTTGCGCTCCTGAATGGCATTGGCAGTCAAAGCAGCACTATTAGCACCAGCCATCTCAGCCATCAGCATGACCATAAGCATTTGTGCTTGATAGGCGTCATTGGGTTGGTTGCCACTTTCACCAGCTTGCCATGGAGATTTCTGACTGACATCTTCCAAAGCAGCGTTCTCCATGACAGGTGAAGGTGAGCCGTTGGTAGACTTCGTTGGCACCTTTGCATAACCGACACGAACAGCGCCAGTACCAGGACCCATAATCTCAACATTGTGCAAAGCCTTCTTGGCTCTGATAGCATCGTCTTGCGAATCGAAGTTGACAAAACCGCAGTTTTTATGAGCCAGAATACGAGCTGATTCGATGACGCCAAAGGTGGAAAACACCGTACGAAGCATGGTTGCGGTTGTACTGGAGGGTAGATTGCCAATCCCTAAAAAGTAAAGAGAAACATGTGAGTACGATTTCTGCATTGGGTAAAATCTCGATTGCGACCTAGCTAAATTGCTTGTTTCCATTGTTCAACTTACACAAAGCACGAGTAGGACCTTGTACAGTATTGTTCATGTCATTGTTGGATGAAGCAGCCGTGGCCACTTCAGGTTTTCCAAATCCAACTTTTACGAAAGATCCTCCAAGACTACTGGCCAAGCTTGAGCCAAAATCGTCTTTGGCTCTCAGAGCATCATCCAAATTGACAAAGTTAACAAAGGCGCATTCTTTGTCAGGCAGTACGCGAGCACTTTCGATAGGTCCGTAGGGAGAAAAAATTTGCATCAACTCGGGCACAGTGAGAGCTGGATCCACGTTACCAAACCAGAGAGACCGTGTGGGGGTTTGAGCTGACAACGGTTGTGTAGCACCAGTCGTCTCAAAAAGACGGTTGTTGTGGTACAACTCCTCGGTCCATTGATCGGCGAGGTCATTCCGAATGGGCAAGAAACGGTCAGAGGAGCTAAATTCGTGGTGATGAGCGGAGGCCAAGTTAGAGAGGTTTCCAGAGCTGGTAGATCCACGTAAGTTTCTTTGCCTGGCCATATCAGTTGGCCAGAACGATCCGGGATTCATCACCGGGTCCCGGTTTGGTGTAACCGTAGGACCTTCAATGGTGGCATCTGCCATGCCAAGACTGATAGCGCGGGGTCGATTCGAAGTCGGAGCAAATGGCTGGAATCTTGAGGGAGCAGAGGGTTGCGACGTTGGCAGGTAAATCTCTGGGTGCGAAGACAGCTGCGGTTTGGCTGATGTGGTGTAGGCACGACTCCTCATGGTGTTTTGATGATTCATTAATATATGATGGGGGTTCAAACCGTCCGAGTTCATTGTGTTCGGCCTTGCTTGAAGAGTAGCGTGATGATAACCACCGGAGGGTAATGAATCGTTCGATCTCATATCCTTATCGTCATCCAAACCCAATGTTGCCATTGTACTCGCGATGGTTCCCGAGCGCTCTTCATCCAAGATATCACTAGAAGGAGACTGCAATGATGGAACGAAGCCCATAGAAGCATCAATGTCCATCCATGCGGATCGAAACATAGACGAGCCAAGCGGTGACGAATGGGTCACAGAGCCCGAACGTTGTCTTGAACTAACAGGGATGGCTGGTCTGCTAGGATTAAAGTCAAGGTTGGTCGGAGTATAAGGGAAAGCTGTCGACTGTGAAGGCATTGTGTCCGCCCGAGGGCGTCTACCAGAAGCGGTAGGCTCCATGGGAAGCTGCGGGGCAATATCAAAGGGTCGCTTGAAGTACGACATATTGGATGGCTTCTCGGGTATGCTTGGAAAGGCATTGGCCATTGAAACCTTCCTTAAATCTTCCTGATCACCAAGATCGTCCATTTTTCTTATTGTAATGGAAAAAAAAAGTGCTGTCAGCCGAGCCGAACATGGCAGTAGGGTCAAGTGACATAGTGCTTACCTCAAAGCATTCACGTTTTGACTTGAATACTTTATTGCTCCTTAACCTATAATATCAATACCTTTCCCGAGCAAATGGGAGGTATCGCAGGAGAATGAGTAAAGACTGTGTGTCCAACAACTTTGAGTCTGGAACGTCATCATAATCCACGACTGCAGAAAAAAATAATCATCGGGGTTCTAAAATTTTAGAAGCTTGAGATGCAAAGCAAGTCCAATCCATGGGGGCCCAACAAAATCCAAACACAGCAGCAGTTGGGGGATCTTGAGCGTGTTCAGCATGGATGATATGATCCTCTTTCAGATAGTCTTTGAAAAGATGACTGTCGAAGCAGTGGGCTCAACTTCATCCTGAGGTTAATAAAGAATTAAAGTTAGGCCCCAAGTAAACAAAGTGCGTGGTGGTGCTGGTGCCAAGGTGTTGTTGATGATGGGACCATTTTTGGGGCTCAATGTTATTGTTCTAGAGTGATATTCAAATCTTCATTCACGCAGAGCAATGTGGTATCCAAAATTAGACAAAGAGCTGGGTCCGTGGAATGATTTTTGTATATCGAAAAGGGGGAAAGAAATTCGTTTGAGCATGATTTTGAGGGCTTCTTAGCAAGCAACACGCTTTGCTTGCATTATTTTTGACAACGGAAAAAGGTTTGCTTTGCTGGTTGGAAGCCAGCACTGTATAAAAGTGACTCGATGACGGTCATCGATTGAATATCTTTCATTTCAAGTAACATTGAACGAGGTCAAAAAGACAGTGGAAAAAAAAAAAGCGTTCCAGCCCTTTGCAAGAACTCATTGGATCGTTTTGTCTCCGTCAACTTTCTAGCCTCATCACTTTATTAAAGCAAATTCCTTGGCTAGCCAGCTTTTCCTTTTTTCTCTTCGATATTGATAATGAGACGAATCACTCCACTGATGTTGATATTACTCTCATCCTCTGCCTTGGGGGCTCCCCAAATACTATCTCATCTATTAGACATTTCTGATTCAATGACCAACAGCATCACTACGCCAACACCAACATCTCATACGGCTGATTCTTCTGCTGCTGCAGCTGCTACTACTACTACACAACCGGCTGTCAACACACCCACGCCATCACCCGTAACTACATCCAAGGAAGCAAAAAATCCTACGACAACCAGCTCTACTCAAGGTGACAATCATCATGGAAGTCAGGACACTCCACCGGATTCCTCATCCGCCATAGCTACAAGCTATCAAATCACACTACCTGCATCTACTGTGGTCGCTTGGAGTACAAATGCTGCCGGTGAAGTGTTTAGTACACAATCCGTTGTTCCCCCAAGTGTATCCGTTGTGGTCAGCACCATCTATTCATCGAGCGCTTCTACTACTTCTCCAGTAGCCCCTGCAGATTCTCAGCCATCTTCTAGTACACCTTCCACGGGCGTCATCATTGGTTCTGTGTGTGCTTTCTTGGCTATCCTAATTGCTGGCGGAGTCTATGCTTTCTTCTGGAAAACACGACGTCCTTCCAATCGTCAAATGGCTCGGTTGTATGGTGGAGAGCAAGGTATTATGCAGGACGATGACGAAGCTTCAAGCAAGATGTTGAGCGACGATCGACCAAAATATAGAACTGGGCCTGCTCCGTATTATTCCTACGCTCAGGATCCTCCAGTGATGTCGAGCCCAGCTATGGCTGAGCCCCGTGTTTCCATGCCACCGCGAGGATATGTGTCTCCCGAATTATCTAGCCAACGTATACCCATCTTCCAGCGACCAAATGAAAAATAGAAATCTTCCATACAGAACCTCCGTCTGTATGGTCTGAAGCCAAGCGGCATACAGACGCTCTCCCCTTGAAACATAAGCATCTCCCCTCATCTCTAGACCTTTCTTTCTCAGATTTCTTTTATTACCATAATAAACATTGAAACATCAGAATGCATGTATTTACAGATTTTTTGGTTTCTATTACACAATCTCCAGAAATTCCTGGGGCTTTAAATGGAAAGTGCTCCAGAACTCATCAGAATTCAGCCGAGGTTTAACACCCCCTTTGTGCACGATTTCCTCTAATGTACCCTTGTCTCCAATGGCTTCACGGCAATCAGGGTCATTATGCCGCAGATCTTCTATAGTATCGATCTGTTCTTTTGATCCCCATACCAGAAACATTTTCATCCAGTCGGTGGCAGTTTGATCACTGATCAACCAACGCTCGCCTGGTGTAAACTGGCCATGTACTGCAAAAATAGCTCGCGCGACGTCTTTTCCATGAATGAGATGGAGCTGACGAGTAAGGATCTTCCCCTTGATAGATTCAGGCTTATTCATCCGTGGCATCCAATTCTTAGGTTGTCTAAAATATAATGCGTTAGCCCTAGGTAAAAAGAAACCGTGATCACAACCCATAAAGGGATGCCAGCCCTGCTAAACATTACCTCTGACCACCCCAAAGTCCGCATAAATGCAGTACTGTTCCTTTCTTTTGAATAACAACGTGTTCTGCAGGAAGTCTACCAGTATCGAGGGATGGATCCAAAGGTGTGTGACGGTCGCTGGGGTCGGCGGAGAAGACACGTGTTGAAGACAATAGAATCCAATGCGATGGCCCTTTCTTACTTGTGTACTCATCTATTAATTGGCTCATAGTATTTGCGCTCAAAACAGGGAAGGTCACCAGAACAGTTTGCGCCCACGGTAAGTTAGAGACGTCGGGAGTGTCTGTCAAAGTCCAAGGAATAGTGCCATTACGGCCATCACGCGTAGTGGCAGCAAATGAGACTTTTTGGTCCAAGAGAAGGTCTTGCAAAAACTGACCAGTCCAACCTAAGCCAAGGATCAGCACCTGAATAGATCCTGCAAATGATAATTGCTGCATGGGTTGGTAGTACGGGGATCGCTTGGGTTGTCTCGGATTTGGAAAGGCAATCGATTGAGCGTACCGAAATTTTCAAATTACGCAAGTCACATGATTGGTATCCTTGGAATGCGGCCGCACAGGGAAGAAATTTCCTGGGAGAGGGTGGCTTAGGTCCAAAAGGCTTCCGAAGCACCCTAGTCGACAGACTAGATGCATAAACATTTAATTTATATTATAGCTTCCTGTATCTTGTTTTTCTGTTTCTTTCAGAGTCCATTTGATGCGGTTGTGTCTCCAGACCTTAACGCTGTGATCAGAGATAGGAAACATTCTTTATGAAGGCATCCGCCGCGGGAACGATTTGCCCCAAAATGAAGTTTAACAGCAGCCAATCAGCTTGGGGTTCGGGAGGGAGCCAGAAACCCTCTCTCACACTGTCACTGAAAAAATTCTTTTCGAGCTGAACTCGTTTCTTTTCACCCTTTCTTTCCGTCACCATGCTTCGCTCAACCGCATCTCGCTTGTTGGCTAACGTCCGAGTCGCCCCTAAGGCCTTTGCTCCTGCCGTATGTATTACATGCCTTCTTCTTATACTACTTGATACGCTTTAACGTCATAGCCCATTAACGCCTACGATGTTTATCCATTTTTTTTTGGTTCCCGTGTTTAGCGTGCTTTCTCTACCACTGCTCCTAGCTTCTTCGCTTCTGCCACCGATGCTTCTGAGAAAGTCAAGATCACCCTCCCAGAGTCTTCTTTCGAGGTTTACAACCTTGAGAAGCCTTCTTTGGAACTAGAGTTCTCCAAGGAAGCGCTGGTCGATATGTACACAAAGATGGTCACCATGCGCAGAATGGAGATGGCTGCTGATGCCCTTTACAAGGCCAAGCAAATCCGTGGTTTCTGCCACTTGTGCACTGGACAGGTACGTAGTCAATCTTTTTTGCTTTTATACAACCGTTCTATTTCCACTTTTTGGTTGTAAACGGGAACGGGATATCGCGGGAACTGACATACAAAAAAAAAAAACCTTTGTACCTTATAGGAAGCTGTCTCTGTCGGTATGGAATCTGCTATCAACTCTAGCGATCAAATCATCACTGCCTACAGATGCCACGGTTTCACCTACGTCCGTGGTGGATCCATCAAGAGCATCATTGGTGAACTTTTGGGTCGTGAATGCGGTATCTCCAAGGGAAAGGGTGGCTCTATGCACATGTTCTCCCCCGCTTTCTATGGTGGTAACGGTATTGTCGGTGCTCAAGTCCCTCTTGGTGCCGGTATTGCTTTCACCCAAAAGTACTTGGACATCCCTGCCGTCACTTTCTCTTTGTACGGTGATGGTGCTTCCAACCAAGGTCAAGTCTTCGAGGCTTACAACATGGCCAAGCTTTGGGATCTTCCCTGCGTCTTTGTTTGCGAGAACAACAAGTATGGTATGGGTACCTCTGCTGCCAGATCTTCTGCTTCTACCCAATACTATACCCGCGCTGGTTACATTCCTGGTATTCAGGTCAACGGAATGGATGTCTTTGCTGTTCACCAAGCCTGCAAGTTTGCCAAGGAATGGACCACTTCTGGCAAGGGTCCTCTTGTCATGGAATTGAACACCTACCGTTATGGTGGTCACTCCATGTCTGACCCCGGTACCACTTACCGTACCCGTGAGGAAATTCAACACATGCGTTCCACCTCCGATCCCATCACCGGTCTCAAGCAACACCTTCTTGACAACAGCGTCGCCTCTGAAGCTGAGCTCAAGGCCATCGATAAGGAAGCCCGCAAGATCGTTGATGAGGCTGTCAAGGAAGCTCAAGCTTCCCCCGAGCCTGACTTGAAGGAGTTCTGGACCGACATCTACCAACCCGGTTCTGAGCCCGTGATGGTTCGTGGCCGTGAACCTGGCGAATCCCACTGGTACTAAATCAAACACTTGGGATATCGTTGATATTCGTTTGATGTAGAAAAAAATCCTTCAAAAGAAAAAAAAAAAATCTAAACAGATACAACCAAAATCTTTCACGCTCAGTAACTATTTGTGGTTCTGTTCTATCCACTTTCTACTCTCTCCCTTATCATTTTTTACGCCATGCTTTTGTACGCTTCTTTTCTCTCTAGACTTGCCGACATCCTGCAACACTTTTACATATTCACCAATAAACTCTCGACACTTGTCAATGAATAATACAATTTAGGAAAACAGTGGGGGGATGTACATTGTATAACAGGATGCTTTTTGATGAGCACTATTTAGTGAATGCGGTTCAATACGGTCTATTACTATGGGTAGGTCGCCCAGTGAGCATTAATCGATTGCCCATTCCTAAAGCCATGGAGAGATGGTCAGGGTGTCTTGAAACGGGGTATCCTGGGGAGTTATTCATGGCAGCATCAGCAGCAATGCTCGCTCTTGCTTGTTGAGCACTCTTTCGCTGGGACGTGCTTGATCTCATCGACATGGTCTGTGTGTAGCCATAATTTCCAGGTGTGCCTTGGTCGCTTAATTCGCCCAACATTTGATCTTCATTGAGCTCCAGCTGCGGTGCAGACGCTCGACCTGTACGGTGCGTTTTTTGGGGTTCTCTGTCCGGCACGGTGACTCCTCTACGGCTTCGCTTTTGCCGTCGCTTCCGTCTATACAATGATAAGATGATAAATGCCTCTAGAAAATAGGAGCCATTCAAAAGGATGGACCTATCGCTTACCTTGTTTCACGCATACGATCCCGCTCTATCTTTTCCACTTCAGGGTCGGTGAGATGTAATATAACAGGAGTGAATTGCACTGACACGTCGTCATTTCTGATACTTTTTTTCACCCGAGGCAGGAAAACTTGCTTCAGTTCATCATCGTCCACAGGTGATCCGTCAAATTCATACCCAGTGAGAAGTAGTGACTTCATATATACGTGAACTTGTTCGCGTATCGAATGTGCAATGGCAGTTCTGGTAACCATAAACCTTGGTCAGTGGATCTCATCAAAAGTATCCATTCATATGTCTGTGTAATGAACTCACTTGAATTCGCCGCCCAAGCCAAGGTCAGTGGCCAGTATGTCAGCAAACTGCTCTGGGGAATTGTTCTGGCTAGCAATATCCCATTCAAATTGATCGATCAACGCACGATTTCCTACTGTGATGTCAAGCTAAATTACAAGCAGATGTCAGTAGATGTTCTCTGATAGCTTCTTTTAAAAAATTACGAGTCTCTTGCCTTAATAACTGTCCGTAGTTCCAGACCCAACGAGGCAGCTTCTTGTAGTTGACGACATGGTGGTGAATTTTCGTTCGATTCTGATATAGTTGGAGCATGGAGATAGTAGTCTTCGGTTTGCTCGCGTATAGCTTTGGCAATATCCGTGGCAAATAAGGGAGCAGGTAGACTTAAATCATCGCACAAAACCGCAGCAAATGCCTCCGGTGTAATGACCGTTTCTGTGAGAACCAAAGCATTTAGTTGAGCTGGGCGGGTACTTGCATAAATTGACATTCATTAGTTTCAAATCTTTCAAGTTACCGTTCAAATTCCAAGTAAATGTGTCGCTCAAGCGATATCCTTCTGCTTCTAAATCAATTCGTATGGGGACCAGCCTTTCTTCCTTCTGATTTTGCTCTCGTGAATATGCGACACCTCTGTGGGGGAACAAAATGGTGGATCAACTGGTATGTCCTACATGCAACCTTCATCAAATTCACACTTACACTCGAAGCTCGCTGCTTTTGAATCGCTTCGGTCTTTGCATTGGATATAAGATTTGGCTTGGTCCGTTGGTTGGGACGTTGCCAGGTCCCCGGTAGCCAGGACCGAAATAATGACTTTGGAGGCGGTGTCGATAGTCTTTTTCGATATTGTACATCTCTATGTCCCCTTTCTTTTGTTTGGCAAGTTGTATATGCTCATTTCGTTGCTTATTAAGAATGTTTTGATATTCTGTGTCTTTTTGAATGTAGTGACCGAGATTTTTCTTTTGAAGTGGCGTTTCAATCGTTATGCTTCTTACAGACGGTGTCAAAATATTTCGTCCAGCAGCATGGCTCGTCGAAGCGGGTGGTAGACTTGAATACGCAGCATATCGAGTATGAATGTCCATTCTTGCATGGGCTGCGAAGTAAAGTGAGTGCGTGGAAATCGCTGTGAACTGCTGATTCACACACTGGAAATCTCGGGCAAAGACAGTCTGAATTTCAGGTCGCTTCAAAAAATATCATGTAATTATATCATTGAAATATTCGCGTCAGGCACCATTGCAGTGCTACCACATTCCTAGGCGCTGATACGGAGAAGCAGTCTCTTAGGGGTGCTGTATATCTTGTGACGCCATGTATTCCATACCCCTTAAAGTCGTGATAGCAATATGAAGAAAATCGCCAGTACCTAGAGGCAAGGCAGGTTGGGTTGTAACGACTATGGCACTAGAATGAGAGTGATAAACCTAGTACTGTGATGCTCGAGCAACCATAGTTCCTCAAGCCAGACTCAAGCCAGATGATCATTTTTTGTAGATATAAACTCGGAAACCCTTGCTCAGCTCTTGATATGTTCACTTTAAAAGATTCACTAGTAATACTTTGTACATTTCTGTTTCTGAGAGCCCGTATGATGACTTGATATAATCAAGAAAGGAATGACATCTGTCGGATGGCCGATCTGATGGCATTGGCAACACTCAGATTGACCCGACATCCAAGATGATGCTTTTTATATTCATTTTTAATTTAAAAAAAAGTGGTGTTGAGACGTTTCCGAAGAAACAATGCCTTCAAACACATAAGTGTTTACGAGTGAGCAGAGCTCAGCAATAATCCGTTCTTCTCTAGAGGGTCTGCCAAATATCTCTCCTTCGTTCGCAAACAAGGATTCGCAAGCTGGCACCTGCGGGGGCCAATTTATAGGGAAAATTTTGTGGTGACGGTCAAAATTCAGTTGCCTTACTTTCTAATATGTGTTTCTAGATCGTTTTTTGTAGTGAAAGATAATATAATGATTTGTTAATTTGGTCCTTCCTATTGGAATGCTTATACAAACCCGATAAGCGACAATTACCAAACTTCAAGTTGGTGGGTTTTTTTAAACAAAAATAAAAGTAAAATAAATTATTAACATCAATTACATACACAAAGTACAGAATTATTTTTTTCAGTGGAGAAAACACAAAAAGGGCTACATCAGAACAAGATACCCTGTTGGTTGGCAAGAAGCCAGTCTTCTGTACTGGTAAATATCATAGACGACAGTAAAGAAATGTCTAAAAGTGATTCAGCCGGTGACCTTGAGGAGGAGGACGACCTTGCATATCTTGCTGTTTGAGGAGCATGCTTTTCACGTATAGACTCCCTCATAGCGGAAAAGTTGGAAAGTGGATGGAGTTTGTAATCGGGAGATATTTGAGGTGCACTACCTCCTGTTGGTTCAGGTGAACTTTCTCGACTAGCGAGGTTAGGACTAACATTTGGTATGGACAAGGGAGATTTTTGGATCAGCTTCTCTACAGCTCCCAGAATTTTTGCGATGCCTGGGATTCGCCTTGTGAGAGCCTGTAGATACATGACGTTATACTCGATGAGCTTTACGGTGGCATCTAACTTTTCGTCTGTAATCCGATCGGCAGCGATATCGGTGGTGTAAACAATTTGTATCCGTGTTGCTTCATGCGCTGCAATTGCGAGACTAGGATCGCCAACTTCTTCCGGCAAATGGTAAAGAGCGTTTTGGAAAATGTTGGATATGTCACACGCATGCTGGTAGCACGCATCTTGTTTCTCGATGATAAAGTCGACCGGCGCAGCAATTTGGATAGCTTCTATGCTGGATGTCTTTGGATAGGATAGGCCAGGCATAACTATTCGGAAAATGTCGCAGTAGCATAGATGATACAAAATTTGTATTAAGAATAGCGGTAGTAGCAGACCTTGTTCCTTTCGGATAAAGATAACAGAAGGCGTGAGAGCAAGGTCCGATGGACAGCTCATTTTCCAAGCCATTAGATCAGAAAGGATGCGCGAAAACTCGGAAGTGGGAAGCCATGGATCTTCATCCTCCATGAATCGCTTGACATATTTCAGAACCCTATTGCGGATATACACAATACGAATCATGTATGCTCGATAATCCATATTACTAGTAGGTGAGATAGGTTGATCGAATATATTGGCAAACTTGAGCGTTTCTCCTGGTGTCACGGTTTCAGTTATGCAGGGTCGTTCAAACAAGAAGTTGTCTTCTGAACAAGGAAGCTGAATTTTGATATCGCTTTCATCTATCAATTGTAATTGCTTGACGCCGGAAGCCGTCGATGAATCCAGAAGATAGCATGCCCACATCAGTCGCCTTCGACATTCTTTCTCAGTGCAGTTCATGGTTGACTCCGAACACAAGACATCAAAGTCGTATTCTAGATTGATTTGTAACGCTTGAGACATGCGAGCTGCCAAGCCAGTTAATAAGAAGCAATTACTTAGTTTGCCAACTCGATTTTCGTGTTCGTGCAGTAGAATGACGGACATTAGATTGCTGATGGATATTGAGTTTGGAGATATCATTAAAAGCTGATGTGCGTGGTTCGCCCATTGATTGCCCATCTCCCATAGCTCTGGCGATTCGGCATGGTTTATTTTTGTTGCCAGAGCACATATTGTGAGTAATAACGTCTTTGCTTCAGCGGTCGATTCGTGACCTTCGTCGAGTCGAAAGATGAATGTTGGTTTGTGAAGAAAACCAAACATTCGAGATGGATATATCTCTGAGAAAAATCTCTCTACCAGCATTCGTACCAATACCTTGTCAGGTAATTGTATTTCAATGGGCGACGAAATTGGAACTCTTATTGCGTGAGTAGAAACGACTTTACTTGATGGGTAGGATTGTGTTCTTCGAGGTGAATTAATACCAATCTGCGTGACATGGTCGGCATTTAAAGTAACTAGAACTTTAGTTCTATTGTTACTAGGCACTTCGCTGTCCGTAAGATTGGGCCGTGTTGGCTGCGAGGTAATGGGTTGTTGTTGTATGTCAACTTGATTACTTGACGGATTAGGTTCATCAAGTGAACTACTAGTTTCAATGCTCGACGATGAGCGACCAGAGCTATTGGCGTAGGTGCATAGCAAATTGTTGTAAACGCACCGGTTGCAAGCCGGTCGACCTCCACTGCATTTTCGTTTTTGATTTCGACACTCAAGGCAACTTCTGATGGTACGTCGACGTACGGTTCCGGCTTTTGTTAAAGTTGACATTGTTTCAGCAGTTAACTCAACTGTATGTACTGGACCGTTTCCTCGTCGGCAAACTTCGTGCAACCGACTGCAATTGCCACATACACCAGAGCGGGTATCGCATTTGACTCTACGAGCCCTACAAGTCAAACAGCCTGATTTAGAACGATGTTTTGGTTCTTTTGTCTGCATCGCGAACCTCTTCACTCCATTGGGTACGGGATGTGAATTTCAAACAGAGTGTGGGGAAAGTCCCAGAGCAAACTTGATAGGTCGCGTGATTTCCATGAAAAATGGTGTGAGCCCGCCACTTCTTACCCAAGCGCTTATTGCCAGGCTAGAGTCATAAGCGATATCCGCATACATCTTTGCTTATGTTTCCTCAATGGCAGTGTAAGTCTGGCTGCAGACTAGGTGAAGGATTGGAAAAGATCTTGAAAACAATTGTTGTGCTGAGGATCATTATCCGACAACTTTCAGGCACAGTTCTCAAAAGCCAATGTGAGAATTTGCGATACTTTTCCACACTTATCCGAGTGCCGGACAATGGATGACCCCCACGCCTGAGCGCGAACTTATATAAGCAAGCACACTTCCCCCAGCGGATGCTAATCATCAATACAGCAAGGCAGCTAAGGACAAGGCTCCATAGTAGAAAATGAAATTACCTGAACAAGCTATGCTCTGGCAGCGACGGCACCTGTTCTCGCCTATGCTGGTTTTCGCAACTCTGTACGTGTCAATGGCAGCATTCAACTTTGGCTACGACACTTCGATCTTTTCCTCGATCCAAGGCATGGCTTCATTTACCAATGAATTTGGATCTTATAGTGATTCCCTTAAGCGTAACACTATACCGCCGTATCTCTCCTCCATCATGAACTCCACTCCTTTCCTCGGCAAGTTGATAGGTACACTGGCGTGTGCTCCGTTGATGGAGAGGTATGGTCGAAAGTCAGCTATCCTTGTCATTGCTGTTCTCAGTATTATTGGATCCCTCCTTCAAACCACTTCGTATAGTGCCGCCCAGTATACTGTCGGTCGAATCTGCTGCTATATGGCCACAGGCTTCACTATCAGCGTTGTGCCCGCATATCAAAGTGAAACTGCTCCTGCAGAACTTCGGGGCGCCATCGGTGCTACTTTACAGCTATGGATTGGTGTTGGACAAGTTATAGGTGCTGTAGTCACCAATGCCACAGCGACTATGTCTGGTAGAGAAGCTTGGCTCATCCCTACTGGCATCCAATTTCTCCTGCCTGTCCTGTTGCTGGCTGGATACCCATTCATTCCTGAATCACCCCGCTGGTTGCTCGCCAAGGAGAGACGGGACGATGCTGTTGTTGCTCTTCTCCGCTTGAGAGTCAAAGGAACTACTTCCAAAGATGTGGAATATGAGTTAGATCTGATTGCACAAAATGAACAAACCCACGGAAAAGGTCCCTGGAAGGATCTTTTCAAGGGAACGAACCGTCGACGTACTATCATTGCGGTTGGCGCCATGGTCTGTCAACAAATTACAGGACAAGCTTTCGTCGGCCAGTATTCAGTGGTATTTTACCAACAACAAAATATCACCAATCCATCCCCTTACCTGTTAGGTGTCATCGGATCTACTACAAGCTTGGTCTCATCCCTTCTCGTAAGTCTCATCATCGACAGTTTTGGAAGACGTCCTATACTGCATATAGGATCATTTATGATCACTGTATGGCTCTTCGTGCTTGGAGCGATGGGAAGCATTGCGCATCCCAATGACGTTCAGAAAAATGTCATGGTGGCAGCTAATATGTTATTTGGAAAATCATACGGTATGTCCTGGGCCCCTCTGAGCTACGTTATTATGGGCGAGGTCGCATCTGGTCGGATGCGTGAAAAAACTCTCAACCTGGCTACCTCTGTGTCCGTCATCTTGACTTTCCTGGTCTCCTTCACTCTACCTTATCTTCTCAATGCACCATATGCCAACCTTCAAGCTAAGGTCGGCTACATTTACGGATCCTTTTCCATTCTCACATTTTTCTTTGCTTATTTCTACGTACCTGAACTTAAGAATCGGTCGCTGGAAGAAGTGGATGAGATATTTGAAAACAAGATTCCTGCGCGCAAAACTAATTCGTATGTTGCTACCGGTATTGGTCGGCAGATCACGGAGGCAGAAGGTGCTACGACTGCGCATCACCATAAGGATGTTGAACACGATGACTTTGAACAATTTGAAAAAGTGTAGTTTTTTCTTTGTATCCATAACCAGAATTCCCCCATTTTTGATGTGTTAACTATTGACATTAAATGAATAAATACGTAATACCCTTTTCGCTAAAATTAATACAATGATGTTCTTAATGGCGTATATTGGCGAGACCTCAGTGCTGCTTAAAGCTGTGTGTACGGAAAACACTCTTTCGAAATAACGCCAACACTGGGTTTTCAACGGAAATTCGGTTGTATGCCTCCACAAATTACTTAACAAGCAAATTGGATTGGATTCAACAAGTCATCCGCAGCTGATACTTTGTGGGAGATTTGTAGACCTATCGCATATCGCCTACTTGACATGACCCACCTTTCTGGGATCACGCCAGCATACGCCAAGTGTATTGTGAATTGCGTGATCCGCCAACAGCGGGAAACAAAGTTTAATTTAAGGAAGTCGTTCCGCTTGCGGATCGCGGCTAAAAGAAGGTTTTTGCCCATAGAAACGATATAAATTGTATTCCACTGCCAAAACCACTTTGGACTACCCCTCATTCATTCCATAGTTAACCATTATGGCACCAGCCAGACCAAACTTTCTGATTATCATTGCCGATGACCTTGGGTTTTCCGATGTGGGATGCTTTGGTGGTGAAATCAAGACTCCCAACCTCGACTCGCTCGGAAGAACTGGTGTCCGGTTCAAGGATTTCCATGCTGCAGCTGCATGCTCTCCAACCCGAGCTATGCTCATGAGCGGCACAGATCACCATCTCACAGGTCTTGGACAGCTGGTAGAATTTACCAGTAACAGCCCAGCACATCAAGGAAAGCCAGGTCATGAAGGCTACCTTACCGATAACGTTGCAACATTGCCTGAGGTTTTGCGAGATGGAGGATACCATACCATCATGTCAGGAAAATGGCATCTTGGTTTACGTCCCGAGTACTCTCCTAACGCTCGTGGCTTTACGCGAGCGTTCACCTTACTACCCGGTTGCGCTAACCACTATGGCTGGGAGCCTCAAATTGAAGAAAATGGGATATCACCTAAGTTCTTCGATACCGCTGTAGCTGCCTTACACATGGAAGATCGCGAATATGTCGATAACTCAAAGTTGCCGGATGACTTTTACTCTACTGATCACTACACCAACAAGCTTCTGCAGTATTTTGAGGAGCGACCTACAGACAAGCCATTTTTTGCCTATCTGCCTTATTCAGCCCCACACTGGCCTCTGCAGGCACCCAAGGAAAATTCCAGTCGGTATAAAGGGGTATATACGGATGGCCCTGAAGCTCTAAGACAAAAACGTCTCCAAGGACTCATTCGGGAAGGTCTTGCTTCAGCGGATGTGAAAGCGCACCCCGTCGTAGCACCAGGTTCGAATGAGTGGGAAGACATGGATGACATTACACGCGCCAAGTCAGCAAAGGCAATGGAGGTATACGCCGGAATGGTGGATCGCATGGATGAGAACATTGGAAAAGTCATCACCTATCTCAAGGACAATGACTTGTATGACAACACTATGATCTTTTTTGCCTCAGATAATGGTGCTGAAGGAGCAAGTTATGAGATGTTACCTGTGATAGGCGACAATATCACTGCTCATATCGAGAAGTATTACAACAACTCACTGGACAATATCGGACAAAAGGATAGCTTTGTGTGGTATGGCTCGCGCTGGGCACAAGCAGCAACAGCGCCATCTAGACTGTTTAAAATGTTTTCGACAGAAGGAGGTGTTCGGGTACCTCTCATCATGAAGCCGCTCGGTTCTGGTAACCCTAGCATTTGTGACGAGTTCTGTACCATGATGGATATTATGCCTACCCTTCTGGAACTTGCTGGAATCGAGAAGCCAGGTAGTACTTATAACGGTCGGTCAGTAAACAGTATGCGAGGCTCGTCTTGGGTGCCATATCTCAATGGGTCAGCAGAACATATCCACGACGACGACCATGTTACCGGCTGGGAATTGATAGGAAACGGAGCTCTTCGCAAAGGAAACTGGAAAATCAATTTTGTAAACAAGCCTTTCGGGCCTGAAGCTTGGCAATTATACAACTTGTCTGTCGACCCGGGCGAGACCACTGATCTTGCCGAACAAGAACCAGAAAAGCTAAAGGAGCTGATTCATCACTGGCAGCAATATGCTCTGGAAACTCAGGTGGTTGGTCTCAAACCGGATCTAGGCACTATTGTAGTGCGAGATGAAATGGACGACCCTACCAAGTGGATGAAATATGAAACCAGCAGCGGAATTTCTAAACAGTTAAAAAATGAACGCGCCGCAGCAAAAGTCATAGATGAGCATTTTATATAAGGATTATGTTGCTTTTATAAAATCAAATACAACCAATGCATTGTACCAATTCTCCCACACCTTACCACTGTCGTCCTGATAAAAACAAGTTTTTGTTACGTTTTTTACGCTTACTAAACAAAAGCTGTACCCTGTGGAATTTTGCCGAGTCTTATCATTTTCGCCAATCTCTAGGCTGATTGCGGACTTGGCTGTTGCGTTACATGCCACCGGAACAACTGATCATGTTATACCATGTATCTCAACGATAAGAGCTTTATACTTCCATGGGGTATAAAGGGTCCAGCTCACATAGACACAACACGTGCCTTTACCAGTTTGGCAAAGCTTTTGTGAATTGACACACTGGTTTGAACCTGTTGAAGTCAGTCCCGTTGTGAACAGTCACGCAAGAAAAAAAATTTTTGCTTTGAAAAAGGCTGAGCGGTGTTCTAATTGAAAGTCTATAAAAGATAGAGCGATTCACCTCTGAATTAGAGGGGGGGGTTATAACACCCCCTTCACTTTTGTAAAATCTTTGTATTCTACTATCAATAAACACGTCATGTCCACTCAACAATTATTGGATTGCTCTAAGGCTAATGACTACTTGAAGGAATACAAGCAACGCGATGGTCTCTCTGCCGAAGAATTGATGGACGAGAAGCTCACTGGAGGCATCACCTACAATGACCTTTTGATTCTTCCTGGCCTCATTGACTTCCCTGCTTCCAAGGTCTCTCTTGAAAGCAAGATCACCAAGAACATCACTCTCAAGACTCCTTTCATGTCCTCCCCTATGGACACTGTCACTGAGACTGATATGGCTATCTCCTTGGCTCTCTTGGGTGGCATTGGTATTATTCATCACAACTGCTCCGCTGATGAACAAGCCGACATGGTCCGCAAGGTCAAGAAGTTTGAGAACGGTTTCATTGCTGATCCTATGGTCTTGTCTCCTGAACACACTGTTGCTGACGTCAAGGAAATCAAGGAGAAATATGGCTTCTGCGGTATTCCCATCACTGGTAAGTTTCTTGAAAACCTTTTTGAGGACATTTCTTCATCATCCCATTTGCATATAAGAAGGTTGGTTTGGAGGATGAGTCATTTAAACCTTTTAACTTTCGTTCTTCCGTTAATGGAGTACCTCGAAAGAGGCGGTATCCTTGTGGAGACTTTTTGGTTCTGATCATATCACACCTTTTTCATTGTATTTGGGATGAAGAAGAAATGACTTGTCCCATATCCATTGTCTCTGATGACTAATCTCTTTATCAACCCTTACTATAGATTCTGGCAAGATGAATGGAAAGCTCGTTGGTATTGTCACTGCTCGTGATATTCAATTCCATGATGACGATGCTTCTCTTGTCAAGGACATTATGACCACCGATGTTGTCTCTGCCAAGCAGGGTGTTACCCTCGAACAGGCCAATGACATTCTCCGCTCTTCCAAAAAGGGAAAGCTCCCTATCGTTGATGAGAGCGGTAACTTGGTCTCTCTGTTGTCTCGCTCCGATTTGCTTAAGAACCAGACTTATCCTTTGGCTTCCAAGTCTCCTCACTCCAAGCAATTGCTTTGCGGTGCTGCCGTTGGTACTCGTCCCGATGATCGTGAGCGTCTTCACAAGTTGGTTGAAGCTGGTTTGGATGTCGTTGTTTTGGACTCTTCCCAAGGCAACTCTATTTATCAAATCGAAATGATCAAGTGGGTCAAGGAAACCTTCAAGGACCTTGAAGTCATTGCTGGAAATGTTGTTACCCGTGAACAATGTGCCAATCTTATTGCTGCTGGCGCTGATGGTGTCCGTATTGGTATGGGCTCTGGTTCCATTTGCATTACCCAAGAAGTCATGGCTGTTGGTCGCCCTCAAGCTACTGCTGTCTACCGTGTCTCCCAATTCGCTAACCGCTTTGGTGTTCCCACCATTGCTGATGGTGGTATTGGAAACATTGGTCATATCACCAAGGCTGTTGCTCTCGGTGCTTCTGCTGTCATGATGGGTGGTCTTTTGGCTGGCACCACCGAATCTCCAGGTGAATACTTTTACCATGAGGGCAAGCGCCTCAAGAAGTACAGAGGTATGGGTTCCATTGACGCTATGGAGAAGGTCTCCTCCAAGGATGGTAACGCTGCTACCAAGCGTTATTTCTCTGAAGGTGACAGTGTCAAGGTTGCTCAAGGTGTTGTTGGTACTGTCATGGACAAGGGTTCCGTTCGCAAGTTCATTCCCTACCTCACTACCGGTCTTCAACACGGTCTTCAAGACATTGGTGTCACTAGCATCAAGGCTTTCCGTGAAGGTGTTGATAATGGCACTGTCCGTTTCGAGAAGCGTACTGCTTCTGCTCAGCTTGAAGGTGGTGTCCACGGCCTCCACAGTCACGAGAAGAAGTTGTTTGCTTAAAGGATTCATGACTATTTCTTCTTAAAAAAAATTCCTTTTTGCATTTTCCTCACATCTCTCACCTGCTTCTAATCATTTCAAGTGTATCTAAAATATCCACATCGTGAGCCTAAAAAATTTGCGTTTTGTTGACATTGCAAGTAAATATCATTTTCTATTAAAAAAAGTTTTTAAAAAAAAAATCGTAAGGATTGTTCCAAGTTGCATTGTTATGTGGAATTAAAGACACTGAGAACTTGATATTTGTCGCTTGATTGCTTTGAAAATATTTGTTCAATGATTTTATAACACTGCTGCTCGGTTTATTTCATTTCATTATTTGCGCTCAGCTTCACAAACTTCATTTGTTGATGGCGCACATGCATTTATTTCATTGGATGGCATATTTATTTGTGATCGTTTAAACAAAATAATATCTTTCTCCATGAAGGCACTCCTTTCTATCCGTACATGCCAAATAACGTGACCACTCCACGTTCACCGAGATCAACAACCGTCGGACACTCGGTCGTTCGCTAGAAAATGGTGGAGGCTGTGCTGCAAGAAGTGCCAATCATGTTGTAAATGCTAGAATACTCTTGGCTCTCTCAACTAGTTTTGCTACCGAATTTACATCTTGTAGTTCTTGCACTCATATTAGCAGTTAACAAACGACCCTTTCTCTCTTATAATATAGTAAATAGTGACGGACGCTACCATAGCAATCGACTTTCGATGAACGGATGAGTTGTTTAAAGGCTGGAATATCACAGTCAAGGTCAAAGAGGACCGGGTGGCTGTGGCAAAGGAGTGGGTCAAGTTACGCTTAGCGGGGTGTGAAATCAAAATATTCTATTTCCAGGCACGCTGACCTTTCAACTTTTTGGCCTCCGTTGCGCACTTCCTTTGACCATCCTCATCCCATGACGAATACCGAAATCTCGTCACAGGCATTGCGTCAAGCCCTGGACGTTTTCACTCCAGGAACGCGTGCGTGGTTTACAGACGAGCAAGAGGCCTGGATCTCAGCCTCTGTGAAGGCAAAGACTACTTCAGATGGCCGCATCAAGATCACATTCCAGGACGATAATGATTCCTCAAAGGTACGGTGTGTCATACTTTGCAGAACAAGTGTTTCATATATGAACAACGGATTCCCAAGCCCGATGGCCTGCGGATTGACTGGGGAAAGAAATGGCAACGGGACTTGTATCAGGCATCAAAACGAAATGTCACATTAGCACACAAGGGGCCCGATGCTCAAGCGCACTTTGCAACCATATTGTTTCCAACAAAAAAAAACCACCAGTAACGAAACAAGAATATGTCTATTCCATCTTTGCCGTCCAACCTGGATTTTACTCGTTATCTTCAGCACATCTTGCTAACCTATCACTTTTGTATTTTCTAGGAGCATGTCTTTGAATCAACTATAAGCGAGCTGGAGAAGAACAATGGCGCGGATCTCCCCCCTCTTAGAAACCCCCCAAAGATGGAGAATACAGATGATTTGACGAGTCTTAGTTATTTGAACGAGCCAGCAGGTAAGTGAACACCCTCCTCAAAAAACTCTCCTTACTCAGTTAGGCTTGTTTACTGATCCATTTTTGATAACCAGTGTTGAACACGATCAAAACCAGATATCAACAGCGAACGATATACACATACTCTGGAATTGTTTTGATTGCTGCTAATCCATTCGATCGGGTTGCTTTGTACGAACCCGACATCATTCAACAGTATTCAGGAAGACGAAGAGGAGAACTTGAACCCCATTTGTTCGCTATTGCAGAAGATGCATACAGATGCATGATCCGAGAAAAGACGAATCAGACAATTGTTGTCTCCGGTGAAAGGTATGTCATGCCACCACTTGTTTTTGTATAGACGTTCTATCAGACACTAATGTGAACCTTTTCAGTGGTGCCGGTAAGACAGTAAGCGCAAAGTATATTATGCGGTATTTTGCTACCGCAGACGATAAAGAGAGTAGCGACAAGAAGAAGAAGGTGGATGTAGGAGGCATGACGGAAGTTGAGGAACAGATTCTCGGTTAGTGCATAGTAAAGTCTGAGAGTTTTTCCATCCATAAGCTCATTTCTAACGCCGATATTGCACAGCTACCAATCCCATCATGGAAGCCTTTGGTAACGCTAAAACGACAAGAAACGATAACTCTTCGCGTTTTGGAAAATACATTGAGGTTTGTTACGACCTTATGCAAACAAGTAGTTACCTCCTTTTAATAACCCTTCTTCGGGGATGCTATAGATTCAATTCGACCAAGGGTCAAACATTATCGGTGCAAAGATTAGAACATACCTTTTGGAACGTTCGCGTTTGATTTTCCAGCCTGAATCCGAGCGCAACTACCATATTTTCTACCAGGTAATTTACAAGGATATGATTCAAGGAGATCAAGCGGTATACTAAAAAATGCTCTCCCCCACTTTTTTTTTTTTTTTACTACAGCTGTGTGCCGGTGCTCCTGCCTCTGAAAGGAAGGAATTCGAACTCGGTGACTTCACCAATTTCCATTATCTTAACCAAAGCGGCACTGGAACCATCCCCGGTGTTGACGATGTAGCCGAGTTTGAGATTACACAAAGATCACTTTCCACAGTTGGTATCGCAGTTCATATGCAATGGCAAATCTTCCGTCTTCTCGCTGCTCTGCTTCACATTGGTAATATCCAAATCGCCGGTCGCACGGACGCTGCTGTTTCTGATTCAGACCCTGCACTTGTCACCGCTACCAAATTATTGGGTATTGAGTTGCCTGAATTCCGCAAATGGCTCATCAAGAAGCAAATCATTACCCGATCTGAAAAGATTATCACCAATCTCAGCGTTACGCAGGCTCAAGTTGTCAAGGACTCTGTTGCAAAATACGTCTACGCTAATCTATTCGATTGGTTGGTCTCTGTTATCAACCAAAGTTTGTCTGCACCTAACGTTGAAGAGATCAGAACGTTTATTGGTGTACTGGATATCTACGGTTTTGAGCACTTTAAGAAGAACTCTTTCGAACAGTTCTGTATCAACTACGCCAACGAAAAGCTGCAACAAGAATTCAACCAGCATGTCTTCAAGCTGGAGCAAGAAGAATATATTCGGGAAGAGATTAACTGGAAGTTTATTGAGTTCAGCGATAACCAAAAGTGTATCGAAATGATCGAAGGCAAGATGGGAATTCTGTCATTGCTTGACGAAGAATCACGTTTACCTTCTGGTAATGATCAAGGCTACTGCAACAAATTGTATACTACCTTTGATAAACCCGGATTCAAAGATTATTTCAAAAAGCCACGTTTCTCGAACTCTGCTTTCACTGTGGTCCATTACGCACACGACGTACAGTATGAATCAGAAGGTTTCCTCGACAAGAACAAGGACACTGTACCCGACGAACACTTGGTGCTTTTGCAATCTTCCAAGTTTGAGTTCTTGGTTGATGTGCTTAATGCCAGCCATGCAGGTGACCATGCTTCTAATGGCGAAACCAACCATAAACGTATGAGTGTCATCAAGAAACCCACCCTTGGATCCATTTTCAAGCAATCCTTGATTAGTCTAATGGACACCATCGGACAAACCAACGTCCATTACATCCGTTGTATCAAGCCAAACGAAGCCAAGGTTGCTTGGGAATTTGAACCAAACATGGTGTTGGCTCAGCTTCGTGCTTGTGGTGTTCTCGAAACCATTCGCATCAGTTGTGCAGGCTATCCATCACGATGGACCTTTGAAGAATTTGCTGAACGCTACTATGCTCTGGTCAACTCCAAGCATTGGGACCCTAGTGTTCAACCTGATGTTCGTCGTTTGACCGGTGTTATTCTGGATGCTTGGATTCACGACAAGGACAAGTACCAAATCGGTAAAACCAAAATCTTTTTCCGAGCTGGTCAACTGGCCTACCTCGAAAAACTTCGAGCCGACCGTTGGAATGACTGTGCCATTCTGTTACAAAAGAACATGCGCCGTTTCATCATTCGTATTCGCTATCTTCGTATGCGTGACCTGGCTCTTCGTCTGCAATCGGTTGCCCGTAAAAAGGTTGGGCAAGCTAAACTCCAGCTATTGCGAGAGGAGAAAGCTGCCATCTTGGTTCAAAAGAATTGGCGACGATACATTACCCGTAAGCGATACTTGGCACGACGTGCATTTATCATCAAGCTACAAAACGCTGTCCTTGCCTATGTCGGACGAAAGAGACATGCTGTTGTTCGTGAACATAATGCAGCCATCCAGATTCAACGTATGGTTCGTGGATGGGCCGCTAGACGTAAGTTCCAGGCTCAACGCAACCATGTGGTCCGCATTCAGACCTGTTTCCGTCGTCGCCAAGCCCGCAAGCAACTTTTGGCTCTCAAGGCAGAAGCTCGTTCTGTCAGCCACTTCAAGGAAGTATCATACAAGCTCGAGAGCAAGGTTGTGGAACTCACTCAGACACTGACCAAGCAAAAGGAAGAGAAACTCGTTCTGCAAGAAAAGGCTGCGAAACTTGAACAGCAAGTACGTGCATGGGTTGAACGTTACGACAAGCTTGACAAGCGTTCAAAGGAGCTAGAAACCACTCTACAAGAACCCAAGATCAATGATGAATGGGATACATTGCAGCAAGAACGTGATGCCTTGCAATCCAATTATCAATCCTCTCTAGATAAGATTCGTCTACAGGACAATGAGATTGCTCGTCTCACCGAAGAGTTAACCAAGCAAAAGGATGAAGTGGCTAACCTTCGCCAAGCTTCTCATAAGATGGCCAAATACATTGACGAGCCCGATATCAATGAACTGAAAAATCAGATTACTGCCCTCAAGGCTCAGCTATCGCAAACACTTCATCAACCAAGACGACAGAACTCACTCAACAGCAATGGCAACCTTCGCAACTTGTCTCCTGTCAGCGAACGTGCTCGTGGTATGTCTCCTGGTGCATATGATCGACAGGAGAATGGATTTGTTACCTCTGCTCAGCGTGGTCGTTCTCCTACCGGCAATGCCACACCTTATCGTCGTAACAGTATTGCTGATGTCAAGAAGAACAAGGTCAAGACATCCTTGGATCGTGTTAGCCAGGTCGATATTCGGGCCACTTCCATCGATCAACTTGCTGTACGAGATGAGACAGACGACGACTTCCATGGCAGTCCCGCAGATATTGTGTACTCCATTCTTCATGATGAAGATGGTTTACAAGATGAAATTCTTGAGGGTCTTATTCGTCATCTTAAGATCCCACAAGCTAGTACTCAGACACCCCTTTCAAGAAAGGAGGTCCTCTTCCCTGCTCACGCCATCAGCATTACTGCTGCTCAAATGTGGAAGCTCGGATACATGCAAGAATCTGAGAGACTTTTGTACACAGTGATGGATACCATCCAAAAGCAGTGCTTGGTAGGTTTTGTACAATAGGGTGTTGAACTGAGAACATGTTTTTGTACTTTGGTCTATTTGCTAACCGTTGTTTTTCCACAGTCTTACACTGGAGACGATGCCATTGTTCCTTGTGCATTCTGGTTCAGTAATGTGCACGAACTATTGTCTTTGATTTCTAAGGAAGAGCAAAAGTTCGAACAAGAGATGAACTTGAACTCTATGAATGGTTTGAGAGCTGTCGGATGGCACGAGTTTGAAAAGCTCATTTCCACTATCAAATATGAAATTCAATGCTTGGAAGATAACATTTTCCATGCCTGGATGACTGAGATGAAGCGACGATTGAACAAGATGGCTGTTCCAGCTTTGATTGAAAGCCAATCCCTTCCAGGATTCGTCACTAGTGATACTGGCCGGTTCCTTAACAAGATCATCGGGTCCAGCCAACCTGCTTTCACCATGGATGATCTGTTGAGTCTCCTCAACACCGCTTATCACTCCATGCGATGCTACTACATGGAGAGCTTCGTGTCTCAGCAAGTATTGATTGAACTTCTCAAGCTCATTGGTACCATCACTTTCAACGATCTGGTGATGAGACGTAACTTTTCATCATGGAAGCGAGGTAAGTTATTGGGTTATGTTGAACTGGAGCGGCTTGGTGATGACTGATAGATTGCTGAACATCCCCTTTCTCCCCCTCCACTAGCTATGCAAATCCAATATAATATCACTCGATTGGAAGAGTGGTGCAAGAGCCATGAAGTACCCGAGGGAGCATTGCAGCTTGAGCATTTGATGCAAGCAACCAAGCTTTTGCAGCTCAAGAAGGCTACTTTGGAAGATATTCATATTATTTATGATGTGTGCTGGATGCTCACACCAACTCAGATACAAAAGTTAATTACAAACTACTATGTTGCGGACTACGAGGTAAAGTGTCTGAACAAGGTTGCGTGAGACCCTTCTGTTTTTAGCTCACATTATTTACTTATCACACTTGTGTCTCGCAGAGCCCCATTAGCCACGAGATAATGCGCGTTGTGGCTGCTCATGTAGTCAGTGGCGACAAGAACGATATTTTGCTGCTGGACAGTGTCTCGCTTGATGATACCCCGTTTGAACTGCCTCCAGTGCGTGAAGTAGCTTCAGAGAATTATTTGCCTTCATTCGTGAGTAGCTTTGTAAAAGACTTATAAGCGCTTGACCGAGTACTGAACCTATTTTTACTTTGACCAGCTGAACTTGAAGCGGCTTCAAAAACTCGTAAGCTTGGCATAAATGCTAGCCTTGCCATATTACTTCCCTTTTACAGCCTTGCAACCTATTCACTCGATGATCATAGAGAGATACACACAAAGAAATATTAAAAATTTTCGAGCTATTTTTTTAATGCGTTAGGTCGTTGAGTGGGACAGTTCTACTCTGTGACACTGTGCCAATGGCTGTCATGCGCGTGAAAGAGAGCAATATATGGCATGTACCATGCGACGAGAGGGAACGATCGATGCTGATAAATCTATAGGCGCATCGTAAAGTTTAGTTTGAGCGAAATTTAGGAGGTCCGCTGCGAAGTTTCATACAAGCCCCATCCTAATAGAACAGCCAGCCACATGAAGAAAAGGGCAGAAAAGCTGCAATTGGACAATTTGCCAAGGCAGTAATCCCTGGTACATTACAGCGTAGACAGATGTTGATATCCCCAATAAAAATAAGGTGACGTTCCACATTGAGCCAATTTCATAGGCTGCCACACACCCCATTGCGCGGTCTATTAAAAGGGCTCAGTAGTCGGTCATCCGTTCCTCTTCTACTTTTCATCGAAACGTAATTCATCATGTCAGGACCTCCTCTACCTCAAGGTACTTTTCTCGGTACATCACTACTACTTTGACTCCTCATCTCACTTTTTACTGCTTATTGCTTTCAGGCTGGGAAGCTCGTTATGACCAGAACTCGGGCAAATAGTACGCAAAGCTTATTTTTTGTTTTCTCCTTTCTTGTGCACACAAGAAAATCAGACTATAGAAGAACTAACCCATTTTTTCTTGGCAAAATAGCTATTTCATTGACCACAATACCCATCAAACTACCTGGGAAGACCCACGGAGTCGCGGATACCAATCTCCCCCGCCACCACCTTCGTATGGCGGTTCGCCTCCTCCTCCTCACCCCTCTCCATATGGCGGAAGTGGCTATGGTGGTTATCAACAACAACCCCAGAACCAATCCTACGGTGGTAGTCCTTACCCTCCTCCCCAACAGCAAGGTTATGCTGGTGGTGGTGGTTACGACCAGAACCGTGGCTACGGTGGTTCCCCTTACCAACAGAGTCCCCCACCTCCCGTACCTCAAAAGAAGCCTGGTATGTCCACTGGTATGAAAATTGCTGCTGGTGCTGGTGTTGCAGCTCTCGCTGGTTTTGCCATTGGAGAAGTCGTTGAGCACGAGAAGGACGAAGACCGAGAACAAGACAGACGTTTGGCTCGCCTTGAACAAGAAGAGAGTATGGATAGATATGACAATAACTATGGCGGTGGTGGTGGTTATGGTGGTGGTGGTTATGAAGGAGGCTACGGCGGCGGTGGTTACGGCGGCGGCGGCAACACTACCGTTATTGAAGAAGACGGTGGTTGGTTCGGTCCTGACAAGGAAACCATCATTGAAAGAGGTAAACACAATTCCCCTCGTTTATATCATCACCGACCGTGGTTTACTAATCCACTCCTAATTAGATCAATATGGTGACACCACAGTCATCGAAAAAGAAGATGGATGGTTCCGTGACGAGACCACTGTCACCGAGACTGACCGATACGGCGACACTACTGTCGTTGAAGATGATAGTTGGTTCTAAATTCCTGCAATGATACTCCCCAGATTCCCCTCCAATATTGATCTGTGTTGTTTGCCAGACAATTAAATAAATAAATAAAAAGATTTGAACATTTTGTATTGTACTTGAAACATGGCTACAGTTCAACAACATTTATACTACAGGTTGGATATCATACAAAAGACAACCATTATTAGACGTTCCTTCCCATCCACGCGTTCCTGATGTCGTGATCATGTACTTTGAGGTGCGATCAATTACTGCATTATAAAGTTCAGGTTAAATCGTGTCAATGGTGAACGATGCCACTGGTTAGTGAAACTTACATATGTTCGAGATCACAGCTCCATGATGACCAGGTAGGATAGTGAATGGAATAATGGATGAAAGTTTAGTGGGTTTGACAAAACCTCCGTCATCCCCTGGTTGGATAGTAAATGTCGAGTCTATTGAAGTATTCCACATGCGTATATTATCATTTGATGCACTGTATTGTCGAATGTTAGATGAAACGTCTCTATCCTCTCAATGAAATACTAAAGCCACTTACCAAATAATATGAGAGCCATTGGGTAAACTTGCAACGCACGAAACCGGTCCTGAATTTGCAGGCATTCGGAACGATCGTATTAGCTTTTGAGCTGCAAAATCATATTCATCGACTATGGTATTCGCAATATTAGTATCGATCACTGAAGAACATTGTATTGAGATCATTGCATCTTACCTGTTCCATTCCTTCGTCCAGTGTATATTTTGGAACCGTCAGCGCTCCAGCACGCCTGTTTGTATGAGCCCTGAATTTAGCCACAAATTTTCAGGTACACTGTTTCACATTTTCTCAAACTTACCGATAGACACCACGGGGGCGTTTTGTCGGGAAGATTTAGGCGTCTAGAAGCCTCTGCAGGTTCTCTTCGATCCCATAGTAAACAAGTTCCATCAATACTAGTGGTGAGCATTATATTTGGGTCTTTACTTAACGGCTCCGGGCCACTAGGTTCTGGCTTGGTTTCTTCAGTTTCGCTGTTAGCATCCGTTGCGTCCTGTTGACTGGCTGACGTTTCCTCTTTGTCACTGGCATCTTGCTCCATATCCTCTCCGGCGTTGGTTGTGACAGGTTCCTTTTCCAGCGGCCGGAATGAGATAGAGGAAATTTGTGAAGTGTATCCACCATATTCACGCTGTACAGATCCGGTATCCAAATCCCATTCCTACAACTGGGGTTATTATACAGGTCTCCAAAAAAAAAAATAAAGCCATAAAAAAAAGCTCACCACAATGGTTTTGTCCCATGAACCACTTATAAAGGATCTCTCGCCAGGCATGATACTCAAAACTGATACAGGGGCAGCATGCTTCCAGAAAACATGATGGCACTTTCCTTCGTCATGTCGTACCGTTACCAGATTGATGGACCCATTCTCCAATCCAGACAATGCCCATAGGCCATCCGATTGAATATCTACACTATATACAGGGGATAATTTTTGTTCAGGAGCGGGTGTCGCTTCACTCGTCTCGCTAGGCTCAGCCTTTAATTTCGGCTCTTCTAATATTAAACGCTCAGCCATATATCCTCGTGTACAATCCAGTGTAAGAAAAGATAAATTACCTGGCTGCTCTTCATTCTCCCACCATGATGCAAGATAGCCGGCTTTCGTGATGGAGTCTACCAGTTGATGCCGCTGTACCTGAGTCAACATTGTTTTTCCATTCATGGAAGCAAAAAAGTCCCATTTTCGAATATATCCATCTTCTGAACCAGTCAGTACCCATCTGAAACACCGCGTAGCCGCAATTGAATAAATGGGATTGGGATGGATGGCCGCACCCTTTCAAACCACTTTCTTAGTCGTAGGAATTGTTACAAAAACACAGCTGTCAAAAACGTACCACAGGGACAATATTATATGATTTGCACGTATTGGCGTGGAGTTGCATTTTAGGCAGTACGCGTTTTTGCACCGTATCATCTACAGTACTTGGTTGCTGTGTATCTGTCGAGGGCATCGGGTCTAATAAAGGCGTTACAGCCAAAAGTTAAAGTTATAAAAACAGAAGCGGTGACTTAACCAAAAGAACAACCACCCACCATCGGTATCCATCATGTCGGTCCCATCCTCTGATGCGTTATCTATCTGGGTAGTAGAGTCTTCATTCAAGTCGACATCTTCTTCATCGGATGACATGGTGCAGGAATATTACAAAGTGCAAGATTGAAACAGTTGCGATCAATGGTGGTCGATAGGGTGTAATCTACATCACGTGACTGTTTGTGATGGTGTGAGTGGTACCTCAAAAAAAAAAATGAGAAGCAGCTCACAATGTGCAACATGAACCAAAGCCAAAAATAAATCCATCAGATTGACACGCCTTCTCAATCTCCTTTCTCCTTTCCTTTTACTTTACTCACCCTTCCTTTCCTTCCTTTTCTCGTCTGTCTGTTGTTGCTACCATGCGTCTGTTCAAGCTATGCATTGGATGCTATGGCCAAGACGACCATGACTTTGCAATGTACTTTTTCGATTCGCCTATCACACCTCCCGTGGTGGGGGGCAACTCCAAAGAAGACAATTTTTGGAAAATGGAAGATCTGCAAGCCATTTTTCATTCCAAACCCATTACCATCCATCACATCGCACCAACCTATCGCTTTTCATACGACTATATCCGTCGAGATGCCCATGGACATCACTACATAGCATCTTGTGCGTTACTGGACCTGGCAAGCTACATGCAAATTGACTTGCTTGGTCAACTTTGCCGCCTCAGTCGTCAAGACATTCAAAACGGAAAAGCCGAGATGTTATGCAAATCGTTGGATGTACGGGTTTCGCGTACGCATATGATGATTGAAAATGAATTTATCCCATCCGACCTTACTCCCCCGTCACCCATGACGCCAAGCCAGACCAATCATCACAACTTTCACGGCACTAATAAACGGAAAGCGCCCGCCGTGGAAAGGTATATTACAATTTATTAAATAGTGTATGGATTTGGCTTGGGACACTGCAGCGGAGGCCGGATGTGCATACATTTGGCCAAGCGGTGTGTAACATCCAAGGCTAATACCCAGTTCGTTTATAATTAATTGAAATTGAGCGCTCTCATTAACTTTTTTTTTTTTATCCTAGTACCACCTCAAGTTCATCCGGGAAACAATCTTTACTAGCCAAACGCTTGGCGGGAAAACACCGAGCTTTGACGATTTATGCTGCTCCATATGCTGACCAAACCAGCGCAGTGCGCACAGCTCCTGCAAAGCAGTACAGCGACCAGCTACTATTAGCTCCGCCCATCGTACAATCCCAGCAAAAGCAATTATACCCTTATCAACCTCCACAGCGCCATAGTCAACCACACTTGCGACCTTTTGAGGACTTATTTGATACCATTGAAGCCACTCGTTCTCTTAAGGAAACTTTGGATGATCAAGTTAGACGATCGGCACACGTTATTAACGAATTTAATGCAAAGTCTGTCAAGCAAATAGTGGAGGCTGAGATGAAGGCTTTCCAGCAGCAAATTGATGCAAAGTTGGAGTGTTTGTTGACCGAATGCTCCAATCGTTTATCAAAGTTGGAATCTACACCATCCTCAAGTCCAAGCCTTAGTGATCTACTTAGCCGAATTGAGAAATTGGAAAATCGTGCAGATCCCCACTGTTAATTACCGTTTAATTTTTTTGATGTATCAAAAATTTAAAGGGAGAAAAAAAAATTTCACTCACCTTGTAGCCCTACCCATTTGCAATAACTACCTTTAATAAACCCCATAATACTGAAGATTGCAGTTTCCGTATACCATCCTACATTAATGTGATTCAATGCCCTTTGCATACAATGGTGGCTTTCGTGAGATCAACATCCACACGGTATTCTATTTTAATCCTCTTTGAATGATCTGCCCACATGGGACTTCCAAACCAAGACCATCCCCCAATTTTCGAAAAGACATTCTCACTAACACTAAATTGCCGGTTATACAAGTAAAAGTCTGGCCAGCTAATTTTGAGTCGCACAATATATCGGACATGATATGATATTTGAAGGTAGTTTATATGAACATAGGAAGAGAAACATCAAGATGCGTCTTGTACATGGAAGAGCATAATACAGGGTATAATTCCGGTCGAGCATTGTCAAAATGCTGAAAAGGCACCGGACCATAAATTTCTAGGCTTACAAGTCTACGGAGATACTGTGCAATGACCGTACGCGAATCAATAAGGAAAATAAGCCAGCCACGCCTATGGTGATACTAAAGGTCATATATACAACCCATGGCGCGGTTGCGACAAAATGAGAGTAAAGGAGGTTGGCCAGAATAGGGCTAAAGATTAAAGTTATGGACTCGAGAATAGCACCTGTTAAAATACGAACCATATTAGCATACACGTATAATGCGTCGCGTTCCATATTGTGCACGTACCTGCTCCGAGAATAAGACCTGCGTTCTCTTCACCAGCGATTTGTACCATGAGTGACTTTGTCGAAGCGTTGTACAGTGCGCCACCAATTTGAAAAAAGGCTCCTAGGTACATCATCCATCCAGCATAAGCCAAAGTGAAGACGGCCATGCTAAGGCCCAGACATAAAATACCCAATCGACAAATCCAGAGGTCCAATACGATGCTAGAGTGACGACTCGATATGCTGTGAACGCCTTCAGGCACTACAACCTCGTGCAGTTTCTTTAGAGCTGGAAGAACTACTATCAAGCCCACTAGTGAAGCACCGCTCTCAAAGCTCAAAAAGAATCCAACGTCAGTAGGTGTCCAACCGAATACGTATGAGACGTAGAGAACAATTGTGGTGACGAGACCAATGGCAACACATTTGCACAGAACTTGAATAAGTGCCAGTATGGGTAATGATGCGCGATTGGTCAGTTCTGGTTTGGCAGTGAAAATAATGGACAGACTAGAGATAAAATTGATCTTGGACCAGATGCTCTGCCGACTATTTTGCTCCTCTTCTTCTATTGCCGGCTCGAGTGCCTTCGTGTTGGATTCTGGAACAATGAAAATGACAACCAAAACCCATAAAATCATCGATATCAAAGCGGTGAGTGCAATTGGTTCCAACGATTGGGTTAGCTGCGATAACAGAGGGAAAAAAACAAGCAGCTGTTATTATACATGTCAAAATTTTTATACATGACAATTGTATTGATTTCACTCACCTCCATAATCCATCCTGATAAGGTTTGTCCGATCATACTTCCGCTAAGAAAACTGGCCAAAAGTCGGCCAAATACCACCGTTCTGGGTTCCACAATTAGTAAGTCCGTGATTTATTATCTTTTCTTTTCCAAATGGCAGGTCAAACCATGTACTCACCTATCGGCTGGCTGCGTGCAGTCTGTGCTGTAAGCATAAAAACTCATCAGAAGCGTGCTGGAACCACCTCCAAGTCCCATAAGGACTGCACCGACCATGAGTAGCCGAGGAGAGGCGGTTTCTTGGAAACGTATGAGTAAGCAGGTGATTCCCAGATCAGCCGCAAAGGCCTTTATAAGGTTGAAAAGTGGGTGTTAACAAGACCTGTTGACTCGATGACGTTTTTGTTGGGTGACACATACCAGTCCATTGATGATAAACACTGGTCGACGACCTTTTTTATCGCTCATTTTCGAATAAATGGCCGTTGTTAAAAGACCTGTCGCGAATTGTCATGAGGGCCAAGATAAGTACTATAGTTCGCTGACACTTTTGCGTTCATAGTGATTTTGACAATTACCTACAACGGAGCCGAGGACGGTCACCCACATCATCAGATTCGATACTTGTGCTTGTACGGCAGAGTCGGCATTGCATTGCTCGCGAGGTCGCCTGATGGCTTCGGTACTGTCGATACGACTACAAATAAGGTCTATGACGAACTGAACAAGTGGACCCTGCAGCATGGAAATTGAGCAGCCAAGGACGAATAATGGTGGTAACAAAACCCATGGCGATGGTTTAACACGGAGCCAATGTGTTTTAGTCGATTTGGCCACTAAAGGTGTAGTCTCATCCATTGTTAACAAAGAAAGGCTGCTGAATATGAAGTTAGCCAGCCATTGGAAAAAACAAATCACACTTTTTAAACGTCGCTATGCGGACTGTCAATCGCGTTTTCCAAGCGTTGGCAAACTTGGCAAACTTGGCTTTTTTTATTGGCTATCGAGTTTGGAGGGAATTGCTATATCCGGAATCCCCTCTCACAAACCTAGATATGCTTCAGCTGGTATGGTTCCCGAGGCCTATGAGTGCCAATTCATTAATACGTGGACTTGGTTGTCACTACCTCCATATTTTTTACATACCTGAAGCTGTTGATACGATGTAAATGCTTGTTGAACGTCCCATCCATTTTCTTCAAGACACTGAGTGGCAAATTCCGTCTTCAGTCCCGTCATCTTTTGAACTTCAGCAACCATCTGTTGCTTCACGTCGACCTACAAGATCTTATTAGTACGCGTCAATATCGTTTCATATTGACTTTTTACTTCATCTACCTCAGCAATGCTACGTGTCGACGTCTGAAGGCGCCACTTGTCCGGATTGGAATAGTCTCGTACACAAAGCTGGTCATTCAGAATAATAAAAGGGACGTTATACATTTGTGACCTGAAATGGGAGGTTGCGTGAATACAATGGTTCATAATCCAAGACGATTCATGCTCGAGTCCTTACGTTGAGCCTGGAGGAGAAGGAGCAATAAGGAGTGTTCGGTCAAAAGAATACGTCTTTTTGATTGGTTGTTCTGCGTTCAACTTTAGTTAATGGAGCTGGAAGTGCACGGTGCCACATCAAATTATACATACCTGAAGTGAAATCACCATGAATGCTAAGCTGCAAGGCATTGGCAAATCCCGGTATAACATTAATTACAAATGCGTCCACCAATAACTCCTTCCTATTAAGGTTATGTTTTGTCGTGGGTAGCCTTGGCAACACTTCAGTTATCATGGGTTGGCCACAGCAAATGTTCTTCAGCGCTTCTAGAAAATCGCAGTATCATTAGATCTATGCACTGTTATGACGGGCAGCAACCTCTCGCTGAATCTACTTACTCGTTTTGGCTGATGTAGCTTTATGATGAAATGACTCCCACGTGCCTACATCATTCTTCTTCATAGCCTGTCGTTCCTGCTTCGTCAGCGCCTTAGATGAAGCCAATTTCATATTCGTTGTCACAGAGAATACGGCGTCTGGAGCATACATGTTTCCACAGAGACTACGGTTGCTGTCAAAGGCTTCAAAAAACCTGATTATTCCGAGTAAGTTAGATCATCTTATATGCATATATTCTACGGATCCCAGGATGGCTTCGCTTACATTTCGACAAACGCTTCAGACAGAATTCGTGTTGGGTCGCTGTCTGTGAACCCTTCTAAGCATGGTATTGGTAAATCTTGCTGTTGTTTCTCGTTGTGTATCATAACTCCGTCTAAGATTTGAAGATTTGGGAATAGTTTTACGACCTCACTATCATTTTTAAATGTTAACTCTGTCAAACAACAATGTTTTACATGGACAATCCATTACCTTGTATATGTCGCGCCGGTAGCATCCTTTTGGAGAAACTTCTCTCGGAAGGGATTCTCGGTAAGAATTAACTCTTTGAGCTGTGCCAGTTTACCTCCTCCTCCACTAAGTAAACTCAGCTGATTGACGTTATTAATATTATTTTGCTGGAAAGAAATATGCTGTACATTGGGTATGAATTTTGCCAAAAGAGAAAACGGCTTCAACTTTTCAAGTTGATTTCGAGCAAACGATATCGTTATAACCTATAAATTGCATGATTAATCTAATGCAAAGCTCTCAACACGAATGAAAATGAAAATATGACCCACCTCAGGAAACATCTCCCCCGCTAGCTTCATAAGAGCTGATCCCACATTGTTGGAGTCATCCTTTTTAAGAGGCTCGATGCCAGCATCTTGCAGGATGGCATCATCCGCTATAGCTTCTAGATTGAGATATTTCGAATCCGCGTTCCACCGTCTAGACAAGAAATAGCGTAGAACATCCACAGTACTCTTTCCAGTGCCTTCTTCAATCAAAGACGGATCATCATTTACAACGAAAATAGAAAGCTGTAAAAGAACCAATCAACAAAATGCCACTGATGTAGATTATACACTCTCCAATTTGATACCCTACCTGACGATTTTCATAGGCATAGCCCGTCAAACGCTGGATTTTCTTAGCAATAACAATATTTTCCACCATGATATGTAGAGATCCATCTAAAATTTGGACTGCAAGTGTTGCAAATGGCGTTTTTGATTTCTGCTGTAGAAATGAGATCAAGTTATGTTCTGTTCCTTCAGCCCAACCGGTAATCTGTAACGGAAACCAACATTCAATTAACACCGTGAAACGACTCTAGTTCATTGGTTTGATATTCCGAAAAATACTGAATCTTACCACTACTTCTTTTGGTTCTTTGGCTCCATGCACGACGTCTCTGGTGAACGTTGCTCTTCTGCTGGTTCGATTGTATGGATCACTGCATATGAATTGTTGAGTCTGGATAGAATGTGATGCTTGTCAACATACAGCACATGTACTCACAATTTTCCTCTGCCAGTGGGCTTTGTTCCTTTCATTTCAATATCGTCTGACATTAGGGCTGCGCCGCCTTTCGACGGACGTTTGGCAAGCTGTTGTTTTCGGGCTTTTCTCGTAATTCTGTCGGCTTTTCCTCCAGCTTTTCGTCCAGCTTCTGCCATGCCGGTGTTCTCTGAATCTAAAGGGCGAACGTCAGTGAATTTGGCCACAGCACTGCCAAACATGCCAGCGAATCCTCTTGGTTGAGACATTCTTAAAGCTGCAGAAGTGTACAAAAAAAAAACTTGGAAGCCAGCTAGATAAAATCACAGTCATATAGAAATTTTTACTACCATTCTTCAACTTTGACTTTTGACTCAGCTATTAATTGTCTAAGGTCAACTTTTCTATTGGCAACTCTAATATACAGTTCTCTAGGACGCAATTTCTTGTGTCGGATGTAATAACTTTTGCAGGTCTCACACCAATGACCATTTCCAACCATGTTACGATACCATTGATGAGTTTTTTCAACCCGACAGTTATTGCATATCTTGTGAAGGCGGGGAATTATCTTGGAACCAGAGCGATTAGCGACAATCAATCTTTCAGGGCGAGGCTTTTTATGCTTCAGTTGGTAGCGGTAGCAAGCCACGCACAGGGAGCGGCGAGAAGATGGCTTTTTGAAACAGTTCAAACAAGCAGGCTTCAATTTGTCGGGACGTCGTTGGCCCAGGAGGTCTACGAGGTCTGCGAATAAGTAATGAACACTGTGTGAGAATTGCCTGGTAGGAGGACGAAGACCATGTTCAAGATTAACATTAGCCAGATGGTTGGATAGACCAATAACCGCTTCAATTTGGCGCTTGTCGATATGGTTAATATCAAACCGGAAGAGAGTATTAATGACATTGTTAAACCGAAAAATTTGATCTTCCTTTGCTGTGGTAACATCTTCGATAAATCTAATGTCACAACGACCGGGGGTGTTCCCATGCTGAGAGTATCGAAACAGATGGAGTAGCCAAGCAGGGAAGAGTAAAAATTGTGGCAAGACTGTATTATCCTTGTCACCTTTTCGGAAAAACACAAGAAGCATTCTCATTTGTGACCTAATCTGGACAGATTTGATAGGATATCCAGGCTTGCCAGAGCTGATACTGCACCTAAAGCAATTGGATGGGGTATGTCGACTGACTAGCTTGAGATGGAAGCTTGTCTTTGGTACAGCACAGGAAGATATCCAATAATCCGTTAGGACTTGCCGTCTGCTTTCTCTCCTTCGAATGATATGGAAACCCTCTTGCTCAAAACGCCTTTGATAAACGTCTTTCAAGTCATGAACCGCAATAAATGAATATTTAGTAGGAGATGGAGGTGATCCATCCAGCAGAGATTCTATCTTCATGAAGGTGGGGTGAGAGATAGAAAAAAAGAGAGACCTTTACTGCAACTTCATGTTGAAATTAAGCGTTCTTATAGCCTTTGAACACAAAATCCAAACAAGGCAGTTTGATTGACGATGGAGTAACATTGCAAACATCACTCGCGTGGCCAACTTACTGAAATTGCACTTGCTTTTTTGGTAAACTTTTTAACGACCAAGCCTCGTTGGAGAAGTGTAAAAATAAAGTAAATTGCGACGCCATTTCCACCACAAGCTCCAATTTAAAAGTAACAGTAAAAATGGAAGGGACTAATAAAAGAAATAGAATTCTTCCGGCTTTAGAGCCAAATTTATTTGCTTCAGTATGATTTGTATTGAAGATTGCCGTTCTATCTCATTGAAGAGAAAGCTTTCATAAAAAATTAGTATTTAATATTTAATAAACTATCCCTTTTATTTGCCACCACTTTGAACAAGGTCATCTGTGTAGCCAAAGATGGCGACTTTTCAGAAAATTACTATCGGGTCGTTTCAGAAAGCTTTAATAATACCTACTATAAAGAATTTGGACAATACAGTCAATTTAAGAATATGTGATAGCAGTTACTCAATTCAATCGAGATACTTGGCAGCGTCAGACATTAGCTTACTCTAACATGCAAGGTTTATTAACGGCTAAGAATTAAGATGAAAAATCAAAAGCCTCTTCGTGGAATTGATCAAGGATCCGGTGAGTACAACGTCTGATAGCAAAAAGTTTAGGAGTAGTGACAAGTAATGACTTCCTTGTCGTCGAATGGTGGCTTAGTTCATTGAGACAGGTCTTTTAAGATCACGTGTATACCAGAGCGTTCATTGGCCGAGAAATTTTTCTGTTGTCTCCGGTAAGCTAGAAAAATTTTACACCAAAGGGGAACAGATAGATCTTCCTCTTTCCTACAACTCATCACCATGTCTGAACAAGTACGTTGAAATTCATACAAACTGGTCAACAAGTTATCATATCGGATCACTAACATCATTGATTTATAGGTTGAGAAGGCTTTCCAAAAGCAAGCTGGTGTCTCCCTTAACACCAACGCTAAGAAGCGCAACACCCGTTGGTACAAGGATGTCGGTCTTGGTTTCAAGATCCCCAAGGAAGCCATCGAGGGTACCTACATCGACAAGAAGTGCCCCTTCACTGGTGATGTCTCCATCCGTGGCCGTATCTTGACCGGTGTCGTTGTCTCCACCAAGATGAAGCGCACTGTCGTCATCCGTCGTGAATACTTGCACTACATCCCCAAGTACTCTCGTTATGAGAAGCGTCACAGAAACCTCTCTGCCCATATGTCCCCTGCTTTCGTCGGTGTTGAGGCGTAAGTATCTTTTTCTTGTACCCTTATTACTTCCAAACCACAGAGGGATATTGCGAAAGAAAATTTTCATCCGAACAGGAACTCAGCCATTCCAGAAAAATTTTTCTTCGGTTGGCTGAAGTTCATTGTCATGATTGAACCTTTCGAGAAACTGGCTATTTCTGCATTTCGTTAGTGCAAGCATCGCTCTATCAGAGCGATGTCATCCTCGAGTCCACCATTCTTTGAATGTGATTTGACCCTATTAGCCTGATATCCCCTGTATGAATTGGATGTTGAGTAGTTGGTGAGGTAACGGCCTACCAAGCTCATTTATCATCCAGGTTTACTGATCACTTGCGTGTCCGCTTTCTTTTTTCTCAATTATAGTGGTGATATCGTCACTGTTGGTCAGTGCCGTCCCCTCTCCAAGACTGTCCGTTTCAACGTCCTCAAGGTCACTAAGGGCAAGAAGGCCTCCAAGGCTTTCCAAAAGTTCTAAGTATCTAGATGCTAGGATTGTCTTTTCATCATAATAAAATGAGGATTCCTCCTTCAATTTGTTAACATGGCTACTTTTTGTGATATGCTTTTTTACCATGGGGAAACCTCATGGTAATATGGAATTGAAACAGCCAACTACCAGCTTTAAATTTTTTTTCTTTTTTTCAAAGTAAAATACTGAATCAAACCAGTGAACAAATCATACGTTTACTACGATGCATTATTGATGATGAGTAGAATAACTCTGTGTTTGTTCGTACGAGGGTTACCTAATGCTGGACAAAATCTCAATATCACCATATTCGTCACTCATGGTAAACATCTTCAACAGAATAAAAAGATATGCACAGTGATAAATTTTTTCAACAGGGTCGCGAACAGACGCGCACATTGTGTACGGATGGATGAGCGCGGCAAAACGCGCACAATTATAAGACTTCCAGGTTACTTTACTTTAAACTTGTCATGGAAATTGACGCGTGACACGCGATACCACATTTGATGTGTTTGTCGGCAGCTGGAGTTGCTATACCCCTCTGTTCATAGCCGTAACTTTTATTAGCTCTCTGTCCATCGCAATAACAGCATGGAAGAGCAACAAGAAGATTTCAAGTCTCTTCCTATAATAGATAGACTTTCTCACAAGGTATGATACCACGAAGTATTGTTCGGCTGTAGATGGCCGCTACGCTAATGCTCGTTCCCCCTCCAGGTCTGGAAAGCGAGGGTATCTGCATATGAAGAACTAGTATCCCAGTTTCGAATATCTGATAAACCTAGTGACTTTTACCAATATGAGCCACACCTCAAGAAAATGGTCACCGACGCCAATGCAGTAGCGCAGGAGGCAGGTTTAAATGCTGTTCTTCACTACGTCGAAAATGCACCGTCTGCTGCAAAGTAAGTCGAGACAACAACTTTTCGACTCTTCCCCGAGATAGCGTACTAACCATATTGGTCAAAAGTACTCGAGACGTTGTCATTCCAGCATTGGTAGAGAAATGCTTTGGAGCCGCCAAAGCAGGAACGAAAGCAAAAGCGAATGATGTTATCTTAATGTATGCCGAAGTAGACGTCGCAGATCCTGTAGTAGTGGGTATTCAAAGCAGATCGTCTTTTAAAGCATGCGTTCCTATGTCTAATAGATGTATTAGGAACTTGTTATTCCAGGTATGAATGCAAAGCAGCCCAAAGCTGTTGCTCAGACAGTTGTCACTTTGAAGGAACTAGTACGGTAAGGAAGACGTTGATAATGAAAGAGCATGCTGGTGGTCGCTAGACGGTAATAATCCTTGTTATTAGACAATTTGGCGTCAAGACAGTCAATCCCAAGCCAATACTGAAGATTATACCTAAGCTGTTCGGACACGCTGACAAAAATGTCAGAGCTGAAGTAAGATCGTGAATATAGATCAATTGGTGATACGCGTGGATAGGCATTGACTTTAGTTTGATAAGGCTAGCACCCTCACTATTGAACTGTACCGCTGGATCGGACCCGCAGTCAACCAGTTCTTGTCTGAACTAAAGCCTGTCCAGATCAAAGAATTGGAAGAAAGCTTTGCACAACTGCCGCAGGAGAAGGCTGTACCTGAACGATTGTTAAGATCACAGCAAGCATTGGTACAGTCAGAACCAACTGAGAATGAAGAAGACGTCGAAATGGGTACGATTATTATGTAATTAATTGTATCACTGTACCTTATGTTTTAACAACGTCTGCAGATGAAGGCGGTGATGCCCCAGAAGAGGAAGACGATACGAATGCACTCGATCTTGCAGACCCGGTAGACATCTTGTCGAAAGTTTCACCCAATTTCTTTGAGCTTTTGGTGGGTAGACAACGTTTATGAAGGACGATATCATGTAGGCTAAAAGCTAACATGACGATTTAGGTGTCCAAAAAATGGCAAGAGCGCAAAGAGGCAATGGAAGAACTACTGAATGCCGCCAAAACTCCCAAAATTGCAGACAGAGACTATTCAGAACTTCTTAGTGGTTTGGCGAAGGTATGTTGGTTTTGCTGTGCATGTACGGAAATGGCGTATGGAACTGATGACGAATTTTCTACTAGCGCATCAATGATAGCAATGTCCTGCTTGGCGCACTGGCTGCAAACTGTATAGAAGCTATTGCTAATGGCTTGCGACAAAGCTTCCATCGTTACAAAGCTACTGTAAGTACATGCTGGTTAGGTTGCACTTCGCTTTGTAAGGCATGCATTCACTAAGGCGGCCATCGTTGTGTTTGTTTTACAGGTCACTCCACCCTTAATCGACAAGTTGAAAGAACGAAAACCACAAGTTTTGGAACAGCTGTGCAATGCACTTGACGCAGTTTTAGCCGTATCACCATTTGAAGAAATTGTTGAAGATATTAGTACTGGAGCGAAACATAAGAATCCTCAAGTCCGGGCGCAGTGTATCAAGTTATTAACGGCTCGCCTGACGAAAATTCGACAACCACCTAGTAAAGGAGAGACGAAGGCACTAGCGGAATTAATGCTTAAGACAATCGACGATGCGGATAGCGCCACTCGCGAGCATAGTGCAGAAGGTCTCGGTACATTGGCAAAAGTTGTCGGTGAGAAAGCCTTGGCTCCATTCACGGAGAAACTGGACGATATCAAGGCAGCAAAGGTGAAGGAAGCTTGTGACAAGGCCGTGGTTAAAGCTAAACCAGCAGGACCACCAAAACCTGTAGCGAAAGCTCCTCCTCCAGCTGCAATCAAGGTATGTTTATACTCAATATTTGAAAACTACATACTTTTGAGTCTAATCACCCATTTTTTAGCGAGCTCCAAAGGCTAAAGTAGCGGCACCGGCAAAACCAGCACCCACCGATATGGCAGTAGACGATGACTACGAACTACCGCGACAACCATCTCCTCCAAAGCGCAAGCCACCGCCACGAGCGATTGCTGGAGCTAGCGCACCAAAGAAACCAGCATTATCGTCATTATCAAAAACAGCAGCACCTTCCGCTGCAGCATCTGCAGGACCCAAAAAGGCCGCCAAACTACCAGCAAGCGCACCTGAAGAACCAGTTCGTTACAGGTTCTCTCCAGAGGACGCTGAAGAACGAATTGTTGAATATGTACCTGAAGATATCCTATCTCAGATCAGCGACAGCCAATGGAAGATTCGGCTAGCAGGTAAGAAGCATTTTCTTTGTTTCCCACATTTAGTAGCGATCGACACTGACAAAGGGTTTTTTCAAGCTATGGAGGCATTGTATGAGCATTTTGAGAAACAAGATTCATCTTCCATCGAACCTGAAATAGTCATAAGGGTGCTATCTAAGAAACCAGGCTGGAAGGAGATGAACTTTCAAGTCATGGGCAAACTATTTAATACAATGCAATTGTTAGCGAGTAATAGCAAGTTTACCAAAGCATGTGCCGCTATCGGTATTCCAGGTCAGTATCATCCTTTTCATAATAGCTTACCATTGTTTGACAGCATTGCTAAATGTCATTATTATTAGGCCTCACGGAAAAGTTAGGTGATATCAAACTCAAGAAGCATGCAGGTGATTGCTTAGTCGCTTTTGCGGAGAAGACATCGCTACAATTTGTTTTGTCACAAGGTAAGCTCTAAAAATTTCTGTTACTGAAGTAGGTGTTCTTTTTCATTAAAACACTTTCTCTTTAGCATACCCGATGTGGCGAAAACAAAAATCACCCAAGGTGCTGGCTGATTCTTTAACGTGGCTCCATTCAGCGATTATGGAATTTGGTATTAGAGGCTTGCAAATCAGAGACGTAATTGATTTCTTGAAGTTTGCTTTGACGAACACCAATGCATCCGTTCGAACTAGTGCAGTATTGGTATTAGGAGCGCTGCGAATTTACATCGGACCTGAGGTTAAATCATTTGTACAGGATGTCAGTCCTGCGTTATTGGCAACTATCGAGGCGGAATTCGACAAAGTGGCAAGTATGGAACCACCACAGCCTACCAAAGGTGCTGCAGATGACGATGCGGGTGGTGGCAATAGCGATGCGATAGAATCTCTCTTTCCAAGGGTGGATATTTCATCGCAATTGTCCAAAGTTGCTGCCGAATGCAATGACTCTAACTGGAAAACTCGTAAGGAAGGCTTGGAGAAGACACTGGGCATCATCAACGACGCCAACAAGAGAATCAAACCAAACTTGGGTGACTTTACTGCAGTTTTGAAAGTAAGACTAAATGATAGTAATAAGAACCTTACAATAATGACCCTTGAGATCACCGGATTGCTAGCAACTTCAATGGGTAAACCATTCGAGAGATACGTTAAAACAGTAGCAGCCCCTGTCATATCAGTATTGACCGACAACAAGGCGAACGTACGAGCTGCAGGTGTTGCAACACTCGTGAGTCTTCAGTCCACTTGCGGTCTTGAGTCTTTGGTGTCGGCAATCGCTACTGGACTGTCTAGTGATTCCCCGTCGCTACGAAAAGATTTACTCACATGGTTAGATGAAACTTTGAAGGAAGGCGCCACTGCGGACCTGAGCCCTCTCATTCCTGGCATTCTATCTTGCTTACAAGATCGTAATGCAGAGGTCCGAAAAGCAGCTCAGGCATGTCTACCATATGTGATAACGAGTGCTGGATATGATCATGTCATGATCAAAGTGACGGATCTCAAGGCTGCGCAACGTCAAACCGTCTTGCCATTTATCGAAGCGGCGAAAGGACTAGCCAAATCTTCCAACCCTAACGGTGCAGCGCCTAGCAGTGTTGCAAGCCATAAGTCGGATTCACGAAGAATGGCGGATACTTCAGAGCCTGCAGAAGAGAAGACTATTCTTCCAAAACCTCGCTTAACACTCAAGAAGAAACCAGCTGCTGCTGGAGTGAGAAGCGTTGGTAGCACTGTGTCGTCAAGATCACCAGCTCAATCTGCTGCCATGAGCCCTGCGGCCAGTTCAGCTGGAGAAGAAACATCTGCACCGATTCTTACATCCGATAATGGACCAAAGCTGGTACGAGCCAAGAAGGAGAACCGTTGGCAGTTTGATGGCCCCCGTCCGGATTTGTTGGTGTCCCTACGCTCTCAAATTGGAAATAACTTTGGCCAAGGGGTTATCAAGTTGATGTTTAGTAAAAGTCAGCATGCTGAGCGCGACTTTTTATCAGCCATCAATGTACTGGATGAATGCATTGCTGACTCAGAAGTGAGCAGCAACAAGTATGGTATTGATTTTACGGAAATGAAGCAAAGATACGTCGCCAATGCCGATCTCATCTTCAAATACTTGACCATCCGATTCTTCGATACCAGCACCAGTATGCTGATCAAATGTCTCGATTTGACGGAGCATTTGGTTGCTGTAATGGAAGAAGAAGGATACCATTTGTCGGAATATGAAGCCATATCTTTCTTACCTTTCCTCATCAACAAGGTATGGAATAGATTTGCTCAAACTATGTTTATATGAATACTTTACAATTCCACATTAGACGACTTACATTATGTGTTTATAGATTGGCGATCCAAAGGAAACCATGAGAGCGCGAATCCGTAGCATTCTCATGGCAATGTGTCGTATATACCCTGGCAGCAAGATGTTCAATCATCTACTAGATGTAACCGCCAACTCCAAAAATGCGAAAACTCGTGCAGAATGTTTGGAAGAGGTTGGAGCTTTAATTCAGCGCAATGGTATCTCGGTAATGCTTCCTCAAAAATCGCTTCCCATAATTGCAAGTCATATAAGTGATAGAGATACTGGTGTACGCAATGCTGCTCTCGGTGCAGTCGCCCAAGCGTATACCTTAATTGGCGATCCAGTGTACAAGTATGTTGGTAGACTGAGCGAAAAGGATAAAAGTATGGTTGAGGAGCGACTCAAGGTATGTGAAACTGTAATGTGGTGTTCGCCATTTGTGACATAGCGCTCATATTTGCCTTTTGACTTTATAGCGCACCAAGACAAATGTTTCCAGTCTGCCAGTTGCACCTAAACGAGCCTCCGTGCCTCAAGACATGCATATTGAACCACCACAGGTGCATTCTGAACTCCCTCGTCCTTCAAGATTATCGCTGAATAAGAGCAAAATGTCCTTGCCACGACCAAGGCAACAAGTGGTTCGTCAAGAGGTCGAACCAATGGATGAGGTCATGCATGAACCCGAGCGAGAGTTAATGCGACCACCAGTTCAATCTTATATACCGGAACAGAGGGCTATGCAATCACCACCACGCGTACCGCAAATATCTCCAGAGAGAAATGAATACATGATGGATTTCCTGATAACTCAAATTACCAGTGGTGATCCTCATCCTAGCATTGACGCTCTCAAGAAGCTCGACAAGATCTTGAGCACGCAGCCAGAAATGGTGATACCAGATGTAGACCCCCTTGTCAACGCTATCACTTTGCAAGTGCGTTTGGCTTTCTCTGCTCTTGATGGTAGATCAGCCCCGTTGACTAGGTTGTGCAAGCATTTAGTCAATGCGCTCGTTTTGTTGTTCTCTAATCGACAGTTGGCTAGCCATGTTTCACAAGATGCATTACATCGTTTGCTTCAAGAGCTGGCACACCGTTTGTTGGATGTTGATATGTTATCTGTAGAAACGGGACCACAGCTTTCTAAAGCGCTGAACGTTGCCATGGTGAAGGTCCTAGAATTCAGCGACCGAAACGCATCCATCAGCGCCCTACTAGCGATTCTTGTCAACTGTGCAGCAGATCTTCGACCAGGGGATTCAACCACTTGCAAAGAGGCTCGATTCACTGAGTTAATCATGAAGTGTCTATGGAAACTCTCAAAAACCATTCAGGAGCATATGCGCAACGGAAGCTTAAATCCAGATCAGCTACTGCTAGATATCAACAATTTCTTTGTCACAACCCCTCCTACCGAATGGAAGCACAGAGCAGCAGAGCATGTTCCGTTCGGCGAAATGCCACTTCGAACTGCAAAGACGTTGATTCTGGAATTGATAACAGGGTTGGGAGACAGTGTCTTTGATCATCTGACACTCATAGATGACCCTCAGCACAGCTGTGTCTACCCTTACTTACACCACATGTTGCAAGCGCGGCGAAAGAAGCAAGAGGTTGATCAGCAAGCTTCAAATTCAAATCATGCCATGACCCACGCTACGGAAGAACGTGTTCCAGAACCACTTACAACGCGAGCAAGCCGTCCTTCTTCAATTACATCTACTAATGATCTTAATAATTCACGGCCGGCTTCTATCGCTGAGTCAGCTGGGAGCTTTGAACAACCTGCCGCACCACCGAAACCCGCAGCATTTGTCGTTCCTGAGGAAAGCCATACAGAGGCTATGGAGGATATACAACGTTCGCCTCAAACTAGTGATCAAACTAAAGATGACTCCAAAACTCTCTCAGATCTCGAAATGAATAATCTTTTAACCCAAATATTTGTGAAAATTGGTACTCGCGACCAAACGAAACAGGTACAGTTAATATATATACACCGAACAGCCTAAAGAGCATCCATTAATTCTCTATTCTAGGGCATTGTGGAGTTATATGAGTTCCAAAAGCGCCATCCCCATGCAGAAACTAAAGTGAATGCTTATCTCAGTCAAACTGGAAATTACTTCCAAAGTTACATTCGCCGTGGCTTGACCAACTTGTCTGCAGAAGATGATTCTATGAGGGTCCGATCTAATACCAGTAATGATACAGCAGACGCCAGTAGCGTCCGATCTGCTGAAAGTAGTTCGCCGCGAACATCTCGACCACAGTCTACAGGTAGGATACTATGGGAACACATAATATGTTCCGTTTACAGCCTCAAACTGACCACTCTTAAAATGTGTACAGTCGAAGATCCAGTGGAGATCAAGCAACGACTGCTACGTCTTCAACAGAAGTTTGGATATCGCCAGGAGGCTGATGAGTCTGACCCATCGTCTGGTCTGAACAATATCCAAAAGCGAGCGTCGATCCTTTCTCTGGTAAGCACTGCATCACTACCTTTCTCTCCGCGACGGGTGGTATACTAACACTATGCTAATTTCCAGGAACCTACTCAGCGAGCAGAACCGGATCGCGCGCAAAGTGTTTCTGCTTTGAAAGAGCGACTGGCGAGAATGAAGGCTACCCTTGAATCCTCCGTAGCAGAGCCATAGAGTGCACCGCGTGTCGTCATTTGTCCGTGTAGCTATATTTTTACTCATTGTTTTCGTTCTTTCCTGTGCGTGGACAATTCAGAGTAACACTAAAAAGAATGAAAATCAACAATCATTTTATCAATAAAACAAGTAATTTCGAAGTTCACATATTGCTGAAGAGATGCAATCAAGAGATGCCATGAAAAATAAATAAATACACCGCCGCTGGGGTGAGCTGCCTTGAACAATTTATTCTCATTCATACTATTGAAAGATTTTTGGTGGCTATAAATGCGGTACCTCCAACCGCGTTTTCATGATACTACAAAAATTTACAAAGCGTTCAATGATGGAGGTTCATCCGGTCCAAGCATTAAGCACAGTGACAAACGGTACAAGGGCTTCATACGCATCGGTAACCTTTTCCAAAAATCCCTCAGACACGACTTCTTGATCCTCCCACCGTCTACCTATGACAAAACTTTTGTAGCGCAACAGATCAATATCTGGATGATTTTTATCAACGCCTTTGGGAGCAGTTTTCAAGCGGTCATCATCTTCAAGGGCATCCACTCCTTTTGAGCCATATATCTCTTCAATCATGGGCAATTCAAGAGCTTGTCGTAATAATGTCGGGTCGTTCATTATACCCTCTCTAATGCGCGATATAATGGCCGAGGACGGACTCCACACTCCGGCTCCTATAAAAGAGCGGTTGCCTGGGCAGACGCTGAGATAGTAACCGGCAAAGGGGCTTTTCTTACCCCCTCGAGAGAATGAAGCAGACAGGAAGGTTTTATACGGTCGCTTATCATTAGTGAATCTCAAGTCACGACTGACCAAAGTGAAGACTTATTAGCGATTGTTATGGAGAACAGACCATCCATGGGCCCCATAGTCTATACTACAAAAAGAAAATGTAACCCTTACTTTAGTCGATAGACAGCTTCTTTGGCTGGACTTTCCAAAATACTTGGGTCTAACTGACGAGTATGCTCCATGACTTGTCCAACAAAATCAGTGAAATCTTGCTTTGTCTTCAACCATCTCTCGTTGTGTAGTAGCATGAATTCGCGTTCGTTATTCTCAGCTAAATCTGCCATGAACTGTAAAGTGTCGGGGGAAACTGCGTCGGCAAAGGGAGACCCTTCAGGATGAGGGATGTCAATTATAGCAGGGTTGATATCGTCCATGCTTCGAACCGTGGTGGTTTGCTCGGTTGGCTTAAGATCTTTTTCCTTCTTGTCATCCTTACTTTTCTTCTTTCTGCCCTTTTGACTTTGCTCCGTCTTTTTTCGCTTTGTTGTTTGTGAATTTCCTTCGTTCGACCGATCACCATGAGCATTCTGTGGACTGCTCATGGTTGATTCTACCGAATAGTCCGATTCTTTATCACTTGAGCTGGCTTTGCCTGGGCTGGTAGTAAGAGCATTTGCCCTAGCAAGCCTAGTTTTCAGCCTTGTTGGCCCTACACTGTTGCTATTAGGCTTGACATTGGTTTGCTTTAATGATCGCGTTGCTGGTGACATGGTATTCTGAACTTTGACTGCACCAACCCCGCATTTCTGCACCGCGCCGTCGGGCGTTTCGTTATCCGCCATCTCTTTTTCATTATACTCATTTATTTCTTTGTCTACCGTTGGTAAAATATAACAAGTCTTCAAAATAGCTCTATGTTCGTCTTCATGTTAATTTTCACGCCAAGTCAGTCATGAACATGAATACAATTTGTCTTGCCGAGGCTCAATGTATTGAATCGCTGTAGTAACGGCCTTCGTGCTGGTCTTTTTTTTTTTATTTGAATATGATTGTGAAGATATGGAATCTTTCATCAATTGGTATTGACAGAGTCAAAAGAAAGAGTATGCTGCCATGCAGCATATCCTCAAAATGATCGTATTGTACTGAAGGGGTGTAAGAATATACAAGAGTAGAAAAAAATACAGAGGAGAGCTATACATAGAAGAACAGGATCATATTTTCATAAATCCATTCCATTAGGCCGTTTCAACTTTTTGCCAATGTTGCTGATATAAATAGGCAGGCTACCGAGGGCGGGCGGGTCATTGAGTATCAAACATTAGGATCCCGGTAAAATGAATTCTGATATCTATATCGTACTTGACTTCTTGTAATGCCTTTCGTTTAATCTCTTTTGCCCACTCTCGAGATCGCATGTCACTATAAACTGGTAGTACAATCGTAAGTGTCCGTGGATGCTTTGTCTGATGTCCTCCAAATGCGCTGGTAATGAGATCCTCCAGTTTCCCCCCGAGTTTTCCAGATGTCCAATCTTTAAGCATGTGTGACACATCAGTCTGAAAGGTGACAGTGAGGCTATCAATATCAAGATCTTTAATGCCATTTATCACTCCATAGCCGGCAAAGAAGTTCGTCAATTCCAAACGCTTGAGACTTGTCAATTGCTTTAGCCAGGTGCTCATGGAACGTTCAGCATCCAACCAAACAGTTTTCATTCGATCCGACCATTCCATATGGGTCTTATCTCCAGACCACCCAATAAGATGTAGGTCCTCAAGCAATGGACACGAGCCATGCAGACATTCACTCCATACTCGTGCAGACCAAGAGCTGCAAAAACCAAACGTCAATGAGGTTATGTTCGGCAATTGACTCAAGTAACGATATTTAGCCACGACTCGAGTTTCTCGAGCTAACCAGTCCAGCTCATCTTTGGCAGGGTCAGTGTATTCCAGTTCTTCTTCGTCAATTAGGTGCTTTATTGAAAGTACTTTGAGAGTTGGTGACAGCCACCGTGGAGGTCCGTATACATTGTAATATTTGTGATGGTCAAATCCCGATATCCCTGCATGACATAGTCGAAGTTCCCGCAACCTTCGTAAATGAGAGAACCGTTCCAAAGAGAAATTAGGGCCGTCACAATGGTGTCGAACTTGCTGGCAATTGATTACCTCCAGATTATGCAGCTGTGACAACAGACTTTGTATTTCGGGAAACGACATATTGGAGGTATTCAGGCAGGTTAGCGATGAAAATATGCTAAGTGATGCAAAATTTAATGCATAATGCTTGATGGCGCTACGCAGAGTCAGGCGTTGAACATGTTGTCGGTGAATTTGAACAAGGCGGCTGCCCATAAATTTCTGGTATTGAGTTCCCAGCTGTTGTCTATCAAGCACTATGGTTTTCCACTAAATACAATGAGAGCAAGACATGGTTAACACCATACATTCAAAATATGTAAAAGGCATTGCAATGGTATTCAACACCCACTACACAAGCAGCTTCCACTAGTCTTGTCCAACGGCGACACACCAGTCGGAGTGTACACAACGTGGTCGGGGTGTGTTCCATTGCCTGGAAAATGAGCAAGAGGCAATCGTCATTGAGAGGATCGTTAGAGTATGACGTGCGGCAGCGTTTTCGAGGTCGACTATCTACAAATTTTCTTGATTCAAGCAGCCTTCCTGATCGTAATTCCATGAGTTTGGTGATTGAGAAATATCAAAGATAGGAATAGGTAAGGGTGGCAAAATTTAAAAAAAATGAAAAATTGATTGCGTCTGCAAATAGCGAGCGTATGGAAAAGCTGCACCAACTGTGAGGGTTTATATTAATTATTTTCAGGATTAAGGTCATGAATATGCCATTCAGTTTTAAAAGATCATCTTCTGCTCTAGCAAATTAGGCCCATCATCATTGTACTCTAGCCTTGCCTTTGCCTTTACCCTTATTAGGCGCTGGTTTTGCCTCATGCACAGGTTCTTCTACGGCAGTTTCCTCTTCCTTCTTCTCGAAACGAGCTCGGACTGTCTTGTAATGTTCTAATTCAGTAGCAGATACGCTTGGAATCAATTCTTGAAGCGCTCGAACGAAATCTGGTTCCGTGACTTGCACCACGATGTCCTCCGGTGTGGCCATATGGGCAAGGTAGTACTGGGCTGTGATGGTCGCTGGCTCATGGTCTCCAGAGGCATTGTATTCTTCCACTTTTTGTTCAATCCCTTCGGCTACTCTTGTCATAGCTTTCAACATAGCGTCTGAGCATAATGCGTAAAAGTCCGCTCCGGTATAATGGAAAGGACACTGCTCGGCAACTCTAGCAAGATCCAGGTCCGGATGAAGTCTGAATCTAGGTACATTGATGCCAAAGTTTTAGTTGAAAGTGGCGACGTCTCATGGTCTATATGGGTTACGGATACTTACTTTCTCGTCAAGGCTTCAATAATCTTGAGCTGCTGTTGATGATCTTGACTTACTCCAAGGTACAGAAGTTTGTCGAATCTAAAGGATAAAGGGTATAAGAGATTTACAAAATCCTGCGTAGAGTCTCTATTTCAAAAGGATTTCATGTACTCACCTTCCTGGACGGAGAAGTGCTGGATCCAACAAATCTGGTCGATTGGTTGCGCCAATGACAAACACATCGCCAGCACCACTCTCACCTTCGCTCATACCATCCAGCTCGGCTAAAAGTTGACTGACAATACGGTCCATAACGCCGCCGGAGTCACCCTTTTCGCCACGCTTAGGAGCGACAGAGTCCAGCTCGTCGAAGAAAATGACACATGGCTTGGCGTCTCGAGCACGTTGAAACACTCGTCTAACGTTAGCTTCAGATTCACCAATGTACATATTGAGTAGCTCAGGTCCCTTAACAGAGAAGAAGTTGAGAGAGCATGATGTTGCGATAGCCTTGGCAAGTAATGTTTTGCCAGTACCAGGAGGTCCATATAAAAGAATGCCACTTCGTTTCTTCATTCCAGCACCAAAAAGCTCGGGATGTTCGAGGGGAAGCTGGATGGTATCCAAAATGTCATCCTTAACGTTCGCCAAGCCTCCAACATCATCCCATGTTACATTAGGTATCTACGATGAAATTCAAAATATCAATACCTTCTTCTCTTCTCTACATCATAAATAAAATACAATAGGATGCTACAAACCTTTGGAGCACCAATCGAATCACTATAGCTTGCTCGTGCTTGATTGAGGGCCGCGTCAAAATCATGGGCAGTGAGTGCCACACCGGCATATTCGACATCTCGGTCAGTAACGAAATCACTTTGATTTGTTTCGCTTCTGAGATTATATTTAGTACATGTTTGTCGCCCATCCCATATCCAACAACCTATTACTCACAGTGCCTTGTGAACTCTGTTCATCGCTATAACTCCTGAACGGCCAACGAGATCGACCAGATCTTTGGAGACCAAAGCAGCTGTTTGTGTCGCCAAGCTTTGTAAGGATACGTCAGGGGCCAAAGGAGATTTTTCTGTTAAACTTTCGAGCATTTGCAGCCGAATAGCTTCTGCAGGAGCTTCAATCACAAGTTCATGTCTAAAGCATCCAAGAATACTAGTGGGCAAATTATCAACATCGCTTGTGGTTGCCACCAGCATGACGGGGTATCCGGTGACTGAGTGGGCGTTTGTAATATTTTGTATGCAGTCTTGAAGCACAGTGGAAATCAAAGGTTCTGAACAAACCAATAATTAGCTTTATCTCTACGCAGCATTACACATTGTATCTTTTGCGATAACTTACCCTGACCAGTTTCAACAACTGCGCTTTTTCTTGCCAGACCTTCAATACCACGAAGTAGGATTACGCATGGTGACATGACCATTGCTTTTTCGAATTTTGCCCGCAAATACACTTCGGTTTTTGCATCTGTTTCGCCAACGATATCAAATGCATTGATTTCGAAAACATGGACACCGACATGTTCAGCAACCCACTTGACAACGGTCGATTTTCCTCCACCCCTGGGACCTTGAACTAGAACAGTACACGATAGGTTCAAATCCTTTGCCAATGGATGAAGAGACGATGAAAGTAGGTTGAATATTTGGTTGTAAGCTGGGATATCAGTTTGGCACTTTGGAAGCTTGCGTGTTAACCCATAATATCTACTAATTTCGCCAATTGGTACCCTTGAGCATTCCAAACCGGTTTGCACCATATGTGTGTAATTGGTAGATATCTTTCTCCCGGCCCCAAAATAAGCTGGGTGGGGATCATCTTGTTTTCGTTCATCCTCTTCAAGATGGGTGATTTTGAAATAAGCGATAGCGGTAGGTTTAGAAGGAATAGGAAGGCTGAGATGCGAGAAATCATCCATGTCACGACCTTGTGGCAACAATCTTGCTGGATCTTCGTCCAAACTGACCGCCAAAATGTCTCCTTCACAGACAATTCTTGTCCTTTCCTCAAACCATTGCTTTAGCGCATCTAAAAGTGCATTTTGAAGCAGCTTATCCACAGAGACTACTGACGCAACTCTTGATACAGTGAGTGCTTTCGCTACAGGTGGCCCTTCTGTGACCGGTTTAGCTAGGCGAGTGATGTACAAATTTGAGCTATCAATTGAAGAAGGTGGTAACGAAAGGCCAAGGTTGAAGTACAATTGCGGCGAGACATAAGCAACACTACAAAAAAAATCTTAATATCATGATGCACATACGTTATTCACAAAAAAAAATAAAAATATTGCGTTTACATACCTATTGCTTCGAACACCATCATATGTATCCATGTCTACACCATAGATACGGCATAGTCGGCTACGCTTATGGTTTCCGCCAGAAACCAATACCCAATCGCTACTGAAGACCCCACAACGGGCCAAATCTTCTACATGAACATAAACTCGACATTCATTATCGTCGTCTGAAGGCGGATTAGGAACCAGTTGATGATCTGGCCAAGGTGTTGTGAGGATAGCGGGCTGAAATGCCTGAGATTCAATAACTTGTGGGCCATCCTTTTTGTCTTTTAGCATCGAGAATGATAATGGATCCGTTGCATCATCGTCTGCAGATACGTCAACCTCCTCTTCGCTATCTCCAGAAGCGCTTATATCTACAACAATAACTTTTGTTCGCGCTGTCGAGATGATCTTGCCTTGAAGTACTGGGTTGGACATCAACACCTTGTAGCGCAAGTCTTCATTGAATGTAACGATTGTTGAGGACCTGATTATCTTTGGGGGTTCTTCGCCAGATTTTAAAAGTTCGGCTAATCCATCAGGTTCTAAATCAGGATGGTCACTAATTAACTGGGTGCTTCCATTGACATTTTGCCATATTCCCTGGGCATAGCACTTACTTTCAGCAATAAAATCATATGATTTCTTATCAAGAGCCCCCAGAATAACCTCATCGCATTCAATCAGATTTGTAGGCGCGATATGCACAAAGTACTGATGGTCGTCTGCGGCAATACCTTCGTCTAGAAGGTCCAATTCTAGCTGCTCCTCTAACTCGGTCGAGATTTGCTGGGGGCCATAGACTGATGTTATAAAACTTGGATGCAAACTTACAGTGTCTCTACCAAGGTCCTGAAATACATATCTCCATATTACTATTCATTGTTCTTTCCTACACACCAATTTACCTTACTTACCTGTTGCGATAGCCGAGCATATACAACGATCGATTTTGGCAGATAGCGATGTTTAGCATCCTTTTTTATCGGGTCATCCAAGTTTAGCTGTAAAAAGGTAATAGAAACCGCTAAAGGAGAAGTATCTACTTCAAAGAGATTTCAGTTCGCCGAAGTCTACAACTGTCGAGACATTTGCAAAGATTACCATGATGGCCCTGAAGCTTTTTCCATAGTGAAGGAGAGACATCCACATATTGTTGTTGAGCAACCGAAGTAGCATGCAACTCGGCGAGAATGGGAGGCATGCGAAAGAAAATAGTAGACCTATTGGGAGACGCGGTTCTGAGCCCTTTTCTTTCCCCAGATTCACATGGGAGCCGAAAGTGCGGAGATTTAGGCTCTTGACAGGTCCGCCATTGCTGCTGACAACCCTGAAATTCATAAGTTCAGCTAACCTTGTATCTCAATGACTTTAATAAACGAAAGAAATAATATGTAACACACTATAGTTACGGTCAGTAATTGTATACACTCGATCTGGTGCATCGATGTATCTCACAGCTAGAACATGTATTTCAGCTCCACTTACAATGTCCTCCGCTGTTAACAGAGTAATAAGTGGACCTCTTTACATTTTACTTCACCAGAAATGATTAGTATACTGGTTTAAAAAACATATGTTCTCTTGGTCAGTGCAACCCGTCTGCAAGAAATCACACCGTGATTCCACCAAGGCAAATGAGCATCAGCGGCAGAACATTTATATCTTCTGAACAACAGACTTTGAGGATTACTTTTCACTGAAAAGAGCTATATCTAAAGAATAGAAGCTTCGATAGCGCTTATTTCAAGTACAAATAACTTGTTACAAAGCTTTGAAATCTAATAGGTACAGCTGGCCGCATGCCTTGGTACTGCTTTCGGGACTTGAAAGCACAGCTGACGCAAAAAATCAGTATTGCAAAAGTCGACCAGCAGAGCTTCAGACAAAGGCAAACCAGAGAAGAGCATGCCACTAACATCCAATGCCGCCAATAGAAAGCCAAGTATGTGAAATGAGACTTTTTCTGATTGAGCAGAAAACGAAATACTTTGGCAATCGAATCCAATTACTGATCCTTACCAATGCAAACTACCTCAGGCTTAGAAGGCTTCTCGGACAAGCAGCATGCAGCTCTGAAACAAAAAAGTGCGGATATAGATCGCGTTGAGGATGGTTAGTCTATATTTTTTATGTTATGGTGAATGGTGAACACGGTACTGTGTGAGAAGAGTCACTTCCAGTCCATCAGTTCCCATTGTTCGGTTTGTCGGTAACATACCAAATCAAAATTAACATCTTTCATTTCCATTTAGATATAAAGACTATAGTGAAACCTGTCGTTGACTCTTACCCAAGCTGGTCAGAACATATGACTCCTGGTACACTGCTAATCTTCCAAGATGACGATAGTTGGAACAGACTATCAAAGAAGAACAACTCGAAAATTCTGTTAAAAGACAACCGCCCCAACTTTGATGGCACAGATCCAGAGTCTCTAAGGTCAATTGAGAATTCTTTGGTATTTTCTTCGTCTGACGAAGGTAAGGATGTGAAAATAATAAATGTGGAATGATAGACTTGATTTAACAGAAGAGTGTGGTATGACTATTTCAGAGAGTGAAACCGCTTCATCGCCCTCTTACAACCCATTAAGGTCCAGTGATATGAAGACATACGGAGCTACGCCTATAGAGGAGGATATAGTGGTTGTAAAGTGCAAAGTCTGCTCAAAGCCGATCTTGGCTAGCAATTTTACCCACCATCAAGGTAAAGGAGCCACTTTCGGCGCCATTTGAATCCAATTGCCCCACATAGACTCAGTTTCCTGATTCTTCCCAAAACTTTCAGAGATCTGCGAAAAGCTAATTGAAGAAGCGTCCATGGCTGAGACATCGTCAAATTTGAAGTTTTCACCAAATTCAGATGATGAAAGTGTGAAAAGCAATACACCACTCTATAAAAAGTCCAAGAAAAAGCGTGATTATGATGAGCCTGATCGTGGCCATCTCGGCAAAAAAGGCAGAAAAGGGAGCATCACCTCTATAAACTCACAGACATCTGAAGGCACGTATTATAACTCATTGAGCTCATTGACAACTTGTACCCGTCAGGTTTTAACCTTTCGCACGGATGTAGAAGGTACGCCGGTGCTACCCCGCAAACAGCTCCCCAATAATTCCGACAAACCAGACAAGAAGAAGAAAAAGGAAAAGCAAATCAAAGTAAAGCCACCACCAAAAGAGAAGCGTAAGCACGAACAACCTTTCGTCAACTGATGGCATTCGTCAAAACTCATTATTTAACTCCATGCCCATCTTGCCAATTTAGCACCGTTGGACCTCGATAAGCAGTGTGGCGTTATAGCAGGTCCCAACAATTTGCCCTGTGCAAGATCTTTAACTTGCAAAACCCATTCTATGGGTGCTAAGCGAGCAGTTGTTGGTCGGTCACAACCATACGACGTGCTTCTAGCAGCATATCAAAAGAAATCAATCGGCCGCCCTCAAAGTAAGCTATTTATCTCCTACAAATTAGTATTTTATGTGCGTAACCGCTTATTGAGCTGCTTGCTAACTGTATCGACTTTTAGATTCCTCAAGTTCACCACTATTACAAAAGGCAAATGCAACCACCCATAAATTACGTATACAAAAGAAAGTCTTGACTGGTGCATCGTCGTCTACTCCAGTACCTGAAGCGGAAATTATCGACTCTGACGAAGAAGTGGAAACCGTTATGGAAGCCATAAAATCATCTTGCCCTACTCCTTTGGCAGAAATTCCACGACCTTTTATGAGCCGACGTAATCGATGTGTGCGTTTACGTGAACTGTTGTTGGATGCTATTTCACCAAAATCGAGCTTAACCGACAATACTACACCAGTGCAAACCAGATCAACTGCTAATGCTGGCATTAGCCAATTATCTGGATACCCTTTGCAAAACACTACTGCAGTATATAATATAGCAAATGGAATGAAACTATCTGATACCTCATTCCGATTGCCCGAAAGTAGTCCAACCAAGCTTACTCTTAGATAATTTCTCCCTCAATACAATAATGCTTTAAGCACCTGATACAAAAATCGAACGCGTTCAATTGACGCGTAAGAAAAGGAAAGCTGCCCTATTGTAGTCGATGTCTCTGTGGAAAGGGATTGCTGAAAGACACCTCGGCGATAGCCACGTTTTTTATTTATTATCTTGCTGTGGGTCCGCAGCATTCGCAGATTGGTCTATTTCGATCAATTTAAACAAGAAAATGCAAGGGAAAACCCTGGAAAAATGTAATGTATATAACTGAGCCATATTAAGGTTTAACATGAACTCTATAGCAACCATGAAGCAAAACTAGTTTTAACTTCAATCGCTATTCATCTGAATCTCAACTTGTGAAGTCCATTGAAGTGGGTTTATTCTATTGCATTTAAAACTGTGCAAGTGAGGGTACTCTATTTATGAAAAAGTTTTAGGTATGATACAGTATTGTTTGGCGGAGACACCAAGGAAATCAGGTCAATGCTATGGCGATAATACAAGAAGACAGAGCAAATAATATACGTCCCAGCCTGTTTCGTAACATACACCTGTAGTGCATAAGATACACTAGGGTTTAACTACAATAAAGCAGAATTGCGGAAAGAAGGACAACAACGGGTTGACGTGCAGCTGTAAGCAAGACAATATCAGTCGAGCTTAACTCTCAACGTATACCAGCAAGCAGATAATGCAACGTTATTCATATCAAGATCTGGTGTCACAGCCTCTACAGGGGTAAATTTTTTAAAAAGTCTCCTGGACAAATAATATCTCATTGCCGTTCAGACTTGTATTACAGGCTAAGCCAAATTGACCTTTTCTTAACATCAACGGTTCGTGATGTTAAGAAAAATCTTCAGTAACAACGCTCTCAAATGTGATTTCTCAAAAAAGATCAGAATTCGCGTCGCAGTACCAAGTGCTAATAATAAATTAAACAAACTCAAAACTCTCACAAAGACAAGGTAATATTATTATTTTCATGAGACAATGCGAAAAACAATAGTATACGACAGAATGTGCCAGTCAGATTACTTCACTTTATTTTCAAAGCGTGGGCGAGAATGATTTGATTATCTAAAGTGCTGTAGCATAGTGAAATAATTTCGAATGTATGCCTGTGAAGACCAGCTGGATTGTCATAATATCCGCGTAGTATGTATCACACAATGGTTTATGTAAGGTTTTGACATGGTGTTGTTTGCTAAAGCTCACCGCTTGGATGAATGCAAGCAGAGTATAAACAACCCAAATAACGAGGTGTTCGTTTTATGTGTGTATTAATTTTTAGATCCATGCTACGCATGGTTCAGCAAAGGCATACAAGGCATAGCCGGTATTTTCATATGCCTATTTCCTACCTTTTTAATTCTGTTCACTATACATCTGCTCATTTCTCAGTTATATACTGATCTTAATGTCTGCAGCTCATTTCAGCACAGCAACGTAATGCTTGAATGACTGGCATATGTCTTTGCGCTTGAAACTTTATGTGGCTAACACGATGCTAATCTCCGTGATTTAGAGCGAGTCCGTTATTACCATCTATAAGCACATTTCTTCAAGCACCACCTGAATTTTCTGAAGCTACCAGTACCACTAACGCTGCTGGTGACATAAAATTATCAACATATACTACAGACAAAATATTAACGGCGCTCCCTCCAAGTTTGCCTGATGGTAATTGTCAGCTCATACGCAGTGCGGATACGCTCCAGTAAGCTGATGGTCAATATTGTTCTGCAGGAGGTCAAATGAATTCTCGGAGTTGGCTGACTTCTTGCCCTGCGCCACTATTGAAAAATGTACAACAGATAATCCTGCAAACAAGGGCCATCTCCGAGAGCGTTAGCTCCTTGAATGGAGCTACGACGGTTGATCCAGCTATCTGGCTAAACAGTATGGCGGAAAATGCAAGGGCATTACTCTACTCCTTGAAAGAACTCCACAGTGAGCACACTGATGGCAACTACACCACAAGAATGGTAAGTTCACTACCCTAACCATTCCCTCTTGAATTGCACAAACTGGGAGTTAATCTTTCAAGTATTCAAACTATCCTCCCAACCATGAAACTTATAAACGAATCGCCATTTCTTACCTACAGCCACAGGATAGCAGACATGACTATGACCTCATCTGGCGTAGGCGGGTTAGCAAGGGGAGGTTTGGAAGGACAAGAACTCGGAAACGCAGTGTAGAAATATTCCTTGTTTTCGAATGCTCTACTGAGAAACATATTGTTAATACCGTAATAACTCACTAGAAGATATGTACTCCTCAACCCAGGTGCCACTCATGCAACATCACGGAAACCCCAGAATGGCGACGTGGCCTAGACGGTGCAAGAACTTTATGTAACGCCTGCGGGCTCCGTAAGTGGAGAAGCACGCATGCCATTAAAACCATAGAACACAGAAAGCTTACCCCGGTCATCTTCCCAATGTCTCACGCTTTTTAGACTATGCAAAGCTTACGAAGCGTAATAACCTCCAGGTCAATCCGAACAACAATTTTCAGCTTTCGCCGGGTGCCTCGATTTCCAAGCGAGATACCCTTTCCACCAGTGCTGATCTCAACTTCAATAAATAACATGTCACGAAGATTTTTCCTCCTGCAGCTGTGGCCACACGGTATAGGGATTTTTTACAGCTCATTTTGTACATTGTTAGTCTGATACTGTACCTGGATTTAAACAAAACGCACCTATATATCCAGAAGATTTGAAGAACGGCGCGCATAAATCCATTGCTAACTGACGCAAAAAGGAGATGAGAGCAAAAATCCCTGCATCTGGGCAACCAAAATAGTATGGCACCGTAAATGTAGGAGGAATATTCCAGATATCGAGCTTAAAATATTCCAATCGTGGGTTTATTTGTTGCTAGAGTTTTGTTTGTTGTACAGTACCAACAGCTCGTTTTATAAACGATCGATACGATAAAAACTCTACCTCCATTGCCCCTTGGACCAAAGGACTTGGCCTATCACATAGCAATTGAGGAAGATCTCATTGTGAATAAGGAAATTCGGGCTTGTTACATCCGTTATGGACAGGGGGGCTTTATAAGACCAGAGCCAGCGAACTTTCAGTTGGTGCAATAGGTTTTGGTTGCATTCTAACAATGGGGTGCGCTTCACCTAGTCTATTGGAACGTCGGCGTTGTAGATTACGAGTTCATGTCATTAAATGGGCCTTGCTGCTTCTAGCCGCTACACTAACCAGTGTGGCAGCACAAAGTGAGGTCAGTAAAATTCATAATTATGTTAATGTGAGAATATAGCCCATTGAAAAGTTTGTATTACAGTGCAATCTCACAGGGTCGCAGTATCAAACTATTCAACAACTGGGAGCTTTCAATGGTATCTTCCTGAACGACTTCACATCCAGTATTACCGCAGGCCTATTTGGAAGTGCTGGAAGCTATGGTCCAATTGCTGTTGGAAATAATGTGTATGCACCTGGCTACCTCGTTGCAGAGAAAACCAACTTGACTGCATGCACACAAAACGCGTCAGGCTTTGCTCAATATGGTCTTGTTGTTGATGGTAGCGTTGTCAATGGAGGAACCCCAAAGGTAACTGGCAACGTATACATAAATGGCACGGGTACTGCTACTTTGCAACTATCATCGTGTTCGGTCAGGAAGCTCAGCACTACTCAACAGTTTGATTTCGCTGCCGCAAAAACATCATATCTACAAGCATCTGCATACTTGGCAAATCTACTTCCTAACTTAAAAATGAACAGTACCTTTGCACTCTCATCTGTTGGCGCCCAAGCTGATCCGCAGTATAATGTCATCACACTGAATACTTGCAATGGACCACTTCTTGGTTGCTTCGGTGCATCTCCCACAAGTCCCTTGACCAATCTGATTAGCAACCCGGGGATGATTGCCACGCTCTCTGGATACAAGGGACCAACTTCTGGTACAAAATGGCCCACCGGCACTACTTTAGTCATAAATGTAATAAGTCTTCACATCTTCTTGCGTTTTCCAAGTCACCTTGATGTTTATTTCATAACATTTAGGTACCTGTGGCTTTGGGTTCAACTTTGGTCATCGATGCCGACACTCCAAGCGTTGGGATCGATCCTTGCAGGACCATTTGGAATATCTACCCAGTTAATAGCAGCGTATTGTATACTGCTGGATCTATCACAATGATTCGCAGATCACCCCAGGCCCTTAAAGGATTTGTTTTGGCTCCAAATGGTTTGCTGTCTCTCATATGTGAACTCTTAGCATAAGACACCATTCTAATTGTATATTGTATTTTAGCTGCCATCTTGGACGGTGCTAATGGAAACTTCGCTGGATTATTGGTGTCAAATAACTACAAGTAATACGAAAGTCCTTGAAAGAGTTCCCCAAAATACAAAATTAACCATCCCTTCTTCTTACCAGTTGGGAAATGTCCAATGTTGATCTTCAAGATTTTACATTTGCGTCAGGAGGCACATGTAAATCCTTTCTAGGGTGTGTTCCCAATCAAAGTGCCACAAGCGCCAGCGTATCATCCATTTCCGTTAGCAAAACAATCTCATCAAATTCTGGTACGTTTGGCAACATCTTATGTTAATAATCGATCTCCTGTTAGCTATTTTAGTGTCCTAACTTCATTTGGTAATGACCTCGCCACCCACAGCATTACCACCCTCGGTATCGTCATCCACAGCGTTGTCGTCTTCAATATCGTCACCCGCTGCACCATCGTCGGCCACCTCCAAGTCAAATACAATTTCGGCTTCAAGTAGTATAGCTGGCGGATCATCAAGCACAGGTAATGAGATGATTACAAAACTTTGATTTCATCATGTGCCATTAATAATCTTCTTTGCATCTTGATATCATATAGTGACTGTATCATCGGCTGTCTCATCACCATCGGTGACACAAGTTTGCGATCTATCAGAATCAACCGATTTGCCAAGCCTCCAACTTTCAGCATTCAATGGTATCTTCCTAAACGACTTTACATCCAGTATAACCGCAGGCCTGTTTGGAAGTGCTGGAAGCTATGGTCCAATTGCTGTCGGAAACAATCTGTATGCACCTGGCTACCTCATCGCAGAGAAGACTAACTTGACTGCATGTACCATCAATGCATCAGGATTTGTGCAACTTGGTCTTGCTGTTGGAGGTAGTATTCTCAATGGTGGAAATCCAAATGTTATTGGCAACGTACTCGTGAATCTCACGGGTACTGCTACACTGCAACTACCATCGTGCTCGGTCAAGCAGCTCAACAACAGTCAACAGTTTGATTTCGCTGGCGCAAGGACATCATATCTACAAGCATCTGCATATTTAGCAACATTGGTTCCTAACCTGAGAATGAACAGTACTTTTGCATTGGTGTCTCTAGGTGCCCAAGCTGATCCACTATATAATGTGATTACGCTGAATACTTGCAATGGCCCAATTATCGGTTGCTTTGGTGCATCTTTCACCGGTAACCTAACTAGCCTACTAAGTACCTCAGGGGTGATTACCAATCTTTCTGGATACAAAGGGCCAACTGCTGGAACCAAATGGCCAACTGGTGCCACTTTGGTAATCAATGTAAGGCGCTTTCTCATTTTTTTCATTTTTTGATCCATTTGATACTTACCTTATGCCTTATAGGTGCCTGTGGTCGTTGGATCCACTTTGGTCATTGATGCCGATACTCCCAGCGTTGGCACAGATCCTTGTCGAACCATTTGGAATATCTATCCGGTGAACATCGACGGGTCACATACTACTGGCTCTATCACTTTGCTCCGCAACACCAAATCAGCTCTTCAAGGATTGGTCTTGGCTCCAAATGGTTTGTTTATTCTGTACTGCAGATTTTGAGCAGAAAGCACCTACTAATTGTAATATTACATAACAGCTGCCATCTTGGATGGCCCTACTGGAAACTTTGCTGGATTGTTGGTTTCAAATAACTACAAGTAAGTGTAAAGTGCTTGTAAAGTGTTCTGAGAAACTCAAGTCCAACAGTGTTTCTTTATATCAGTTGGCAAACATCCAACGTTGATATTCTAGATTTTACAACTGCGTCCGGAGGTGTATGTAAATCATTCCTTGGATGTGTTCCCAATCGAAATACCACTAGCACCAGCACATTACCATCGTCATCCGTGAGCGTAACGACGTCATCGAGCTCAGGTAAGCTTGGAAACAGCATATTTTGTAAAACAATATCTCAAGAGTTAATTTGATCCTCTGACAACGGTTCTCATTCATATCATCATCCTCAACAGCATCGTCCTCTGTATCATCGTCAGCGACATCGACGTCCAGTGTTGTTTCCACCTCAAGCAGTGTTACTGGAGGATCATCAAGTACAGGTATTGAAGTAGCCTACAAAATATTTTGTATCATCGTGAAGAATTATTGATCTTTTTTGGATTTGATATCACTAGTAACAACATCCACGACCGCCTCATCACCCTCGGTAACACAAGTGTGCGATCTATCAAAGTCAACCGATTTGCCAAGCCTCCAACTTTCAGCATTCAATGGTATCTTCCTAAACGACTTCACATCCAGTATCACCGCCGGCCTATTTGGAAGTGCTGGAAGCTATGGTCCAATTGCTGTCGGAAACAATCTGTATGCACCTGGCTACCT